CGAAAGAGAGTCCACAACCTTTCCACTGTCAAACAGCTCTCACTGTCAGAAAGCTATTTCTGATGTTCCAGCGTAATCTCCTTTCTTGTAACTTGAAGCCATGGATTCGGGTCCTGCCCTCCAGAGCAGGAGAAAACAAGCTTGCTCCACCCTCCATGTAACAGCCTTTTAGATATTTGAAGGTGCCTATAATCTATCCTCTCAGTCTCCTGTTTTTCAGACTAAACATACCCAGCTCCTTCAACCATTCCTCATAAGGCTTGGTTTCTAGACTCTCCTCTGCACACGTTCCAGCTTGTCAACATCCTTCTTAAATTGTAGTGCTCAGAATTGAGCACAATATTCCAGGCATGGTTTGAACAAGGCAGAATAGAGTGCTATTATTACTTTATTGGGACCCTATACATCTGTTGATGCAGCTTCAGCTTTATTTATTTTTTTGCTGTTGCATCACACCATTGACTCATGTTAAGCTTGTAGTCCACTAAGACCCCTAGATACTTTTCATATGTACTGCTAGTAAGCCCGGTGTCCCCCATCTTATATTTGTGCATCTGTTTCTTCCTGCCTAAGCGCTGAACTTTACTTGAACTTTACTTGAATTGAAGTGCTGCTGAACAAAAGTATTTTATATGAGTACTGCAGCATTCCAAATATTTGCCCAGTAGTAGCAGTGCTACGTCATCTGCTAACATCATTTTGTAGACTTTACCCGTATCTCAAAACCACTGATATTCTTCAATGATATTAATAAGGAAACAGCACAGGCTGTAAGAGTTGGGAAAGTGAGTGACGTTCCTGAACTCCGTGTTTGATTTAAAATAAACCTGAACCTATGCCAGGTTATTTCAGAGACAAAGCCAGGCCAAAATGATTGCTTAACCAGGGAACAGCTGTCTTGTAAAAGTTTGGCACAGCAGCTTGACTCACTGCTTCAGTTGGGACACTGCCACAGGAGAACAGTTAACTCATGGGTAGGCAACCTAAGGCCCGGAGGCCAGATGCGGCCCAGGTAAAGGTAAAGGGACCCCTGACCATTAGTTCCAGTCGTGGCCGACTCTGGGGTTGCGGCGCTCATCTCGCTTTATTGGCCGAGGGAGCCGGCGTACAACTTCCAGGTAATGTGGCATGACTAAGCTGCTTCCGGCGAACCAGAGCAGCGCACGGAAACGCCGTTTACCTTCCCGCCGGAGCAGTACCTATTTATCTACTTGCACTTTTGGGCGTGCTTTTGAACTGCTAGGTTGGCAGGAGCAGGGACCGAGCAACGGGAGCTCACCCCGTCGCGGGGATTTGAACCGCCGACCTTCTGATCGGCAAGTCCTAGGCTCTGTGGTTTAACCCACAGCGCCACCCGCATCCCTATCGCCTTCTAAATCCAGCCCATGGATGGTTCAGGAATCAGTGTGTTTTTACATGAGTAGAATGTGTCCTTTTATTTAAAATGCATCTGTGGCTTATTTGTGGGGCATAGGAATTTGTTAATCCCCCCCCCCAAAAAAAATATAGTCCGCCCCCCACAAGGTCTGAGAGACAGTGGACAGGCCCCCTCCTGAAAAAGTTTGCTGACCCCTGAGTTAACTTTACATCAAATCTCTCCCCGCCCCCTTACTTTCAGTCCTTACTATAGTGCTACCAGTTGGGAGGGGGGGACTGGGCTACATGCCAAGATTCTTCTAACTCGGGTTCAGCAAGGGTGAAAATCTAAGGAAGGATCCAAATTCCTGGAATAACCAAGCTAGCTTCCATGTGTGATAATGGCTATCTAAATATGGGCTGTTAAGGTAAATAAAGGAAGTGGCTTGGTGCCAGAAGGCAGATGGCTGCCCCCCCCACCTCAATTTGTTGGTCATTAGAAAGATAAGACAGAGTTGAGAGTTGTGTGTCTTCCCAGAAGGAAGAACAGCAAAAGAGGCTTGAGCTCAGGGGTCAGCCTCTTTTCTTTTGGCCTTAGGCCCACTCCCGGCCGGCCGTCCATTGTCCTCCCTGGCCGAGGGCGGGTCAAAGGCCAGCTCAAGCAGGTGGGTGGCACCCGCCCAGGTGAGCCTCGCTTGGTGCCGCAAACCCCGCCCACCTGTGGGGAAGGGAGGGCGGATACTGTGAGCAAGAAGCTGGAAGCAAAGCTGCAGTCTGGGAAGCCAGATTCAAGTACAGTGGTGCCTCGCAAGACGAAATTAATACGTTCCGCGAGTCTCTTCGTCTTGCGGTTTTTTCGTCTTGCGAAGCACGGCTATTAGCAGCTTAGCGGCTATTAGCGGCTTAGCGGCTATTAGCGGCTTAGCGGCTTTAAGAAAAAGGAAACAAACTCGCAAGAACTCGCAAGACGTTTCGTCTTGCGAAGCAAGCCCATAGGGAAATTTGTCTTGCGGAACGACTCAAAAAATGCAAAACCCTTTCGTCTAGCGAGTTTTTCGTCTTGCGAGGCATTCGTCTTGTGGGGCACCACTGTAGGTAGCCGTGTTGTTCTGACGCAGTCGAAATAAATTTAAAAATTGTCCAGTAGCACCTTAGGTAAAGGTAAAGGGACCCCTGACCATTGGGTCCAGTCGTGACCAACTCTGGGGTTGCGGCGCTCATCTCGCTTTATTGGCTGAGGGAGCCGATGTACAGCTTCCGGGTCATGTGGGCAGCATGACTAGGCCACTTCTGGCGAACCAGAGCAGCACACGGAAACGCCTTCCCGCCGGAGCGGTACCTATTTATCTACTTGCACTTTGACGTCCTTTTGAACTGCTAGGTTGGCAGGAGCAGGGACCGAGCAACAGGCGCTTACCCCATCATGGGGATTTGAACCGCCGACCTTCTGATCAGCAAGTCCTAGGCTCTGTGGTTTAACCCACAGTGCCACCCTTAGAGACCAACTAAGTTTGTTCTGGGTATAAGCTTTTGTGTGCATGTACACTTCTCCAGAAGCCAGAGAGAGAGCCATGCCCGATTTCTGTTGGAATCCAAGGCTGCAGCTAGGGGAGAAGCAAGACCCTTGTGAGGTATTAATGCTGTGAACCCCTCTATCGTAGGTTCAGGTGGTATATATAAACCATATAGCATAAAGACACCACAATATCCACTGTGCCTCATTTCCAAAAGGAAACACGAACCCTAGAAAAGTGCCTGTACCCCTGGTATCTTGCACCGCTTGGAGTTAGGGGTGGCTTGCAACAATCTGTATCCCATGCTGGAAATAAAACAAATCCCTGGTTTTCCATAGTCCTGAAAACAAAAAGAAAAAGGCTCCTGACAACATGAACACAAAAACCAAAGCATATTGCGTGTTCTTTAAATGGATGATGTAATTTGGAAGTTTGGACCCACCATGCTAAATACTGGGTGAAGTCACACTAAAGTCACGTTTTGGTCTGACATCTTGTTTCAAAATGGGGTCTGAAGACCAAGCAGCGATGAAGACTGCCCCACCCCCGTCCACCCTCAGGCCAAATTATGTGATATCCAAAGTGTGGGACGGATCTCGCAAAAGATGTCCAACATCACGCCAAAGTGACCTTTTGGTCTGCTACCTTGATTCAAAATGGCACCCGGCATCCATACAGGACCACCTCGCATGTTATTGTCACCAGATGTGGCATGAGGATTCCTGAGGCAGGGCAGCAGACTGTCACCATTTGGACACTGGCAGCTTCAGGCTGGCATAGTGATTTGCCTCCCTGCCATGCGCACAAGGGCTGCAGATGCAGGAATGGTCCCACTGTTCTGTTAAGCCTCACCAGACAACAGCAGGGGTTCTGGACTGCAGCCAAGGTCACAAAAACTTATGCCATAATGATTGTTTTCGTCGTCCCCCCCTCCGTTTTTTATTTTGACAAGTAACAATAATAAATAAATAAGAATAAAAATGTGCATCCCACCCGCTGAGACCATTCCATTGTCTTAACAGTACAAATTCTACAAACACCTTCCATATCTCCTCAAAATCACTTCTCCTGCATATTCCCCATCTTACTTTAATGGCACATGTCAATTTATCATTAATAGCTATACCTCACCTCTTTATACCATTCTCCCATTTTATATTCACTGTGCCCCTTCCACTTCCTAGCTAGAACTCCTGCAGCTGTCAATAAATTTGCAAGCGAGTCCTTCATAATCTTCCACCTCATTGTAAATTGATAATAATGCTACCTCTGGACTTTCGGTCAGGTTTAATCCAGTTATTTCCATTATCTCCTTAAACACCCTTTGCCAGTAAAATTGTACATATTTACAACCCCACCACGTGAACGTAATTCCCGGTTTCCTGGCATCCACTCCAACATAACACCGAATATTTCCTGTTCATTTGATTTAATCTGACTGGTTTTAAATACTATCTCCAAACTAATTTATAATAATTTTATTTTATTCTTATAGACATTTTCAGTGTGTGATACTCCCATATTTCCCCCCAGCTTTGACTATCTGTCTTATTGTCTCCTTTTCCCACACCTCTTTTAATTGATCTTCTTGATCCTCCATTTCTACTAATATTTTATAAATTTCACTGGTTTCCACTTTTATAACTATTTTTTTTCCTTTATCTCCCCCTTTTAAAATCATTTCTTCAAATTTTGTATATTCTTTGCAGTTCTTGTTTCCCTTTAACCACTTCTTTGTCCATTGCTCCAGTTGTATACAGTGGTACCTCGGGTTAAGTACTTAATTCGTTCTGGAGATCCGTTCTTAACCTGAAACTGTTCTTAACCTGAAGCACCACTTTAGCTAATGGGACCTCCTGCTGCCACCATGCCACCAGAGCCCGATTTCTGTTCTCATCCTGAAGCAAAGTTCTTAACCTGAAGCACTATTTCTGGGTTAGCAGAGTGTGTAACCTGAAGTGTATGTAACCTGAACCGTATGTAACCCGAGGTACCACTGTACAGTTAAACCAAGTTATTTTACTTCCTGTTAGAGCTTCCCTTATTTGTTATTGGCTTCTCATTATCTCCACCCAATCCTTTATTTTAAGTATTTCCTTCTTTTTTGCTTCTTTTTCAATTTCCTTTTTTCAATTTACTGGGAAGTCTTCTATCATCACCATGACTGAAGAATTTGCTGGTCCACCTGTTTTCTGGGGTTTATACCATCTTCTTTTATTAATTGTATGTTTCTTGTTGTTTTGGTTTTTAAGGTTGCACAAGAAGACTCTTTTATGTTGAAATAAAGTTACTATTAAATGTTTTATAGGATTATAATTACCCAAGCTTGGTTTCCTTTCACATCTCCCCATTCTATTATAAATAACCCATTCTTTTTTTTTAAAAAAAACTAGCTTCAGATTATAACCTTTTGTTATGAACTCTGCAGACCAAAGCTACTACTACTAACCCTTAAGATACCTCCTATCTAGAATTTGTTGCAGACCATGTCATAGCCACCCTTGGCTTCAGTGAACACACAATTCAGCATCTACTGACCTCTGCTGGCACGCAAAGGAAAGCATCAGCCAAGGCCAGTGACCATGGAATCATCTCCATTGCAATTTGGACATTCCCATTCATCTAACGTTTAGGGTCCAGAATCAAATGCCCACCAGCACTCCCAAGGATAAGCTCCGTCACTTCCCCTGGGATCTTCTCCACACTCACTTATAAGCGGAGCCACAAGGCAAACAATAGAGCTGCTCCAAAAGGTGGCTTGGCTGGATGACCCGGGAGTATTTGGGGGCTAAGCAGGAAATGCAAATGGTGTTTCACTTCCCACCCCTGTGATAAGCCAATACTAGCCCCTTGACAATAATTAGCTATTTGCTATCCTAGAAGAGCACCCCAAAAATATATTGCCCAATGTAGGCTGTTTCACTACGCAGGCTGGCATGGGACCACATTAACCTCCTGGTATAGACAAGATGTTAATCACTACAATTAAATGGGCGATAACCTGACTGCTAATGTCTCATTTGTACACAAGTCACCCTGCTGTTTGACTTTGATATATTTGTGGCAAATAACATTGCAAGATTTGTGGTGGCTGCCCCAAAACTGAGAAGAACATTCATTAAAGATAATATGGTGGACTGTAAAGAGATGGTCGGGAATGAAATAAAGTAACTGACGTTTGTATTTTAAGATATACCGTATTTTTCCGTGTATAACAAGACCCCATCTATAAGAAGACCCCTATTTTTGGGAGTCCTCAGTAGTTGTTGAGCTTCTTTTGTAAGTTCGCTGAGCTGTTGAGCAGCTTTTGGAGGATCCCCCACTGTGGCTGACGGAACAGGTGCCATAATACACCACATACCAGCACTCACCAAATACTCTTCCTAAGCCGGGAAGAGTAAGCAGCCTCCTCTCCGACATTTCCCTGCTTCCACCGCAGCACCGGCACCCCTTACTTAGCATATTAACCCGTGTATAAGACGACTCTCAATTTATCACGAAAAGTTCAGAAAAAAAGGTTGTCTTATACATGTAAAATTATGGTATATGTATAAATTGGTTAACACTGTCTTTTAAAGGTGTATCTATGCACTTTCTGTATAGTATGGATGGTATGTATATTTCTTTTTTAGTTATGGTCGAAATGGCCACGATGGTCACAACAAAATTGAGTTGAATTAACACAATCATCCAGCTGCCTTCAATTTTCAAAACAGGGAGACCCAGATTTTGGGGTTGTACAAAAACGTGGAGGAAACAAACGAAGAATGATCAAGCTTCTGACACAATTAAGGCCCCAAAGCACAGCTGATGGCAGAGAATGTCCCCAGGTAAAGCAGTTTTAAATAATAGTATGGCCTAAATCACCTGTGATTAAAATTTGAAAAACTGGGGGCAAGGTATTAATACCACCACACTTGGACTTTCAGAAGTGCCTGCACAAGCAAGGCTACCCAACCTTGTCAAGTTCCAGCTCCATCAGTCTAGGAAGAGGAGATAATACCTGAAACTGAGGAACTAATGAGAAATCCCAGCCCCGATGACTTGATTGTGACTGGCCCAAGGTCACCCAGTGATCTTCATGGCTGAGTGAGGATACAAACCATGGTATCCCAGGCCCAACCTGACTTTCTAACCTAACCACTACACCACACTGACTTAATTATGCTCCTCCCCTTTTGCCCCACGTATCCTCTCCCTTGATTCTGTACTGTTCCTTGTCAAACAAACAAACAAGCACCTACAAACAGAGAATTAAAATCTTTAAGGATGCACACAGTTTTCAGTTGCAGACTTTTATTTGGGCACAGAACAGGCATTGCTTCTCCAAGAATCTGCATAATGTGGACAGCTCTGCTCAATCTGCCAGCTCCACAAACATATTTTTTTCGGTTCAGAGAAATCATATAAAAATGCAAATAAAAAATAGGATTTTTCACATACTAGAAATACAAAAATAAGGAACTTTCAAGGTAGCTCCAGTTTAACCATGAAGACTCTACACTGATGAATGACCATTGCAATAAAAACCATCAGCTCCTCCGATTCTTCCCAAGCACTCCTTGAATAGAAAGAGGTATTTAGTGCTGCAAACACCTAGAGCACTGTTCTGGGAAAAAAACTGGCGAAGCTATGCAAGTAAGGCAACCAATCATTGAGAGACCTGGATCCAGGGGACACATGCTGGTTCACAGGTGCTGGGCTCCAAGTTGGATTTTGCTTGCTCGGCGACGCTGGCAGAACAATTGTATCCCTCTCACTCCAGGATAATTCCAACAGAGGCCAGGGCATCTATGGCCCACTGTGGGTAGCTGCTGATGTTGCCATACATGGTCTTCATAAAGTCCTGAACAAACTGTGGGAACCTCTGTTCAATGATACTCTGCCGGATTGAATGCATCAGGTTCAGCTGAAAAGAGGGGGAAAGACAGAGATGCCATCTCTTTAGCAGATGCGCTTCAAACACCATGCATGTAAATGTGGGCGCAACTAGTCACATGGAAGGCCCAACCACAATCAACAGGGGAAAACGTACAACGACGATGATGACATTGTAAACTCACGAGACTGAAGAGCTACCCAACAGCCTAATTCATCAGTTTTCCCAGCGTCTTAGAGAATCTTTCCCACCACCTACAAATGGTGCCAGGCTTTACTGCCTAATAGAAGAAAGCCTTGAGGCTACAAAAGGTGCACAAGATGGACCAACCTGGTATGCAATATTATGCACAGTAACATGGTGCATGGCAGCTGTGTCACTCCGGAAGAGAGCATTCAAGAACGCTCGGCTGTACCTGTCAAGAGACAAAATAAGGAACAAGAGAATGCTCTTGTGAGCCAAGGCCTAAGGAAGGTAATCTACACACCAATGCTAGGAAGAATAAGAGAAAATCACCATGTCTTTCCTACCAAAGTAAAAGCTAACAGCTACCCACTTTGCCACAGGACAACAAAAGCTAGGGAGATAGTTTGTGCTAGGGAGATAGTTTTCCTAGCTCCCACAATCCCTTGTTCTATAAAAGCCTTGATGTCTACAAAGGAGATTGTTGAGCAGTACTTCTGGATTCAGCAGTTCATCAGAAGTGGGGGCATGTAAATATTGGAGTAGGCCAGAGAGAAATCAAAGAAACACTTAGGTAGAGAACAATAAAAGGCCTACGGTACTTTAAAGACAGACAAATATGTGTAGCATGAAGTTCATGGGAAAGGGCCTTGATGTGAGAAACCTCCCGGAGAATGTTAGCTCAGCCTTGTTAAGATCCTTTGAAAGAGGCAAGGGAGCAGTTCACACTTCCCCTGACAACCTTCACCTCCCTGAGAACAATCAGAGCCTCCTTGTCTCATGAAAGTGTATCTAGCTCATCAGCTTCATATGAGACTTCTGCAATAATTCTAACATAGCAACTAATAGAAATTAGGCTGCCTCTGCATTCTACGGTACAGACAAATTATGCCCAATTATCTATTCAGTCTCCTTCAGGAATGGTCTACCCAATTTTCTCCAGGCCATTGTATCCTCCCTGTGGGGTGGCCTAAGAAACACAATTAATGTATCCGAGCTGAGTGAGGATCTGAACTTAAGTTGCCCTGGATCTAATCTGATCCCCCGACTACGATACAGGAAGTGTTCAGGAATGAGCATGGAATAAAACTACTGCTTCTCTTTCTTTCCATACTTAAGTAGCACTGAAGTAGACGAAGATACCATACTCAAATATTTTCTTCTTTGAAAGCACTAAAAGCTGGTTAAGGTGTGCCCAGAGGTCATTGATCCATGCTATTATCTTGGGTATATGCTATGAAAGGGATCTGACACAAACTTCTTAAAATGTATCAGAGGAGGTATCTTCTTATTCTTTGGCGATCACTCGTAGCCGAGCAAGATTGTCTTACATAAGCAGGGTTTTAACAGTGAGTCCGTGGAGGTCAATTCTGGATCCACACATCCTTCCACAGTGGGGACATAGGTTTCCGGGTGGGAGTTGATCATAATGAGGATTTGCCAAACATGCCTTCCTCTTAGCATATTTCTCCCTTTCGTCCTGAGTTCAAACGTCTTCAAAGCCCATGACACCTTTGGTAAAGGCTGTTCTCTAATTGGAGCACTCACAGGCCAGTGTTTCCCAGTTGTCTGTTTTTATACTACATTTTTAAAGATGTGCCTTGATGTGCCTTTAAACCTCTTTTGTTGACCACTAGCATTACGCTTTCCACTGTTAAGTTTGGAATAGAGTAGTTGCTTTGGAAGATGATAATCAGGCATCCACACAACATGATCAGTCCAATGAAGTTGATGTTGAAGAATCATTGTTTTGACGCTGGTGATCTTTGCTTCTTCCAATACACTGGCATTAGTTCGCCTGTCTTCCCAAATGATATAATCTTATATTGGCTGTACTGGTTTACTTACATAACTGGTCATGGGCCAATATATTGTGATTCCTGCACCCATTCCTCCCATCCCTGTCAACCCAATGCCTGAGGATGACTGCTCTGCTCAGAGTTGCACTGACAAAACTCAGCAAGAAAGCTGCAGCACAGATATATTTTCTACGACTCTGCTTCCCTGACTCCACCTTTAAAAGTATACCTCAGGCCCTCAGCAATAGATGAAAAATGGTCTGCCTTCCAACAAAGGAATCTGTCTTTGCAAAGGGCAAATCTGAGTTTTTTAAAAAACCAAGCACCATCCCTGAAGCTCACCAACCTCTGGCATGTGGGACAATCACAGTTCTCATCAATGGGCCGAAAATCCTTGGCATATTGCTTGTTCTTCAGCTGCAGGGAGCCCCAGGGGACCAAGGCTGAACCAAAGCGCTGGAAGTTGAAAGTGCAAAGATGTCAGCAGCCAGGAGATTCAGGGGAACACAAACAGCACTCATCAGTCTTTCCAGGTTTAGTGGGGGTTTCAAAACACTTCACTGCTTTGAATAGTGCTCCCATCCCAGGTTATATGTTCTTCCACCGTGTAGTGAAGTGGCCCTCCTCCTCCCCCACCCCCTCGCCAGTGGGCCCACTACCAGTTTCCCCCACAGCCAACACAGCTACTTACTGCAGTCCTCGTAGGGAAGACACAGTCAAACATATCGCAGCCCAGAGCCACACACACCACCAGGTCAGTAGCATAACTTCATGAGAAATAGAGAGAGACACATCAGGTGATGAAGATGCTGCAAGTGTACCCACCGTCTATGACACAGCCTGGCCCAATCAAGAATGCGCAGCCTTCTAATGGCAGAGATGAGAACATTTTCGTGGTAAGCTTGTGCCCAGAAATTGTCAGGGTGAGCACAACTGCCAAGGGGACTGACTTGAAACGATCAAGTCATTCTGGTTGAAGGAGAAAGAGGGATGGTTGTAATGGTTTAAGAATATAGTACAGGCAACAACCATTTTGCAAAGGGGATCAGTTCCCAGCGTGTTGGCAGAGCACATATAAGCGCCCCCACCCCCGTTCCACCCTTTTAGTGACGTGTTTAGTGATGTTTACGGATCACTTTCAGGTTTGGAGCCATGAATGCAATTGTGCATCATTCAGGTGCATGTTAATTGGTCGTTTCCTCTAGCTGGTCACATTACCAGCAGCAATCCATTTTGACATGTTCCTGCTGGAGTCTAAAGGACAATTATGTCCCAGGCACCAATATGCTTTGCCTGAATTGTGGCACTTGCTCCTACCCCACTCCCATGAGATAGCGAGGCTTGTTCCTGGGGAGATGATTCGTACTGAGATCTACCATCCTCCAGAAGTGATCTTTGGCCTCACCACCACTCAGGCCCCCAATGGCAAAGCCCGGCACGTCTCGTTTAGTCATTTCTAGCCGATAGGGAGGGGAAGAGAGAAACAGACAGACAGAGAGAGGGGAAAGGGAGATAGCTGTAAGAACTGTGAACTTCTACTTCTAGGGAAGCATCATCCTAAGGAAACTCAGACAAGAATGCCAACAGACCACCCCCTCCACAGTTGTTGCTGTGAATGTTTGAAGTACTATTTATTTACTAGCAACCTCGAACCCAGGGCTGCTCAGGAATTCTGTACCATTTTTAAAAGTTCAATCCACCATCTTGATTCAAAATGGTCTCATATTGTATCGAAACATAGACAAAAACCTGTTCCTTGGTCTCAAGACCATGATGCAAAATCAAGTTACAATGTCTGAGAAGGTACCCAAACGTACAGTGAACAGACGAACAACTTTCCAAAATATATAGTAGATTCTCAGCTTGGGAAATAAGCCACAAATCCACTATCTTCTTCCTTTTCCAAATGAATGACGAAAATATAAAAGCGGTTCTTGGAATTGTTGTATTTGCAGAAAATTATCCTAGCCTGAGGCTCCTAGAACACTACATAAGTTATAATAGGAATAAGGAATACTACATAAGAACCCTTCTGCAATTCCCCTGGTGTCTTTTTAGGCGTTTATAAACAAAGCAACTGATCATTCTTAGGAGGAAAGGCCATATTTAATATTTCCTCTTCCACTTCTTACTGTTAACACCACACCAGAACCAAAATAGCCTAAACAAGCATGTGAGCAATTTTGTCATGAATTTACAATCTCTCTGGGTAAAAATTTCACCACTGCGAGTGAAACTTTACCTAATTAGCCGATCAATTAATGTCTGCAACTCTGGTTTGCAACTTTAGCAATCAGTGACTGAAGCTTTTCTTGCATTGGTAGACTTGTGGCCAGAAACTGAAACACCTCAGGGCTGGGAAACTGAGATCAACAGAAGGTGACTGCCCTCATGAGACTCCCTGCGGATATGAATTTCAGCAAAACTCTCTTTGGTCTTGCCCTCAAATATGAATAGCTTCAAACTGGGACCAGAAGTTGTTTGTGGACAAAGCCCATAAAAAAAAAATGAATTTACCTTCCAGACACTTAGATCGGAGGGAAGGATCCAGTCCACCCTGGATAATAGCAAATAAATTCTGCTGGCCAGGCTTGGTATGTGCTGCAATACATCTGTCCAGCCAGCGAATGGACCTGCAACAGACAGATCTCCTGGTCAGTTAAGAAAAGGTAGCATTTGTCATATCATTCCAGAGTCAGACATTACGTTACTCAGGGAGTTGCAAATGTAGGTGCATCACACGTCCAGCATTAGTCATTCCAGAGGAGGCACTACAGCTCATTGTTTCTTACCACCCCATAAGCATGCACTCCAAGTTGGCAGCTCAGCAGAGAGGCAATGAGCCATGCTGACTTGAAATCCCACAATCTGGACTTGTAGTCTTATCCTTGGATAAGTGCAGTAGCTGATTTTGGGGGGTTTTTTTTGGGGGGGGGATACAGGGCTTAACCTAGCACAAATTTGACATTAACTCAGATGACTTCTACCTGCGCAGAATGAAGTTTGTGTTTAAAACAAATCAAAGGAGCTTTTACAGTCATATGACATTTGTATAATTTCATCTGCTCATGCTTAACATACAGAATTGAGATGCTTCACTGGTAGTAAACAAAGATTCCATGCCTAGACAAGCAAGGCAGGCCAAAAGACTGTGTGAGTAAGCACCACAGAAGTCAGTGGCGCAGAGAAGCTGAGTTGGGATGAACAGGCAGATCAACACAACACACAAAGCAAACCTGAACATGGCTTCTTCTACCCGGGGGCCGCTAACTGTGCTGCTGACCACATCATCTAACTGCATCATGATGTCAGAGCCTAAGGAAGAAAAATGCAATGTATGTCAGCAAAAGCAGATGAGATCAGTCCACACCACAGATTTCAAATTTGTTAATTTAAAACAAGACATTCTCTCAATTTTTGTCCTAAAGGCTAATTAAAATATTTAACACAGAAGTAGCATAGAGCCAATTGTCCAACCGGCTGTCCCACTGTACTTTTACTAAAAATAAGCAAGCTCATCTCAGTTAACACTGAGCAGAGGCAGGCATCTCTAAGATATTAGTGAAAATTTCATAATACTGTAAACTCAAACACTTCTTAATACTCAAAGAAACTAAGGTACTTTTCTTTTAGGAAAGCCAATTGTATACAAATTGGTTTTTTAAATTTCAATGAATTTAAAAATAATTCAGGAATTTAGGGTCTTTTTTCATCTACTTCTATTTCAGAAAAGTCTTAAGTAGATGTTAAAATTCTGAAAATCAGTACAATCGGCTCTACATTTTGCTAACTGAAAAGCCTCCCTGCCTCTGTCTCTCCCAACAGGATTTTAAAAAACCCTTGATATGGTATGGTGCTGTTCTATAGAACTGGGATGAAGTTAACCATAATAGTTTTTTTGAGATCCCTGCTCCACTTTCTGACCTCCACCCAGTAGTAAATGCCAGGATGGAGCTAAAGAAGGCGCTCAGAATCATCTCATTATTTACTACTTATGGATTTCTGATTTCTGGGCTCTTTAGGTGAATTTTAATAGCCCATTGTGGATTATTACCCAAAGTTACTCAGGTCACAAAATGCTTTCATCTCATTGGTGCCTCATTTGAGATCTTCAGTGAAGATTCACCATTAACTCAAACAGAAGGGTCACCACCAGAGTGACTGGTTGCCTCCCTCTGAAGTTCTATGTCTATGTGGAATTTCAAAGCAGGGAAACAGCTGTGGCAGGAGAGGAATGTCCGTGGTATGAAGCACCAGTCAATTCAGCAGTTGGCATTATGCAAGACAGAATAGTTACCAAGAGCATTTTGTATTTCAATGGATTTCTCTGGAGTCAGCAGAATCTCCTTGCCATCATAAGGAGAACGGAAGCACACTCCCTCCTCTGTCACCTTAGACAGCTCCACCAGAGAGACCATCTGGAACCCACCGCTGTCCTGCAGGAAAACAGGGACACTATGAACAGACCTGAAATAAGCAAAATTATTCTGTTCTGGTGCTCTGCTCCCATAATTGCCAGAAGAGCGAAGCATTCATTTGACTACAAAGGCCTGAGAAGAACTGGGATGAATTAAAGAAAAAACCATTTGTGCTTCAGCTATAGTTACTTAGTGTTCTGAACTTCTGTGTTTGAACACATCCTTTCAACACTCCAGCAGCAACTGGTACACTCACTTCTATTCCTGGTGAGGTGAACAGTTCAAAACAATTTGTGCAAAACCACACAGAGAATCTGTGGCAGAAAAAGAGTCACTGCTTTCTCCCAACAAGAAGCTCATATATTGCTCACTAGAAGAATGAATAAGTGAAGAACATTCCTTTTCTCTCAATCTCTCCAGTTATGGAAAATTTTCAAAATGAAAGTGTATCTGCTTTGCTGTGTTCTAAACTAACATTCAACTGAGCAGCTAGAATCTCCCATGTGTTTCAAGTGTTTGTGTAACACATGTGCCCCAGCTGCCACAATGCCTAGATTCCTGCCATCTCTCATAAGCCATGGCTTCTTATTTTTGCCAACAGCCGATGGTTGGTTTTCCAGTGGCAAGTGCTTTAATTAGTCCCTTCAATACTCACCGTGAGCAGGTTTCGTGACCAGTTCATAAAGCCGTGGAGCCCATTGGCTTTTTGGATAAGCTCTGGTCCCTAGAGAAGGATAAAAGGTTATAATCAGTGCCTAACATAGCTAGTGCCAAAGACCCCCACCACTGATGCCAGGCACCAAAACTTTCCTCTCATAATCTGGCATATGACCAAGCTAAAAACAGCAACAGCACAAGGTCAGACCCTTAACATTCAGACACTGTGCCTGCAGCAATATTCAGAGCAGGATGCTCCCAACAAAAGGGCACATAGGGGAGAACAAACCAAAATACAGAAGAGATGCTGCAATGCATTAGCTATCAGACTACACCATGAATCAGAAAGTGCTTGGTTGGAATCTCACATCTGCTTTTCTTTCTCTCTTTGTAGCTACCCATCTGCAATGTGTAGATATCACCTAACAGGGCTGTCGAAGGAATACAATAAGACCAAGTGTATGAAGTATTTTTAAAACCTAAAATACCATGTAAATATTAATTATCTTCCTTCTCATTTGTTCTGTGAGACCTCCTTCTCCGTTTTGCTTTTGGCTGGAGTATGAAAAAGGTGTATCTGAAAAGAGAGCTGAGAAAAGGGTATCCTTTGGATTCTAACCCTGGAATTTCACTTGCTTGGCTTCCAAGGAGAGCAGGAACCACTTCAGCAAACATCCCTCAGTATAGGCCTGTACTCTGTAGTGGATTTCTTAAAAACTGGTACTGTGGACAAGCTTACTCAAAAGGTTTGTCCTTTAGGGCTCTGATTACTTAATACTAAGAGAAAGACAAGCTCAGAGCTATTCCTGTATTGAATGAAGCGTTGTGTTCACTGATTAACAGAAAGAAATAAGAAAAAATGAGAGGGCATCTCACAGTTCTGTTGGATTCTATTGACCAGATTTCTGGGTTCAGATAAAAACCATTTTTGAATTTGGAATAGCTTCCTGGACAGAAATGATAACTACTCATAGAAATAAAAGACTTCAATAAAGCTGTGGCTAGACACCAGCACGTCTGTCCCCATATAAAAGGCAGCAGTAGAGAACAAAATTCATGCTCTTTTTAATTCAAGTATTCTTCTGTGTGAAACTTCTTAATTTAAACATCTAAAAAACAACCCTACCTATGCAGATTTCCAATGCCCATGCATTACTGCAAGGCTGTGGGGAAAGAACAACAACCCTGCAATATAGTCCCATACTTATATCAATATTGCAAATCAAAGTTGGACATGTACAAGGCTGGTTTGGATTTTGAAGCCAAAAACTTCCCAAACAAAAAACACTTCTCAGGCTTTAGGAACATCCAACCTACTTAAAACTTCTAGGCTCCTCTGTTCAGTCTGGTGGGAATTTGCAGACTTAAAAACATTTGCAGATTTAAAAACATCCACCTTTCCCTCTGGCAGCTGTGAACCTCTGGGACAAGTAACTTTTTAAATATTCATCTCGGTCCAGAAAGAAACACAACCAAAATCCTCCTCCTCCTCATTTGACCCTCAACTTTTGTTACATATCAACTTACACCATTCGAATCATTTCTATAACAGCACAGAATAGCTACTAATAAAATGAATTTCAATAGTGACAAATGTAAGGTTCTATACTTAGGCAACGTGAACCAGCTGCTGCACAAATATAAGATGGGGGACACCTGGCTTGCCAGTACTGAAAGGACCTAGGGCTCTTAGCAGAACATGAGTCAACAGTGTGATGCCACAGGAAAAAAAAGCTAATGCTATTGTAAGGCTTCATCAACAGAAGTATAGTGTCACGATCAAGGGAAGTAATAGTAGCTTTCTATTCTGCCTTCGCCAGACTACATCTGGAGTACTGAGTCCAGTTCTGGGTGCCACAGTTTAAGAAGGATATTGACAAGCTGGAATGTATGCAAAGGAGGGCAACCAAGATGATAAATAGGGTGTGGAAACCAAGCCTTATGGGGATCGGTTGAAGGAGCTAGGTATGTTTAGCGGAGACCGAGTGGAGTTACGAAAATCACCTTCAACCACCTAAAGGGCTGTCCTATGGAAGATAGAGCAAGCTTGTTTTCTTCTGCTCTGGAGGCTAGAACCCAAACCAATGGTTTCAAATTATAAGAAAAGAGATTCGAACTGAACATCAGAGAGAACTTTCTGACAGACAGTGGAACGGACTCCCGCAGGGGGTAGTGGACTCTCATTCTTTGGAGGTTTTCAAGCAGAGACTGGATTGGCACCTGTCTTGTATGATTAAGCTCAGATTCCTGTGTTGAGGGGGTTGAAATAGGGAACCCTTGGGGTCTCTTCCAACTCTACAATTCCATGATTCTCTGTTATCAGCAACTGTTACGGCCTTGTGGTTGTCTTTCTGTTGATGCACTTACAAAATATTTGTTTTGAAACTCTTAATTCTAATAAACGGCTCAGGACCACAATAGCTGAAGGACCGCCTCTTTCCATATGAACCTACCCAGAACCTGAGATCATCCTCTGAGGCCCTCCTTCGTGTGCCACTTCCTCAAGAGGTCTGGAGGGTGGCAACACGAGAATGGGCCTTCTCTGCAGTGGCTCCCCGTCTGTGGAATGCTCTCCCCAGGGAAGTTCGCATGACCCTTTCATTATACACCTTTAGGTGCCAGGCAAAAGCGTTCCTTTTTAACCAGGCCTTTGGTTAACCTGATGGACAACCTATACCCTTTTAAAATGTGGCTCTTTTGGGGGGGGTGTTATTGGGTTATTGTTTTTATTTTTATTTTATATACTGTATTGTGATATTTTCTGTGAGCCACCCTGAGACCTCTGGGTACAGTGGTACCTCGGGTTAAGTACTTAATTTGTTCCGGAGGTCCGTTCTTAACCTGAAACTGTTCTTGACCTGAAGCACCACTTTAGCTAATGGGGCCTCCTGCTGCCGCTGCGCCACTGGAGCACAATTTCTGTTCTCATCCTGAAGCAAAGCTCTTAACCTGAGGTACTATTTCTGGGTTAGCGGCGTCTGTAACCTGAAACGTCTGAAACCTGAAGCGTCTGTAACCCGAGGTGCCACTGTATAGGGAGGTATATAAATTCAATAAATACTTTTTATTATTTTTATTATTTATTATCTATTTTTTAAATTAAAAACCCCCAAATATTGCAATCACTGTAATTGAACTGAATATTGGGTTTCTTCCCCCCTGAAAATAGGATGAGAGGAGAGAGAGAATTCCACTGAGAGTAGGAAACGTCCCCACCGTCTCTATAGAAATAAATGGCAAGTCAAGGTTTTGGGAGGGGGATGTTGAGGTGGGGGGGGTCGTCTTACTCACGGGGCGCATGCCCAGATGGTAGGTGTTCCCCAAGCACAGGCGGCACCCGAGCGCGTCCAGCTGCGTAGCGGTGAGGCCCTTCATGGTTCCCTGAGTACCGACTGGCATGAAGACCGGGCAGTTGACGGAGCCGTGCGGCAGCCGCAGCTCGCACGCGCGGGCCTTGCTTCGCCCGCATTCCGCCACCACGCGCAGAGACAAGGCCGCCGCCGCCGCCATGGCAACCGAGCCGCCCTCTTCCCGCGCCAACGCGGCCTGTCATGTGACGCGGCGTTTTGAGGGGCGGGGCTAAAGGATGGGTTTGTAACCCTTCTACGTACCCCGACGTTTAGAGATACAAAGGCTCTCGGTTTCTGAGGGGCCCGACGCTGTTCATTGGACTATTCGCAGCGCCCGCCCCTTGACGCCGGAACGTTATTGGCCGCGCCTGCATTAATGCCCCTAGAGATACGGAAACTCAGAGGGTAGAGGTGGATAACTGCGGAGGCGAGTCTGTAGGAACCAGTGGCAGCAAAAAACAACAACCAACAGGCCCGATTGATATCTTTAAATTGGCAAAGATTTTTGGTATATAAATAAGAGGAACAAAAATAAGAACCGCTAAAAACATAGAATGTACAGTATATATGTGTGTGTCTTATTATCGTTATAATAACAAACGCTTAAAACATTGTTGTCGTTGGTTAGTCGTTTAGTCGTGTCCGACTCTTCGTGACCCCATGGACCAGAGCACGCCAGGCACTCCTGTCTTCCACTGCCTCCCGCAGTTTGGACAGACTCATGCTGGTAGCTTCGAGAATACCATCCAACCATCTCGTCCTCTGTCGTCCCCTTCTCCTTGTGCCCTCCATCTTTCCCAGCATCAGGGTCTTTTCCAGGGAGTCTTCTCTTCTCATGAGGTGACCAAAGTATTGGAGCCTCTGCTTCAGGATCTGTCCTTCCAGTGAGCACTCAGGGCTGATTTCCTTAAGAATGGAGAGGTTTGATCTTCTTGCAGTCCATGGGATTCTCAAGAGTCTCCTCCAGCACCATAATTCAAAAGCATCAGTTCTTTGGCGATCAGCCTTCTTTATGGTCCAGCTCTCACTTCCATACATCACTACTGGGAAAACCATAGCTTTTACTATACAGACCTTTGTTGGCAAGGTGATGTCTCTGCTTTTTAAGATGCGGTCTAGGTTTGTCATTGCTTTTCTCCCAAGAAGCAGGCGTCTTTTAATTTTGTGGCTGCTGTCACCATCTGCAGTGATCATGGAGCCCAAGAAAGTAAAATCTCTTACTGCCTCCATTTCTTTCCCTTCTATTTGCCAGGAGGTGATGGGACCAGTGGCCATGATCTTTGTTTTTTTGATGTTGAGCTTCAGACCATATTTTGCGCTCTCCTCTTTCACCCTCAATAAAAGGTTCTTAATTCCTCCTCACTTTTGCCATCAAGGTTATATCATCTGCATATCTGAGGTTGATATTTCTTCCGGCTATCTTAATTCCAGCTTCGGATTCATCCAGCCCAGCCTTTCCCCTTCATGGATCACTGCCTTGCCGTGGCGAAGGGGCTTGAATAACTCAGAGAAGCTATGAACTATGCCTAGCAGGGCACCCAAGATGAACAGGTCATAGTGGAGAGTTTTGACCAAACGTGATCCACCTGGAGGAGGAACCGGCAAGCCACTCCAGTATCCCTGCCAAGAAAACTCCATGGACAAAGACAACAGGCTTAAAACATACAGTATAATATATCTGTAATCTATTAAATTATATTATTAGTTAATTGATTTTATTAATTAATTATATTAAATGTTAGGTAATATATGCATAATCAATAATAATAGTAATAATTTCATTATTTATACCCCGCCCATCTGACTGGTTTTGTATTCAAACCGTACAAAGAATTACAATGAAAACACAACAGCACCAGCCCTTTCAAAGATGACAAAAGAGGATGCAAATTTGTAAGCCGATTTGTGATTCATTTGCATGAAAAGTGGCACAGAAATAGAATCAATCAATCAATTTTTCATGAAATTTGCTTATTTACGCATATTGATGCATTACTATAATTTACATGGAAATACCCTACATCTCACTAACGCGGAGGGAGATGTGAACAGTTGGCTTATATTTTGAAAAGCAAGAAAGAGGACACATTTGCCAACTTCTACTTTTAACTATGGGTCACTATGACAACTCTCATTTTATGTACCCATGAAAAAGAGGACGTGTCCTGGAAAAAGAGGACATATGGCATACCTAAATGCCTGCTCAGTCTGCCATCTAGCTGCTGGTGATGGGTAATTTCAAGGCCTCCGTTCTTGTTTTAGCTTCTTTACCCTTAAAGTTTAAACCAAACTTAGACTGAACAGCTCTTCAAACAGAGGATTGTTCTTTGACAACTCTTCAAAGAGAGAACAAGAAAATAGAGCACACAAGCCATCCGACTAAGAGTGTGCCCCTCATAATAAGAATAACAATAATATTTTATTATTATCATGTTCTGTTTTTCAAGCAAGAGGCACTGAGAGTTACATTTCAGACAGGAGGGAAATCACTTGGAGAAGAGTGTACCGGGTAATGCAGGACTGGTGAGAGGTGTGGCTGGGAAGAGTCCCGAGGGCCAAGTAGAGGCATGAAGGGCCACATTCCCAACTCACCAGCCCTGAGGTCACCAACCCTGATTTATATTAATCCAACCATCTGAGTGGCCTTGTGAAAGTGACATTTTTTTTTAATAATTTATTTATTCCCCGCCCTCCCCAGCCAAGACCGGGCTCAGGGCAGCTAACAACCAATAATAAAAACAAGTTGATTAAAATACAATTTAAAAGATTAAGATACAACATTAAAACATTAGGATGCAGTCTCTTCATTTTTTTTTTTAATGATATTTATTAAGAATTTTAAAATTACAGGAAAAACAAAAAGAAAAAGAAGGGGAAAAATCAAAAGAAAAACAAACCACAATCAAACAATACAAATTGATCAAAATCAAAAAACAACAAAACACGTAACACATCACAATCAAAAAGCAAAAATAAACCACAATTAAAAAAACAACAACCCAATATTCCCAAATCCTTGATTGTCATTACCTTATTTCATCGACCTCCTCACTCCTCCCTTTTTTGTATTCTAGTTGTTAATTATCACAGCAAATCCTTTCCATTTTTCATAGTATTCTGTCATTAAATTACCTTAATCTATTTTAACCTTATCTTACTATAAAAAACCCTAAAACTTAAAACTTAGATCTTATTTATACCAATTTCTCATAACCATAACATATTCTTACATAATTCTTTTAACATTTCTGCTAAAGCCAAATAATATTGTTCCAACATCTTTCTAACATTCATCAATTTTATAAAACAATCCTAATAAAATTTTTAAAAACTTTCTTCCAATCTTCATCCAACATCTCTTCCTCCTGGTCCTGGGTTTTGTCAGTCCTTTCTATCCCATCCATCTAGCTCATTAACCTGGTAATCTTATGTCCGAGGCCCTTAAGTCTCTTCCATGTCCCTTCCGCAGATCTTCTTCATATTTATACCTGTACTTTACTTTGTCTCCTGCTCCTTTCACACGTGGAAACTCCAACTTGACAGTATTTTTGTCTCTTCTCGACAAATCAGCCCCTTTTCCATAGTCCACACTAAACTCCATGTAGTATTTAAAAACATGTTTCAAAGTCCCTCCAGAGTTAAGAACCCCCACAACCCCAAACATCTCACAGCCCATTGCCAGACTTGAAAAGTCAAAACATCGCTGCATAGGGGGGTCTATCCAACCCCCCATTTCCAAACCAAGCAAAACTCTATCTCTCCAAATCTGGCTTTTTCCAAGTTCATTTGTCAGATCCAACAACTCATGTTCCTGCTGGGCCACAGCTCCCTCCATCTCTGCCACCCGAGGTCCAGCAACATCCTCCTCCCTCATCTGATCTGTCAGAGCACACTCCTGAGTTGGTTCCTGGGTGGGTTCTATATAGTTACTCACTACCAGTCCAAAATTTCTGATCGCAACAGTCATCAAGTCTGTCTTCTCATGTAACTGATCCAATAAGGCACTTGTTTTGCAGAAAGCACGCACTAGAGCTTCTGAATACATTGTTATGCAAGGTCAGAAGTCTGTTCCCACGATCTTAATCTGTTGCAGCTGCAGAGCTCCCCGGTTCAAATTTAGTAACTGTTTCACAGGCTCCCTCTAGGGGAAGAACTTCTATTTGTATCCATCTCTTTTCCTTTTTTTTCCCCTTTTAAAAGCAGATCTAACAACAAAGTTTCCTTTTTCAGATATTTTGTCAATATTTGTTCCTTTAAAATGCGAAGGAGAACAATGGAATCACTATGTTTCTCTTCTTTTAACTGTCTGTCAAAAGCGTTTGTCTATAGTCAATGAACTCCAAAAACGTCAGTCCTGACACCCCACTCCCAGGTTCAAGACGGTGGAAAATTACTTTTCTTTACACTCTCTTCTGCAGGTTTAAACAGTCCGGAAAAAATCCCCCCTCTTCTCCTGCTTCCGAAGGGGGTTCAACAATTTTAGATGATGAAAGTTAGTCCTTTACAAACAATTTTCTGAACTCTAGTTTGCCATGTCTTTGCTTTAATCTATCTACAAGAAATGGAAGGCTGACTTCCTGTTTAGACCTTCCCGTTTCAGTGCCAAATTAAGAAGAATTTCTTAGTCCAATTTTCCTTTCTACTCACAAATTGTTGTTTAAAGTCCAATTGTCCGAATTTAAGCTACTCACAGGTAGTTGTTTTAGTAGCCAAATTGTCCCAGGAAAAAGGCAGCGCTCTCCGGCAACGGCTGTGCGGCTTCGCTCCATGGAAGAAGCAGTTGACTCTCAGCACCGCGCCACTTACCCCTCTTCGCTCCGGAGCCCGTAACTGGGTTCCTTTACGAGTTGGGGGGGCGCGAAAGGTGCCCGCCGAGTCCTATGGTCACAGGCTTCATCCGCCTGTGATTTTTCAAAGGGTCCCCGCTTCGCCGTAGCGGGAAAGACCCGTTTTCCGTGGAGCCAGTCCCTCCAGATCAGAGGGAATCCGCCATTACCGATGGCGCCACCCCGGAAGTCCCGGATGCAGTCTCTTCATAGGAGGAGAAAGGAAAAAGAAAGAGGGGGAGGGAATCAAACTGATTCTGAGCCAAAGGCCAGGTGGGACAACTCTGTCTTACAGGCCCTGCGGAAAGAAATCAGATCCCACAGGGCCCTGGTCTCATGAGACAGAGCATTCCATCAGGCCGGAGCCAGTGTTGAGAAGGCCCTGGCTCCTGACATGTAGAATAGGGCCCCCCAAACTTTTCTGAACAGTGGGAACACCTGAAATCTTGAGAAAGTATTGTAGGCAGCGCCACAACATTTCTGCTATGCAGGCAACAGTAGTCACAAAATGGCTGCTGTGGGGTTGTGGCCAATTACAAAATTTACTACTGTGACAGAGCCCTTATTCCACACAAGGGAGACAGGTGGCTGATTTTCCCATGAAATTGAATATCAGACAGAGGCTGGCTAAGCCCAAATAACAAAACATCAATTTCAAGGAATAATAACAAAACATCAATTTCAGATAACTCTGCTATCCATTTCATTGCTGCTTTAACATAAGAACACTGATTTCACCTAATGTTTTGGAGAGGGTTAATTTTTAGCAAAGTGCACAAAAGTACATCAGACATTATGCAAATGTTGTGGTAATACAGTATTGGTTTCCAAAAACTTGGAATGGTGTTGGGGGGTGGGGTTATTGGTTTGTTTTGTTGTTTTATTATGTATTTTGTCTTCTCATGTTGTTGTTGTTGTTGTTGTTGTTGTTGTTGTTGTTGTTGTGAACAGCCCTGGGATCTTTGAACATTAACACAGATCTTTAAGAACCAGACACTCCCACCCTTCTCTGTGACTATTCTGTGTTTTTTGTTTCTTTGTTTTTCAATATTACTACTTCTGTGTCATGTGTTCCTCTTCTCTCTCTCCCACCCACCTTGGCCGAGTGGGAAATACATATGGTAGGGTAGCTGTTCCATCTGCATAGCAGCTATGTATCTCCACTCCCATTATAATTGGCATACAGTGGTACCTCTGGTTAAGAACTTAATTCGTTCTGGAGGTCTGTTCTTAACCTGAAACTGTTCTTAACCTGAGGTACCGCTTTAGCTAATGGGGCCTCCCGCTGCCGCCGTGCCACCACCACGCGATTTCTGTTCTCATCCTGAAGCAAAGTTCTTAACCTGAGGTACTATTTCTGGGTTAGCGGAGTCTGTAACCTGAAACGTCTGTAACCTGAAGCTTCTGTAACCCGAGGTACCACTGTATAGGACTGCTTGGTAAGTGTACACAATGGAAAATAAGAAGGGAATAATGACTTGGCTGTATCTACCAATGTAACTGTGCAAGTGTAACAACTTCCACTAGTGCAGAGGAATTTATCCCACCTGTGCATCACGCCCAAAATCAGCTCCGGGGTCATCTCCACTTTGTGGTAGGTTTGGTGGTTGTGGGTGGTACCCAGTGACTGGGGAGTTTCTATTATGCAAGCAGAAATTGTTCTCCTTGCCAATGTCTTGGTTGCATTCAGGCCACTTAGCACCCTGCCCAAGAGTCAACACAGAGCAATATAAAAGAAAACTTGGAAACTTCTTGATTTGCCAGAAATGTATGCTCAGCTTGAATGCTTTTTGTGCTGCCATGTATTGGATGTCAAACTTTTAGAAACAATCAGTCAGTAAGTCAGTCAGTCAAAGAAACAAAATCACATTGGCTCATGAAACTACAAAAGATTGTCACAGAAACTGGGAATGGAGTTGTCTGAGTTTAAAGAGAAATACTCTTCTTGTGGTTGGTTATGATAAATGACATATGAGAATGCTTTTGTCTCAGGTCGTCACAAGTAAATCAGTAACTGAACACAGCAGAACTATATTTATATGGGGTTTTTACAAGAGAGCAAGTAACCGCACCCTTTCATCTGCTCATTAAATTTCAGAATGCTAGCAAAGAAATGGACTTTGCTCGCACTGTATCAGGTCCATTCTTTTCTCAGTTCATAATATATTATACTGTAAAAAGGAGTCTGAATAAATCTACTTGAGATGTTGCAGCCATTACTAGAAAGCATTTGTTCCACATGTTCCACATACCATACCAGCCGCATATTTTGTACCTGTTTGTTCTGTGTTTTTTCATGTATGTTTTTTTTTAAGGTGATGATGATACACATTTTGTTATTGAGCTATGTACTACTGCTTGTACTACTTTGTAGCTTCACTGTAGTATCACTGTCATAAAACGTCTCAATTTTTGCAAGTTTGCTATCTTTTACTGTAACCTTTCACAGGTAGAAGTGGCTTCTTGGATCCATCAGTCTCATTCCTGATTCTCCGTTTTGTGGCCATCAGCAAGCAGTGGAAAAGGCAAGCATTTGTAGCATGACTCGTTGCAAAATGCATAAATGCAGAAGCAAAGATGAATAGTTGTGCTGCCATGCAATTGTTAGGTACCACAGAGTACATACTTTTAATATTTTTATCCCACTACCCTCCACCCCATGCTGTGGTGCAGCTGTGCAGTGCATTATTTTGAAAATATTCAATTGTAGCGTCTCATGAAGGCACTGTAGGATATTGGTGGGTGGCCAGGGTGGTGATAACTCACAACTTTTAATGGGGAAATGTTTAAGAAACAGACCATATATCTCAATACCATTGTTACAACCACAGCTGATAAAAAGTGTACATACACCTTGCTCCTCTCCTGTATATTGTGCAGCAAAAAGACCTGTTATCCTGGGGATAGAAGCCGCCCCAATATAATTGCATTTGTCCCTGGACCCCTAATTGGGAACCACTGGTGTAGAGAAACGACAGAGATCTGTAGAACGGTAAAATATATATGAAAAAAAACCCCTAAGAATGCTGATATGCCTACAGCAGGTGCAGACAGAATAAATTAAACTCCTGTAGTGAGAATTCAGAGGTTGTGGATAATTGGATTCTTGTGACTATATGAAGGCAGAGTGATAAGACAACTTATTAGGTAATGTAACTTTTTTTAAAGAACAAGTTTTTGTATCGGGGAGAAATGTAAAATAACAGCAAAAAATCGAAACTGTTTAGTAGCAATTTTGAGATAACTTGTAGTAAGAATTGTACAGTTTTAAACTGACTTTTAATATGTTACAAAATTTGCAGTACTAAAATAAAACAAATTATGTCAGGGGCAAGTTGTATAGGAACACATATGGGTTAAAGTGCAACTGGATGGGAATGCTTTCCTGGTCCTGAACCTGTGACAGCTCATGAGGACTGAAAGCACTGCACTTTTTGGAACTCTTGATCTTATTCCCCATCCCTGCTGCCATCAAGTATTGATCACAGTACTCACTTCCTGGTGCCTATAGCACTTGAGTGTGACAGTACAATCCTATGCACACTAACATGGGAGTAAGGCCTACTCCCTGGTGCCACACTGTTTTTATTGTAATTATCTGCATGTTTTTAAATAGGTGTTAGGGTATATATCAGCCATGTCCAACCAGTTGATCGTGATCTACTGGTCGATCTCGGGGTGTCCCTGGTCGATCCCTGTCGACCGTGTGATCCTGGTTGATCTCCACCCCCCCAAAAAAGCCCAACAACTTTGGGTAGATCACTGCCAGTTTTTTTAATAGTGGGAGTAGATTGCAGACTCTTGGGAGTTGGACATGCCTGGTATACATAGAATCAAAAATTGTAGAGTTGGAAGGAACCCGGGGGGTCATCTAGTCCAACCCCCTGCAATGCAGGAATCCTTTGCCCAACATGGGGCAAATAAATATGTAGCAATAGCAACACATTGGAATTTACTACCAAGTAAATAAGAATAGAATTGTACTGAATCTGATTATTCTCTTGTAAGGTTATACAATGTTGCAGCCTATAATGCTCATAGCTGAGTGGAAACTTTCTGAATCACAGGATATTTTGAATTGACAAGAATACTTTTTTAAAAAAGAAAAGAAGATCTGGAAAATTCTGGTTTTGTTTTTTTAAAAAAGTATTGTAAATGAAAATGCACAAATTCCTCCCAAGATCCCCTCCTCAGCTGCAGCCACCAGAAAGGTAGAAGAATGTCTGCCAGGTAAAATCATTTCCCCCTGGAAGGTGTGAAAAAGATTTGGGGATCTGCGATTTCTGTAGAGGTAAGAGAAAGCTGAGGTAACTTTCGATCTGTTTTAGTATTTTAATTTTTGTGTGTTTTAAAGTATGTCTGTAAAACATTCCCCCCCCCCCCGGCTTTATTGTTTTATCCGCTTTTGAGGTTTTCTTCACTCAAGCGGTATATACATTTTACGAAATGAATGAATGAATGAATGAATACGAGCAGGGACCAATAATTGTTAAGCGGCGAAAGAAGGACCGAGGCAGAAAAATACACATTTCACCTCATTGTTCATGCCCCTTAAAAAGGAAGAAGAAAAGTTCTCTTTACTGGAGCGATTGGCTTGTTCACAGAGTGTGACGCAAACACTGGCCAATAAAAAGCGAATGTAGTGAGGCGGGTGGCCCGGTTCTTTTGACAGCTTATTCGTTTCTTTAAGTGATGGACAGGAAACATGACCAGTAAAAAGAAAAAAGAAAAAAAGCAACTTGTGAGCTGCGGGGCGGGGACCGAGCTCCTCAGGTCTCCATTGGTTGTGAGGAGAGCAGAGGCGGGCGCCGAATGACAGGGAAGGCTACCAGTTAGAACGCCGACCGGAAATGGGCGGAGCGGGCCAACGCTGCCCCTACCACTGCCCGCGGGCGACGGTTTTGCTTTTCTTATTGGTCCTGACCGATGAGTGACAACCCCTCCGAGCAATAGCCGGCAGTGGCCGGCAGAAATAGGGCGGGGCGGGGCGTCGCCTCGCCGAGGCCGGATGAGGAGAATCCGAGGGGGGAAGTTTTGGTGGTTGTTGCCTGGGGTTGTGAGAGGAAGCGGGGAGGTGCGCGCGCCGGGGGGAGGAGGAGGGGATCTGTCCCCCTCCCACCTTAGGCCGTTGCTATGGGCAACCGAGGAATGGAGGAGCTCATCCCGCTGGTGAACAAGCTGCAGGACGCCTTCAGCTCTATCGGGCAGAGCTGCCACCTCGACCTGCCGCAGATCGCCGTGGTGGGCGGCCAGAGCGCGGGCAAGAGCTCCGTCCTCGAGAACTTCGTCGGCCGGTCAGTCAGTCAGTCAGTGAATCGTGCGTGTGGGGGGAGGGGGGCTTTGCGGGGAGGAAGAGAGGGAAACGCAAACTGCGCAAGGGAGGCTCCCTCAGGCAGACCAGCGGCGCGCGGCGGAGTTTGCGGAAATGAGTTCCGAGAATGCCGGGCTCGCGCTCTCCTCAGCTCGCTTCTGCCATAGAGGCGGCCTCGGCCCGGGAACAGCCGCCCGCCCGCCCGCCAAAAACTAGCCCCTCTCCGCTGGTGAGGCGAAGAGGGAAAGGGCCTCTTCCCCGCTCTGAGACCCCTCTCTGCCCCATGGAGCCGAAAGGGGTCGCGCGTGGGGTCGGCCCTCGTGAAGGTGGCTTTGCGCCTGGCGCCATGGCCGGCGTGTGGGCCACCTGCCTTCTCGCCTCCCGCTCTGCTGGGCGAGTGTGGGGAGGGGTCGGACCCGCGAGGCCTCGCGCTGCCCTCCGCCCCACACACCTTTCCGGGTTGTGCCGGGTAAACTCTGTCGCCTGTGCTCCGGTGACCTCTATTGGGGAGCTTGGCTGCTCTTAATGGGGTTACACTCCCTCTGAAGGAGCAGGTACACAGCTCGGGGGTAATTCTAGGTCCTTTGCTGTCGCTTGAGACTCAGGTGGTCTCAGTGCCTTCCATCAGCTTCGGCTGGAGGCCCAGCAGTGCCCCTGGATTTGGACAGGGATAGCCTAACTTCTATCGTCTATTCTGTGGTAACCTCCAGGTTAGATTACTGCAATGCGTCCCACGTAGGGCTGCCAATGAAGACTGTCTGGAAACTAGCTGGTGCATAATTCGGCGGCCAGGTTGCTCATCGGGGCAAGACTGTTTGAGCGTATTACATCGATCCTGGCCCAACTGCACCGGCTGCCAATTAGTTTCCCAATTCAAAGTGCTGGTTTTGACCTATGAAGCCTGAAACGATTCAGGAATGCAATACCTCAAGGACCACCTCTCCCCCACATGAACCTACCTGTACCCTGCAATCATGAGGCCGTTCTTTGTGTGCCTTCCAACATGAGAATGGGTCTTTTTTGCAGTGGTTCCCCATTTATGGAATGATCTCTCCAAGGAAGCTTGCCTGGCACCATTGTTACATATTTTAGGTGCCGGGCAAAAACTTTCTTCTTCTACCAAGCCTCTTGCTATTTAAACAATCTATGGCCTTTTAAACTGTGGGTGGGAGGTATTGCTTTTGTTTGTTACTATGTTATATATATATATATGTGTGTGTGTGTGTGTAAATATATACACACACACTGCCGTCTGATCTTTGAATGAAGGGTGGTATATAAATTTAATAAATAAAATAATAAAATAAACTGCAGGGTAGTACTTGAAATGGGTGGAACAATTGGTGATTCTGCTCTTGTTGCCATTGTAATTATTATTGTTTACCTGCCTTTCATAGGATCAGAGGGCTGGTTACATAAATACAAGATAAATAAGTTTTAAAAACAATAGCAACAAATTTACAACTTAGCATCTTTCCTAGGAGATCTTTGCCTGGTTTGTAACATCCATGAGCCCCTCTTGCATGAAAACCCATCAGATTCCAGGTTTCTTTGGGGTATTGCTAAATGTAAAAAATTTCAAGCTGCTAGACAGCTTATGACTTGCAAGGGTGGGGGAGGTTACACCTGTCTTTCTGCTTTCTGTGTAATGGTCTCACAGATAAGGATGTAACACAGTATTATGTCGGCCTTCCACCTGCGCACTTTTGTGCCATAAAGAACAGTTAGCAATAAGTCTTGCAGACCACACTTTTGCTTTCTGCTGTTGCTTAGTTTTACACATAGCTAACAAGTTTCTCTCTTTTGCTCTTGCATAACACATTTGGAATTCAGAACATGAATTCTGTTCCTTATTTTTGTGTGCAAGATACATAAAAGTGACCCATAATTTCAGAAATAAATGCACAATATCTTATTAACCACTAGGTAAGCCATTACATAGTAGGTCTGCTATGGACTGGGGTGTAATGGATATATTTTAGCAAAGCCATATACTTTGTACCTTAGGTTGCACAGAGCCGTGCCATTTGGGTTAAATGTTCTGTCCTGAGCTCTGTCTCACAGCTGTCTTGATAGGATAGTTATTTGAAGAACAGAATTACTTTGCTCAATATACCACTTTTTCTTAAAGGCTCAGAGTAATCTGTAACATAAAATATAAAATGAAAGATGGAAAATAAAACATGTCATCAAAAACAATTATTTGACAGCTGATTCCTCCTTCCATGTCCCTGAGCGTTGATTAATCCACTGCCGATTGCACACCCTATGGATGTGGCATGGCATGGTGCTGTCAAATAGACTACTGTGCTAGACAGTCTGTTACACAAAATGATCTAAACAAAATCACCTCTAAGCAATAGACTTGTTAGTCTGTTGCAGCAAGCAACACCATTTTCAATGTACCACAAAACACAAACAGGTCTATTGTGATGTAATATTCTACTCTAGACATTTTTACCTATCCTTAAAACATGTCTCCATGGTACATGAGGATTAGCAGTGACAATGACAGTGCTTTTAGTCGAAACAAAATAAAAAAATTCCTTCCAGTAGCACCTTAGAGATGAACTAAGTTTGTTATTGGTATGAGCTTTCGTGTGCATGCACACTTTTTCAGAAATCTGAAGAAACAAACTTAGTTGGTCTCTAAGGTGCTACTGGAAGGAATTTTTTTATTTTGTTTCGACTACGGCAGACCAACACGGCTACCTACCTGTAACTAGTCTGCTTTTAACCCCTGATAAGCAGCAGAACAGCCTATGCTAAGAAAGAGTTTCTTATGCTTGTCTTTGCTACCCCACCCAACATATAATGGGTGTTTTGCTTGCATTAAATATTAGTGACTGATAGCTCTATGTACAAATTCATAGTGTATATTATTGCTCAATAGCATTTCTGTAACACATAAGATGAGATATACCTTCTCATATGATGATACCAATAGTAATGACTGTGATTTGTTTTGTCCTGCAACTAATTTTAATGTGCAGTATCTACCTGAGGACCCAGAGATAACCCGTCTCACACCTTGGAGGATTCTACCTTTGAAACTTTATGCTAAAAATTTTTCTGCCTTGGGGTTTCTTAGCTGCTTTTCATTTGCTTTGTCTTCACAATTTGCCATTTAGGAATTGCTTTAAAGTGTGATTAGGGAGCTATATCTCAGGGATTGTTTCCCCCTCACTCCCATTCATGTGTAGAGAAAAAAAAGTCCAGTAGCACCTTAGAGACCAACTAAGTATGTTCTGGGTATAAGCTTTCTGTGTGCATGCACACTTCTTCAGATACCTGCAAGCACACTTCTTAGTTGGTCTCTAAGGTGCTACTGGACTTTATTTATTTAAACTGCATCACACCAACATGGCTACCTACCTGAATATGTAGAAAATGTTACTGAAATGTGATTGTGACAGAAAGGGAGCACACATTGGTCTGAATGTGCTTGGTGAACACTGATTTGAACAGCCTTAAGTGATGGTGGGGAACTTCGCCCAGGTCCTCCAGGCTTCTCTAGCCAGATTGAACTCTCCCTCCTAGGCCATCTCTCTCCCCAATCCATGTCTCCAGTCCGCTCACTAGTGCTGTTATGCATTTTCCTTGAGTGTTTTGCTGTCTAGAATGTGTCCTCGAAGTATGATAATTACCTTATTTTTCGTCCCATAGGACGCACCTAGTTTTTTGGGGGGGAAACAAAGGAAAAATTCCCCCCTTTATTTCCCCCCCAAAACCAGGTCGAGGAAACCAAACCAGGTTGGGGAATAGCGGGATGGCGGCGCTGCGCCTCCCTGCTGTCTCCCAAGCTTGTGGGGCTGGCCGATGTCTGCCCGAAGTGCGGGGCGCTCTGCTTCAGCGCGCTCCGTGCAGCAGGCTGCTATCCGCAACCTAGGGAGCCCTGCGGGAACTCTTGCAGGGCTCCCCAGGCTGCGGATGTCTGCCCGGCGCGCGGGGCACTCTGCTTCAGGGCGTCTGCGCGCCGGGCGGCAGGCTGCTATCCACAGCCTAGGGAGCCCTGCGGGAACTCCCGCGGGCTCCCCAGGCTTGCTGATAGCTTCCTGAAGCCTGGAGAGCGAGAGGGATCGGTGCACACAGACCCCTCTCGCTCTCCAAGCTTCAGCGAAAGCCTGTATTCACCCCATAGGACGCACACAGATTTCCCCTTCATTTTTGGAGGGGAAAAAGTGCGTCCTATAGGGCGAAAAATACGGTACTCTTGTTTGCCTTGATGTAGGTGCATGTGTAGAAACCTGGCTTTAGTATGGACGGAGTGTAGCATACTGTAAAAATTACATGCATTGCCCTCCTACTTCTGCATTTTGCCCATGAGGAAATGCAGTGATCAAACTATTTTAAACATTTTTCAGTGGAATTGGTGTTCTAATATACTGTACATCAGTCACTACCAATGACTAAACAGCTATAATCCTGGGTGTATATTTTGATTCAGTAGTGAATTCCTTGCCATAATCATTGCACGTAAAACTTTTTATATTGACATGAGACCAGTATCTGGTTTTCTGGAAGATGTGGAGCAAGCATCTGAATCTACCTGAGTCTTTAGAAAACCAGCTTGGTGTGAATTTTTATCACAGAGTTCATCACATGTACTCTTCTGTGAACAGTTGTGAGGGATGCAGCCTAATGAGTGAGATTGCATTTAATAATGCTGTATTTCAACAGTGATGCTAAAAACTGCAATAACTAAACTGCAGTCAGACTCATGAAGGTGGAGTCAAAGAAGTAGAACAAAGCCTCAAATCCCCACCTGCTTTTGAAAAAGTACATCTAATCAGATATGTCTTCCCTCTCCTGCAATAAAACATTTCAGTTTACTAAAGTCATTTCAGTTTACTAAAGCTATTGTATGTACTAGCTTAGGTTATCCTTTAACCAAGCATGTTTATAACACGTGTTGAATCTATGGAAATTTCTGATGGTTGCAGGCTTGGGTTGTCTTTGATGTTTCCATGAATAGGTGTCATTGTCAGAGTGCATATTGATGCTGACAAACAGGAGAGCCTCTTCTGCTTTCAGTTGATCTGATGCAACACAGTTAGAGATCTGGGAAAATGTATTGCATAAAGTGACTATTACATAGTACGGGATACTTTGGGGGCTCTATAGTCCTTTCCCCATACATATCTGAATCCAAATTTTAAGTGTGCACTAAATTTACGTAACATTTTCTTGTTTATATTCTTGCCGCACAAGTTCTTATTCCTATTGCTCCTTGCTAGTGACCATTTTGCTGGAGGTTTTCCCAAAAGTTCAATACAGCTTGTGACATACAAATTAAAAACAATGGGAAAACACAATAAAACAATTGAATAGGGTCAACAAGAATATCTTATTCTGGGAAGCAGGTCATTACTAGTAAGTAGCGTTGTTGATATAACTGTCAACAATGGGAAATCATTCTTTTGTATTTTAAGTACCCTGCTATTCTGTGGTTGGTTATTTAAAGTAAAACGGTAGCCGGGAGGGTGGGAAGCTTGGCCGTGTGCACTAACTGGCTTTCAGCCTCCATGAAGTTTTTCCATTTTGTAGAATAATTTGTGTTGTTGGATGCTGAATGCATTGGACAACAAATACATAGCAAATGTTCTGAATTTTCAAAGAGAATGTCTTCGTAGAATCTTCATCTTAAAAGTGTCAGACCTCAGTTTTTTCCAGCAGGTTTTGTAATGGTTTTATCTGGAAGCTACTGTTGACAAGTGTTTCATCACTTCCTTTCTTTTTGTCTATCATGTAGGAAATTGTTCCTTGATAACAGACTGATGTTGTTGGTTTGCTTTTTTACTTAATTGACTGGGTAAGAAATATAAATCTTTATGTAGTTTTACCTTAGGACTTGGCTGTAGACCAGGTGGTGGAACCCTTTTCTGCCCAGGGCCGTATTCCCTGATAGTGGCAGGCCAAAGTAGACAAAACAACAAATGTGAATCGTTTTTACACTAGGCTTCTTCACACTCTCCTCCTAACATTTCACCCAGACAAGAGGCATTTTCAGAGTTCAAGGACACATTCCAGTCAATGATGGCTGTGATTTGGGGAGACTTTTGGGATCCAAACAGAGAGGCCTGGAGGGCCACATGTGGCCCTTACATCTGAGGTCCTCCACCCCTCCTGTAGATAGTAGATTTTATGGTGTGTTCTTGGTGGAAGCGGAAGCATGTGGAGTGATGTGTAGCAGTCCATAGATTTCTAATGTAAAGCAGTATCATTATATATCTACATAACAGTGTTCAGAAAGTGCCCCTGTTGCATGGGCCAGTGATGAATCATTGAACCAATGATGCTTTCAGAGGCTGTAACTAGTGGCTGGGGCATAAGATTAATGGTACCATTATGGTAATTGCCATTTTGAGACAGTGCAAATTTTCTTTAAATCAGGGGTGGCAAATCTACAACTGCTTCCATTGACTCACCAACCCTTTCCCTAATAAGACATCCCTTTCTTTCCCTCTCAACTTACCCTGCAAAAACCATGTTGTCATTTTCTGACGTGGTGGCATTGCATGAAGGTCTTTTGTCTCTACTAGCAGTGGTGCCATGCCTGAGGAAGAAGAGGTGATTTTGAAGCATAAGTTGAGAGTTTTGCTTTTTATTTGCAGTGCTGCACTTGGTCACATCCACACTGCTATGCAGCTTTTAGAGGGTTAGCTAAACTTCACTGTGACTTTGAGCTGAAAACAGTGAACCACTCATGCTGTACACAGTCAGCAGTGCTATTACTTGATAACGCTTTGGCAGATGATTACTGCTTAATACTTGGCACCTTCATTTGTAATCTTTTAAGAGCCTAGTTGCTACAGATAAAACTTGTAAATCGTGTTTGTGTTCATGCTTTGGTGACTATACCAGAGCTGTTAGTATTTCATGTTTCTTAGGTCGTGGATACACCATTGGTATGACTCTGCATAAGGCAGCTTTGTATGTTCGATTTCCTGAAAGTCTGCCTTTCTTAAGAGGATTGGTCACTTCCTCTAGGAAGTGGAACTGCATAATAAGCAATAATTGTGTGTGATAGGGTGGCAAGTGCTGCTAGGGCAGACTAGTCAGGAATTCTTAGGGCTGAGAAAAACTGTACACTGTCCTTCAGAACATTTTTGCCAGTGCCAGATGTTCCCTTTTGTCTATTTGTATGAGAAAGTTCACCTGTTTATTTACATTGCCCCTCTTGCTCTGTTCTTTCAATTAGTGTGCCAGTTCTCATAACATCAAATGTACCTACACCTGATAGGCTGCAGAGTGTTGTGATATCATATTATAAAAACTATTTCATGATTTGGCTAGGATTGCCAGGTAGCTAAACTAAGAAGGAAGAAGCAGTAACCAGGTGAGAGAGAAATAAACTTGTGGTAAAGCATCAACAGTTACAGAATAATGGTTCCACTGAGCCAAAAAAGATGAATATTTGAGTTTTTGGCAAATATTACTGAACTTCCCAGAATGACTTTACTATGGTTAGTGACTGCTTGCTGAGCCCACCAGCAGAGACCTCTACAGCACATTGGTGCTTTAACAGCACATTTGTGCACCACAAAAAGATGCCTCTGCCCATCCTTGGACAGGAACAGACAGTGGGCCAGGTCCAAGGGATTTGAGTCAGAGCTTTGGCTAACTTTTGAAGAAGCTTACCTAGGTCAATGTAAGTAGGGATAACCTAAGTTTCAATTTCAGTCAATTTGGCTCTTTTGTATTACTTTATTCCATGGGTAGGCAAACTAAGGCCTGGGGGCTGTATCCAGCCCAATAGCCTTCTAAATCCGGCCTGCGGATGGTCCGGGAATCAGCGTGTTTTTATTTGAGTAGACTGTGTCATTTTATTTAAAATGCATCTCTGGGTTGTTTGTGGGGCATAGGAATTTGTTCATTCCCCCCCCAAAATATAGTCTGGCCCCCCACAAGGTCTGAGGGACAGTGGACTGCCCCCCTGCTGAAAAAGCTTGCTGACCCCTGCATTCCCTTCTTTATCACGTTGTATGGTGGAGCTCGGCCCTGTTGTACCTAGTATGCTTGATGTCAGGATAGTGATATGAGAAATGCTGGGCAGGTATTTAACCTGTGTGCCACCATCTAGCTCTGGCTGAAGAAAAGAATAGCTAGGAGAGCAGGTCTTGCTGGCTACAGGCTGTCTTTGCCACTGTTTCCTGGAGCCAGGTCTGACACCTAGGCCCAAGTTCTGCTTGCATCACAACACCCAGTGCCTCGGAATCAGCTGTAATCTTTCAACCAAACTGCAGATAGTGGTATTAACTTACACATGGTCACACAGAAGGTTACTGCTTCCCTGGTCTGTCTTCTTGTCTAGGAAGGGTACAAATCCCCACCAAGGATCCCTGAAATAGTGAATTCCCAAGAATTCCCAAGAGTCACAAATCATGCCTGCATTGGACTTGATGACCCCTGGGATCCCTTCCAATTTTATGATTTGGTGTGTGTGTGTGATACATCTAGAATCTCTCAGACATTTGTACCCAGGTTTTGGTAGTGACTAAAGATACTTTGCTGGGTTGAGGCTGGGATGCCAACTACGTTGGTTCTTGGAGGTATCAGATCATGGCACGTACACCGTGGGTTCATCTCTTTTGGATCACTGCAGTACAGATTATGTGGGGCTTGCCTTTGTATTTGGAAACTGCAGCTGCAGAAAGGCTTATGGCTAGGGCCAGTTATGGAGAGCATGTGAATGAATCCTTGGCAACAACAGCTAGATTAGCTGGTGGTCCTAATTATTTTGAAATGTGCCGCTGCAAATATTGAGTTGCTTTGTATGTGCTTGCCTCATGGAGCCATTTCAGTAGTGGAACTTTGGGTGAGGAAATGACCTTTTGACAAGTTTGCTCAACTGAAGTTTTCTAGGGATAAGTGGAACCTGCAACAAATTGCAAACACTTTTAGGAGGCCAGCCAACTATGCCCTCTTCCATTGCACCTCTTCTGTTTTTCATTTCTCTCCCCGCAGTACGCCCCCATCACCAGTCAGTAAGCATTCTGTGCCCACTGAGTATATTACATCCTTGTTGGGCCTACTTTTGTTTTTCTCCCCCATCATTACCGTATTTTTCGCCCTATAGGACGCACTTTTTCACCTCCAAAAATGAAGGGGAAATGTGTGTGCGTCCTATGGGGTGAATGCAGGCTTTTGCTGAAGCCTGGACAGCGAGAGGCATCGGTGCGCATCGACCCCTCTCGCTCTCCACGCTTCAGGAAGCTATCCGCAAGCCTTGCGAGCCCGGTGGGAGTTCCTGCGGGCTCGCAAGGCTTGCGGGCGGCAGCCTGCAGCCCGAAGCACGGGGCGTCCTCCGGAGGACGCCCCGTGCTTCGGGCTGATGTCCGCAAGCCTTGCGCGCCCGGTGGGAGGTCCCGCTGGGCGCGCAAGGCTTGGGGCGGCAGCCTTTTCTATGGGCTGGGGTCGGGGCAAGCTCGGGCCTCCCCCGCCCCAGCCCCACGACTGGGGGGGGGGAATAATTTTTTTTATTCATTCCCCCCCCCCAAAAAGGAGGTGCGTCCTATGGGCCAGTGCGCCTTATAGGGCGAAAAATACAGTACTTTTGTTTTTCTCCCCCAAGTTTCTTTTATGCTTTTGAGTATCTTGGGGTTTCTTAAGCCAGTTAAGTGTATTGAAACCTTCCTTATCTGCATGGATGGTGACATTTTTGGCTATGTAGGGTGCCAAGCTCAGAGAATGAGTTTGTTATAGGATAACACTCCTGTTTGGTGCTCTGAGTGAGATATGAGTGCCTGGACTGAAGCAATGGTAGAAACGCCCTTGGCTTGTCAACGCTGCCATTTGTGTTTAGTGTAGGGACAGCCTGGCTTCAGTGCTACATACAGCTTTGTTTATTTCTTATTTGCAGCGTGCTTCCTTCTATCTCCATGAAATAGCCACTTGTTAAAGCCACTGCATAATGTGCTTTGAAGCTTTGTTTAATACATATGTATTTCAGCATTCTCCTTCATGACCAAACCAAATTTCCCTTTGACCTCCATTGAAGTTGTCTGTCAGTAATGTTGTAAGGCTCAATTGTTTTGGCATTATGCAACAGAGGACTCTGGGCCTCTTCCTCTGACTCACTGTGGTTGTACTTCCTGTCTTGTAATGTATGTCCTTTGGTGTCCGCTTGCTAAAAGCTTGTCTCTTTTTATCAAATGGTTTCCAGTAGGACTTCAAGTTTTAATTAGCAGATCAATCAATTAAAGTTGATAGGGGAAGGAAGAACAGGTGTTTGTGAGTATGAATGGAGTATGTATTTGTTTAAGTGTGTAGGGTGAAAGGGAGATGCTTGTCCTGGCCCCACCTTCCACAGCGCCTAGTCCAACCCCCTTCAATGAAGGAATCTTTTGGGGGGGCTCAAACCCACAACCCTGAGACTAAGAGAGTCGTGCTGAGCCTGCTCTTGTTTTAAATGGATGTAGTTTTTACCAGAAGGACTGTGAACTGTTGTGGAAATCATGTTTTTTGGACAGCAACAACTACTTAGGGTTTTTTTCAGAGGAGCTTGGTACAAGGGATGTATGTGTCCTAGGCTGTCAGAGATGGCTTTAAAAAGAACAGCTTCTGCTGTTGTGGCAGATGCTCTGTTGGATGCTTTTCAGTATGGCACCTGGTCCATGGCCTCCACTGTGGTTGCCCAGAGAAACATCTCATTGAGACAGTGGCTCATTGATTCTAATTTGGAAGCACACTTGGCCAGTCTCCTTTTCTCAGTGGCAATGATAATGATGATGATGATAGTAGTAGTAATATAATTTTATTATTTATATGAAACTCATCTGACTAGGTTGCCCTAATCACTCTGTGGCTCCCAACAAAATATTAAAAAAACAAGAAAACATCAAACATTAAAAACTTCCCCTACGCTTTTTGGGAGTCTTCAGGTTCACTTGGTGGAAATAAGAAATAAAACCAAGGTACTGCCTTCTGCTAAAATAGATGAATGCAAGGGATGACAGTCTTCCTTTTTTCATCCCCCATGCAGCTTTCCCAATCTACCTAAATGACAGCCTTGGTTGAGAGTTTCCAAGTGACTGGAGAAGACCACTGTTGTGACTGAAGCAACTAAGATGTTTTTCCTTGTCCATAACGTTGAAATAATTGATTTCTGTGCAGACTGCAGTTAAGTATGTAGTCGTTCTCATAGAGAAGACTTGTATAAAGCTACTCTAAAGTTTTATATCTTGATAATGGGGTGGCTCGTTGGAGTTCTTCAGACTGCAGATCTGTGAGCTCTGGCTTCCGTCATGGTGTCCTGTTGTGCCAGAAGCAGTTTAGTCATGCTGGCCACATGACCTGGAAAGCTATCTGTGGACAAATGCTGGCTCCCTCAGCCTGAAAGTGGAGATGAGTGCCGCACCCCATAGTTGAATTCGACTGGATTTAACCGTCATGGGGTCCTTTACCTTATTAAGCTAACAACTTTGAAGGTTAAATGGGATGAGGATAACATAAACAAATTTAAAGTAATATATTAAAGTATCAACAAAATATTATTTGTTTATTATTATTAATAATAGCCAGAATACAAGCGGCATAATCTGTCTACACAGATATGTATTTGGTTGCCTCTTGAAACCCAACACAACTGATGCATTCCTATAGGGAACCAGATTTGCTAACCCACATCAGATCACAGAGAAACATATTTGTACCTACAAGCCACCTTCTTTTACAACTAGCTGTCAGCCATCTCTGCTTTTATGTTTCTCGGTCTCTGTTGCAAAATTTCCATTTCTTACCTACAGGCACCATCAGCCTCCTCCCCTTAAGTAGCAGAGGTGTACCATCTTTTCCATCTTTGATGGGTTTCTCCTTCCAGACATCCCAGAGAGATCTCTGTATATTTCCCAACCATTTTTCACCATTAAATAAAATATTGCCAGACATTCCTGGCCATCAATAAGCATTTTTTCTTTTAACCTGAATGAAACCAAGAATTATCAGAACATTCCACAAAAACCTAAATTAAGTTTGGATTACTTGGGATTTCCTGACAAAGGAATATTGCTCAGTCAGTGTAATAGTACTGTGGTTTGCACCTTGTGGCAAGCCAGGCTATGGTTTATCATGAACAAACGCAAATGCTAATATTGTGCCCACCCTGTTCCTTCCCCCGCCCCAAGTGGGGAGAAAAGAAACTGGAGTGCCAGCTTAACATTATAAACCAGCGCTTGTGGTTTGTTTGTTTTTCCAAGAAGATGACTTACCACAGCCATCACCAACTTGGTTATGTTGGATTTCCAGAAGAAGAAGAAAAGAATTGGAAACTTTTCTGTAGCTGCAAATTAATTGAGATCTGATTTACCAAGTTTATTGAATTACTGTTTACTTGTAAATTTTTAAAGATTTATTTTGATTAGTGTAAAATTTATACACTGCTTGATTGAAAAAACAGCAACCTCAAAGCAGCTTACAAACGATAAAATAGTAAAACTGAGAAAAATTCACAGCCATACTTAAACATACAAAAGTTAAAATACTAAAATAAGACAGTAAAGAAAGCTCAAATATATTAAGGGGGAAGTGAGTAAGGTGTACTTAGTGTGATTTAAATGTTATATTCAAGCATATAGCTTTACTTAGAATTTTTTATTGGATTCCTTGAAAATATTTGGAGAAATGACAACTCTGTAGCATCTTACTTCCTTTACCTTTAGATTTAAATAAAATTTTAGGATGCCTGAATTGCTATGTGCATTAAAAAATCAGCTTCCTGGGGATAGCCATCTGAGAAATTAAGTACAGCCTTGATTTAAACTGTTATTATTGTATCCATTCTAGTTCACCAGTTCTGATGGTGGCTATGCTTTCATGTCTCAGTAAACCGTAATTACCATGAATATGTAAATGGAGCAAAAAAACACAACCCATGACTAGTGCTGCATCTGGGGATCGCAGTTTGTTTTGCTACAAACAAACCATGATTGTTCTTGGGTTTCCAATTGTGTTTTGTTTGAAATGAAACAAACCATGATCCTTAATTCAGAAGTAATGCTAAGCCAAGGCTCATGGTTTGTTGCACCCGCTCATGCTAGGGGAGGATCTAAGTGGGAGTGATTTGTGCATTTATTTTGCACTTACTTTGATGTGCAGACTGAGCAAATTTATATCCATTTATATCCATTCATTGCTGCCAAGTGATTTTAGAAAATGATGCATTTTAAAAAGTGCCTTCACTATCTAGGATCCTGTAAAGGGACCCCTGACCATTAGGTCCAGTCGTGGCCGACTCTGGGGTTGCGGTGCTCATCTCACTTTATTGGCCGAGGGAGCTGGCGTACAGCTTCCGGGTCATGTGGCCAGCATGACTAAGCCGCTTCTGGCAAACCAGAGTAGCACATGGAAATGCCGTTTACCTTCCCGCCGGAGCGGTACCTATTTATCTACTTGCACTTTGATGTGCTTTTGAACTGCTAGGTTGGCGGGAGCAGGGACCGAGCAATGGGAGCTCACCCTGTTGTGGGGATTCAAACCGCCAACCTTCTGATCGGCAAGTCCTAGGCTCTGTGGTTTAACCCACAGTGCCACCCGCACTAGGATCCCATGCTCATGGTCAAATGAAGATCATACATCATAGAACCTTTTCAGTCTTGGTTCCTGTTTCCTATGAATACGGTAGTCTCATCAGCATGACTAGAATGCAACAGGAACATGTCTTTCTAGGTAACAAAGTCTCACACAATGGATCTGCATAGGACACTATACACTCAGTGGGAGAGGACTGGGAGTGACTCTCAAGGCAAGTTGCCAAGTGCTTTGTTCTTGTTTTTGTAATTGGAGATTGTATTCTCTTGGGGAAATTTCTCCAAACACTTTGGGGTTTAGAGCAAAATATGCTTTCATGGGGCCTTACCAGGTTCTGTGTTCTGAATTCATGGGTGTAACAACAACAAGGAAACTGCACCGGTCCATTCAGCATTCATTTATTTGTACAGGGCTATTATAGCCTATGTTTTTTGCAGTCTTAAGTGCAAGGTGGCTAATAGATGCAACATAATTTGAAAACACTGCTTTATTAGGAAACGAAAGACCAGCAGGGAATAATGACTAAAATCAAATGTTTTTTTATTTCTTTATCCTGAATTTTTAAAAACCTCTTCTGATTTGAGTCTGTGTGGATTTTGGGAGGCTTCAACAAACTGAGCTGTAGTTACCCAAAAAGCAAGTGGTTTTAAGACTGGGAAATGCTTTTCAAAGCATTATGAAAGTAGTGTTCTGCTAGCTAGGAAGACAAACATTTCCAGAGCTTTGGGGCATGTACTTTTTGATAAACACATGGATTCTTAGTCTCTCCTCCCACTCCAAGAGTATCAAATCTATTTTATTAACATATTAAGAGCTTAATTTCAGTGTAGGGAAAAAAGATGGATTTATGATAATGTTTTAATAGTATCACAGGTGTTTGGGAAGTATTTCTCCGACTCCTGTATATAGGGACACCAGTTGGCTGAGGTGGCAGGAGAAAATTGAGTTTGCATACCACAAAAGGAAGGCAGGAAATAGAAAGCCTAATGTTTGTACGCTGGTGCGTTTTTTGTATGCTTACAAACGATTGAAGACTTGTCCAAAATTCTGTACCAGCATCCATTTAGAAGTCTATATATATATAATTTGGTAAAGTTGCTAGGAATTCTCAGTTGCTACCAGAGACTTCTGAAAGTCTTTCCATGTCTATCAGATATCTCAAGGTCTCGCTTATACCTTCCAGATCCACTTGCTTCATCCAAGAAAGCTCTTTATGCTTCTGAGCCTCCATGTACTAGGTATATAGTTAAGGAAGCAGCAGCAATTGCACCAACTCTTAATATTTGCTAATGTTCTTGAGATACTTGTGGACTCCACTTCTGATCAACCCCAGTCAGCATGATTGATAATCAAGGATTATGGGACTTGTAGTTCACCAACATATGGAGGACACCACATTGACTACTTCATAAAACTGTCGTTGTCTTCCTTTGTATGCTATTACTAAATGTACCAGCGTTCTCATTAAGGTGACCATTAGATCCTATGGACTTAATTTTGGAACAGTGCGCTGTTCCAGAATAGGATTTTAAAAGTATTGTTTGTCAGTCCTCATAATTGCAGTATCTTTTTTATGCCACTGAAGTAACATTATCTTGTAAAAATACTCTGCAGAGATTTCCTGCCTCGTGGATCTGGAATTGTTACCAGGCGTCCCCTCATTCTTCAGCTTATCTTTTCTAAAACAGGTATGTGGTTTTTCCATTGTATTTGAAGAGTGACCCAAGTCCTTGTGTGAATGCTGATATGTCTGTGTGCAGTTTCTTCTTTGACTGTGACTACTCTAGAATGCAGAAATCTTTATTTGCTCTGGTTAACTAGCATTGTGTATGTCCTCATGGGACTATATTTCAATGTTCTTAACATGTTTCCAAGCCAGTGTCTTTATTAAGTAATTTACTATGCTTTGGTAAAAACCATGGACATGCTTTTTCTGAATACGTTGACTTGACTTGTAAAACAAATATGGATAATGAATCAATCAGTTTTGTAAAGTATTAGAATTGCATTCTTAAATCTGAGTGAGGAGAGACTGTGTACAAGCTGAACCAGTGCCCGGCTGCACTTGTGGGCCAATAAGCTGAAATTGACTCCTCCTAAGACAGAAATTGTGAGTGAAGTCCAAGAATTAGGAACTTTGCCTATTCTAGATGGGATTGCACTTCCTCTGAATGAATATTGGGGGGCAATGGGGTGACGAAGAAACCTGGGGATGTCATGCAGCAGTCAAGACTAAGCTGCTGCCTGGGCCACTTTGTTCTAAGGGATTGACCTAAGACAAACAGCAACAACAGTTTGTTGGTCACTGTGTCCAACAAACAGTGCATAGCACGACTAGGATAGCATCTCCCCTCACACTGCCCAGGGTTGGCTGCTCGGTTCATCATTCTCAGGAACTGCACTCAACCCCTTGGCACCACCTACCTGAGCCAGTGTGCTAAGCAAAAACCAACTTGCAGCACAGCTGTAGCAGCCTCCCCTTTCTGCCCTTTCTTGTGCACTGTGCACTGACTGCCTAGTTTGGTGAAGGTGCACAGGAGCAACTCTGGCGGTCTATTGGAGGTTTTCTGTCGGGTTTTTAAAGAGCTTTCTTATGGTTATGGCTGGCAGACACATTGGATAGCAGAACATCATGTGTCATGGGGTGGTGATAGGCTCTCCTGAGAGTATGATCCTTCAGCAGCTGACCAACCATCTGGGAGTTGCCAACCATTTGGGGCTTTTGGGCACACATTTGCAAACTGGGCAAATTGTTGTGGGCATCTTGCACATCCCACAAGCAAGCACACTCCACAGCCTATTGTACTGGCTTTGGTAGAATGCTTCTTTCAAGCCCAATTTCAGCAGGGAAAGGATATGGGGAAGGGACCATGTGGGCACCATGGAAGACCTCTCTGGGCACATCCCTTGGGACCAAAGCAGCAGCACATTGGTAACATAACACAGTAACTGGGTAATGAATATTTGCATAATTTAGGAAATATATTGTGTCTCCCCCTCCCCTCATATTTTCATCTCACAAAATGAAACTGCTGAGCATGCGGTGCAGCCCTACTAAATCAGGAATGCAATATAAAGCATTTGGTATAGTTAAAAGTGGTTTTCGGTGACAGCTCCTGAGTGAGCCCTCAAAAGCTTTTCCAGAGGTGTGAATTCCATTCCGACAAAGTGTTTTCTCTCTTTCAGAATATGCAGAATTTTTGCACTGCAAATCTAAGAAGTTTACAGATTTTGATGAAGTCCGACAGGAGATTGAAGCGGAGACAGACAGGGTTACAGGAACAAATAAAGGCATCTCTCCTGTTCCCATTAACCTGAGGGTGTATTCACCACATGGTAGGTATGGTTTTGTGCTCTGGATGAACCTTTTAAAAGCACACATTACTGAACTGAATACATATATTTGAGGGCTACTGGACAACTCAAGTACCCTGGACTGGAAATATTCAGTAAAATGGAAAGCTATATCTTTATTTGGTACTTAGGGAGTAAGAGTCTGTATATAGATGAAGCTGTAGGAGGATGTGGAGGCATTAGATGCATTATCATGGTTAAAAAAGGCTTTAGGGTCTTATTGTCGTGAGAATAACTAGCTAGATCTCCCTAATGGCTTCCCTCCATCCTTGTATGAAAAGACTTTGGCAAAGTTCCTTGAGGTCACAAAGCAAAACTTGATGACCTTCTCAAAAGGAAGTTCTTAACATTGTGCTCATTTTTCTTTTCAGTGTTGAATCTGACTTTGATTGACCTTCCGGGTATCACTAAGGTGCCAGTCGGTGACCAACCCCAGGACATTGAGTATCAGATAAAAGATATGATTTTGCAATTCATCAGCAGAGAGAGTAGCCTGATTCTTGCTGTGACTCCAGCCAACATGGATTTGGCCAACTCAGATGCTCTCAAAATGGCCAAAGAAGTTGACCCACAAGGTAAAAAAAATTCTGATTTTTTCTTTCTTTCACCTGTTGCACTGATAAATTCCACACAGTTCCATGGCAGAATACTGTAGGGTCTCCAAAATCTCACTCTGAGCTTCTCAGCTAAAATAATTGGGAAGTCCCAAATCATTCTAGGTAGAATAGTCCTGTGCCAATGTGCTTTTTCTATGGTCCTTTGCCAGATACCTTTCTCTGCCAAAATTCTGGTCTTTAAAAGGAATTTTCTAGAGGATCCTGGGAACAGAATGACAGTAGCAGAAACCATAAGGTTAGGACAACTGAAACTTAAAATTGCAGGGCAGAACAAGATGGAATAATTCATACCCTTGGTGGCAATAATTAGTTCTGTGCATTCTGAAGTAAAATAAAGAAATCAAGAGCTGTACAAAAGCCCTAATCACACTGCTGTGCAAAGTTGCTGTGTTAAGCATTTATTATAATATGTATTATAGTTCCTGAGAACTTGTTTAATCTCTCACCTGAATATTTGTATCATCTGTTGATCAGCCGTTCTGTTTTTCCCCCCTCAGGCTTACGGACAATTGGGGTAATAACCAAACTAGATCTGATGGATGAAGGCACTGATGCAAGAGATGTTCTGGAGAACAAACTTTTACCTCTACGGAGAGGTAGAAAGCTATTAAAGCTTATAACTGATGAATATTTGTGTGAATGAACTCAAGTACTGTAGCATTGGTCAGATTCATAGACTTGAATAAAATGAGTGTTTGCTAATCAGGCTTGAGGGAAGGAAGTACCTGGGCTCCAAACCATCATGCTATGTGCATTTGATGTGCAGTCTGGGTACGAAGGAGCAAATGAAAGTAGCTAGTTTTGAAGTCTGCTTGCTGTTTATCTTGTCCCTTTGTCATCCAGAGCATTCCTAAAGCACCCAGATGTACAGGGCTTCTGGCAATCAGCTTTCTTTTCTTCCTAGCATCTTTGGGTGCAAAATGTCAGCAGGGTGCATATGGGACATGATCTGCAACCAAGCTTCATGACAAAGCCCAATATATTTGACATGAAGTTATCAGATTCTTTCTTCCACCCACTCTTTTGGTAGGAAGCAGTCAGTGGTTGGAGCCATATATTTTCGTATACCTGTTGGAAACTTCCAATTTGCACAGTAGAAGGGACCTTAGTGATGATCCTAGCTGAGTGTTGTGCATTTAGAGCCAATTTGTTATCCTGATTAATTACTCTGGCTCTGGTGTAGCTTTTAACTTGATTAGCTTTGTTCAGATCTGATCGCTGTATAGGTCTGTATAGTGTACAGTAGGAGATGACTCATCTCACCAGCAGGAGCTCAGAGTCTGGCAAGAGTGGGTTCTTGATTACCCCTTCAATGAATATGTTTGCTATACTGCTCAATATCACAGTTCTGCATTTGAAATAAACAGTGCAAAATAGGCACATTTTCATTTTTTTTATTTGGGCTGTACCACTTGGATTTTGTGTGCATTTCTGAGTCACAGTACTTTCATGTACTAAGGAAGACAACTTGTGACATCAGGGTGTGAGGCCAAGTTCCATGGGAAAGAACCATGCCGAGTGTAAAAATTCCAGCCCATTTCATCTCTGCATGGCTTCTTGTCTTTTCAATTAAAATAGGAGCAATAGGCCCTTCTTAATTTTAAGTGTGGATTGTTGTAGAAGCTAGGATTCCGCACTTCTTTTGTACCGTTGCAACTATGTGGCTTTCTGCAGGGGTTGCCCTGTTGTGTCCTAGCTGCTTTCTCTGCATTTGTACTGGGGTCCTGTGCAAAACTATAAGGCAAAAACTAATATATGGAGCTGTCCACTCATAGGCTACATTGGAGTTGTGAACCGGAGCCAGAAGGATATTGATGGTAAGAAGGACATCAGAGCAGCATTGGCAGCTGAGCGCAAGTTCTTCCTTTCCCATCCTGCTTACAGACACATGGCAGACCGCATGGGAACCCCCCACTTGCAGAAGCTGCTCAACCAGGTAGGCTGTTCCTGTGGCATCCTGGCTCTTTTGCCTGGCTCTTTAAAGTTGGCTGAACATCACTGTTTCCGCTTAAACCTTGCGGAGATGTTACAGTATGGAGGAAGGTGGCTGGTAGCTCTCACCCCAAATGTGATTCTCCCTCCTCACTTTTTCTTACTGAAAAAAATAATAATCTGCTATTCTTCATTTTATAGCTGGTTTAAACATTTGAAAGAAACATGGGAGAGCAGAAATAAGGGCCTTTGGTTTTTAGCTTATTTCTTTTTCAGGTATCAGCTTGTTGCTGACATGAAATAAGTATGTAGTCCTGCTAATCTCCCATCATACACAGTTTTCTCCGTGGAATTATTCCAAATGAATATGGATTAAACTTGTTGAAGTAGGAAAAGACCTGTAGATGGTTTCCATAAGCCAGTGCCTGTTTTGGAAGTGTTGAAAGGGCTATACTGGGAGCAGTCAAGTTTTCTTTTAACTTTGTTCATCCCCAGCAAGGGCAACAAGGAACGGATTTTGGTGCTAGAAAGAAGGATAAGGTGTTCACCTAGGAGGTGGGCTTGCAGCTTTGTTAGGCTGAGATGGGGATTTAGGCATTCTTGGGCCATATACCAAAGAATCACAGCCTACTCCAGTTTAGAATCCCATCACACCACAAAGGGGCAGCTGATGGATAGGCATTTTGGTAAATACTGGAGGCGGTTCTGGAAAATTGTATTAAATTGAATTAATTTGGCAATGATTTGGAAAATCAATAAAAATAATTGGCAAAAAACAACAATAGTTCCATCACACCACAACTCATCCACTGATCAAGAGCTAAAGAGACAGCCCTCAACCTAGCTGGATTGAAAGGGAAAGCTGCTTTTATTCAGCACTAAGCAACACTACTTATAATGTTGATATAAAATGATTGCTCTCTTTTTTCCATAGCAATTGACAAACCATATCCGGGAGACTCTGCCATCACTGCGTAGCAAACTCCAGAGCCAGCTTTTGTCCCTTGAAAAAGAAGTGGAGGAATACAAGAACTTCCGCCCTGATGACCCTACGCGGAAAACGAAAGCCTTGCTCCAGTAGGTCAAATCTACATTGAGCTGTGCCTCTCACTTGGGGAGCTTCCTTCCTTTGTTGTGTTGTGCTTTCAGAGGCTAGCTTTCATCTTGAGAAACATGAAAACGTAAGGTGGTATCCAACTAAGTTTTACTCAGAGCAGACCTGTTGAAATTAATTGACCTAACTAGTCATGCTCATTAATTTCAGCGAGTTTACCCTGGTTAAAACTTAGCTGAATATCTGTGTTGTGGCAAACATCCAGTGTGCTTCCTCTGCTCATTTTTTACTTGTGCGGCATCAATTATGTGTAAGTTGCAGATCACAATGTTGCATAAAGAAAAAAAGTATGCATACTAGAGAGCATCCTTTTGGATGTATAGGATGCACAAATTACATGTGACTTTTGCATTCTTTTACATTCCACATTTGGTCGTAAAGTGCATGTGGTTCAGTATTTTTGTGTAGCATGGTTGTGGAGCAGCAAATCTTTTTTGAAACATTGTCCATAGTTTGAACTTGATCATCTTGACAAGACTGGTGGCCAAAGTTTGAGTATTTTAACATCTTACATTTTTATAATGGATTATATTATGATCAAATCTATTGTTTTTCAGCCTAATTGCATGTTTTGATTTTTCTAAGCAGTTTTCAGATGGCAGCATAAAAAGTTTTATTGTTGTGATAGTGATAGCGTAGTGTGTGCCGAAGTAGTGTACCAAATAAAGTCATCTCCTACTACAGTCATACCTTGGGTTAAAGTTGCTTCAGGTTGAGTGTTTTCGGGTTGCGCTTCGCGGTGACCTGGAAGTAATGGAACGCGTTATTTCCAGGTTTCGCTGCTCGCGCATGCGCAGACGCTCAAAATGATGTCATGCGCAGAAGCGGCGAATCGCGACCTGCACACACGCAGACATGGGTTGCGTTCTCTTCAGGATGCGAATGTGGCTCCAGAATGGATCCCGTTCGCATCCAGAGGTACCACCGTATGTGTTTTTTGAAAGCTTCCTGGCAAAGAATTAGATTTCATACGTACATGCCAAAAGAAGTTGATCTAGTAAAAAGTGTTACCTTTCACTCTACATTCCTGATTGACTGATAATGGCTTCTGCTCACTCAACAGACTGTGGCATTATATAAACTTATATAAAAATTTGGTTTTAATTTATATCTGCATAGGATGGTCCAGCAGTTTGCTGTGGACTTTGAGAAGCGGATTGAAGGCTCTGGGGACCAAGTAGACACATTAGAACTATCAGGCGGAGCCCGAATAAACCGCATCTTCCACGAAAGGTTCCCTTTTGAACTTGTCAAGGTAAAAGACATGGGATTTTATGTCCTGGGGCGATTTGCGAGCTGCTGTTGGAGGACATTCCTGATAGGGACAATGCCCCCTACTGGAAGGATCAGTCAGGTTCCTCTTAAGCCTTCTGCCACCTCTCCTGGGGGAAGAGTCATCCCTCTCTTGAGACTGACTGATTGCTGTTGGTGACAGTTGGACCTTTCTTTTCTCTGAAAAAAATATTCTCGTCTATAGCATTTTAAGTGTTTACTTTGTGCCAGTTTGTGAGTTCTGTGATTAAGTATGGTGTTTATGCAGGCTATAGCTGTGCATATGAGAGTACTGCTGTATTTTCAACCCATTGTTGGCAATCAGTAAGACACATTTACTGCCCTTAGCAATGTTCTGCTATGATGTGTTGATTTTTGTTATTATATTATGTTGCTTTGTATATTTGTGGGCTGGTGAGGGTTGCAGTCCACAACACCTGGAGGGTAGCAGCCTGAAGGCTGCTGTAGTGTGTTACATCTCTATTACCAGCTCTGATGTCAGCACATTTCTGCTGAAAAACTGATCTTTTAGTTGGCATCTTAGTCGGCACCCAAAACTTTCAAAGCAATACAATGTGAACAACAAAATAAAACAGCACAAAATACAGTTCAAGTTTCACAGTGAAAACTGGCATTACAGACAGGAGGGGGTTTCAATAACTGTTGCTTATCTGCTCTGGTGCTGGCGGTCACTACTGTTGTGTGTTAAATGGCCTTGTCTTGCCTGTAGGTTTGAAGTCTGGAGAACAGTTGACTACTCCCTGTAGTAGGGAAAATGTAGCAACAGACAATAGCAGGAATAGCAATCTTAAGGTTAAAAAACAGTTAAGTTCCTGGGAAAGTTAAGTACCCTGCCCACCCACCCCATCAGTTGACAGAGTGTTCTGTTTACCAGTGAGTAGTCAATTGCCAGTTCACACAGATGTCAGTTTTGTCCCAGGGTGAAATTCAGGGGCTCTACTTGCACTAGACCAAGACAGAGCTTGCCCTTGTGGTTGAATCACAGGGGATGCATGATCCAGAATGCACTCCTTCTACTGAGGAGAATGGTCATTGGCAAGTACGCTGTTCTTGGCTACTACATAATTTGTATCCTGGATCGTTGCATAAGTTCTCTCTAAGGTGTTTGGTAATTATGGCTTCTCTAAGGTGCAAGCGTCTAAAGAAGAAAGGAGGGCCCCTCTTTGTGATCAACCAGCAATTTTGTTTCACCCGTTTCTACCAGCTTTAGCATTGGGGGCTTTTTGTCTTCTAGATGGAGTTTGATGAGAAGGATTTGAGACGAGAAATCAGCTATGCAATCAAAAACATCCATGGTGTAAGGCAAGTATAGGAACAGCAGCTGATTCAATGCAGCACAGTGTTATCTTGTTCTCCACTGATAAACTGTATGTAATGATAACTATCTGGGATGCTAAGGCAAGCTGGTAGTTGGTCTGAGATGCCTTCTACTGATGGTGGTTCCCGTTCTGCCCAAGTCAAAATGAAGAATGTCACTGAGAAGATGAAAGGAAACAGAATGTTGATCACCCTGTCACTTTACCAAGCCTAAAGGGAGGACCCTTCCTCTGCTTGGAAGAATTTGAGTGAGAGGCAATGAAAGAGAAAGTCCAGGGCTGTACATCCATTTGCAAATACTTCTAGCACAGCATTTCTGATTGGTGGCTTTTGCTTCCCCTCCCCTCCAGTTTCAGCACCCTTTATTTCATTTTGTTTATAGATGCAGCAACGGAAGACAGACTTCAACTCTTGTTAGAACTAAAGGCTTTTAATGCCCATATGAACTGGGCTCAGGATAGGATGTATAGGCCGGGTGTTTCTGTAGTTCTGTTGAAGAATGAACAGTTCCATTTATGCACTATCCTTTTGGGGCAATAGCACTCAAGATCCATTGCTTCAAGTGTAATCAACTTCTATTTATCTCCTCCCCCCCCCCATCCTTTATCTGTAACGTCTTTGCCCTGGCCAGCTTTTATTCTATCCTTTTTCTTGTCAAGGCCCTTGGTTTCTTAATTATTATCTGGGGGCGGGGGGGTGTTCTTTTCCCTAAAACCCATATCCTTTTCCTTTCTTGCCTATCTGCCTCTTGCCTTATATTTTGATCTAGAATATAAAGCTTCTTAGAAAGAAGAAACCCTCTGTAAACACCTACAGTTTAGAATTCAGTTTGCAAAAATGTCTTTCTGTAGCAAAGACTAGAGTTCATTCCCCTCTTTTGTTTTATCAACATTTTTTTCATTTTCTGATGCCCTTATTCTACCTTTTGAACTTTATTATTTAAATGGGAGAGGGCTGGATGCAGTGGAAGGTTTTAATAGTTGCGGGAGGGAATTGTGTTCTAGAATGTTGACAGTCTTTAAACCTGTTCTCTTCCCCCTCCTTGTTTTTCTTCTCTGCCATGTCTTGCCTTCCTTTCTCCTGCGTGTGGATGACTAGGACGGGGCTGTTCACACCAGACTTGGCATTTGAGGCCATTGTGAAAAAACAGTTGGTGAAGCTGAAAGAGCCTTGTCTGAAATGTGTCGACCTGGTTATTCAGGAGTTAATCAATACATTTAGACAGTGTACCAGTAAGGTATTGAACTAGCTGGAGGCAGCCTAGCCCTTACTGAGTGGGCTGGGAAAACCTGCCAAAACTGCACTGTTCTAATCTGCTCAACTTGCCTAACACAACCTCCAGGAAGAGCTACAAGCATCTTCTAAAATCCTGATTGGCTGGTGTTAAGATGGGATTGGGGTTTACTCTGCAGGGGAGACTATCAAGTTTCATAGGCTTTTACAAAAATGTTAAACTGTCTTACAACATGGTCCAGATTGCAGTCTTGAAATTGTGGCTCACTGCAAGCAGGATTGGTCTGTGCTTTAAGCTTCTCCTGCTTTTATCCTCTGCCTGCAAATAGAAGCTGCTGTTAGCTCTCTGGAGGTTGGCTAGGTCTGTGGGTAGATTCTTCTTGGATCTTGGCCCTTCTCTAAGTGCATGGCTTCTTGATCTGCCATTTAAACCACTCCCTCAGGTTTTTTGCAAAGGCATGGCTGTTAGAAGGTCATGCTGCTGTTTGGGCAAATTAGCTTCAAATGCACTGATTGGCATAATGAACCATTTCCAGTCTAAAGGCCATCTGTTGGGAATTCATTTCACTGTTTCAGTGTGGTTGTCCCATCTACATGCATATTGAAAAACTGACCTGTCAAAGAGCTAGCTTCTCCCCTGCTTGATTTGCTGAAATCGACAGCAGGGTGTACAAACTGAGGCTCCAGGATCATGCTGCCTAATTGTGTGCCCTCTGGACAAGAACTTTGATCTTCAGCAGAGTAGCGAAGGTGCTGCTCTTAAGAGTGGTTTACATTGCTTGCTTGTTACAGTGGTGTATGCTGTAGGACTCCGGGTCCATTTCTGACAAAGGAGTTGTGTGCTTTTGTTGTTATGTGAAGAAGCCAGCACTTGCTCTCCAAGGTCCTTCAAATCCCGACTATCCTGATGCAGCAGAATCTGCATCTGTCTTCTGGCCCACAATGTATCTGAGTAGAGTTTGGGCAGCTTTCTTGAATTCAGATTCCAAAGGATTTTGTACAGGAGTCATTCCCCAAAGAAGTGCTCCTAGTCTGAAAAGCAACTGATGAAGCGGGGTGCAGGGAAGTGGCAGAACTGTGAAACAGGCAGCAATTTTGGACACCATCATGAAAGGATTGACTTTAAATTCAGGTTTTTCAAGACCTGAGGGTCACTTGCAAGGGGAAATATCATTCCTTGCAGGCGAAATGAGCCAGTGAAACAGAAATGAAAGGTTAAATGCTGATTGCTGAGGCAAGCCTCATTCTTATGGATATGACCAGTCTTTGTTGACTGTACCACTTCAGATGATGGAATGCTCCTTATTACAGAACATTTTCCCCTTATAGAGAAGTAGCATGTTAGAGAGAAGGGTGCTAGGCTTTCAGTTTTCCTGACACATTAGTAGAGATACTGTTTTTATGTATGGAGGAACATTGATTCATGTGAGCCCCATTCTTAGTATTCCCATTCCAGGCACAACAGTCACAGTGTGGAATTCTATCATCTTAGGCTCAAAGCTTCAGTAGAAGTGCTAATTATATCAGGTTGCAAGGTCAATAACATGTTAATTGAAAATAGCAACCATCACCAAATACTGTAAGTATACAGCCCTTCTCCCTCCTTCCATCTGCTAACAGATGCCTGCCAAGTACTGTTTCGGAACATGGAAGACTCTGGCGCAATGGTAGCCAACCTTTTTGCCAAGTTTGTCACAAATGGGATCACTCCAGTTGTGTTCTGTCGTTCTGTAGCCCCCCAAACCCATGCCCAAGAGAGTTTTGATTGTAGTTAAACATGATGGCGAGCAGGCTACAGAGTAGCACTAGAGGTGGGCAGGGCATACCTGACTTGACACAGCCTGACCCTAAGGCCTTTCTGCCTCACTTTAGGAGTGCAACAAATTACTTGCTGCATCCTTGCCATAGATTAGCCATTCATACTCTAGAATCAAACAGGGCACAGTAAGAAGCAAGCATGACCTGTTTTTTTTCAGTTTTGGGGAGCCGTTTAAAAAAACAGGTTTTTATCCACTTTGCCAAGCACACTCATACTGCAAGGGGCAGGCAGGACATGGTCCCTTTGCAGAAATACTTGAAGCTAATTTGAAGCCTGCTGAGCAGCTCAGCTCCTGGAAGGGAGTAGTTCCTTGTCAAGAGTTTGGCAATGCAAGAAGGATCTTCCTGAGGAAGTGCTGCTGCTTTTTCCTTTGCACATTACTAACCTTTTGAATCTCTTTCTTCCCCTCTCTGTCACTTTTTTTTTATTTTCCTGCTTTTCTCCGGAATCTCTCCTTTCTGTTCGCGCTTTCTGCATGGTGCAGGACGGGGCTCTTCACACCTGACATGGCTTTTGAAGCTATAGTGAAAAAACAGATTATAAAGCTCAAAGAGCCCAGTTTGAAGTGTGTTGATCTGGTGGTCTCAGAGCTGGCCATGGTCATTAAAAAGTGTGCAGAGAAGGTAATGAGTCTCTACTCTTTTATTTCCCCTCCCCATCTCCCTGTCACCTGGAATATGGCTACTTGCAGTGCCCAGCTAAAAGGAAGTTTGAATGCTTTCAGTGAGGGCAGTCTGTGCCTGAGCAGAGCCAGAGCCACAGCAGCTGCCATTCTTTTTTCATTATTTGAATACTGCTTTTATGTTTCAAGAAATCTCAAAGCAGTTTACATCTCAGTAGAAATCACTTAATTGTATAAAAATATAAAAAATAATAATAATTGGGGCGGGGGGAGCTGCATCCTCTCTGAGGAATGCCCATCAGACTGTTGAATTGTCCAGTTTGGCTTCACAGCAGGATCCCACAGAGACATTGCACTGGTGTTGCTTGGACCGTAGCAGCTGTAGTTGAACATGCTTTGGAAAGTGGCTAAATCTCAGGAGCACTTCCTGTAATACAAGGCTACGTTTTTCAGCTGCTCTGTGCCAAAAGAAGCTTGTTTCAGCGCTGAAGCATGAAAAGAGCTCTGGCATTTATCTGTTCTAAGAGTATCTTGGTAATACGTAATCACCACCTTCCACAGTGACTTGTGGGTAGGCCTATCATTTAATCAAAAAGAAAGCAGCTCTCATTCCTTTTCCTGTGGCACTAAGAAGCCAGTCTCATGTGTTCCTTCTGCTAAACTCCATAGAGGTCTTGGGCTGTTTCCCAGACAGAAGCCATGGGGAGCATAGGGTGCACATCAAACACCCAGAAAAACATTCTGTATCTTTATTGAACTGGCAAAGGAAAACCCACCCCAAATCCCTCTTACTTTGTGCTTTAGCCCTGTCCCAGTGGTAAAATTGAGAGATAGCCCAGCCTCTTCTCTTCTGCTCTCTATATGTGTGTCTATAATTGATGCTTAAAACTGCAGTGATCTGATCTCTTCTCCGCTTGTCCTCAGCTTGGTTCTTACCCTAGGCTTCGAGAAGAAACAGAGAGAATTGTTACGACATACATCAGAGAACGAGAAGGGAAAACTAAGGACCAGGTGAGCAGGTTTTTTGTTTACTCGCCAAATAACCTCTGGGCTTACTGAGAATAGCAGAATCAGAATCTACAATTACTTTGTCAACTGACAACCACAGCAAAGCGAACCCCTTCTTTGCTCAGCTTTCTCAGGGTTTCCATTGAGCTGGAGTTGCTTGTTATAGCAGTGCAGAAAGTACCGAGCTCTTGTGTGGCTATGCATAAGAAGATAAGGCAAGGTCCTTTTCACAGGCTTCAGTGTGCAGAAGAGTAGTCTAAATGGGCTCTTTCTCATGATGTTGTCATGCTGCTGAGCTGGTTTTGTCTTCTCTCCAGATTCTCCTGCTGATTGACATAGAGCTGTCCTACATCAACACTAACCACGAAGACTTCATTGGATTTGCCAAGTGAGTATCTGCTACCAAATAAACACCTAGAGATGCTTGGCTTGCATGTCACAGTAAGCTGCAGTTAAATGTTTAACTACGGTCTAATGTGAATGGGCAGTGTGGAGTCGCATACTATTCTAAGTCGCCGCTCAGTGAATAGCAAGCTTGTAGTTTGTTGTTCCTAGCACTGAGTCGAGAAGAAGCAAAGCAGCATGCGTTAGTACACTGCTCATTCATTGTAAATCATAGTTAACTAGAGTTGCCCCCACCCCTTAAGCAGGGGTTCTGTTCTGAGTCGCCACCTGCATAAGAGAAAATCGCGTAACTGGGGAGCACTCTCTAAACACCCTTCAGGCTCCCTCTCTGCTGCTCTCTCTCCTATCCTTATGAAAAGTACTATATCCCAAAACATCCACAACTAGAATTGAAGCTGTGGGGCTGGCTGGAGGATGTGGGGGAAATTGGCTGCTTCTGTTCTACCACTTGCATCAGCTGTTAGGCAGGGAAGCTGAGCAGCGTAAACAAAGCCCTGCTGTGCCTCCAATCTCTTTGGGGCTTCCTCCGCTCTCACTGACTTTGGGCTCCGGGGAGGGTCTCCTCATGAGCCATGAGGACTCTCCAGCTCTCTCCCACCAGGGTTTGAATTAAATTATTTATTTCTCAGTGCTGTGCATATACAGTTGCACGTAAATCTATTGTTGGGGCGGGGCGCGTCTGTATTAATTATGGTTTAACATTGCATGTGAATCAGGCCACTGGGAAACATTATACGGCCCAAATAGTACTGCTGATGTAGGAAATGAGGAATTTTTATTTTATTTTATTTTATTTGCCAAGCAGAAGAGAGCATCTTGTGATTGGATGGCTGCCTGGTAGTACAGATCTTGTGACTTGGGTTAACCGACATCAAATAACTAGAAGCTGAAACTAGGCATGTGTGGTTGAGATCAAACTTGCATTTTGGAGAAGTTAATGAACTTTAATCTCAAATGCTTGAGTGAAAAGGTAACAATGAGTGAGATACGTGTGTGAGAGAGAGGGAGGGACAAAACTTATTTTTGGCTTTCCTTTGTGACCTATCCTATTTTTGGAGCAAGCAACTTGGGTGCTTTTTTTTATAAAAAAGCCAGTTAAATGAAAACAATTATTAGATCTTTATCACTTACAATAACTTTAACCTGCCCTGTCACAAAGACATGTCTAACTAGCAAAAGCCAGCCAAAATAGGAAGGTCTTACGCCACTTCAGAAATACTATTTGGCAAGTCTCCCAGGAAAGTGCACAATGCAGCCTATGGGAATGCCTCCGTGTAATGAGTAGCCTGACTAATAATATTGAGGGTAACCTCATGTGAGCTATTGTAAGTTGTGTTGGGACATAGGAAAGGAGAATTGCTTGTAGGCATGTAGGGCTCCAGGGCTTTGTAGGATAAAAACACTTTGCATGGTGCTCTGAGGGACATAGGGAGTTATGGAAGATGATGGAGGACCAATGCATTGTTTTCAGGGTGCCTGCCATCACTGCTGTGATGAAGTTTGAAGTAAGCAATTGCAGTCCCTTGGTATAGCACGTTACAGTAATCTTATCTTAGGCTTTCAAAATCAAAAATAATGGTTGCAGAATCTAAATATGGCAAAAGGGAGTGCATATTTTTTCCCATGTGGAAAGCACGCTTGACTTAGAAATACAATCTGGACTTCAACATGCAGCAGCCAATTCAGAAGCCCCTTGGGTTCTGGTGATTACTTTTTAAAAATTTTCATCTTGTCACCTCTGATGCATACAGGTCTTTAGATAAAGGACTCAAGGGTGCGTACCCTTCAACACTGATGACAATATATATCAGTTGTCTGCAGTTACCCTGACTTTCCCCGGTACTATTTTTATCCAGCTTTCTAGTTAGCTTTCTGCTGCTGCTTTTTTCCATTAGACCTTACTTGTTTCTTCGTGGCTTGCCTCATTGTACATTTATATTTGGTTCCCCTGAGTTTGTGCCTCCTTTTCCTCTGTGATTGGACAGACACTTCCAGTTTTTAAAGGAAGTGTCTTGTTTTTTCTAGCCGCCTTGACTCTTTAGACATGTTGGCATCTAGTTTTGACAGGTTTATGTGCTTTCTAATATACGGAATGTTTGGATTGATCTTGTTTAAAGCAATTATAAACTCCAGCTTCCCAAAGAATCAGACCTTCCTAGTGATACATTTTAGTCTTTTAAATTCTCATTCATAACTTTCCCACTAGTTGAGAACGTAAGTGTGTTGATAGCATTACGTCTAATAAATGAATCATCCCAAATCAAAATGCCAGTAACCATTGTGAACATTACTTCACAACCATTTTGTTGTCAAATGAGCCTCACCAACTAGGGAAACGACCAAAATGTTCCTGCAGATTATATCACCTGCAGATGATTAGTAGTCTCTCCCTATAGTTCTACTTGTCTTGGAGGTGGCAATGTTTCTTAAAAAGCTATTTTGGTGGCCATGAACTTACTGCTTACCTAAATCCTAGGATCCAGTATCTTTTGACTGTTTCCCAGTGCCATTCTTCTAGCTGACTCCTGATTTCTCTATAGTGGTCTGTCTAGATATCATTCTGTTCACAGCCTTCATAACAAAACAAAGCACTTACCGTTCACAAATTATGTATACCTTTAATGATGTACTTGTAAATGATCAGATCTTCCATGAGTGACTCCCAAGAAATATCCTAGGGTTACACAAAGTTATGGCTACATTTATGTGGGATGGCGTTTAATTTCTTCAGTGTGGTGTCCTTGTGCCTTAAGGTTATAATTTCTCACACCATTACAGGAACAGTCATCATGGGATTGGGACCTCTCCCCCTATATCCTTAGAAATCTCCACTAGGTGCCTTTGTCAGTCTTTTCCTGTTCCTCAAGCTCACCACTGTAGTTCTAGCTGCTAAAAAACCTGCTTGTTCTTTAAGATTCAGAAGCTTATTGCAGTGTGCACACCCACAGCCTGTGCGCAGAATGGACACTTCTATATATGATGCTTAGTGCAAAAATTAGGACAACCTGTACTCACTTGCCAGCTTTCAAGCATGTGTATTAAACACATTTGTAACATTAATATGAATGTAAGATAAAATACTACTTTTTCTCTTTTCGCATAAAACCTTTGATAAGTTCATTTTATAAATGTAATATATGAAGTACCCCTGATTTTTTTTGTTGGGGCCCGTAAGCAGAATTTTCAGGACATCAAGACCAAATGATCTCAGTAGGAGGTCCCCGAACGCCTTACCATTTATTTCCCTTTTATTCTGTAATGCTGCTCCTAGAACTTCTGTTATTGGATGACTTAGAAACACCGTGAATGCATTTTAAGAAATGCTGTTTGGCATCAGCCCAGCAAGCAGCTCAGGCATAGTGTCCTGTTCACATACTCCTTCCATTCCCCATCTCTCTCTCTCTCTCTCTCCCTCTCGTGTAATTTGTGTGCAGTCTATTTATGTATCCTTTCACACTTAATTTACAGTTCCTTCTTTTTCCTTCATCTCACGTTTCTCTCTCTCTTTGACTCACCTTGCTCTTCCCTCTGGATGCCTCAAACCTCTCCCAAATCTCCCCAGCTGTTACACTGAGCAGCGCATGGTGGCTGGGTGCGTATCTGCCTGTGAGAGTTTATCCTTACTAGGTCTAGAGTATAGCTTGCCTAACCCTTTGGAGAACTTGTTGAAGGGGCTGTATGAAGACTGTGGTGAGGATTGGTCAGTGGAGACGTGTTCCCATAAATCTGCTCTCCAATGGCAAGTGCCCCTCACCCTCTGGCAAGCAGAGTGGCTGGTAGTATGTAGGTCCTCTCACTTGAAATTTCATTTGTGCTGCAGATTAGACAAAGTAAGCAACAGCAGGAATTTCTTTTGAGAAGAAATTCAAAAGAGTGGAAGAGATTCTTTCATTTTTCTGGGTGGCACAATCCAGAAATAGCCTTTCCCTTTCCTAAGCCTTTTGCATGTCTGAGTCAACTAGGGAGGAGAGAGAGGCATAGTGGTAAGCATAGTAATGGTTGGGACACATAGAAAATGTGCATGTTCTGTGTACATGTGCATGTAACTGGTAGGAAGCAAGCTGCATCCAGCCAGCAGAGGACCCCAGAATTATTCCACTAATTAGTTGTGATAATTGACAATCCCTCAAGACAGTCTAACATCCCATTGATTGAAACACTAGGGTGTTCTCTCCATATGCTACCAGGCAGGTTCTTTCAAGAAAAGATTCACTGGGACCTGGAGTAGGCAGTGTCTTCCGCTTCCCCCCTAAAGTCTTTTGCCTCTGTAGTGTGCAGTCACAGGTTCAAGGCCCTGTCTCCCTCGGGTTTAGATCTGAAGTGGGATGTTTCAGAACCGCTGTGAATGTATAGAGTGTCTTTGTGGTGGAAAAATCTGTCGTATGGCATGTATCACTTCAGCTCCATTGCTGGTGAACTTTCTCCTTCGAGGGTTGGCATTTCCCTATCTGCATCTCTAATTTTGCTTGACTTGAACAGGAATGAATGTGTTGGTGATTCTGTGTATCTAACATGCAAGTTTACCTTTTTTCACACCCAGTAGGCATGTTTAATGTAAAACCATCTCTTTTCTTTCAGTGCACAGCAAAGGAGCACCCAAGCAAATAAGAAAAGAGCAATCCCAAATCAGGTACTGATGCATGTCTCCTTCCTTTAGCCAAGTAGAACATAGTGTCAGCATACTAAGTCCAGCCTGTTGGGCACACTGTGTAGTTGCGCAGAGTTGAACAGGCTTGTGAGCATGGCATAGATTTATAAGAAGAAGTGCCACCCTTGCCTTATGTCATTTGAAGACAGAAAATGACTTGGAGCTGGCCACAAGGTGCAGAAAGTACAGTGCCTCCACCAAAATAAATCATTTATCCTTCAGTTGTGACCACAAATCTATGCCAATATGAACACAAGTAGAAGAGAGAATCTTCAAGGCAGAAGAATGAAACGATAAAGGAACATTTTCAGTCTTGAGTCCCTTTTGTTTCTGAGCAGCAAGACTTGAGCAAAGGACTGGAAACAAAATTGGTGCATAAAGTTAGTCTCTTTATAATGTATCTGCGTATGTTAATTCTTGTTTGGAAAGACTGTAATGGAACATTAACACTGAACAATTATAATTAATTGCATGTAACTTTTTTCTTTTACTGTTTTTTTCTGCTTTCCCTTTTTTCCAACCATTTTTGTGCTTCCTGCTTCTCCCTTCCCCTTCTACTCTCATTATTTGATTTTCTTCACTGTTCTGTCCCCTCATCCTGCTTTTCCTTATTTTACCTGCACCACTAATTTTGCCAACCTGTAAAGGGTGAGATACTGGTAAGTACCTGTATAATGTGCTAGTGACTGATATGTAAAATTTGGTGATGGAGACTTCCTTGCCCAGCAAAAGTAAAGGTCCCCAAGTTGGGTAACCTCTTTGCCTCAAACAAAGTGCACTTAATTGTACAGAAAAGCAAGCAACTTCAAATGGCATTCCAGGATATCCAGGCATGGGAACCATCTTTCTAAATTTAGTTGCTACTGTTGAATTCTTGGGCTTATCAAGTGGGCAATGAATGAAACTGTAAGTAGAAAAGGTAGCTTTCTGAACCCTTCATTTTAGCCTGAGGAGGTTTTATTTTAGCCCCAACCCTCCTTGGATCAGAAATCAAGTGAGACATTGTCCTTACTTAATATCCCATCTTCATGCCTTTTCTTCAAGCTGACATATACGGCTGAAGGGAGATCCACTAAGCTGGAGTCCAGTGACACTCAAGCAACTGAGACTTGTGAGTCTTAGCTATAAAAGTAAGCATGAGGCTGCCAGACTTGGGTATGACACCCACCATACCAACAGAGCGCAATGGAAGGATAAAGGTGCCAGTGAACCTTGGCTGGTAACTGCAGCATTCTGAGCTTCTGCTCTGTCTGCTAGCATTCCTGCTTATTTTCTCCCTTGAGACCTTGTGTTCTTCCTACCTGGTGAGACTCAAGTGGCCAGCATCATGTATTGTACCATGTTCTACATCCATACACCCAGCTTGGTCGGCAGTTGTCACAAACGTATTCCATGTTAGTTTTCATCTTGATGTGTTCATATCTCCATCTAAAATCTCAGCTGCTGCTGCCTTCTCTATAATTATTGAGGCACAGAGAGATTTGTTTGCCCTATCATTACTATGTGGCCCTTTCTGTTGTCTGGTGAGACCAGTGTTGCTCTATGCTTTTCCTTTAAGTGCACTAGATTCTAAGAAATGTGGGTGGATCGGTTGCTCCATGATTAAACAAACTGATACAGCCCTTTGAACTCATAGTCCCTGAAGGATGTGTTGTGGATGGGAATCTTGGAGTTGGAAATCAAATGGTTACATTGCTTACTCTACAAGAAAATGGAATCGCCAGAAACTTTTGGGTGTAAGTGAGAAGAACAATTCTTAATAAAACAGATGCAGAGGTGCTCCTCCTCTCATTCTGTCCTGGAAATAATTTTCACAGGTACTTGGTGCAAGAATATTGCACTATGTACTATTGTACATATGTGACACATATGCTAGCTTTGATGCATATGTGTTAACTTTGCTCAGATCGGAGGTGTGGGAGGTTTCCTATTCAAGTGCTATTTCTACTGGGCAAGGAATCTCCTCTCAATTCCATATTCTGATCCAGTGGACTAGAATGCTGAGAGAGTTTAAAATCAGTGGCATAGCATTCCCCTGGAATCCCAGGCATCCTGTCAGTTCTCATCATTATATCCTGTGTTTCAAAGAGTCTGAAAGTGCTGACGCATCCATTTTCATGATATTCTAAGGATAACTGCAGACCTCAGAGCAGTAATTCTCAAATAGTGTGCTGAAAGTAATTAGAGGTTCATATGAACTCAAATCAACCTTCCCTGGAGAATGCTGCCCATGTGCTTGCATGAGCTACAGTTTCTGACCAGGAAGCAACCTGTGAACAGTAACTCATTCTAGATGGGCTCCTTTGAAGGCAGTTAATTCTTACTCTTACACTCCAAATTTTAATTCGGCAAACCTAGCAAGAGTTTGAGAAACACTGCCATAGTACCTCCTGAGGGTCTGCATATTTGCCATGTGTCCAATTCCAATGCAATCCCTGGTCTTCAATTCCCAATCTTCAATCCCTGGCTTTGAAAATGTGGTTTGTGCTTCAGTAAGAGGAAGGTGGAGATCTGACTGGCTGGGCTGTGTTTGATTTTACTAAAAGTAGAAGGTGAAACTTACTTTTCAGGCAACACTTTGGATCGAACTCATCCTCCTGCGTTTGAGAGGCAGTTTGGAGCTTTAAATGAACATTATGTTCTTCCTTCCTCAGCTTCTTGTAGGCCTGTCTGGGTGGTGGTGGTAAAATAGCAGGCTAAAGAATAAGGAGATTGATTCCAGGAACATTTTTTTCCCCATACTGCCCAAAACTTGCCCTGCTGTACACTTTTTGCCCCCAACTTATCCTCTAACTCAACATAGCTCTTTAAAAACACCAATTTAGACAAGTCTCTTTTCTCAAGTTGGCAGCAGAATTGGCTTCCCTTGGGCTGTTGCCCCTTGACTGGGCTCCTCAAACTCAGTTACAGCCCTGTGTGTCTTTTTCGGGCTCTTTGGTTTCTTCTTCCACATCTGTCTCAAGGTCTCTCTCCTTCTCTACTGCCTTCTGGCCATTCTTTGCCTCCATTCTTTTTAAAGCTAATTGTATTTAAAATGTGACTGACTTCTGATCCTGAGTCTTTTTAATTAAGAGAAATGCTTCACAGAGAGGAAATCTGACCTGACTCCCTTTCCTATGTCTGGACTTGACAACACCTTCCATTCCTCTGCCAAGTTAATTTGAATTAAAATATAGTTTGCAACAGCCCATGCCCACCAGTGCTCCACTCCTTCTGTGTGTCTGCCACCTTGGTATTTATGTTAGCAAGAAGCTGAGCAAGTCTGAAAAGATGAGGATGCCTGATTGATATGTATTTCTTTGCCCTCATGCTTTTTCAGTGCTGGTTTTGAAAACTTAAGCACAGGCCAAGCCAAATTCTCTGTCCCTTTTCAGAGCTGCTCAGCAATCCTGCCTCTAACATCTGTAGCTTTCGTATCTAACAGTTGAATCATCACCATTAGGTTTGCTCTTTTTCTCCAAAGTATACTTTAGCCTGGCTATATTTAAATGATTTAACATATAGACTACTTCCTTTCCAGTCTGCTCATTACTAATATATATGGTGGTACTAACTTGGGTAGAAAACGTTTTACATGTTTTGCTGTTTGGGCTTCCTTCTGAAAGGAAGGAACATAGTTCAGACATAAAAACGAATAAATGACAGAGCAAAGTGTGTTTTTTGCTGTGTCTTTCCTCCAAAGGCCCACACAGAAGGTGGGGTATTGATCAGGTATCCTAAAGAGATACTTTTCATCCTAGCAGAGAGAAAAAGTAAAACTCATCTGTTTTGTGTTGGGTTTAAATTAAAGCAGCTTGTTGAACTATCTAGCGTGCTCAAGGTTATTGCAGGCTTGGTGAGTCTTGCAGGATATTCTCAGCAGCCCATCGACCACCATAAAAAATCTACAGGTCTTGGCTATTTCCCCATTAAATTAAGAGCGGTTCTGTCCAGTTGCTTGGCTGTAAATGATTGTTCTTTGCTTAAATGTACACAGCTACTCAGATGTTCAAAGCATAGTTCTGAGGGCAAGTGGTTCATCCTTAATACTTTGCAAGCCCTATGAAGTGAATTGATCCTGGCCATTCTTAGTGAACAGAGGTGTAGAAACTCAGGGCTGAACAAGGGCCTAGATCCCGGACCTAGGACTGGCTCGCCAATTGCTTTGCTGGCTTTTATTCCAATAAATTTATAATGAGCTCAATGACTTGGCACCAACATATTCAGTGGAAGGGCTAAAATCCTTCCAGCATTGGGGATTTGATTGTTGGGCAGATTTTGGGATGCCTTACAGGCAATGCTAGGTGTTGCTTTTGGCTTGTGCCAGGCAATTAGAATTCCTAGCGTGGCATGGTGGCTAGACTAGTACATTCCAATGTGGAAGTACTCGCTCAAGTTAACACAACTGTTTAAAATATGGTACTCTTTGGGCAAGTATTAACTTAATCTGTTTGCAGGATACTTTTATTCTGAGCTCTTCAGAGCAGTGGTTTTCAGATTTCCTTTCTCCAGGGCATCCTTTCTACATCATTTGTCTGAGGAGATCCAGTGTGCTATGGAAGATTCTAGGGTACATACTAGGCCAGGGTGGGCTTGTGGGAACTACTCTTATTTTTTTACTGAAACCCAGTAGTCTGCCAATCAGAGCTCAGGTTCAGAGTAGCAGCTAGTGAGCAGTTGGAGTTTGATACATAATAGTGACTCAGTGGGTGAAGCAAATTGTCTACTACACCCTGTGAGTCATTCACTGGGACAGCTTGCGTTGTCTGCCTCTGAGTTACAACAGATCAGGGGTTCTGACACACTACTCTAATACTGTCCTAGCAGAGCTGCACAAAGACATATTTAAAAGCAACCAGTTAATACATGTATGTTGCATTATTATTTATTTGATTTCTTACATTCCCTTCACTATAAGGTCCCAGTGCAGATCACAGCAATATAAAAATATAGTATTAAAGCCAGTTCAAACAGCTCTAGGTAAAAGAACATAGAGGCTGAGAGAGATTTTTAGCCATGCCAATGATACTTTTACTTGCAGTTTTGCTTACTATAGTTGTTGTTGTTGATGATGATATTAAAATGCTGGGTGGCTTCCAACAAATGAAAGCACAGTAAGTCATCAAACATTAAAAACTTTCCTATACATGGCTGCCTTCAGATGTCTTCTAAAAGTTTGTTGTTTATTATAGTGAAAACTACTGGAAATCAGAAAACTGCTGATGTAAACTGTAAATGGTTCAGATCTACTACTAGACACCTAGCTACGTGTTTGCACAGAGATCATAGGCCTATTAGGTTTCCTCATTGCTATTGAAGCATGCTTTGTCTGGCTGTCCATTGCAGGAAAGACTGGAAGTGATGGGCAAGCTGCCTTTCAAAGTAGCTTGTCTACCATTGTTCATCACTTTTCGTCAGGGAAAGCTTCTGAAAAACTCCAGACCTCCCTAAACACTAAATGAAAACCACTACTTTAGAGAGAGGATAGGATGCAAATGTAACTAATTAACATAAACATTTTTTGTTGTTGCCCAATTGGAAAAGCCAAGCCTTGGAGCTTCCTTCAGGATAAAGGAATGCCGTCCTCCTAGAGCCAAATGTCTTGAGGACAAATCATCCCACCAAGAGGCAGACAAGCATCAGTACTGACATTTCAACCGTTAACCTCGTTTACATTTTCGTTTTGTGACTTTTTGGTTAGCCAGGCTGTAGCAAAGAACTGGCTCCAAATCATTTTGCTCGTAGCTCTGGTGGAGTCACCTGTGAGACTGGGGTGACTTCATCAGGTGGGGAGCTGCCCCTTCAGGCAAACTGAGAGTGTGTCATTAGTGTGAAATGCAAGACGAACTGAGTAAATGAGTGGTTGTTTGCAAATAGGAGTAAAGGTGGTTGGAAACAACTGGCTGCAAGCAGAGTTGTGGCCTGCACAACTCCTTTTTCATCCTCTTCAGTTTCACTAGATCTGTGGCTGCTTTGTAAGTTGCAGACATGGATACTTGAGGGTTGCCACCAACGTACTCTGGCTCCTGCCTGCATCTTTTCAGGGGGTTCTTGTGAATGCTATAAGCGGCTATAAGCTGATGGGTTTCACTGCCATGTTCTATATCATTATATATTTATGAGGGACCTCATAGACATCTATAAGCAATGTTTTTGCTGTAAAGAGAAAGAGCTCCTGTCCTGTTTTTATTTCTGGCAATACCCGTTCATCTGTCAGTGAGTATTGGACTGCTACACAGAGTTCCTTTCCTGATTTTACCTGCTGCTGCAGAGCGCTAGTCATGGCATGTTGAAAATTCTGCTTTACAGGTTTATCACTTGCATCTAGCATTCTCTAGATTTAATTTTGGGTACACTAAGTGTCAATGGGTGCTTTAGGGTTGCTTATTGGTGAGAGTGGTTCATTGCTTAACATTGATCACACGGTGGAATTTTGCAATCATGAGCCAGGCTGCTATTTCAGAGGCAATCAAAGTCGACGTGTAACAGTAATGCTGTAGGTGGAAATCTTCAGAGGGCTTTGGGTCTTGCCAACAACACCCTGGTGCTGTAAACTGAAGGTTTAATGCTTTTCCTGATCAGTGTCACAGAGTCATAGAATGATATCGGTGGAAGTGACCCCTGAGGGTCATCTAGTTGAACCCCCTGCAATACAGAAATCACAGCTAAAGAATCCCAGACAGATGGCCATCCCAACTTCTGCTTAAAAACCTCCCACTCCCTCCAGCTGCCACTTTCTTCCTCCACTGCCCTTCTTTTTTTCATGAGACATGGGACCCCATCATCCTCCACTGAGCCCTCCAAGCTGCTAACTTTGGAAGCAGGACTTTCCTCCCCTGCTGATTGCTATGAGGGCTAAAATCCTAAGCCATTGCACCAAATCTCTTGAACATAAAGCAATCCCATCCATCTTACGTTCCCCAAGATAGCCTGTAACCTGTTCTTCCTTCCTCACCTACTCCTTGATTTCCTCCAGGTCATCCGGCGAGGCTGGCTGACTATCAACAACATTAGCATCATGAAAGGTGGCTCCAAGGAATATTGGTTCGTCCTGACGGCGGAAAGTTTGTCTTGGTACAAGGATGAAGAGGTGGGTAATTATGCATGCCATATTGTCGCAGTGAGAAGTCACCTGGGTGGCGCTGTAGATACTCAGATTGAGTCCTTGAAATCACACACATGGAAACATGGGGTATTGTCTACACCTCTAAAACTGCCCACTTACCAGCAAGGATGCCATGAGTCCCCACGTGCACAAGCCTTGTTCTGTTAACAACCTGACAGCAAAGTGCCTTGCAGCAGTCCATGTTTATGGCATGAGCTGCTGTGGGCAAGGGTTTGTGTGGACCACGATAATATATCAAGGGTGTGATCACAGAGACAAAGGAGGAGCTGCAATGCATTGTAATGGTGGTGAGGAGGAAAATATTTTGTCCTTCCCTTTCTGTCCCTGTCCCTTCCTTCCCACCTGCCCATTTGCCTCCTCTGCCCTCTTCCCCTTCCCAACTCTCTGCTAACTTTCCTCTCACCTCCTTTACCTTCTCCACTGAGCTCAGGGCAAAGGTTGGCTGAATAGGGGGAGACTGATGAAAATGAAGTTATCATTAACTGAAGATCATTAAATTAATTAAACTGAGGATCATTACTTATCATTATCTGGTGTATATGAGTTATGTTGCCGAAAGGGCACTCAGTGGGAAGGTATCGGCAGGCTTGGGGATATTCCAAAGTTAGAAGTAAAAAAAAAAAAAAAAGTATTCAGGAAGAAACGGGGGGGGGGGGGGTCCCCAGCCCAATGAGGACTAAGCATGTTCAGTGGGCAGCAAATACCAATTGACTGGGGAATGTGGGTGGTTGAAATGTAGTACAGCATTGTGAAAGAGGATATGACTGGCTGGCTAGAACTCTTAAAGAGGAGTGATCCACATTACAACATTTGTTTCCTATCCGTTAGGAGAACCAATTTTGAAACAGGGAAGTGTCTTCCTTGATGCTGGCAATAAGTTCCAGGAGTCTTGGCTCCAAGTTTATCACAACCAGATTCCATATAGGACTGGCTTCTGTGTTATGACTTATGCAGAAGGGAGAATCTCTAGCAAGTGATCCTTTTTTTTCGTGGTGGTGGTGGTTCTACTGCCAGTTTTTCCTCCCACATAGCTATTTAGTGGCTGAAGAGTCTTGTTTTGTAAGAAGTGGCAACTGGATACGCTTTCTCTGGAATTCCCTAGCCGAACTGGAGTGCCACGGACTACAGGAAGGAATGCTTTGCCTGCCCTTGTCCCTGCTTAGTTTTGGTGCAGGGAAAGAGGTTGTGCATTTCATGACTATTTCCTTCATCTAGGGTTGCCATATTTCAAAAAGTAAAATTCCTGACACTCGCCAAGTTGTTGAACTTTTCTTAGGAAGACCCCAAAATTCCTGACATATGGCAAGCCTAACTTCACCTTTCTTAGCTTTGGGGGCAGTGGGAAGCGGTATATTTTTTGTTGCTTTTCCATCTACCATCCTCCAGACACAGATTCGGGGAATGCTTTCCTTTCTGTTTCTTTCTACCAATGCTAGATCCCAAGTAAGGAAGAAGGGAGGCATTCAAGCTTGGGGAAAACTTCCTGGTTTTCAGCAGAAGGTGGATTTGCACAGTGCTGGTTGTCTGGCCCATATGTCAGTCACAAAACCACCTCCGCTAGTAAATTATTTGAGTTGATAAACATGCAGAGTGCTTTTGCAAATAAAAACAAGGTGCCCTACCCATTTGAGCCATGGAAGTGGGCACAAACAGGAAGAAACACTCAGAATTCAGAATGGAGGCTGTTCATTTGTCATTAAAGAAGCAACAGAGGGAAGGGAGTCACTTCACTCAGAAAAGCCCACACCACTTCCTGTTTCAGATACATATGTATGCACATTGAGATGCACTCCCCCCCCCCATCCTTGGCCCCCTCAGTTGTGTGTGCCTCACAGTTTGGTTTCTTAGAAACAAAACGCAACACTGGGTGTTGCAAGTTGGAATTATGCTTTTTGAACGGGAGGTGACTCGAGTAGAGAGTAGGGACCATCCCATATTCCAAAGGTATCCCCGAGTGCATTTCTTACCTTTCCCTAGTGTCATATTACAGAAAGCAAAATAGTTGCAATTTGGGATATCTTGGAAGCCTCAGTAAAGCCTGCCTTCCATCCCTGACACTGGGTGGCCTGGTCTTTGCTGGCAGGGATAATCCTGTGCACTCCATCTCCATGCCAGGTCTTTTCAATACTTAAACTCTATATGTACATATTCCTTGCATATCTTGATGACAGACCTTCCATTTTACTTAATATAAACAATGAGAGCACTAGGCAAGCCTGTAGGGAGAGAGCATCCCATAATTAGGGCACTGTCAGGTACTTCTTGTGTGCAGGTGGACCCAGAGTCAGGTAAGTGACATTGCAGGCTCTGGTGGGAGTCAATTTAGTAGGCCAGGTTGATGCAAATACAGTCATACCTCAGCTCCCAAACACCTTGGAAGTCGAATGTTCCAGCTCCTGAACGATCAAAAACCGGAAGTGAGTGTTGTGGTTTTTGAACTTTCTTTTGGAAGCCGAACGTCCGACGGGGCTTCTGTGGCTTCTGATTGGCTGCAGAAGCTTCCTGCAGCCAATCAGAAGCCACGTTTTGGAAGTCAAACGGACTTCCGGAACTGATTCTGTCCGACTTCTGCAGTATGACTGTATTGGGATTGTGGGATCTATATACCATGGGAGGCATGATGTTTGAGTTCAAGGAATCTTGGACTGCATTATGTCATCTTTGTAAACAACTCTCTGGCAGCTTCTTGCTGGACCCTCTTTCCATCTTCTGTGGCCTGAGATGAAGAAGAAGTATCTTGCACTCTAAAGCGTAAAACATTTATGCTATATGCTTTTGTGAGCTCCAGTTCACTTCATCAGACGCTTGAAGTGTTATATTGAGTTACAGGTGTATATACATATATGATTTAGGGGAATTCTATACAGGGAGGTGAGATGGAAATGAAATGTAGAAAAATACAGGCAGTGACTTAGCCGCTACCTGAGAAGAAATGGACAAAGAGCACTTTGTTCTTTCTTCTTGCTACAATAGAAATGGCTACCTCTCTCCAAATCCTCTAGAACAGAGTAGTGCAGTAGTGCAGTAGTGCAGTTAAACAAAGGTTGATATTTTTAAAAATTGCTAGGTAGCTACGTTTTTGCTTTTTCTTCTGCATCTTGGTTATTGTAGATTACCACTGATGTGCCAGCTTTAAAATTTTATTGCTTTTGGCAATTTGGTTAAGCAGGAGTTCTCCCCCTCACCCAGTCTATCTGCCTTGGTGGTTTGTTTTCTTTTTCCTAACTACTGAACTCTCTGATTTGCTTTTAAACGGTTCGCGTCCTGCTCTTGGTGCATACATGAGCCTTTGTAGTTAGGAAATTCCCTGCTAGATTGCTTGCTTCAGCTGGGGACATAGAAACCCAAAGTATCATTCTGTAATTTTTTCAAACTTCATGTCAGCTTCAACTATCAGCAAATGTACTGCAACATCCAACGTAGCTGCCCTTCTGAGTACCTAGCTGGAGAAATGCAGACTCTGGAGGCATGAAAGAAACAGATAACTACCCCCCTATTATGAAGGAGGGAGCGTGCCTGAAAATGTATTTGTTTATTTGTTGTGTGGGGGTTTTCTTAGACCTTCTGTGTCATTGCTTGGAAATTCAAAGTTAGAGTACTCGCCTTATCTTCTGTGCCGTGTAAATAGCGAACATATTCTACAGTCTCACATACAGTGTTGTGCTTTCACCCACTTCCCTTTGGTCTTTCAGCCCCAATCCTTTTCTTCTTCTTCTGCAGATTGGGGCAGCAGTGGAGATGGGCTCAGTGGTATGTCCGTGTTTGGAAGCGCTAAACTTTTAATTCTGACTGCCAGCCTCTGTGCTCTAAAGCTTAAGGAAATATTTGCAAATCTTATGCATGTTTAACCCAAAGTAAAAGCAACAAGTGGAGCTTAACCTTCCCCTTTTGCTTGCTGGCTTGTGTGCCTTCTCGTGATACAGATATTTGTCCCAAATAGCCTCCTTCACCCAATTTTAGGTCCCTCTCCACGTGTTCTTCATCTCCCTTGTGACCCCACCCCTCCCATTTGCAGTCGTCCACTGCTAACATGTACCAAACATGTACCATTCAGTGGCCCAGAACTCTGGTGGTGTGCTCTGCAACAGGGCATAAGCTGTTGTTCTGCAAGAAACATGGGCACGGGCTGCTTCCCTTGCATTGTGGCATGCCGTGTCAGGAATAGGCATGTGAACTAATTGGGGTCTCTGGCATGATATGTGTATGTTAGACTTATTTTGCTGACCCATACTTATTTTTCCCACTCTGGGTCTCTCTTGTGGCTGTTGCTGCACTCAGGTTGGCAGCAGCCCACATTCTCCTTTCTCTGATTGCCACTAGAGCCTCCTGCCCCATCATCCCATTGGATCCTGAGATATGGCTATGCTTTTTGTTCTCTTTCTGGGAAGAGAAGCCTTAGTCTGCCAGGTGGGCATTTCTTTGCCTGCAGATTGCCCTGGGGACTGACCAGTGGTGATTCGTTAGGAGACTCTTCTGTCATCCTGGTGTCTTGTGTCATATCCACCCCACCCCATGCTGTGACACGCAGCCCATCACAACTAACACAGACAATTTCCTGGAACTCAAATGAATACTTATAAGGAATGCAGGTGGTTTTGTGCAGTTTAGTGGCCATGGCCCCCATGGTATCATGAGCTTTGGTGTTCCCTTGAGCTGCAGAGGAAAAGACTGGGGCTGAAAAACCAAAGGAAAGTGTGGGTGCATGGAAGATAAGTCATGAGCTAGCACAATAAGTGTGAGAGTGGGACATATTTACAGCTTACGTGGCGCAGAAGTTAAGGTGGGCACCTTAACTTAGAATTTCTGTGTGTTTTGATGCATGAGTGAATTTGTAAACATTTCAACTTTTCTTTTCAAACCAGAGGTTTCTCAATCCTGGAAAATTAATTAATAGTCTGACTGCTTAGGTGTGACATTGATAATATTCAACGGTGCGTCTTCTGGAATGAAGATTGATCAGTGGAACCTATTGTGGTATTGCCACTTAAAAATATGAAAGAATTCATTTACACATTTTAAATATAAAGCATTTTTAATACATTTCTTAAATACAAGGTTTGCTTTGGCTCTCTTTTGTCAGTGTCTTAAAGAATGCCAATGTGAACACTGAACACTGACAGGCAAGGTATATATTTAAAACAGCCAACCGTGAGTTCAGCTACATTCAGCAAATCTCAGCAAAAGTTGGTGCGTTTGGATTAAACCTTCCCCCCCCATCTTTCCTTGAGAACAATAAACCTCATGAGTTTCTGTAGAGCTGTCTGCATCTTAAGGCAGACATTACAGGGAGAAGTGTGGCGGTCTTTTGTTTTGGTGCCCATACTTAGCTTTTGTTTAACTGCAACTAGTGTACACGCAGTCTTTAGAAATGGATTCTCGTTTGGAAGCAAGTCAGTACTTCCACCCCTGCAATTTTGTTCTTTTCTGCTATTGCATCCTACCCTTGGAGAATACTTCAAGTTTTAAAGACTGCTTGCCTGGTAGAACTTGGTGCTTTTGAATACCTGGTGGCAGCAGGCTCAGTTTAACTACTGCAGTACAAAACAGACATGTATTTCTTGAGCCATTTTGTTCCCCTGCCAAGGTATTCTTTTGTGCTCACAGTCCACAGCCACCCACGCCTCAAAGCTAGCCAGACCCATATCTCATTTAACTTCCAAGCAAGGCTGCAGGCAGATATTACCTTCAACAGGGGTGCTGCACAAGCAGAGGCTGTTTCCCTAAAATAAAAAGTAAAACAGGTTGAGCAAACAAAAATAATAATATTTTTTTTAAAAAAACCTCTTCCAAATCACTGACAAACCATTTACTGGGTGAGAAGCCTCTCTGGGAGAGTTCTTGTCTGGAAGGTGACAACCGGCAGGCCCAGCATGAACAAAGCTCTCCAGCAGAGACAAAGCCTGGGAAACTAAACTGCTCGTTGAATTTATATCTGTCCACTTCCCTAGAAAATTCATCTTTAAAGCACACATTCCTGAAGTAAGCAGGGGATTAAGAAATTTGTTTAGTTATCAACGCAAGCTACGTTTAAAGCCCAACTCTCAAGTCATCCTGTCTTGTGACTGTCGAAGGAGGGCATAAACCCTTTATGCACGATTAGCCAGCTTCTTTATAGGTCTGGAATCTCAGTAGCAGCAAAACTCAGAATAAAGTCGCTTCCCCAAAGCAGAAGCTTACCTGAACAGCCAACACCCCTGAAGTGATGCTTATCCAAACCCAGTCTAACCAATGTGCAGACTACTGTACACCTTTATAGCTTCCTGAACAGGTAGTCTGAACACTGGGCAGGCGGGGCTGGAATCCAGAAGCTTCTCTTCCATGTAATCCCGTTTTGTTCTCCTTTTGTAGGGTTTGTTAAGTAGAGCAGTTCCAGGGGAAAAAACCTACTTTGTCTCCTCTGACGTGGCAAAGTCTGCGGCTGAATCCAGTCTGGAAAATGGTTGGGGCTGTTCAGGAAATCATAGAGGGGGGGCGGGTGTGAGGTTTGTGGCCTCTGTATAAAGGAAAACGTCACTTTTGGGATTCTGCGTGTGCATGGAGGGAGGGAGGCAGGCAGGCAGGCAGGCAGCATCTGGAGCTATAAACAATTCCAGATGTGGGGTTTTTGCAGAGAGGCTGCTCTGTGTGACTCATATGGGGGCCCCTCACCAGTGCTAGCCTGCAACTTGTTAAAGAAAGCAGGGTTCTACAGCAAAAAGATTGAGGGAGCCTGCTTTTTGCTTTTTCAAGTCTTCCTTCCCAAAGTCCTGTATGGTGGATGTGGGGTTGCAATAGATTTCCACTGGCAAAGCCCTGTCCTTTTTCTAGTAAATGTTTGAACTACAGAACTCTAACATTTATACACTCAAAACAAGCAAGAACTGATTGCAGTAAGTGGCAGTAGCAAGAGCCTTATAAAAAAGAGACTAGCTCTGACTTTTAAATAACATCTCTAATGTTATTTAATGATGGAATGAAGCATGCTGGGTTAACATACTTGTGGATGGAATCCCTTATTAAGGGTTTATATGAGCACAGTGTGTGAACTTTGAACCAGACTCTTTAGGCCTCAATTAGAAGCTTGAAGCCTGGTGTGGGCATGCCAAATCTAAAACAGTTTACATTTAATCATCATTTTGGATGTCAGCAAATATTGTAAGATCAGATTTTCTTACTGGACTATTGAATGCCAGAACAAACCAACATGTATGACGTTTTGGGCTTTTCACCCTTCTTTATCCTCATAGGAAAAGGAGAAGAAATACATGCTCCCTCTGGACAACCTAAAAATTAGAGATGTGGAAAAAGGCTTCATGTCCAACAAGCACGTCTTTGGTATCTTTAACACAGAACAAAGGTAAGAGAAGTATGTCTCAGTGCTTTCTGATTCATGAGAAGCCATTTTAGGACCTTAGACTGAATTCAAATCTGGTAAAATTGCTGTGCTGATCTGTCCTAAACCCCTAGCCTGCCTGGCCGCAAGTCAGTATGTCAAGTCTGAAGTTCAATCCATGCAAGGAAAGTCTGAGGTCCAAAGGTTAAGAAACACAGTCCAGGGTCAATCCAAGTAGGCCAAGTCTGAAGTCCAGCAGTCAAGATACAGTCCAGGGTCAAACCCAAAGCTCGGTTCAGGAGCATCCAAGCCAAGGTCTACCAAAATAGGCAGTTGAGCAGACACAGCACCTCAGTTCTGCTTCCCTTTTGTTCTTTGCATGCTGATTGCAGCTTGATGAGGCATGTGATCCTCACCTGTTCTAAGCCTTCTCCAGCTGAGGAATCACACACCTCCTCCCAGAGCTAGCGAGCCTCACCTGGCCAGCTAGTGAGCTGGGCTGTGAGCCCTTGGCTGCCTCAGCCTTCTAGAGTGCCCCTCCTACTGCTCCCTATGCCTCAGAGCCCGTCATGTTCAGGGAAACAGGGGTCCCTCTGACTCTGGTAATGGGTCCTGCTGCTCTGGTTTCTGTGCACTGACCCCCATCCCCTTGCCATCCTTCGTCACTCTATGAGTACTTTCTTCCCCATCCCCTGCTTGCCCTGGTGTGTCGCAGTCCTAGCTACACCCCTCACTGGGATCCTCTTCCTCCTCCCCATCATCTTGCCAGTTCATGACATGATCTCACAGAAGGAGAGAGACTTTGTATGTTTCTTAAAACACTCTCTCTCTCTCTGACACACATGAGAAGTGTGCTGCGTGTTCTGTCCAGGCTTAGCAAGTCCTGAGGTCACATGTACACCAGAGGTTGATGGTACTTGGATGAATTGCTTGTTACACACGTCCTATTCAGAAAGACTTAATCTTGACACAGAAAGTATTGACTGACACTTTCTGCACTGTTGTCAGTTATCTTTAATGTCTTTGCTCATTGCCTGCTAAGTATTCAAGCTTAAAGAGTTTGACTTTACTCTCCTGTTCACATTATGTGATGGGGTTGGAGCTGCCTGAGCTAGGATTTTTCAAGGGAGTGGATCGCAGTGGAAAGACTTGGCTCTTTAAAAGACGATATTGTAAAGTATCTTTCTTGTCTTGGCTCAGTATGTAATTCGCCAAAAAATCTCCTTAAGAAAAGATATGGCAGGCATCTCTTACTAGGTCCAGCAGAAAGGTAAACCAAGGGAGGTGAGGAGTAGCAAAATGATGAAGGTCTTGAGCACAGTTAGAGAATCCTGGGCCCACAGACAACAATAGGCCTGTTGGGCCTCCTAATTTGACCGGCAAGGCTGTTTCTTCCTAGGCACACCCACCTGCCACTCACCTGGTGTCACGTGTGGGATAGTAAAGTCATGCTTGCAAAGGAATAGGCAGTCTTAGAATGCCCTCTTGAGTGTTCTGTTTTCAAGCACAGCATGCATGTGGTGCTGCTGAAACTTGGTGCTGCCCACAGTTTTGGCCAGGGCTCAGAATTGCAACTGTCAAATGTCACTAGCAGAGGATTGGCCACAATTGCATCTGGCCTGCTAGCCAAAGTGGTTCCCCATGTCTGCTTCGGAGTGCATGCCAAGGCATTTAAGTGGAAGCCAAAAGCCAATGGAAACCATACTTCACTCAGTACATGCAACTGTTATGGGCACCATTTGGCTAAGTAGAGTAGCACTCTATTCCATCTGTTTGGTCTTCCTACAGTCTCACATTCTACTGTGGCAATAGAGATTAGAACTTCAAAGTACTTAGAAAATAAAGGAATATATATATAACACCTTCCTATTACAAGATTCCTGTTGCTTGATGTGGACTTTCTTTCACTAACCCAATGACATTTGTTCTTCTTCCACTCCTCTCTTTTCTCCTGCTCCCCTAAACTAGGAATGTGTACAAAGACCTGCGTCAGATTGAGCTTGCGTGTGACTCCCAGGAAGACGTGGACAGCTGGAAGGCCTCCTTCCTCCGTGCTGGTGTTTACCCTGAGAAAGACCAAGTAAACATTTTTTTCCCTCAGTCCTTCAGCAGGAAGAGGGGGGTGGGTGGGTGTGCTGAAGGCCCAGTAGTGGTACTGTTGTACCAAGGATCTCCTAGCAGCTGCTGTTGCCTCTGGCTGGGAGCTGCTCTTGCCAATTAGAGGTTCCATCAAGTTGGGCACCGTACCTTTGACTGGGGGTAGTTTGCTGTCCAAAATCTTGGTAGGATTTCCTTAGAAAGAGAGAAAGTTTGTAGAAACTTCAGCTGTCTTCCACCCATACCCACCTCCTGAAGTTGTGTGGATAAGGCAGTGCCATTCTAGATGTGGAAAGTAGTATCTATGTAAGAGCTGTGAAGGATTCAAGAGGATGAGCCCAAAACCCAATGAACAAAGCAGGAATCCCTTTGTGCTTCTCCCAAAGCTATACAGGAAACGGTCATCTCCAAAGACTTGTGAGGGAAGCTGGGCATGCTCAGCCTAGGAAGAGAAAGCTGAGGCAAAGCACAAATCTTGAGGTTCTGGGTCAGGTGTGCAAGAGGCTGCTGTGATTTTAGCTGTATCAGCAAGAGCAAACCATAATAGTATACAGTGCAAGAATTAAACCCAATAATAAGGAAATAATTGTTCATTGCCAGCGGAGGGTAGGGAGAGAACACTTCAAATTCTCATTAAAATGCCAGTCAGCTCATAAGCACTGCAGATCTGGGTTAGTCCAAACTAAACCCATGCTATGATTGCTGGAATATTTGGGAAAGCAGAGATCAAATAATGAACTGGTACTCTCCCTGTGCTGATTCTTCCATAGGTCACCTAATGCTATCCAATTTTCTTCTGTGCAGGTGGAGAATGAAGAGGGATCCCAGGAAAACACCTTTTCCATGGATCCTCAGCTGGAGCGCCAAGTGGAAACTATCCGCAATCTTGTTGATTCATATGTTGGGATCATCAACAAGTCGATCCGGGATCTTATGCCAAAGACAATAATGCACCTAATGATAAACAATGTGAGTGGTAGTTGGATATTTATTTGTTTATTGTCAGGGGCTAAGCAGACATTGTTCCACCACTCTGCTGATGCACCATTATTATTATTATTTTTATTTTATTTTATTTTATTTTATTTTATTTTATTTTATTTTATTTTGCAAACTTAAAGAATGTAAGGGGAAGAAGAATTGTTTAAAAAATAAAATTATAAATATAAAGTAAAAATAATACTGATAGTAACACAAAAACACCATCAGGTGACATAATGGATAAATTTGCCAGCAGTGCATGCATCTTAAGTTAAACATATAAATTAATATAAGCCCTCTAGATGTCCAAAATAGGTATCCACATAATATTGACATCTATATGAAATATCTTCGTATAGATGTCAATTTTATGTGGATACCTATGGTCAGTGTAGTGAGGTCCTCAGACCATTGTGTAATAAACGGTGGGAATTTATCCTTCCAGGCTGAATCTTAACTCTCTTAGCAAACATTAGGGCAGGCATAGGCAAACTCCAGCCCTCCAGATGTTTGGGACTACAATCCCCATAATCCCTAGCTAACAGGACCAGTGGTCAGGGATGATGGGAATTGTAGTCCCAAACATCTGGAGGGCCGGAGTTTGCCTATGCCTGCATTAGGGCTTTCAAAGTCCACTTGCCCTGCTGTTAATCCCCATGCTATAACACTTTAAGAAGCTGTTCTCGGCAGTATACCTCCAACATCTGTCAATATTAGACAATGCTTTCCCATAAAAACATTGTGGAGTCCAGTACAGCAGTGGCAGAGGCAAGAGTGTCTCCCCCCCCCACACACTGCAGGTAAAACTCATGACCAGGGTTAAGAAACTAGTCTGGCTCATGGTCTTACTCCAGCCTGAATATACCATTTCCAGCCCCGTCACATTTGGACAGTGTCACCTCTTCTTTGTGCTTTCCTTCCACTACCCTCACAGACCAAGGATTTCATCCACTCGGAGCTGCTGGCCTACCTGTACTCCTCCGCAGACCAAAACAGCTTGATGGAGGAGTCTGCAGACCAGGCGCAGCGCAGGGACGACATGCTGCGAATGTACCACGCCCTGAAGGAGGCCTTGAACATAATTGGAGACATTAGTACCAGCACCATTTCCACACCGGTTCCTCCTCCTGTGGATGACACATGGCTGCAGTCAGGAAGTAGTGGGCATAGGTGAGTTGGGGTGGTGGGTTATCTGCTTCTGGTGTGCTTTATTTTTTTGTTAGGCACATGGGATGGAAGCATAGAAACCAGCAAGGCCAGAAGTTTCAAGTGACCTACTGCCAGAACTCCAGGAAGAGCCCAAGCACCTGTATTTGGCCCACCTACGATGTGATTTCAATACTTAACGACAAACTTGAACCTTGATCTATGCTTGTTGGTAGCCTTAAATCTTCAGTTGTCATTCTGCAGGGTCTTCATATAACATTGTTTGGTTCTGGGGTTGGTTGTACAAAATAACTCTTGTACAGAACGTGAAGCAGACAGTTCATACTTTAGCGTATGGGGTTTGGGGTTGAACCTGATTGCATTGGCTTCACTTTGCTGTCTTGAACGACACTAACTTACCTTCCCTGTCCTGGTGGTTTCTTTTTCTCTCTTTGGCAGCCCAACACCACAGCGCAGGCCTGCTTCGACTGTGTTGCCACCAGGGAGACCGCCAGCGGTGAGGGGCCCTATGCCAGGCCCCCCCTTGATCCCAATGCCAGCCGCAGGCCCTTCCTCTTTTGTGGCACCGCCCATTCCGTCACGCCCTGGACCGCAAGGTGCATTTGTTGCTAATAATGACCCTTTCTCAGCTCCTCCTCTGATTCCTTCACGACCAGCACGTGTTCCACCCGGCATCCCTCCAGGTGTGCCCAGGTAAGGCATCCTTCAGGTTCTCCTCTCTTTGCTGCTAGAGCAGATACTATAGCAGCAGCTCTAGAGCTGGGATGATGAACCTGTTGCTGCCCAGTTGTTGGGCTCTAGATCCCATCATCCCTGATCATTGCCATGAAGGCAGGGACTGATGGGAACCGGAGTCCAGCAGCGTCTGGACTCTAGAGCTTATGAGTCTTAATTTCTTTAACCCTGTATAACAATTTCTCTATTATCAAATTGAATGGGAGAATTCAGACCTGAAAACTGGAACATGGACCATGCAATACGTTAGCGTGGTACAAGTGCCTTAAAACAACTGCCTTAGAACAAAGGAAATCTATGAAAGCACGATCAGGTGTAACCTTTCCCTTCAGGGCCAAAGAGCTGCTTCTGCATTTTTCTCTCACCTTTTTTATTATATGCTTTATTGAGTTTAAAAAGAAGTAACAAACAGAAGGGTTATCCAGAATAGAGAAATAAAAATGGTAATATTTGTTACATCACATCACCTTACGTTCTTCTTGAGTTTCTAGCAACTTCCCATCACCCCATTATGTATCTACCACTTACTCTATCTAGCACACTGTTTATTTTTGTTTCCTTTTGTTAAATTTCATCAGTATAATATTCTCTTAAAATTATCCATCATACTACAGAAGTCATTCTAGACCTGCCACTGGCATCATGTTATTACAGTAATCCTTGATATATTTTTTATACATGTCCCATTTCCTAGTAAATGTTTGTTCAGTATGACCTCTCAGTTTTTCTGTCATTTTTGCCAGCTCGGCGTATTCCAACAGTTTACTTTGCCACTCCAGCTTTGACGAATTTTCTATCCTTTCCAATTCATAATGATTAATATTCTTGCAGCTACCGTGGCATACAAGAATATATCTCTTGCATTTTTAGGGATGTCTGAGCCTAGTATCCCCAGGAGGAAAGCCTCCAGGTTTTTTTTATGAAAAATCATTCTTTTGAGCTCATCATAAATTACCTCCCCAAATTCCTTTATTCTCTTACATGTCCCTCACATAGGTAACATTGAGCCTTCCACTTCCCCACATCTCCAGCATTTACTTGACATGTCCTTATACATTTTAGATAGTTTTAGTGGTGTCAAATACCAGCGGAATTGCATCTTCATAAAATTATTTTTCAAGGTGTAGCATGCGGTGGTTTCATGTTAACCTTCCATAGATTTTCCCAGGCACTCATTGGGATGCTATAGCCAAAAACTTGGGCCCACTTGACCATTACAGATTTTACCTCCTCCTCCATGAGGAGAGAGTTTTCACTTTAGAGTTAATCAGTTCTTTTTCTAATCTGGAGGGTTCTGTCGCAAAGCCATTCCTTTTGTCTAATTTGAAGTTTTTTAGTTTCAACTGGTTTTCTTCCTCTTTTAATAATACTTTGTATATTGGCCAATTCCCTTTCATATTTTTTTCTTCACTGCTAATGCTTCAAAGGGAGATATCCACCACGGAGTTCGATCTTTGTATTTTGCCCAAACCTTTGCCCAGATCTTTGTATTTTGCCCAAACCATGTAGAGAAATTTCCATATAATATGATTTAATTTTTTTGTTGATCTTAACTTTATCATAACCTACGTAGGCATGCCAGCCATACCAGTTGTCATGTCCTTCCAGGCCTAGAAGGCCTGTGTGCTGTAGTATACACCATTCCCTGATCCAGGAGAGATAGGCTGCCTTGTAATATAATTTCAAAATCTGGCAGGGGAAATCCCCCTCTTTCTTTGATATCAATTAACAGTTTATGTGTAATCCTGGGCTTTTCCCCCTGCCAAATATGTAGAGATGTCTTCATTGCAAGTTTTTGAGGCAGCCTGTCACTCCAATCCCAGGGATTGTCTGAAATAGGAAAAGCATTTTTGGTAAGACATTCATTTTAATGGTGGATATTCTCCCCCCAAAAGATAAATTTAATCTGCTCCATATTTTTAAATTTCTTTTAATTTCAATCCAGGTTTTAGCATAATTATCTTAGAATAAATTGATGTTTTTTGGCGTAATCCATATTATTGACCAAGAGCTTTGTTTTGGAACGGTTTAATTTGAATCCCACTACCTGCCCAAAGTTCTTATTTATTTCTAATACCTTTAATAAACTTCCTTTTGTATTCTCTGTCATAATAATAAGATCATCGGCAAACGCCTTTCGTTTATAAGCTTTCTCTCCTAGTGTTATTTCTTTTATGTTTTTGTCTTCCCTTATTTTTTTATTCAACAGTTCCATTACCAAAATTAATATTAGCGGGGATAGCGGACATCCTTGCCTTGTCCCTTTTCTTATTACACAATCTTCTGTAATGTTGCCATTGATGATGATCTTGGCCCATTGATCAGAGTATATAGCCTCTATTCCTTTACAAAACTGTTCACCGAACTCCATTTGTTGCATCATTCTTTTCATAAATCTCCACGAGATGTTGTCAAAGGCTTTCTCTGCATCCACCAGCATTATTACTGCTGGTTTGTCAATTCTGATTTCTAAATATTCCAACACGTTAATGATATTTCTGATGTTATTTTGCACTAGGCGTCCAGGGAGAAAGCCGGCCTGGTCCTCGTGAATGATGTCTTTAAGAATCGTCTTTAATCTTTTTGAAAGTATGTCGGCAAATAATTTATAATCATTATTTAAAAGGGATATTGGCCGATAATTTGAAACAATTGTTAAATCAGTTCCCTGCTTGGGAATTAAGGTTATAAAGCTTTCTGTCCATGATTCCGGTAGTTTCCCAGTCTTTACTATGTCATTCATTGTGTCCTTCAGTGGTTCAAATAGCGGCTATTCTAGCTTTTTATAATAATTTGCGGATAGGCCATCCAGGTCCGGGGCCTTCCCTGATTTTGCTTTATTGATTGCCTGTTGAACTTCCAGTGCAGAAATAGGAGAATGTAAGAGACTGAGTCTCTCCTTTGAGATCTTTGATAAATTGTTCTGCCCTAAGTATTCTTCGATTTTATCATGATTTTCTGTTCCTTCCCTGTATAGTTCTCCATAAAAAATTACAAAGCTTCTATTAATTTCCTTTGGGTCGTCAGTTATCTTTTCTCCAATTTTAATTTTATTTGTTATCCTGTCATTCTGGTTGTTTTTAACTGCCAAGCTAAGAGTTTGCCAGGTTTATTTGCAAATTCAAAGTTTCTATGTTTTCATATCTTAATTTTTCATTCAATCTCTTGGTTAATAATCATTGAAAATTGTGTCTGGTGCATTTTAATATTCTCTGGTTTCACCTCAGATCATATAAATCTTTCACCCTTTTTTCCTCTCCTTTGGTGCTCAAGAGTCGCCATGTTTCTTGAAACTGCATATTCTTCCTTGAGTGGAATTTCTTTTCTTTCACTGTTGCAGGCTTTGCAGAGGAGGAAGCATTCTCCATTTCGAAGCTCGTATGAGATTTAGTGGAGTGTATTATGGGAATATGTCTAGTTTTGAATTAGAGACTCAAGACAGCAGTGCTAGCAAGCAGACTGGTTTCTGTAGCCAGTGCTGTGTTTATTTCTCAAAACAACAGAAAAGAAGCAGAATTTAGCTGCTTGAGAATTTCAAGTTTCATCTTGAAACTGCTAGCTCTTACGACTTCAGAGATGTGTGTGTGTGTGTGTGTGTGTAAAAAATAAAGAGGAAAGAAGGAGGAAAGCCTTGTAGCCACCTGTGTAGCCAGCCACCTCCACAAATTTATCAGAAGCAGGATAAACTAATCTACACACTTTGCAGAAGTTAGTGTTTCTTGTTGCAGAATTTGGTTTATCTTCACACAGGATTTTTAAATATAGAAATAGATTACACCCTGAACATTTTATTATATCAGTATATTGGGCAGTCTCAACATCATATGGTGTTGGGGGGGGGGGCAGGGACAGACAGAATACAGTGCCCTGGTACTAGTCATTGTGTTATTGAGCTGGCTTGCACTCTGAAGGAGCTGTACAATCCAGTCTCTCGCATACCCTGCATAATGTTCACCCAGAACCACACCTACAGAGTCAAGCAAATTGGATTTTGGTGTCCATCCAAGTCACCCCTACTAGTCATACCAAAGGCAGACTTTTTTTTCCAGACAGGTGAAATATTGGGAGGTTGAGTGGTTCTCCGCTATCTAAAGAACAGTGATAAATGATGGCTTCTACCACTTCTATTTGTTGGCTAAATGTGCCACAAAATGTACTATTTCTGGGCATAGAAATGCCCACTCCACTATCCCACTTAAGCTGGGCATGAGAGTTGTGGGCATTAGCTTCACTTAACAATATTTCACAGTGATGTCTGTCCAGTTCTTCCTTTTCCGGTATTCATTTCTCTCCATCTGTTTTGTTCTCTCTACAGCAGAAGACCCCCTGCAGCACCGAACCGGCCCACGATTATCAGGCCTGCTGAGCCCTCCTTATTAGATTAACTACAACCACTACCAGGGAGAGCTGTTGCTTGTTAACTATATTGTGGAGAGAACTCATGCCTAATCTCTTGTGTAAAAGAGCTCTTTGCAATTGTGATGAACTGTAGCCAAGGCCCGTTTCCCGCTTCCTTCCTGTCTCCTTCCCTCCAGTAGCAGCCACCATGGGATGGGTGCTGTGGGTTGATTACTTGTAAATAGCTCTGAGAGGCCAAGCATTCCTTGTAGTAGTTCCCTCTCTGTCCTTGGGTCTTGGCTGGGGAGGGATTTGGTGACCTGAATCTTCTCTGGAAAATTGCAGGGGAGGGGTAGTTTCTTCACCCTCCTCTTGGTGGCCACACCAGACCCATTCCACATGGGAACATGGAGTATTCTGTTTTGTGGAGTTGTTTTGCACTTTGTTGAAAATACAGAAAGGATCCCCTAGTTGAGGGATTGGCAAGGGATTGCCTGTGAATGTGTGAAAGTGGCGAGTTTGCATTTCCACCAACACTTGTGCATTCAACACGTAGAATCTCCCTTCGCCATTCACATTAATTGGGTTTGTCCAACTCCTCAACCTCCCCACCCGGCTATGGATTTATTTGTATTATAATATATATATATATAATCTCCCCCCCCCCCCCCACTTTGATTGCCTTTCCTTTCTCCCTATAAATTTCAATGCAAGATTTGATCAGTTTATTTCCATTTTATAACTTTGAAAGGGGTAAAAACCAAAACAAAATGATGGGACTGCAGATAGCAAATTGCTTATAAATTCAGTTCACTGAACTAGAGCAAGATTTTGCCAAGCAGAATAATTGGAAAGAAGGTGGCACTGGGTTGCTTTTAAACCTCAGGTATACAGTTGATTTGAATGCCCTGCCACTCTCTGCACAACCAGTGTTCATGCTTAAACAGAGGCAGCTCAGCTGTAACCTAGATAAGCATGATTGTTGGTCCCTCCTATTTTACACCAGGAAGGCATTCTTGTGGCAGGAGTCACTTGGAGCTGTAATACCAACTGGCTGTTCCCCGACTGGCTATGACCATTTGTTACCTGCCCAGTCCATATGGAGAAGTGCGTGTGTGTGTGTACCAGGGTTTCGAAGTGTTTTATCAGGATTGTGATCCTCTGCACGGATTGTGGTCTCTGTTGGAAAGCCTTCCCCTCCCTAATCAGAAGAGGGACTTTGTCCCGTGAAAGAAATGCCCAGTGCTTGAGATCAGCTGTCCTGCAGCTTACCTCTGTGCCTCTAGGCTGAGGCAGATTCTTCATGGCAAACTGTGTCCATAATCTTACGACACTTGTGCCACAAGGTCCCACAGAAGCTTCTGTTAGCATCTGTGGTGTTTCGGAGTGGGGCGTTTGTGTGTTTGGGTTGGCTGCTCCACCTGTAGAGCCTTGGAGTTTGGAGTAACACTGGAGCCTTCTCAACAGCAGTAGTAAAGCACTCTGCCCTCCCTGGGCTGTGGTTGTATATATTTCTTACGAAAGACAGACTGTATTAATACTTGTATAAATTCTAGATTTTTTAAAAAGAGAAATCATCAGTTAAGCCCAGCCCTCATTATACAAGGCTATCAGGGATACCTCAGCCCTTCCTGAGATAAGATAAAAGGAACAGCCACACATACACCACCTGCCTTAAATGTTTCTTCCCTTTCTGCCTACCTGCAGCAGTAGTTCCTTGCTTCGTGTCCTGGAGGATATGACACTTCCATAGACGGTGCTAATTTTGTGCCTTTACTGCTTGAATTACATGCTGACTGCCCTAATAACCAGTGTTGCCTTCCTATAAATGTCCCTCTACTTCCAACGTCACTATCATGGACTTTTGACCCTCTCTTGCAGTGCATTTCATAACCTCGTGCCACCTACTGCCCACTGGTCACTTCTCCGAAAGCTGGCATTTGCTTGGTAGCATGGACCTCTACTTTTAATTCATTGTGTTCATATTTGCTTCCTCTTGACTCTTCCTGTTACCATGTGTGAAGGGGCTGTGGGACCTTCTCTCCCTCTTCTTTAGATGGAAAAAAAAGATCCCAACAGTTTGAGATAAGTGCCTCCATTATGTATCCTATTAATAAACTAAAATAAAGGGAAATTTTGCTGGTGGAAAATCTCTGGCAGCCAGTGGTGTTGGGGTTTGTTTGTGTGTGTGTGTGAGTGTGTGTTGTCTTTCATTGGTTCTCAAAATTTCTACACTCAGGAGGTAGTGAGCAGAAGAAACTAAAGCTCAAATCGAGTTTCCTTGAGGAGCTTCTGTTTACTAGCCTCCAACCCAAATGGCTGATTGTTTGGCCCTGCTCAGTTTGACTTTTGAATGGGAGGCAGTTGTACAATATCTCAATAAAACAAGCTAAACGTAACCCCAGTTAATAAGGCTTAAGGATATTTAGATATCCTTAATCAGTGTTCTCAAAGCTACCAGCATGAGTTTGACCAAACTGCGGGAGCCAGTGGAAGACAAGAGTGCCTGGTGTGCTCTGGTCCATGGGGTCACAAAGAGTCGGACACGACTGAACAACAATATATTAATCTTATATTTTTATTGCTGCCCACAGCCACTGATTCCCTTACGTTTAGCTGCTGTTTAAGGGCCATTTCCTGCCCCTTTCTCAAGCGATCATGCTCAATGTGATAACATCACAGTGCTTCATATTCGGGCAGATTTGGCTGTGTGCTGGTATCACTAAGGGCAAATGAAGTCTATTTACAGTCGGGGAAATTTTTTCTGTTACTGGTCACACAGGGTGTCCTAGACCATGAGGGATCACATACCAATTGAACAGCATTCGCAGAAAAGGATTGACCCAGTTGTTGTTTTTAAGTGCCACCTTACCCAGAGGACAGGTACCCCTATAGCTCTCCTCCCTCTCAAATTAAAACAAGTGATCATGGAACAACCAAATACAAATGAGCAAGCTTTTGCAGACAGCCTTTTCAGGGCACATTGGGACATCTTTTTGCAGCTGCTGCCTGCTATAGTAGTTTCATCATGGGCAGTCCCTGTAGAAAACAGGGGTGATCAAGCACTCAGAAGGGCTCTTACATGCTCAGCAATTGCACCTGCCTGGGGAGGTCTCAATACAAACAGTGTACCAGTTAGAAGATCTTGTTGGCTAGCAATGAAGAATGCGTTCATACTGAAATACTTGCAAGGAGATCCATGCTGTCAGTCTTGTGACAACTTCAGTTCTTGAGGAAAGGTACATATGCCATACTTTATAAAGCACCTAAATAGCATGACCTATACGATTTGACCAGAATAGTAGTAATTATTATTATTATTACCCCAGCCACTCTGGGCGACTTCCAGCAAAATATTAAAATACAATGATTCATCCAGTATTAAAAGCTTGCCTAAACAGGGCTGCCTTCAGATGTTTTCTAAAAGTCTGATAGTTGTTTATTTCTTTGACAAATGATGGGAGGGTGTTCCACAGGGTGGGCGCCACTACCGAGAAGGCCCTCTGCCTGATTCCCTGTAACTTTGCTTATCGCAGGGAGGGAACCACCAGAAGGCCCTTGGCACTGGATCTCAATGTCCAGGATTACATTATATACATTATATACAAGTATGTTCACATTTTCCACTATACTTCTTTTAAAAAATTAAGCTTGCAGTTTATTATAATGCTGGAGTTATCTCTTGCAAACATGAAGAGCAGAATGATGAAGGATGAACAACAATCAGTCAACCTCAAGAATGATGTTCAAAGCTACCTGCTAACTACAAAGTTATGTTCAACCTTCACTGTTGCAGGCAGCATGTCTCAGACTTCCCATAAGCATCTGGTTGGCCACTCTGAGTGTAGAATGCAGGACCCAGAAGCTCTTCTTACGTAGGATATTTTTGTTTTACAACAAATGTGTTTTTTAATTCCGTCTCTTAAAAAAGTTATTTACACTTTTTATGGATTGTTTTGTGTGCATCTGTCTTGCTAGCATCGCTAATTTGGCTGTAAATCACATCACAGCATTCTATTACTATACAAGTCCATTTAGAGACAATTCAATTTTTTGGTTATGAAAATAGTTTAGTCAGCTAATTGTAAATTTGATGATTTTAAAAAACCTGGTTTAAGATGAGAGTTAAGGCTCTCATATACTGGCTCATGCTCCGCAAAGTTCAAATACCAGAAGTGGAGACTTGATACCTTAACAGGTGTACCCTGTAGTCAGGAAAGGGTCATAAATTGTGCTTGCTTGCAACTTCCCATCCATGCCTCCACATTTTCCTTGGTCCTTCAGCTCCAAACCAAGATATTGCGGGGGGGGGGGGGGAGTGCCGGGGACCAGCAGAAGTGTCCCACCTTCTGCTGGTCCCAGGTGGGAAGTGTTCAGGGCACAGCTGTCAACGCTTCCCTTTTTTAAAGGGAAATTCCCTTACTCTGAATGGATTCCTTGCAAGAAAAGGGAAAAGTTGACAGCTATGGTTCAGGGCCATCTTCCTGTGCTTACTACCTCTAGACAAGAAGCACTCTCAAAAGGAAAAGTATGTTCCCAATCTTCTTGTAACCCAAGACCAATGACAGATTCAGGAGAGGACAAGCTCCAATTCAAAGACCATTTATTGAACCACAAGACAATGGCCTACACAATCTTAGAAAAGGGGTGAACACTGGCAGCCTCCCATTGTTATGCCAGGCATTCTCTGACATCAGGAAGCCCAAACAAAGTCTTTTTATAGTGTGAGCGTACACACAGCTGTTTCTTGCCGCCAGAATCCAGCTGATCTGGGATGCAGCTATGGGAACTGGCAGCATCCTGCCCTGAAGAGCAGCCAATGGAGTAGCATTGAACAGTTAGCTTGGGCTAATGCACTGCCACGTCCAGGGAAATTTTAACATACTAAGAATGTGAATTGAAATGCAGCAGCCCATCTGAAAGGCTATTTTGGGGTTGGGGATATCAATTCTCTTGAACGTTCAACTTTAATCTACAGTGAAAGTACCAGGAGTGTATTTCAGAAGTCCCTCAATAATGTCTTGTAGTGAGGGAACAAAGTTAAACTGCCAGGGCAGTGCTAAATTCTTCCTTTGCCCACTTGTTCTGCACAGCCCTCTCCCAGCCTGTCTCACTACTGATATCAGAGCTGAGCAGTCTGCTGGCATACCTGTGGCAGGAAGAAGAGAAGATGCACCACCCGCGCCCACTTTAAATGCAAATGTGCTTCAATCACAGCATGTAACAACACTAATCTGCCACCATTGTGTAATTTAGGCCCAAGTTATACTTGTGAAATTTCTCATATCCTAAATCCAGTAAGGAATTCCCAAGGTGCTCAAGTCCTGAGCAGAAGATAAACAGAGAAGAATTCCACCAGATGTATTCAAGACTTCATGTGCTCTGCAGGTCAGCCTTCTATAATCAGGAGTTTACTTGCTCAGTTCCTAACATTTAAAGATACTTGAAGAGTCTTGGAAAGGCAATAATTTCCTCCCAAGGGAATAAACTCAACCACATTCTGCTTGCTTTCTGCTGAAAATTGGAATGCTAGATCGGGGACACGCTAGCACCAAATGAGTGCAAAACCAGGCCTTTTCACCCTTTGCAGATTGCTGACCATGGGAGTCTTTAGCAGTGACAATACTCCTCATGTAGTCATGCCTGAGGAAAATCAAATGCAGACGCCTGGGTGGTAAAGATTACCAGTGCCACTAGGAGAGTTTTCTTAATGCCCTTAAGTATTGTGGGGCTTCTTAGGGCAGGGAGATTCCATGGAAAAAGCAGAGGCTAGGAACCTCTCAACAGCAAAAGTGGCCGGGGCGTTGCTGCTTCCAGCCAGACCAGCGACTTTTGCTAAGGCACATGTTGATGAAGTCTGATGCAGAATATCAAAGTTTTAAGGCCAAGAGGCAAACTCCGCTGCAAGCTGTAGTACATTGAGAAGCACCTGCCCTTCATTGTAAACATAGGAGCTATTGAAATGCATGAAGAACAGCTGTTTTTGCTTGTTGTGTACTGCCTAACATCTCCAGTTCTTGCACTCCCTCATCCTGCTCTCAATTTCGACAGGTTGCCACCATCGCACAAGATGTGGGGGTGTTCAATCCCCACCCCAAATCCCTCCCTTGGCTGTGATATTTTAACCCCTTCTGTAAAGAGACTCGTGACAGAAATGGCAGCTACACTTGGGACAGTACTGAGCTTTGGCAATATGGGAGCTGGCATTTTTCTGGATACCTGCCCCGTATTGGTAAAAAGGGGGTGCCATTTCTCCTCCTGCTACGTCCAGACCCTCCTCTTGTCCTCAAAGAGGCTTTTCAACATGTACACCTGGAGAAATGACACCACCAGGAGCACAGTGAGATTGACAGCTGACCAGAAGTTGACTCGGCTCAGGTTGCTTTCCTGTAAATTGCGGTCTCGAGCTTCAAAGGCTCGCAGCAGGGCCTGCATCTGAATGCTTCTCTCCAAGCGGCTCTTCATGGTTTCAATAGATTCCTACAATGGTGAGAACAAAGGAGAACAGATGTGTTGGGGGCAAAGATGTGTTTTGGGGGAAAGGAAACCATTGTTGCCAGTCAAATTCAAATCACATGGAGTCAGATTCTTCACCCAACAAATAATCAGGCACCATGTCTATTATTGTTAACCAAAAAAAAATTCATTGTGACCATCTAAACTCAAGCAATTTCAACATCCATTAAAAGGCCATGAAGAATCACTGTGCATTCATGTACCACAACCCCAGAGATAATTCCTTACAGATCTGTACCTTCTCTTTATGCTGACACAAATAATTTATCTGTTAAGATGCTGAAAAACCTTTCCTGGCTGGATTAAAAAATTACTCCTTTTGTTGCCTTTGCCAGCTCCCCCGTATGCACTGTTCCAAAGCAGTGAAAATGCAGGTTTGCAATGATTGCCAAAACCTATTAAGAGTAACAGCTAGTTTCATTTTCTTCTTTAACCGGAGTACTAAGCCACAAAGGCGGTAACAAGAAGACACCTGCTGTCTGCATTTCTGGTCTCAAAGTCCACGTTTACCAAAGTGCCTGGCAAGTACTGCTGCTACCAACCCAGAGCTGCTTAGCTTCAGCAGGGTGATTGCACATCACGTGCCTTCGGACCACACCCTGTGCACCGTGAGTTGGACACAGCATTCTCCCCTGATGTGCAGCTGAGGAGGAATTTTGTTAGATATACCTTTTTAAAAAAACAACAAAAAACAAGATTCCTGGTTTAAAACAAATACTACTCAGTTAAACAAGTCAGCTTTGTAACCTTATGACTTGAAATTGGCTAGTTGACCAACTTTCACTGTTAAGATTAATCAGGAGTCTTCCTTGAACCAAGTCACCCTCTGGTTTTTATCTCGGGGAGCTGAAAAGATTTCTGTCATATAGGTAATGTAAAATAAAATAAATGGGTCTTGAAACAACAGGGAGCTGCTTTCTGAACACAATTTCTGGAACACAGTGGAAGGGCTTTGATTAACCTCTAGTATTAACCCAAAATTACTCATGAGTCTATTTCAAATTTATGTACCTATGTAGTTGATGGATTATTTAATTTCTATACTGCTTAATATATCGAAAATGTATCTATGTGGTGTACAAAAAAACTGAAGGCACAACAGATAATTTTTTTTAAAAGGTCATGAAACTACAGTGTTACCTATAAAAATGCTACATTAATACAAAGTTACACACACAGACACTAACCCACACAAGTGTGTCAATTACCATGTTCACCTCTTCAGCAAAGCCTAAATGGTAGGTCTCTGGGGCAAAGCCACTAATGTGAACATCCTAATTTATTAAGCCACTAGCCACATATTGACAGTAATGATGGGAAGATCCATTCCACCCATAGGACTTGGGTTGATTTGCAGGGCTTTGGCCAGCGCTTCAGAAATGCAGGGGCTCTTTCCCACCCATCCCCATCAGGCATGGGGCATTTGGAAAAGGGGAGTGAAGATCCAAGAAAGGAACTAATTGTTAGGCTCCCATTGTGGAGCATTCCTCCTGCATCAGCTAAATACCTGGAAGCCCAGGCAGCAGCTGACCTCGTCTGCTATTGGCTGACCCCATCTGCTTTGTCTGGCAATGTTACTCTGTGCATGGTTGCAGGAGACTGGAGCTATCCTGGTCTCTTTCCCATCGAATGCCACTGTTATTCTGCCTAACTCCACCACATCTCAGCACTAGGCATTTCCCCTGAAGCCTCTTTGCCCACCTTAATGTCTTCTATCTTTATGTCAAGCATCTCTTCTGGTTCGGCGACTTCTGCCCAATTGTTCAAGTCCTCATCTTCCTGGGCGCTGTCAAAGATCAGCTCAAAGAACACCAACTTCTCCGATATAGTGCTGAAGGAGTTGTCAAAGCACAGCTTGTAATCCCCTCCCTCCGTTGGCTCAACGCTGAAAGATACCAACAAAGAGGATGAGCGAAGGGCTGCGTGATGAAGGCAGCTATATCCTACAAAGCTGGAGTAGCCAAAGTGCATTTTTAAAAAATCAAAAAACAGATACACAAACTCTTCATACTTTTGCTGCTTGTAAAAGCACCTGGACCATGGGCAAGCAATGGATTTCTCGTGAGTATCCCACGCCTGGGGGGGGAAGCAATGGAGGGTGAATGGAGCCCACTTCCAGCCCTCGCCGATGCTGCGGGAGTGACCCCCACTGCCCACCAGAGCCAAGCAGCGGCGCAGGGCTAGCAGGGAGGCGAGGAGCAAAATGCACACACCCACCCCAAATGCACCCAGAGCCACTGCCCCTCTGGCCCTCCCCACACAGTGCCACTAGCCTTCACTCCAAAGCATAAAAGAAGCATGACTCACGTGTGAACCCCATCGGATCTCCGGTATTCATCAACCAGCAATGTGCCTGAAGGACTTTCCAAGGAGAAGTCAACGTCCAGCCCTGCTCCACCAATAACCTAAATGGCAATAGCAAGAGTTGGATGATGGAAAGAGCTACTATGCCCAGAAAAGCCACCAATGATACAAGAAAAGTGGCAAATGGCTACAAATCTTTATTTGAGTATCAGGCAACCAGTTGGGGCTGAGCAACTTTTTTAAAACCCAGCCCGCTTTGCAAGACTGTTGTGAGGGTAACTACGCCAGGCAACTAGGAAGGAAACAATAAAAACTTCGAAATATTTTTTATTAGTTTTCACAACATTATCAACAAACAAACACATAAGACAAACAAACATAAATCATAGCCTTATTAAAAATTACACTTATTAACATTGTTAAGTGACTTCCTCACTTCCCCTTGGTTGAATTTCATTGCATGTCCTTTTAACGGTTTTCCAAATCACAGTTCTTATAAAATTTAACTTAAACATTAACATCCTTAGATCTTCACATTATGAAATTAAACATATTAATTCATCACTTAACTTAAATAAAAGTTAAGTTAAGGAAACAATAAAAACTTGGCAAGGCAATGGCAAACGGCTTTTAAGAGGGATCTGTCAGATACACTGGCTGCTCAAACTGTCTCGAAAAGTTACAGGGTTTTGTTGTACTAAGTACCATTTCCCCTCTGAAGAACAAACGTGCGAGTCATCTGGCTGCTGATAAATCCACACAGAACGCAATACTCCATGGCTCTGCCGGCTTAAAACGCAGCCAGGTCATTCATTCCCACCCAATTCGGATCAAAGCTGGTTTGGTGGTGGCGCGGGGGGGGGGGGGCGTGTAGGGGAAGTGCATAAAAATGCAGCGTTTCCTAAGAGATACGGATCGCGACTAACGTCCTCCTGGATGCGGAGCAAAGGGCAGCGCTGTGCGCGCACAGTCTCCGTCGCGGTAGCCAAGGGGGAACTCCACCTTCGGGGGCAGTCTACCCCCCCCGGTCCCTTCTGCCACCACCACCGGGGGCTGAGCAGGAAGAAGGGGGCCGGTTGCCCCCCCTCCAATCCCCATGCGCCTGGTTTTGGGGGCCGGATTGTGGACCCCTACCCAGCCTCACCTGGTACTCCAGCTCCATGGAGCCGTTGCCCGGCGCGCCCTGGTAGAAGCACTCCCGGCGCCCGGCCGGCAGCAGGAAGGTGAACTCGGCGTCCTGCGGGGCGGGCGGCGGCGGCGGGTGGGCTTGGCCGGGGACCCCTCGGGGCGCCCCCAGGAGCAGCAGCGGCAGCCCGAGCGCAAGGGCCGCGGCCGCCGCCATCGTCGGGGTCCTTCCTGGCGCCGGAAGGAGAGCGGGGCCGGGCCGCCTCCTTGGAGAGGAAGAGGCGGCCGCGCTCGGGCGGGACGCCGGCGCCGGAGGGCGCGCACAGAGCAGCCGCCGCCTCGCGCTCCGACGGGGCCCGGGGCCGCATTTTTCTTTCTCTCTCCCTTCTGCTTATTCGTTATTCGATTTGTCCGTCGCTTTGTCTTTCTCAGGGCAAGCCGAAGCGGCTGATCAGACAAACTCGGCGGGCAGGAAGCCGCGCGTAAAGGAGGCAGCGTGGCTCGTGTTATCCGCTGCATGGAGCCCATCCTCTTACAAAAATATTTCCGGGGCCCTTAGCCCATTGCAGAATTGGTTCCCCCGACTGGCCACGGGGGCAAGAGACCCGACAAGGGGCCTTGTCCTCAAGCATATCCTCCAACATTGAATAGGGACATTCTTTCTTTCTTTCTTTCTTTCTTTCTCTTTCTTTCTTTGCTAAATTCCCCCCCCCCCGTTTTACATTTTAGAATATCCATTTAAACAACCTTAAATCAATGACTTCCCTTCTTCTCTTTCCGTGGTTCAATTTACATACCATAAATCCCTGCATATTTTACATAAGCTAAACCATTCAGTATTCCATTCTTACATCCATCAAAACTTATCTACACTGTTAAATTTATCTTGAATAATGCCAGCGTTTTTAAATGTGCACAATTTTCACCCATATTCAATAAACATTTTCCAATCTTCTTTAAATGTATGTTCTCTTTGTTCTCTTATTCCATACATTGTTGTTGTTATACCCCGACCATCTGACTGGCCTGTCCAGCTATTCTATGAGTGGCTTCCAACATACATAAAGACATAATAAAACATTGAAACAACTTCCCTATACAGGGCTGCCTTCAGATGGTTACTTATCTCCTTGGTTCCGGGTGTTAGAAGAATTCAAAGGTCTCAAATACAGAATAAAAGTAAAGGTACCCCTGACCGTTAGGTCCAGTTGCGGATGACTCTGGGGTTGCGGTGCTCATCTCGCTTTATTGGCCAAGGGAGCTGGTCATGTGGCCAGCATAACTAAGCCGCTTCTGGCGAACCAGAGCAGCGCACGGAAACGCCGTTTACCTTCCCGCCAGAGCGGTACCGATTTATCTACTTGCACTGCATGCTTTCGAACTGCTAGGTTTGCAGGAGCAGGGACTGAACAACGGGAGCTCACCCTGTTGCTGGGATTCGAACTGCCAACCTTCTGATTGGCAAGCCCTCGGCTCTGTGGTTTAACCCGCACAAATATTCATAAATGCACACATATCCAAATATATAACCCACATGTCTGAAATAGTACAGGAGAGCAATCCTGAAGTCATTTTGACTCTCCCAATGACCTGAAATATTCCTCTGCAGTAAGGGAGGCAAATAGGGAAAGCCTTCCCATTGTCTTTTTGCTTACAAATCCTGTCATTCACGCCACATGGGAGGTATAGTTGCGTATTCTAAACAGTGCTGGATCTCTGCCCATGGCACCCTGTTTCATTGTCACAGGGAGCACTCTGGGTTCTGCAGGGCTAGACAGGACACTCATTACAATAGGGAAGCTATTACAGTAGTTACAAAGCAACCAGTGATTGTGCGTTTGTTGTGGCAATGGATTTGAGAGGGAAACAATAAAGTCATATTCGCAACAGGAAGTTGAAAGGTCTTGTAACTTTGGACAGATTGCAATTTCCTCCTTAGGTGTCGAAACTCCACATTAAGCAAATTGTCTTCTCTCTTTTTTGTTCTTTCACATCTTGCAAGGAATTTGCAATGAACAGTTGGCTTTTTCCATCTCTGTTTACAAAATATACAAAATGCTCCACAAAACCATGGATCTGAAAATTCTCTTTCTTCTGCTAGCTGGTATGTTTTCTGCTATTTTTTTACGCTTTCTTTTGTGCAAGGACTTTCTGACGGCTACCCCAAAGGGAGAGGGGGAAAAATGAAGGGAGGAAAAACTAACCAGGTGTTAGCTTGTACGGTAGGCAACTTACTGTCAATGTTACACTGAGATGTTGACTTTTCGAGTAGGCTTTGGCCTTACTAAACCATTGGATGGGATTCTAAGAAGACCTGTTACAAAGAGGAGGGCTGAAGGTGAGGAAACATTCTTTGATGTTAAACAGCCTGCAATGCTCAATTAAAAAAAATAAAAAGATTAGAAGAGGAAACGAGGCTATGCGAAAACACGGGTAGTCACAATTGTGGCCTAAATAACAAATTCATATCTGACAAGGAAAGAGGTCATAAGTAAACAAAGCAGGCTGGAATTTTTGATAGTGTTCTATAATATTCAGTTTTGGATAGTGCCCTGTTGCACACTTTCAGGGAATTTTGTAAGGTGTGTGTGCAAGAGCACAAAACCAAACATTACCATCTCTATCATGTTTCATATGATTCTTGTTTATATATTACAGCTGATTCCTGTTTATATAATTTTGATAATTTTGATGATAATTTTGATGATGATGTTTTGCCCAAGCATTAATGTAAAACATCAGAACTTTTTCTTTTATTTCTAAAAAGCTTTCTAAATAACTAAAGCATTTTATAAATATTAAAAAGCCTTAGGGAAGGCTTTTCCCTAAGGCCAAAATTTGGATAGGTTCTTAAAACGACGTTAGAAGCACAAGAAGAGCAAAGTAGGTTCACTGCTCATTTCTGAAGCTGAGAAGCTTGCAAGCATGGTGTGAATTTTGCTCTGTGGCATTTGCAACGTTAGAGGAAGAAATATGAATTGGCCTCCAGGGGCCCAACAACATCATATGTAGCCAATTTTGTGGCGGAGTTGAACGGATTCTGCTGTGCAGTTACATTATAGAATGGTTAGAATCATAGGAGTATAGCATCTAGATCAAGGGAAGTAATAGTGCCACTGTATTCTGCTCTGGTCAGACCTCACCTGGAGTACTGTGTCCAGTTCTGGGCACCACAGTTCAAGAAGGACACTGACAAACTGGAACGTGTCCAGAGGAGGGCAACCAAAATGGTCAAAGGCCTGGAAACGATGCCTTATGAGGAACGGCTAAGGGAGCTGGGCATGTTTAGCCTGGAGAAGAGGAGGTTAAGGGGTGATATGATAGCCATGTTCAAATATATAAAAGGATGTCACATAGAGGAGGGAGAAAGGTTGTTTTCTGCTGCTCCAGAGAAGCGGACACGGAGCAATGGATCCAAACTACAAGAAAGAAGATTCCACCTAACCATTAGGAAGAACTTCCTGACAGTAAGAGCTGTTCGACAGTGGAATTTGCTGCCAAGGAGTGTGGTGGAGTCTCCTTCTTTGGAGGTCTTTAAGCAGAGGCTTGACAACCATATGTCAGGAGTGCTCTGATGGTGTTTCCTGCTTGGCAGGGGGTTGGACTCGATGGCCCTTGTGGTCTCTTCCAACTCTATGATTCTATGATTCTATATAATTGTAGAATTGGAAGGGACCCTAAAGGTAAAGGGACCCCTGACCGTTAGGTCCAGTCACGGACGACTCTGGGGTTGTGGCACTCATCTCGCTTTATTAGCCGAGGGAGCCGGTGTACAGCTTCTGGGTCATGTGGCCAGCATGACTAAGCCGCTTCTGGCGAACCACAGCAGCGTACGGAAACGCCGTTTACCTTCCCACCAGAGTGGTACCTATTTATCTAGTTCCACTTTGACATGCTTTCGAACTACAGTGGTACCTCGGGTTAAGTACTTAATTCGTTCTGGAGGTCCATTCTTAACCTGAAACTGTTCTTAACCTGAAGCACCAGTTCAGCTAATGGGGCCTCCTGCTGCTGCCGTGCTGCCAGAGCATGTTTCTGTTCTCATCCTGAAGCAAAGTTCTTAACCTGAAGCACTATTTCTGGGTTAGCGGAGTCTGTAACCTGAAGCGTATGTAACCTGAAGCGTATGTAACCTGAGGTACCACTGTACTAGGTTGGCAGGAGCAGGGACCAAGCAGCGGGAGCTCACCCCATCGTGGGGATTAGAACTGCCAAGCTTCTGATCGGCAAGCCCTAGGCTCTGTGGGTCATGTATTCCAACCCCCTGTAATGCAGGAATCTCAGCTAAAGCATCCGTGACAGATGGTCATCCAACCTGTTCTTAAAAACCTCCAATGAAGGAGAGCCCACCACCTTCTGCTGTGAACAGCTCTTACCGCCAGAAAGTTCTTCCTGATGTTTGGTCAGAATCTCCTTTCTTGTAACTTGAAGCTATTGGTTCCAGTCTTACCAACCGGAGCAGGAGAAAACAAGCTTGCTCCATCCTCCATGTGACAGCCCTTGAAGATGGCTGTCCTATTTTCTCTCAGTCTTCTCTTATCCAGGCTAAACATACCCACTCCCTCAACCGTTTCTCATAAAGCTTGGGTTCCAGGCCCTTCATCATCTTGGTCGCCCTCCTCTGCACACATTCCAGCATGGCAATATCCTGCTTAAATTGTGGTGCCCAGAACTGGATGCAGGACTCCAGGTGGGGTGCATTGGTTTGCTGTACTGCTTCTTTAACTTGAAGACCTGAGCAGAAAAGGAGGGCAAGCACAGGCGCCTCTGATGTGGTAATTGTTGGAAAGGAGAAGTTGCAGCATTCAGAGCAAAGGGTAGGAGAAAGGCTCGAGTGGTAGGCAATTCCAAACATTTATTTTATTGAAAATTTCCAGTGGACAGATAAAGTGAAAGAATTTGAACAAGAAAGGAAAAGTAAGAGGTTTGTATCGATACATGAAAGTTGGGTTTTCTGAGCTTGGAAGTAGGGTGACAACAGAAGCTTGACAGGAAAAGTATTGAGGCAGGGTGTTTTGATCATTATCTTATGTCCTCTTAAAATGGTGGTTAGGTAAAGGTAAAGGTACCCCTGACCATTAGGTCCAGTCATGGCTGACTCTGGGGTTGCGATGCTCATCTCGCTTTATTGGCCGAGGGAGCCGGCGTACAGCTTCCGGGTCATGTGGCCAGCATGACTAAGCCGCTTCTGGCAAACCAGAGCAGCACACGGAAACGCCGTTTACCTTCCCGTCAGAGCAGTAACTATTTATCTACTTGCACTTTGACGTGTTTTGAACTGCTAGGTTGGCAGGAGTAGGGACCAAGCAACAGGAGCTCACCCCGTCACGGGGATTCAAACCACCGACCTTCTGATTGGCAAGTCCTAGGCTCTGTGGTTTAACCCACAGCACCACCCATGACCCAAAAATGCTGGTTATTCCACAGTAATTGCCCAAGGTGGAAACAGCCTTAACTAGACAGCCAGTCTGAAAGCACCCAAAGAACACCCCACCCCACCCACCCAGTCTAAGAACACCAGCTCTGAATTTTCTGAAAATTTGACCATAATGCTTATGCCTGTTTTTTCTTTTTTTTCCATGATTTGAGAGCTCACAAAAACTGATCAAGACAAGACAATCTATACCACATCTGCTGTAGAAAAGACTAGCATTGCTTCAGCAGATTCCTACTTGTACAATCGCTTGGCTGTGCCTTTTGAAAGTACCACCTCGTTACTGATGAAACTTATTATTATTATTATTATTATTATTATTATTATTAAAACCTCACTCTTTCCATTGTGCTGTTTCAGGCTCTTGGGTGGCTTCCAGCCTTCTTCCCTCTCCACTTATTTTTCTGGATGTGCTTTCCGAGACACTCAACGAAGGAGACTCCATTAAGATTGCTTGTTTGGCACCCAGGCAGTACAAGGATGCCCTGTTTTATTTGTTCAAGGTGAGCCATGGGGAGCCGCTGCAGGTTGTGCATGCCGCAGAAGCACAGCACCAAGTTATTTTCCTTCTGGAGAACATCACTCGCAGTGATGGAGGGCAGTACAAGTGCCAGTTTGGCGTCTACAATGGAAGTGCATTGAAACCGTCTGAGTTTAGCAACCTCCTTGAGATTACAGTGGAAGGTGAGTGCTACCAAAGCTTGATGAGCTCATTTTGGGGGATTGGTCGCACCCGCCTTGCTTGCAAGCCATGACCAGCATCATACCCCATAGTAGAGGCTACGCCAGAGCTTTCCAAACTGTGTGTCGTGACATGTTAGTGTGTCGGCTGCAGTGTTTAGGTGTGTTGTGTGAACGCTCCCTGTGCTCCTCCCGGGGCTAGAAAGGGGTTAGTTTAACCTCCGGTTTGTCAGGAAAATGGAATGGTGCATGTCTAAAAAGTGTCATCGGCATGAAAAGGTTGGAAAGCCCTGGTCTACATAGTATGGTGAGAGTCTTGACTTTTGGATTCTAGTGCAGAGGTTCCCAAATTTCCCCCCCTCTGGGTCACACTTTCAAAATAAAAATTTGCTCGCGCCACAACAAACATATATATGAATGAAATACACTTGGGGGGGGGGACAATTCCTAGCAATTCTTGATTTATAACACAGAACACAACTAAAATAATTAAAAATATGTTCCAGTGGTGTCCAAACGTTTTTCAAAGAGGGCCAGATTTGATGAAGTGAAGGGCCGTGAGGGCCGACCAAAGTTGTGCTTTTAGGATTGAAGTTGTTGAGGTTTTCTTTGGATTTTACCCCAGGAAATAAACTGCGATAGGCCGGATTAAACCGACCAGCCCCTGAAACAGCCTTTGGACATGCCTGGTTACCAGTGGTGTAGCGTGGGTTGTCAGCACCCGGGGCAAGGCAAGTAATTTGCGCCTCCTAGAGTGAGTGAGCCAGGTAGGGGCAGAAAGCTGCGAGTGCGAGCGCGCCCCCCCAGATGTTGCGCCTGGTGCGGCCAGCCCCCCCTGCACCCCCCACGCTACGCCACTGCTGGTTACTATACTGCACTGAAATGTTAAAATGCTTCTTTGATTATCCTGGAATCTTTCCCACCACACTTGCCATCCTCTTCTGCCACATCAGTGTTGTGTGCCACAACCTTGGAGAACCATTGCTATAGGGAAAAGGTTGGGAATATGTTCACAGAATCACAGACTCATGGAGTTGGAAGGGACCATAAGTGTCATCTAGTCCAACCCCCTGCAATGCAGGAATCTTTTACTCATGGTCTCAAAACCATGACCCAGAGATTAAGATTCTCATGCTCTACCAACTGAGCTATACCTTAGTAGGGATATCCCTTGCTCTGGCAGGGTTTTCACAATATTGGTCAGGGCCTGCAATTAGCACCTGACAAACTTGGAAAGCTGTTGGAGCACTAAAAGGGACCACCACTGATTCATTTCCTAAGCCCTCCTCTTAAAAACAAACAAACCCTGGCCTGGTATTCTTAGAAGTGCTGGGCAGTCTAGATAGTATGCAGAGGATCATGATATCTCTCCCTGGAAGGTGATGGGACAGAAAGGAAACATAAACAAGCTGTAAAGAAAGATTAAATTGATCTATGAAACCCAGTGAGCTTTGTGGCTGAATGGGTCCTAGATCAACACTTGAACCATTGCGCCACAACAGTGTATGTATAAATTTCGTATAAATTTTAATTGGTAGTGCAGGTCCAGGGTGGAGTGACTTTGGGGATGGGCAGGAAAACACAACCTGGAGACATTCTGTCAAGCTCTGCCCACTGGTGTGACTCACGAGCAGTGGAATAGCAATCAATACCCATGTCAGGAATGTGGCTCACCAGAGCGCAGGGGAAGAGTCAGGCTGAGAAACTGAGCTAAGTGAGAGAGAGAGACAGACTCTGCAGATGAGAGCTGTCTGACAGAGCTGAGAAGGGGCAGTTCGACCCCGCCCCTTCCTGAAGAAGACACTGTTAGCTCTCAAGAAGCGGGAGAGTTAGGAGGCAGCCAGAGTGTTGCTAGGCAATCAGCAGATAAGCAGAGGACTGAGACTGTGTCAAGTGAAAGTGGGGAGGGGGAAGGCCAGCCTCTCAGTCCCTGTTCTAGGAGACTGGATAAGATCAGAAGACAACAGAAGGGCGAGAGGGGAAGGGCGGGAGTTTGGCATCCTTCCTGCTGTGGGAGGGGCAAAGATTCAGACTGACCAACTATCGTCAATGTGAGCAGGCGAGAAGCCATGCTCTTGATGTGTTTTTTTGTAAATAAACATACATAAAACTGCCAGAGACTCATTACTTCTTATCAGGGCTTGCTTGCCTGCCTGAGATCATTGCAATCCATGACTGAAAAAAAGCCAGAATATGTAGAAGCTGATGTACCAAATGTGCCCACAGAAAAACTGGATCTTTTAATTATCTGGAAGCACCCTTTTTTTGTTCCTGGAGACCATGTTTGGCTCTTGTAAGGGTGGGGAGATGACTGATTTTAGCAAACCACTTTTTATTTTACATTTATACATTCCTTTCAAAAAGGAAAAACTGCCCGGTCATCTCTTCTTTTTCTTTTTTGTTTCAGCATCCAGCTTGACCACTTTCCCTCCAACAGCTCAGCCAAGATCTGATTCAAAAGGTAGGCGCTAAAGGGAAGATGAGCAGTGAGTGTTTGGGAAACGTGTCAGAGGGCCGTTGGGGAAATGTTTGGGGAAAGATGCACGGAAGTGCAGCCGAAAGGCCTTTTGGAGCCTACCTGGGGCAGGACACTGCTCCACACTCCAGAAAAATAGATTTGTATTTTCTTGCTTTGTTCTCTTGCATTAACTGTAGCTGACTTGCTGCCTCCATTTCCAGGTCCATTCTGGGTTCTCCCCGTTGTCCTGAGTGTAGTTGGAGTACTGCTTCTGGCTGTGATCCTGCTGGTGGCCGCGATTGCATTGAGACGCTGTATGTGGAATTCAGAAAATGAATATGTCTAATCTTCCTGTTTAAGGGCACTGGCCAATAAGGATGATGCCTAGCCTAGGTTGGAGACCTCTAAGACTTTCTTACAGACCCTGTTTCACTTTGTGGCCTTTTGGTATATTACTTGACGACAAAGATTTTGCCAAAACAGTCCCTAACCGTGAGTGCACGATACGCGACAGTGATGGGAAACTGGATGAGGGGTTAGACTGCTAGACAAGCTTTAGCTGTAAAATATCTGAAAGATTTATAGTCTCTCTGCTCTGAAAGGTAATTACTTTCTTAAATGGAGAATCCAGATGACATCATTATCAGCCCATTACAGACCAATGTTTTTCTTTAGTAATAATATACAATATGAGCAGGAACAGCACTATTATGGCTTTCTAGGGCTACTGTGTCTTTAATTAGAAGTTTCCTCCTTGTAACCTCTGTAATTAGTTCCTTCCCATTCACTGTGAGATTGGCCTTGAATTAATCAGTTACCGTACTGTTTTTATGCAGAGAGGCAGAATATTTTAATTACTGGTTTCCTCTTTGCAGCCAAAGAAATAACTCATTTTTTAAAAAACACTGTTTCATCTAATTGCGACTGTGTGTTTAAAAAGAAAATGAATATTAGTATCATCCTCCTCATCCCTTGCTTCCTGTAACATCTCTCCTGATTAAAAGCTTGCCACCAGATTGTGACATTTTGGTTGGTCCTAATAAAGATATCATCCAACTATAGATTTCTGAGGTTTTCTTCTTATGGACCAACACTGCTACCTTGTCTGTGCATGTGTGTAGAATATGTGAATACTTATTTTTGCATCTTTTTTTCTTTATTGTGTATTTTCCCCATATTTGTTTCAATTAAAAACAAATTTCAATTTAAAAAAACTTTAGCTGCAGAGAGGAGACCAGTAATTAGCCCCCACTCCAGCAGCGAACAGGAACTGACTAAGGAACAATTTAGCTGAACGGGGCTATTATAGGGACAGAAGACGCAAAGAGGAAGCTTCTAGTTAAAGGGGAAACTGAAGAGGACCTTTGCTGAATGGGACTTACTTCTGAGTAAATATTATAGCAGTGTTCTGGCCATGGGCCTGAGCATTACTATATAATAGAGTTCTATTATTAATTGCCATGTAGAAACACCATTTTCAATCCACTTCCAGCTGATTATGGAAAGCAATGCCTCAGAAATGCTAAAGGGTCCTATAGCATAGCAGGAAGCACTAGGTACAGTTTCTTACTAGCAGTGGTGTGCGGTCGGTGAACGTGGCAGACTAGGCCAGTCCCACAAATGTTCCTGGTAAGTTAGAGTATTTAAGTCTTAAAGTCTGGTGCCTCCCTCCCGAAGCCTGGGAAGCGTCTACTTTGCTTAGGGAGCGAGGCATGATGCTCCAGACAGGGTCCAAGAGCCCTCCTGCCACCTTCCCACAGCCTGATTTTGGGAAGGAGGCAGGAGGTCTTTAGCATCCTGTCAGAGGCATGGCTCCTCCTTCCCAAAGCCCAGAAAGATGCTCACGTGCGTGACATTTCTCCACCCCACCCCCATTGCCCTTGCAAGCTGGTGCCTGAGGCCCTATCTGTTCTCCTATGAAAAATTGCACTGTCTGAGCAGTTTCACCTTAGTATTCACATTGCTGACACAGTTCCGGTTCATAGCTGTCAACCTTTCAATTTTTTTAAGGGAAATTCCCTTATTCCGAATAGGATTCCTCGCAAGAAAAGGGAAAAGTTGACAGCTACGTATCTGCTTAGTTAATCCTTGTCAAGGTAAAAATGCCTTGCCATTTCCACATCTGGCCAGTGTGTGAAGTGGATTGCCAAAGCGTGTGCCGATGGCAGCGAAGCATGGCTGCTGCACACATCAACAACCCCTCTCGTTGGGTGCATGCACTTGAAACTCCCGGATCTCTGTTGGGAATAAGCCCTAGAGCTGGCTATGAAGGGGCCCGCAAGGACAGAGCAATGTATGCCCAGGTATCTGCAGGGCGGTAAGAGAAGCCATTGTTGTGCATGGGGGTAAAAGGCAGGAAATTTATAACTCCTAGAGGGTCACAAGCTGCGTGACGTATGCCATAAGCATCTCCACCCCCACCGTCCAGCCCGGACACTGAGGTCCAGCTCCGAGGGCCTTCTGACGGTTCCCTCACTGCAAGAAGCGGAGCTACAGGGAACTAGGCAGAGGGCCTTTGGGGTGGTTGCACCCACTCTGTGGAATGCCCTCTCAAACAGGTAAACAGCTAGGTGATTTTTAAAAAAACATCTGAAGGCAGCCCTGTTCCGGTGAAGTTTTTATTGTGCTTTTGCTATTTTCAGTTTGGAGCTGCCCAAAGTGTCTGGGGCATATAAAGTTGTTGTTGTTGTTGCTGTTGCTGCTGCTGCTGTTGTTGTTGTTAAATTTGCAGCCCTCAACTGGACACAAGCAGTAGGGACTTTGTACCCTCAGAGTGCCTAATAATGTCAGGACTGCATTTCCTTTTCTGATGCTTCCCTCTTGTTTCTTCCCATTTTACTAGTTAAAGAGAGAAGAAAGAAGCAAAGGTGAGAGGAGCTCACCCCCCATTTATGCAGTTTCAAAAAACTCTGGTCGAGGTGAAACATTTCGGATGTGTCCTGAAAGTCGGGGGGAGCAGAGGGGCAGACCTGTGCCAGGCTGGGGTAGGGAATTATTGGGGCAGAGGCAGAGAGTAGCTTTTTCCCTTGTGGATGTTTCTCCTGAGGGGCTTGCTTGAAGAAAGTTTTCCCCAGCTAAGGGGTGACTATCAAAGAATTGTAGAGTTGGAAGGGACCCTGAGGATCATCTAGTCCAGCCCCCTGCAATGCAGGAATATGCAGCTGTCCAGGGATTGAACCTGCAACCTTGGCATTATCAGCACCACGCTCTAACCAACTGAGCTATCCAGGCACAATAGAAAAGCAACACTATAACAAAGGGGTTATATTAAATGCTTGTCCTAGAAAGTGTGAATGGCGAACAAGCAGCCTTGCTTATAGCGATCACCACACTACATGCAGCAGAGGGCAGATTTTGCTCTAGTTGAAATCCACTTGTCTATACAACAGACCCAGGAAATAGGGTCTTGTCCTTGTGCCTGAAAGGATAAATCAAACCTGATAAATTAGCCTGGTGGGAAACTAATGTAGGCAGTAGCTCTCAGCAGATTTCTTTGGGAGAGCTAACAAGTACTGCAGAATTGCAAAATATTCCCGTTAGTTATATATATTTTTATTTGCTTAGGGTACTGGACTCCTGCTGGACAGAAACAAGCTACCCCACCACAGGTATGTTAAATGTAAGTGCCAAGGACATGTGACTGCACATTTTCCGTGGCTGCTTCTGTTTGCATTTGTGTATCAGAGGCAGGTGAAGTATCAGCCGAAAGAGATCAGTGGTCACCAATACCACCTGAATGCTGAGCTTGGGACAAGACCCAGCAATGGGGTCAAGGGTATCGGTTGTGCTCTTATTCCTGAGCATGGCTATGCAACTTTATATTCATTGGCACGCAAAAGAGAGGAACCCATTCACTTCGCATCACAACCCAGATTTTGCAAGTGATGGTTTGCTTATCATTGGCAACGTATTATTTACATCAGGAACTGAAGAAATACAGGTGAAAAATGAGTCTGGCCCAGTTAAAAGCAGACAAAGCCAAGAACAGAGAAGGAAAGGACCACTGCTCATGTTGGTGGCCCAATGCCCAGAAAAAAGAAAGCTTTGCCTTAGCAAAACAAGTTCTCTCCAGCCCAAAACCATACTCTACAAACAGGGGGAGATGCAGGCATATTACATACTATGTTCCATTCCTATTCTTGGCATCTCTAGACTACTGTAGGGACGCGGGTGGCGCTGTGGGTTAAACCACAGAGCCTAGGACTTGCCGATCAGATGGTCGGCGATTTGAATCCCTGCAACGGGGTGAGCTCCCGTTGCTCGGTCCCAGCTCCTGCCAACCTAGCAGTTCAAAAGCACGTCAAAGTACAAGTAGATAAATAGGTACTGCTCCGGCGGGAAGGTAAACGGCGTTTCCATGCGCTGCTCTGGTTCGCGGGAAGCGGCTTAGTCATGCTGGCCACATGACCCGGAAGCTGTATGCCGGCTCCCTCGGCCAATAAAGCGAGATGAGCGCCACAACCCCAGTGTCGGTCACAACTGGACCTAATGGTCAGGGGTCCCTTTACCTTTAGACTACTGTAAGAGAAACCTTGTTCCTATGTTATGTTGCTGTGCTGACAGTGGAAAGGTCCAGAGAGAAGGGAGGGACAGAAAGTAAAGTGGCAGAATAACTTTTTAATTCATTTGTATTGAATGCTTTCCACCCCCTTTCCTTTTTTTATCACTGAAAGAACAAACAAGATTACACCCATCAGTTCCCTGAAAAAGAATTAGAGTTGGTGTTGATAATCTTACCACTACATGTCATAACTTCCTTGATTCTGTGTGATCCCACATGATCAATGAAAAGAAGATATTACAAGTGCTGTTTGGTTGCTTTTAGATGTTAAGACATTTGTGTAACTAAAATTTATTCAGTTATCAAGTAACCTTGTTCACGCTGCTTCTTCCGCAGAGACATCCTTTGATAACTCCATGTACACTATTACAATGGTAAGTTGTTAACATGGGAACCAGAAGTTGGAATCTAGCTGCTTTTAGGAATTGAGACCAGAGAGTTCTGTGGGCTATTATAAAGCAGTCTCCCCATGGCTAGGAATAACCCTAAGGCAGTCACAAAAAGAGCTGGGTAGCAAGGATATATATTATGGCATCCAACGTAGAGAGAGAAATTTAATGGTGATTTGGCTGTTATGTAGAGCTCATTCCCATGGTTTAGCTCTCCACATTCTAGTATTTTTTGTCTCCTTAATTTATCTCCATCTTGGCATTTTTATCTCGCAAGAAAACGGACCAGGAAACTATAGAGAACAATGGTGCTTGGATCTCGTCAGCTACAAGTACAAGACTTTCATCCCGCTGCTCTGTGGAAAAGCCAGATTTTTGTACTTTTAGAGGATCAGAATGACCTTTCACTTGATCACGCAGCTCAGGATCTCTCTGATAATCTTCTTCCCTGACATCCATACACTGCAAGTTGTTCCTCTGAGATCATCAACAGAAACAGAGTTCATCGACCGTTTTTGGCCAGAGTCTCCTCGTCCTTGCCATCACAAAGTTCCATCTTCACCTTTCTAAGTTCTCTTCCACTGCCAATCACACATTCGGAACTTGGGTCATGTGGAGGTGGGGAAGATGTTGCCGATTTCATCCATTTCTGGAATGATTTTTGGATTTGGGAAAAGTAGGAACAATAAGGATGAACTTTGAGAGTTCTTCAGCTTTGGGACTGTGGCAAGACTGGAAGGAGATGAATAAAACCTGGGTGACTTAACCTTCAAAAATAATGCCATTGCCTGCAATTTGCATGTTTGAGACAAAAAGAACAGTTTTTGTTTTTGTTTTTATTCTGAAAACAGTAGCATTTGGATCGCATATCCTCAGACTTTCTTTAAGTGCCTGCAACCAAGTGTTTTGCTCTGCCTTCCAAAAACACTGGGAAATTGAGAATAACTTTCCAGGATCAAAAGCAATAGTGAATTCTGGGGTACCTTAAAGACTAATGAACATATCTGTTGTGGCATAAGCTCTTACTGAGAAGAAACTGGTATCTGCAGTGGCTTGCATAATATTTTCCAACTGTTCCTATGCCAGGCAAACTGGTCCATCAGGCAGGCTGCTCTTTTGGTGCAGCTAAGATAGTTACTACTGATCCTTCACTTGCATACATGTAAATTAGTCAGTTGCCTTCCCTCAACAGACAACAACATGAACAGCACTGTGGGGTGGGGTGACTGCAGCGGGTGGGGTGGGGTGGGGTGGCAGCAGGGCGGGGTATGCTCTGGATTTGGGTGAGAAAACGTTGGAGAGTATGCTTCCCCCTACTGCCAATCTGCTGCCATGCCCTGTTGCAGCCTTTCTCAACCTTGGGTCCCCAGACGTTGTTGGACTACAACTCCCATCATCCCTAGTCCTGGTAGCGAGGGATGATGGGAGTTGTAGTCCAGCAGCCCCTGGGGACCCAAGGCTGCCCTGCTACACCCTGCGCACAGGAAATGCCAGCAGTGGCTAAGGAACTCTGGGGACAAATTTGTGGAAGGTGTGGCTATCAATTGCTCCTGCCAACCTGGCAGCTCGAAAGCACACCAGTGCAAGTAGATAAATAGGTACTGCTGTGGTGGGAAGGTAAACGGCGTTTCCATGCGCTCTGGTTTCCGTCACAGTGTCCTGTTGCACCAGAAGCAGTTTAGTCCTGCTGGCCACATGACCCAGAAAGCTGTCTGTGTACAAACGCCGGCTCCCTCGGCCTGAAAGCGAGATGAGCACCGCAAAACCCATAGTCGACTTTGACTGGACTTAACCGTCCAGGGGTCCTTTACCTTTTTACCTTTCACCAGCCGCCACTGCGGTGTTCTACTTCCACTATCGGAGGCAGCCCACCTCTGAATGCCAGTTGCTTGGTTGTAGTTGGAGAGAGTACTCTTGTGAGCAGATTTGGCTTGCAGAATTCCTGTATGCACCTGGTTGGCCACTGTGAAAAGAGTTCTGGGCTAGATGGGCCTTTGGCTTAATTCAGCTGGCCTCTTATATACCGCCCAGGGCCCCTCTGGGAGGAAGGGTGGGATATTAAATAAATAAATGCAAATGTTCTCAGACAGCATGCACTTCTTGAGAGAGTCACATGGAGAGGCATACACACCTAACTGCAAAAAAATTTCAGGATGCAGCGCAACATTGCAGCATCCTAAAGCAAAATCTGGGCTCCACAAAATCTGGGCTGCAGGGACCATGGAGAGTCCTCTCTTTCCCAGTTTGCAGTCTGCAGCATCCAGTTTTGAATCCAGATAGAAGGTGCCATTCTTTTGGAGTGTTTCTGGATTTAAACTTCTGTTTGTTTGCCTTGCTAGGAAGTGAGCGAGGTCTAGGACATCTGACGCCAAGAACGGGGGCTCTGGGCTCTGGTGACAACAGCAGCGGTGACCCTGCGTTCTTCAGCTATGCTTCTCCTTCCTCTGCATCTTAGATTCCCTTTCCAGCATAAAACCTACTTTTTTAACCTGTATGGGGGCAGAAGATGGACCAAGCAGCTTGGCAGATGTATTTGGCTTCAGCATAATCTCTTGAAGCCGTTTTCTGTCTCAGTGAAAATGAGAAGCATGTTCTTACGCACACAAACACCCCAAAAAGAAAGTGGAGCTCATCTGTGTGTCACACTGAGCATTTCTATTTAAGCAGCTATGTTTGAGGAAAGTCTACTGACCACTGCCAAGGAATGTACCAGCTCATTAAGGAGTGACTATGGTGTTATAATGGGATGCGGGTGGCGCTGTGGTCTAAACCACTAAGCCTAGGGCTTGCTGATCAAAAGGTTCAAATCCCCGCAACGGGGTGAGCTCTGTCCCAGCTGCTGCCAACCTAGCAGTTCGAAAGCACGCCAAAAAGTGCAAGTAGATAAATAGATACCGCTCCGGCGGGAAGGTAAACGGCGTTTCCGTGCACTGCTCTGGTTTTGCGAGAAGCGGCTTAGTCATGCTGGCCACATGACCCAGAAAAACTGTCTGCGGAGCAGACAAACGCCGCAACCCCAGAGTCGTTCGCAACTGGACTTAACTGTCAGGGGTCCCTTTACCTTTTTATGGTGTTATGTTGGTATTTTAGAATGTGGGTGGCGCTGTGGTCTAAACCACTGAGCCTCTTGGGCTTGCTGATTGGAAGGTCGGCGGTTCAAATCCCTGTGGCGGGGTGAGCTCCCATTGCTCTGTCCCAACTCCTGCCAACCTAGCAGTTCGAAAGCACGCTAGTGCAAGTAGAAAAATAGGTACTGCTGCGGCAGGAAGGTAAACGGCGTTTCCGTGCTCTCTGGTTTCCGTCACGGTGTCCCATTGCACCAGAAGTGGTTTAGTCATGCTGGCCACATCACCCAGAAAGCTGTCTGTGGACAAATGCTGGCTCCCTCGGCCTGAAAGAGAGATGAGTGCTGCAACTCCATAGTCGCCTTTGACTGGACTTAAACATCCAGGGGTCCTTTACCTTTTGCCTATAAGCTGGCTTTCAGGGCTCATGTTGCAAGGAGGAATTATCTTGAAATTCAGCCAAAGCGAGGTCCACAAATGGAGACAGATACCAAAAATGATGCTGGTCAGTTAATTTGCACAGGTGAATGGGCTCAATCCCCTTTTACTTGTTATTTTCTTTATTTTTACCCTGCCCTTCCTCCAAGGAACTCAGAGTGGCATGCACACTGTTTTCCCTCTCACAACAGCCTTGTGAGGCAGCTTAGGCTGAGAGATAACTGACTTGGTCAGGGTTGCCCTGTGAGTTTTATTGCAGTTGGGATTTGAACCACGAGTCCCTGTCTCACATTCTAAACCACTACAGACTTTCCTGCTGTGGCGCTGCAAACTATGATGCAACAGGAAGTGAGTGAAATGGAGAATGACCAATATTTCTCAACACTGGGCAATTCAGACCTCAACCCCCCTGGTCTCAGAACAGCTGCTGCTCTCAGTTCTCTGCTGCTATTTCCAGAACTGCTCTCCTCCACACAGTGCAACTTTATTTCTGCTCACACCATACTCGGTTCCTTTGTCCTGCTACAAACATCTCCTTGAAGCTTTGGTGGCCACGTCAACCACTTTGCAGAATGAAGCTGCGCAGGGACTGCAACACTTCAGTGGGGGATTTGTATGTTTGTGTGCTCTTCCTTGCAGGGGCAAGGAGGAGGGGACTCATTGCATACGGGCAAAGCAGCATGTCAGAAGGGGTTGGTTTTAGCTTCCTGGCAACACTATTTTTAAATTTTGATTGTCCCATCCATCCTTCCAGAGGGAAAAGCTCCCCTGTTGCCTCTGTGTTCTGTTAAGCTTCTTGGGGGGGGGGGGGAGTGTGAACCTTGTCATTAAGTAAGTAAGTAAGAATAAATAAATAACATCTTTATCTATCTTTTTTGTTGAACTTTATTATTATTATTATAGAGTGCAGGGAATAAGTAAGATTAAGAAAACCAAAATGCAAAGCGGCCCCTTGCGCATCTGCCCTATATGGCCTCTGAGGTCCCATTACAGTCGAGGACAAGACTTCTCAAAGGAACTTGTTTAGGGAAGTTTTTAATGTTTAATGTGTCATTGTGTTTGTAATATTCTGTTGGGAGCCGCCTAGAGTGGCTGTGGCAACCCAGCCAGAAGCTCGGCATGTAAATAATAAAATATTATTATTATTATTATTATTATTATTATTCAATCCCACAGCTTCTGCCACCACTTCTTTATGGCAGTGCAGTTTATTTGAAAAGCACTGTAAGGAAAAGCAACCTCTTCTGCGCTCCTACTTGCTTGACTAGTTTTTTATATTTATATATGATTTTAATTTTATTAATGATTATTTTTTTTTAATAATAGTTGTTTTCTTTTCTATGTTTTTAGTTGTTCCCATTTTATCTACAAGCTGCCTTGAGTCCCTGTCAGGGAAAAGGGGGGGAGGGATAAATAAATCAACAAGAACAACTACAGAGTTTGCCATTTCAATGCATACCCACTCTGTTTTTGCCCCGCACATGCAGGATATAATAATAATAATAATAATAATAATAATAATAATAATAATAATAATAATAATAATTACTAGTTTGCCCATGAATTGCAATGCATGCCAACTGCATCCTTGCCCCGTACAATGCAGGATTTTGCCGCCGCGCTTGGGATCCGGAAATGCCGCGCACGATCGCATCGGCCCTTTAACCTCTCCTCTTTCCCCTTCGCCCGCTTTTTCCCCTCGGGCGCTGTCCCCGCTGTCGGCCGGCAGGGGTCGCCCTCCTCCGCCCTTGTCCCTTCCCTCTCCCCCGCCCGCCCACTGGCTCCTCCGCGGCGAGCTCCTTCCACCGCCGCCCGCACGGGGCGCTGTCCCACTGGCTGAGCGGCAGCGCTCAGGAGGCGCGGCTTCCGGCCTCTCCTCCTGCTGCTGCGCCTCCTCCTCGGCGCCCCTCACAGCAGCAGCAGCAGCAGCAGCGGCGGCCGCGGGTCGGGCCTGGGATGCCAAGATGGCGTCGGCGGCGTCGGTGTCGGTCTTCCCCGGCGTGCGGCTCCTGACCATCGGCGACGCCAACGGCGAGATCCAGCGGCACCAGGAGCAGCAGGCGCTCCGCCTCGAGGCTCGCACCGGGCCCGACGCCGCCTGCCTCGCCCTCTATAGCCGTGAGTGGAGGCGAGAGACGGGGCAGGTGGCCGGGCGGGGGGAAGGGGCCTGCTCGGGCTGAGGGACGGGTGGATGAATGGCTGGCTGGCTGGCTGGCTGGGGCGCGGAAGGGCCGGTGCCTCTGGGCATGTGGAGAGTGCCGCACCTCCGCCACGCTTCCAGTGACGGGGGCCGGCACTTCGGTCCCCCCGGAATGGCGCCGCCTCACTCTTCCTCCAACTCTCCTAGGAGGAAGGCGGTCAGGGAAGAGGCGCCTCAGGAACGGGGTTGGGATGAAATGCCGACATGGGGATCCTGCCGCCCGAGGCAGTCGCCTTGCCATGTGGGTGAGCCGGCCCTGCATCCCAGGGATAGGTTGCATGTCACGATGGGCATCTGCTGAGGTGCCGGGCAGTGCTTTTTTTCTTGGGGGGACGCAGGGGTATGCATACCCCTAAACATTTTGTGAGTCTTTGTACTTTTGTCCATTTACTATATTAATTTAGCAGGATTTGAACTATAAAATGGTGATTTCCTTGAGTCAAAATGAGAGTACAGTGGTACCTCGGGTTAAGTACTTAATTCGTTCCGGAGCTCCGTACTTAACCTGAAACTGTTCTTAACCTGAAGCACCACTTTAGCTAATGGGGCCTCCCGCTGCTGCCGCACCGCCGAAGCACAATTTCTGTTCTCATCCTGAAGCAAAGTTCTTAACCCGAGGTATTATTTCTGGGTTAGCGAAGTCTGTAACCTGAAGTGTATGTAACCTGAAGCGTATGTAACTCGAGGTACCACTGTACCCCTAAACATTTTTTTAGGAAAAAAAAAAGCACTGGTGCTGGGCCAGGTAGACAGGCTTGAATTGTCCCAATACATCAGGGGTTATCCTTAAGTTCGTAAGATGGGGCAGGCAGGTATTGTCCTTTGAAGGAATGGGGCGGGGTGGCCGCTCATTATTCTTGCCATCAATTGCATCTGTATTCTGCCTTTCCTTCAGAGAGCTCAAGACAGAATACAGAAATTCTGCTCCTCCACATTTTTTGCTTGCAACAACCCTGTTAGGTTGAGAGGCAGCGGCTGGCCCAAGGTCACCCATTGAATTTTGTGGCCAAGTGGGGACAGTGGTAATCTTTACTCCTCCTTTGCAAGCATGTGGAGTGGGAGGCTATCCCATGCCTATCCAGATTCCTGCCTGGTCCATGCTGAGTGGCTGTCTCTGCTTCTTGCTCTTAAACACAAACTGACAGGTTTCTTGGAATACTTCACCTGCTGGATGACTAGTTCTGTGTTGCCTTGAAAGGCTTTCATAGTCTTATGGAAAACTTGCAGGGAGTCCAGTTGGTTCTTCAAAAAGAGATGCAGATGTCTGTCTAGCATCTGAAGTACCTTAACTAAACTAGTAGAAGTTGATTCCCCCCTCCCCCAAGCCATCTCTCAAATTATCACATCAACAGCTGATTTCAAAAAAGTTTTTTTGAGGGGGACACATAGTGGTTAAAGCTGAATGTGAAATGTCTGTTGTGATTCTAGAAGACAAAAAAGTAAATGGGTTGAAAGGCCAGGTAAGTAAAGATTTTAAAAGATTTTTTTCAGTCATACCGAGATTAAAACTGGAATAGGGCATTTTAAAATTCGGCTTAAGATCCTTAAGTTTATTTTTGGCCTGGAAGCCAAACAGGTCCAAAATCTGACAGGTTTTTTTGAAACTGGGTTAAGAGGCTGTTTTGAGTATCAGAAGAAAGAACTGTCAAGTCACTCATCAAACTATAGAAGCATATGTAGTGAGGTTCATTTGTCCTGGATACAAATGGCATTTTAAGAGTGTTTTCATATACTGCTGGAATGGCTACACCATTGTAATAACAATACTTAGTGACTGTATAGTACTTTAAAGTTTCTGTTCATTATCTTAGTAATCCAGTTCAGTAAAATAGACCAGTTTTATCATCCCAGGTTGAGGCTGGGGTTGTCAAAGGTTGTCAAAGGTTGCCTAATGAGCTTATGTCTGCATAAGATCTGAATTGGATCTTCCTAGTTCGCAGCTCCCAGTATAAGCTACTCTGCAACACCACTGGCAAATTCCGCTGCAGTTGTGACATCCTAATGCTGTGCTTTGTGTATGTTTAGTTAGCTAGGTCCTTCAAAGGGACCTGCTAATATGTACAGGATTGTAGTTCCAGGTTCCCAAGTAACAATGCAATGCTGAACCAAGTCTACTCAGAAGTAAGTACTATTCAATTCAGTGGGGCTTCTAGGTAAGTGGAGTTAAGATTGCAGCCCAAGTCAGTCATACATAGCAGAGTAGTGCAACCAGCTTTTAGCTTCTGGGACAGAAACACTTCTATCAAGTGCATCATTCTCTGAATGATTGGTGGAAAGGATTCCTAGTATCAGGAAGAAAATGGGAAAGTGCAATGAAACTGGAGTATGTGGTTCAAGAGGGGACCAAATTGTTACTATGGAAGTTATCCAAAGATGCTGTCATTCTAAGGGCTTTTAATGTCCTCACATCAGTGAAGGAAGGAGCAGGCTGCAGCCAATGGGTGTGCATATATTTACAACAGAATCAGCCTTGAATTGGGTGCCCTAGTAAAGTGTCTGCAGTTAGACCTGCAGAGAACATAGTCACTTACTAGGTTTAGCCAGTAAGTGCCTCACAGAGTGGACTGTGTGTGCTTTTAGCTGTCATTCTTGCTTGTTGATGATGCCTCTTACGGAGACAACTGCAGGGAGACTTCAAAGACTTGAAGCTGTGGAAAGAAGCCACTGACTTTATTAGAATGAAAGCACTGCAATCCCGTGTGTTGCAACACAGTGCATCATGACTCCTCAGTAGGGTGACTACAACTCAGCGCTGGACTTGACAGGTTCAGAGTATTTTGTATACATGATCTCTAATCCTTTCTAGCTTGCATACCAAGTGAGCTCTTGGTGTTCCGGGCCTGCAATAGCAGGGTCAGGGGATACAGCTGCAGTAGAACTGACCACTCTGTTGCCCAACAGGCACCCTGTTCAGGCTTAGTTGGTCTGACAAGTGATGTGGAAATTTTGGTAAACTTCAGCATACATGATGACTCTTTAGTGCTGGCTTAGGAGTTTATGGCCTCCATGACAATCGACCTGTTAACTGGTTGAAATTGAAACAAAAGCCCCCATGAAGCTGGCCACATACTTCTCTTGTGTTGCAGGGAACAGCAAGAAACCACCAAGCTAATGTATGAGATAGGTTTCTCTAGGGAAGGTTGCGGGACTCAGGAGTGCAAATGCTGCCAAGTGAATAGGTTTTTGTCTTTCAAAAGGCCTGGTTTCTTTTTTGCTTGACTCTGGAAGATTCACTCAGTGCAAAGCTGTCCAGGGGAATGGGGCCTGCCTGCCTGCAAGACCCAACAATGGATTGGCATTTTTCTAGTGCTTTTATTTCTCTGCAGAGAAATAAATAATGAGTTCATTAGTAACAATGAATGAATGCAATTGCAAATACAATATTAGGCAAGCATGGCAGTTTCAGTTTTTAGATTTATTTATTAAATGCAAGTAAAATAAATTGCAATAAATAGGCTGCTCTCTATGGTATCATAAAACTTTCTTTTGCAACTTATTCAAATTGGCATAGGGAAGTTACCCTAGATTGAATAGGGTTTCCCCCTCTTGAAAACTTACACCACTGATAAAAACCCATCGGCTAAACACACAAAATTGCTTTTTCAGTAGATTACTCTCACCATCATGAAGGAATTGTCTAATTCTGACAAATCCAGTGTGGGGGTTGAGACTCTATAACTTCCCTTAGGAAGTTATAGAATTCAGCTTAGGAATTCAGCTTTGCAGAATTGTTGCTAGTTTAGGTTAAATATGAGGAAAATATTTTGACATCTGCTTTAATGCACTAGTGTAACAAACTCATTGGTAGATGTGAATTTGCAGAGCAATTGTTTGTTGCTTTTGTTTAAAACATTTGAGAACTCGACATGGGTCCTCCTTAATCCTCTCTTTAGGCTACACATAGGTCTTTCCAGCTGTCTTCTGAAACCTTTTCAGCTTCTCAGATTCCAGTTTGAAGGGAATCTAAAACTCCAGAGAAGGTTGTTGTTGTTATTATTAATTAAATTTGTATACTGGTTGGTATATCTACTACCAGCACTGAGCAGTGTGACAGCCATTTTAGAAGCAGCTGGCTCAAGGGGTTCAGCCTAAAACAGAAGTGATTTCTGCTATGGGAGGTGCTTTCTCTTGCAAGTGCCACTGTCCTGCTTGCTGTTTTTGACCCCTTAACTAGGCATTTTTAGTGCCTACATTGTATTGGACACAAGCCTCACAAAACTTTACTTCAAATAACGCTGAGATTTGGTGTTGTCTTCTAACAAGAGAGAGCACAAAGAAATAAGATAATGCGCTATACTCTAGTGCTTGGTTTTAGTATGCTGAAACACACTGTGCAAACTGCAACCTCCATTACCAGTATTTTCTTTTTAATAATATAGCGTTACTGATTTTTTCTGTGAAGTATGCAAACAAATGCAAAACAAACAGCAACAGTCATTTTGCATTAACCAAAACAAACACACGCTTGGTGTCCACCAGCAAATTCTGGTATCACATAAAAAAGAAGAGAGTTTGATATTATCCCTCCAGACCCATTACCAGCATTCTTGAAAGTATACCTTGTATATTTTCCCCATCTCACTCTTGTAGAAGTTAATTGCTAGCTGACATTTAGATACACCTTGCAAACCTCAGACTGGACTTTTGGTAACTTAATGAATAGATACAAGTTATTTCTTTTCCTGAACAAGAAGATCTCCAGAATGGCTGTAGTCAAATATAAAAAAACACATTAAAATATGTAAAAGAATAAAAGATGACAAAAATCTGAATTACATCAACAACTCCAGAAAATATAAAAAAAACTGGAATATAAACCTTCAAACCATGTCACAAAAGTGAATTCTTTAAGCTTTGCTGCTGCTCCAGATTACCAGGAGACAAAACTTCACTTCTCAAGCAGCAGCTTTCAGAACATTCGTCTAGAGCAGTGGTTCCCATTTGGGTTATGTGGACCTGTTGGGTCTGCAGACCACTAATTGGGAACCACTCTTCTAGGGCAAGTGACCTGATGCTTGGGCCTGTAGCTTCTCAGGTTTAATCTGTTGTGAGGGAAATCTTAATGTTAAAAGCCAAGAAAGACCTCTGTCCATAGTGTATTGTTGGTGGGCATGTGGGCAAACTACTAGCCCCACGTCTTGGGGAAGGGATACTATAGCTTGTTTATCAAGCAACAGTTTTCGCTGTGTTGTCGTCCTATGCTTTCTCTTGCGACTTTGATTTCAGTGGATGCTCAGCAAATGATTTGAGGGGAAATTGACAGCTCTTTCTTTCCAGGTTTCTTTCTAAGCCCTAACAAGTTTCTTGTTTTCCTTCTACCGCTTACTTTTTTCTTTTTCTTTTTTCTAATTACCAAAAGGAATAATACTAGGTGAACTATTGGATCTTCTTTAAACGGTATTTCCTACCAAATTATGGCTCCTATCCAAAATAATGCTGGAGAACAGGGGTTCCCAATGTCTCTTTTCTCAGGGCCACTCTGCTGACAGTAGTTCAGGGACTAGAAGTATATTTTTATACACAAACTGATCCCCTTAAAGATGCCCTAAGCACAAACATAATACGTTGGCATCACCTAGTAGAAAGGGCTTGACAGGGATTGGGCACCTACGACCCATCACAGCCATGACAACTGCATGCAAAATCTAAAAGAGATGTCACTGTCCTGACTGCCACCCAAAATATGTAAACAGAGGCTCTTACTTGTAAGTAAGTGACCCTTATTCAGGCAAGTAACAGGGCTTGTGATAATAGTGAAGTGTGGGGCACCTCTTATGCCTTGAAAACATTTCCCTTATGAGTAAAATACTGGGTCAGCTTCTTACAATACCTTGATTAAAATATGGTAAGGCCAGCCAGGACTGAAAAAATTGCTTTGGAATCTCAGTCCGGTCAGCCATATTTCCATGGTTGTTTGGGGTTGAATGCAAGTGACAGCTGATTGATTTGACACATCCTTTCTGGTTGGATGGGGCAAAGTTAGGAATGTGAGAGCTGGCCAGAGGTCTATTTAACATGTTCCTGGTAGTTTCAGAAAAGAAAGGAATGGTGTTTAGTAGTGCAATCTGATCACTGGAAAGTTTCTTCTCATGCCTGACAGTTATCAGGCAAAGTTTCCAGTTGCTAACAAAATACGTTACGACCGTATGCAGATGATAGTCCTGCTTCACTATTTAAGCTAAGTGCTACTTGGAAATCCAGCAGCACTCAGATCCTTAGTATCCATTGATCATATAGCTGAGGGAGTGTTTGTATAACTAAAGTGTGACCATATTTTTTGTATTCTGTTAGCTGAGCTTTCTATTAGTGAATAATAAGCTATTTAAATTTCACAGAAATCAGATAAAAATTGATATTTTTTCATTCATCTACCAGAGAGTTTCAAAAAATGAAGGTGCAGCCCTGAATTTCTCTTTCAGCAATGTATGGTAGTTGAATACTACAATATCCATGCAAGATGATGAGAACTTCACATACGATTGCCTTCAGACATAAACTGGAACTCAGATTTGTTAGTTTCCTGATATATAGAGGGAGGGGGATTTCTGCCTTCATGATTTAAACATACATTTTCCACCTGATTTTTCTGAAATTTTGAACTTTTCTATCCCTCACCCAAGAGATACTCTATGTAAATTTTACACTGAGAAGACAGATTGTATCAGTTTTACAAGAAAAGTAAAGATAGCGAGTCCCCCAGTAGAAATCCAGCACAGCAGCAAGCAAGTGTAATAGAAACCCTGGCAGATATCCAGCAGGTACTCCCTTCCAAATAACTTGCCGCATATGTAGCTAATGAACTTCAACTAGACAGGGACATAAGGTTGCTTGATTGTTCCTTGTGAACATTATTGGTCTGGAGTTTAGCTCTAAATGACTGGGTAGACATTAGACTAATGTGTGTTCCCCGCCCGTGCACTATTTAGTATTTAAGAATTACAGTAATGACTCCTGTACAATTTTAATGCTTCTGCAGATTTTAGCTAAATTCTGTTGTTCTTTACTGGGACTGTTTAAGTAATGTTATGCATTATAAAGGCCCACTGTTGCCTAGCACAACTAAGGACTTAACCAGTTTTTCAGAGGAGAAGGGAATTTTAGGGACTGTATACCTCTTACACATTTGCATCGTATGTAGCTGGGTTGTAGAACTTGTGTATGTGTCGCTGTAGTATACAAAGTTGGAGAATGCAGACCTGGAAGAGCTAGAGAGCTAGTGTAGTGTAGAGTCCAGACTGGACTGTGAAGATGGGAGACCTTGTGCAAATCTTGTTTCCGTCATGGGTTGCAAGGTAAAACATGTGAAATCCTTTGACTCCTCCAAAGCATCATATAAATGCTAAGTATTGGTGAGGATGTTGTTTCTGCTAAAGAGGAGGATATACATGGATATTAGAGGGAAACAGAAAAGATTGGTGCCTACCTGCTTGGTATTGGGTCTTGGCCTAAAGGCTAAAAAACAATGCCTGCTCTGAGCCCACAAACCTGAAGTATTATGTGTTTATATTTGTTAGCCAAGTAAATGGAGCAATAGCCAGAATCCAGCTCAGCCTGTAGTGGTGGAGCCAAACCTGGGAAGAAATCAAGTACTATTCAGTTATCGAATGAGATACAGATGTAATAGTTAAGGTGCTTCACGTCATTTCATTTCACTTTGGTCCCAACTTCTGTGGCCTACTATCTGGGCTCTGGATATTGCTTCCTTTACTTGGCTAACACATTAAACTCATATGTCTGAAGATGTTCAGACAGGCATCAATCTTTTATGTTTCCTTCTAGTTTTCAAGGTATCTCCTTTGTATTCAGTTCACCATACATTTGCTTCGCTATTCCTCTTGAAAGATAATGACTTGGCCTAGTAGAAAATTGAAGCTGAATCTCTTTGATCCATATACAACATGGATCCACTACACCACGCTGTCAGGTGGAGTAATCACTGCATAACTGCTATCAGGGAATTTTTGTTGTGATACATTCATAGTTAGAATCCCTGTTATAATTGAATTCTACCCATTTAACTCATTGTAGTGGTCTCAGGGTCTATAAGCAAGAGTGAAAGCAATATGGTTGGCCATAAAAAAACCTTGTCAGTTGATTTTTTTTACGTCTTTAGGTAATGCAGTTAATTATTTTAGTAGAATTGTATTACTACAAAACCCAAGTTAAGTTGTGACCGAAATCCAGTGGAGAAATAGGTATGCTTAATTCCATTTCTTTCAGTTGGCTTAAGCATGCCTCACTTTTTGTTGGATTTATGCATATTAAATTAAATTTTAAGCTATTAACAGTGTTCAAATGTATGTAATTGATCAAAGGATTGCATAGTTCTTGGCATTTATTTAGAACCCTGGGGGAGCTCAGACAAGGTCTGTGTAGCCATAATCTAAGATGGCTAGGGAGCAAGGAGTTACCTCTCTGGCTTTTTCAAATTCAGATGACACCATGATGCAAAGAAAGTCAGCCCTCCAATCTGCAGAAGGGCTTTCTTGGTTTCATGCAGTAATTGACCACAGCTGTCCAGTACCCCAGCACTGATCCTATTACTCATTAACATTAGCAGAGTATCCTTTGTAGAAAATCCCCATAATTCTGTTCTGTGAAATGAAACTACTGAATTCTAATGCTTTTAACTTTTAAACAAAGCATTTTAAATGCAGTGTGTTATATCCAATTCTCTGTGAGTGACGTCATGCTTGTGCAGTATGATACCCCCACCATCTGCTCCAGCCTGTCCCCCAACCCTCTGGAACACATTTTGGCGGTGCACTGTGGGGCAGGGAGATGGGTCAAGGGAGACGTCCTGTTGTGCAAGCAGAAGTCTGTTGTGTGAGCAGAGTGAGCAGCACTGGAATCAACCCAGTACATTGGCGTGTAAGTCATGGGTGTTTTGTAGCAGAGTAATGATTTCATGATTGAAGTCTCTACATGTGTAAATCTACATATTTTGCATACACACAAAATATTAGCTGAAGTTTCTGCGTAGCCTTTTTTCATTTGTACAGAGTAGTGACATGGGGAAAGGGATGAATGTGTGACTGACATTTGTGGTGGGTTGGATATGCTAGTGACAGACAACCTTGATTGGGCTCTGCCCTCTGTACATCTAGGATAAATACACTGTCTGGGAGTGTTTTAAGTAAAAGTCATAGGTTATGTAAAAAGCACTGGCTAGAGTAGTGTTGTGTGCACTAACATACCCTTTCTCCTTATTTAGTATTCTTTGTACCTTTACAGCAAGATCCACAAAGAGCCTTGTGGCACCTAAAAGGGCTATTGTATTTTATTGTTGTTGTTGTTTTGTCGTTTCTGACTCTTTGTGACCCCATGGACCAGAGCACGCCAGGCACTCCTGTCTTCCACTACCTCCCGCAGTTTGGGCAGACTCATGTTAGTAGCTTTGAGAACATTGTCCAACCATCTCGTCCTCTGTCGTCCCCTTCTCCTTGTGCCCTCAATCTTTCCCAACATCAGGGTCTTTTCCAGGGAGTCTTCTCTTCTCATGAGGTGGCCAAAGTATTGGAGCCTAAGCTTCAGGATCTGTCCTTCCAGGGAGCATTCAGGGCCGGTTTCCTTAAGAATGGATAGGTTTGATCTTCTTGCAGTCCATGGGACTCTCAAGAGTCTCCTCCAGCACCGTAATTCAAAAGCATCAATTCTTCGGCGATCAGCCTTCTTTATGGTCCAGCTCTCACTTCCATACATCACTACTGGGAAAACCATAGCTTTAACTATACAGACCTTGGTTGGCAAGGTGATGTCTCTGCTTTTTAAGATGCTGTCTAGGTTTGTCATCGCTTTTCTCCCAAGAAGCAGGCATCTTTTAATTTTGTGACTGCTGTTACCATCTGCTTTTTTGAGGACTAAAATTCCTTGGTGCTTCTCAAACTGTGGGTCGTACAAAAAGGAGGTGTCCCCCCCCCACTTTCCCAGGACAAGTAGCCACCTTAAGAGACATGCCTACTCTCTTGCTTGCTCCATATATGCCCTACTTAAATCATATTCAGAACATGATTACAGATTGTTTTTGAACTAAGTACAACCATGTTGGTTCTCCAGTGACATCCACACATTCCTGGTTGCTGGGATTGGTGTAGTGGTGTGTGAGGCACCTAGCCACTAATCTTTATTTAGGGAAAGGATTATTGGGATGTAACAGAGCGGGTGAGGATCAGCCTTTGGTTTCATGGACTATTCTGCTTGCAACTCTCTGGATTGCTTGGGAAAATGGTGCCTGAGGCATACCACAATATAATGTGTCTGAGGCATACCACTACCATTGTAATACAAGTTGAAAGTATTTTATTTCGTTTCACAGCAGTAAGGGAGATGAGCCTAAACGTTGGGAAATGTAAAATCTAAATTGGCCGTATTTGGATTGCTTATGCTTATTCCAGATGCTTCTCCTGTTTTGCGAACAACAATCACATAACAACATAAACAGTCTTAAATACAGAATATTTTTCCTCTTCTGTATTTAAGCCTGGCACTTGCTGGGAATACACAGAGAAAGTACCTAAGGAAGAATGTCTTCCAATGCAGCAACTTTTTCTGGCTTTGCAGTACTAGCATTGGAGCTTAGCATAGATAAAATCTTGGGAGGTGGGTGAGACACAAGCTGCACCCTTGGAATAAGCCTGCTATTGGAAGAAGAAAGCTGGACTCTGGAGTGGAAGCAAGGCAAGCATCTCATCTCATGAATCCAGCTCTGATGTGACAAGCTCTGGCGGCCTTTTTGAATTCACCAAGCATTCAGCCCTTTTGTGCTCAGTGTATGGAAGCCCAGGCCACATCTGCTGTGCCCCTTTTATCACTCACAAAGAACTTGGAGGCCCAGCTTGACAGCTTAATTAATGTGCATGAGAGACATTTACATTGAATAGCTTTCAAAAGCAGAATCTTGAAAAGGCAGGGCTCTCTTTTCTAGGATCTGAATTGTGTTCTTTGCAAGGCACACAACTGCTCTGGGATTTTTATCCCCTCCCTGTCTTGGGCTAACCCTTGCCTTTCCAGTCAATTTCAGTCTGAGGCATTGTTCATATCCTATCCTGGCTGCTTATGTCTTCAGGGAGACCAAGCCTCATTGTGTTAATTTTACTACATTGTGCAGTAAAATGACTCCAACTGAGCTCATGGCCTTGTCTCTGACCTGTCATTGAATTGGCAGCTCTTGGTGTTGCAGGGAGACTGCTTGGTGGAACTCTTGATTTCTTTCCTCTTCACCTCCATCCTGTCCTCTCGATTTTTTGTCCCAGCACAACATGCTATAATCTATCCAGGGGAATGAGCAAAGCTTTAGAATAAAAAACAAACAAAAGGAAAAAAAACCCCTCAAAATTGTCAGGTCCCTCTCTGAACTCTTAGTTTAAAAATTGCACAATGTCTTTACACCTCAATTTCAGACAGTTTTGCACTGGTTGTTGCATTCATTTATTATACAGGAGCCAAGAGGGCAGTTTGATGCTTGGGATAAACTAAAATAAATTACAAGAGTGCCCACTGGTGTTACCAAAAGGATGCTGTGTTTGTATTCTGTGACATTCTGTGCTTGTATTCTGAATGCTTCCCTAGTGAATGCTTGCCTGTGGGGCAATCTGAGGTTGTGAGGGTGAATGTGTGTGGTGCCCACAGCCTGGTGCTCCTTTCCAACTGCGGAAATGAATGTTCATTTCCAGGAAGCACTCTTTTTTTGTACTATAGGAATAACTGAGATTGATGGGGTCCCAGAATTATATTATTTAGAAGCCCCAGCATTCGGAATCTTGCTCTTTAAGGAAAGTGTGCTATGTTTGATCTTGTCACTTGAGTAACCACTTATATTCAACCTCATATTAAAAGGAGAGGGCCTTCTTTTCTGAACCACTCAGGGTAAGATTCTGGGCCTTCTATGGTGTAGTATGTTGAGCTCTTGAATTCAAGATGAGCCTTGAAATATTAGAATGGGATTTGGTACATTGATCAAGGCCCAGTTTAAAAGAACGAACCCATCTTGATCCCTGCACCCATTTCCCTGTCAGAAGATGCGAGGCAGAAAGCCGCGTGCTGTCTTTGATGACTCAGGCATGCCACTTTTTATTCTGGAGTGTTCTGAACACTATTGAGCATTTCAAATGTGAACCCCAGTTTAACCCAGCACCTGTCTTCAAAAGGAAGGGAATGCAAGATGCATTGCATCATGATATGTTTCAACGTATATTTAGACCCTGTCAAGTAAACTTTCCAGGTCATGGAAAAACGTTGTTCTTTCCAGTAACTACCAGCCCTTGTTTCTGGGAAATTCTGATACTTTTCAAGTTTTACGTGTGAATATAGAACAAAATAGAAATTTCACAGTTGTGCACCTAAATTGGCAACGATTCAGTAGGGCAAAAAGACATGTAGGCCTTGACTACTGGCTTTCAACTTCATTCTGGGCTTGTGTTTTATGACATTGCTGAGCTATTGCATTTATTCTCACTGATTCCTGAAATATATTTATGAAATCTTAGTCAGATTTCTTTGAATACTGCATATAAGACAGCTTGCTCTGCCACAAGAGTGCTTTCATAAAAATAACAGGACATTTAGCTAAAACCAACATCAACATTTGCTGAAACAGTTGAGTTTTCTCCTGCTGCCTCGTTGTGAATTCAGTTGTGGTTCTGCAACATGCTTGGTGGTCATGGACGTAGCCTTCCGATAGTTACCTGGGGCAGAGGTTCTCCATATGTTTTAAGGGTTTGGAGAGAGCCCTACTGGAGAAGGCACTTTGACATCAAAATAATTTCTTAGACTCTCAGACATTATGATCGACAGCAGATGCAAACACTGCTGAATAGATGCTGCAAGACAGAGGTGAACCCTCTTCCTTCCTTTCCCCCTTTCCTTTTGACAAGCCATCCTGACTCAAAAGATGCTCAGGGCTGCTTTTCCTCAGGCCATGATTAAGTGGACTAGCGTCTGAACAGAGTATTGCCAAAACTGTTAAACTTAAACTGTTGACTGAATAAATTATTCTGCTTGTTAACCTTTGCCAGCATGTGATTAACTTGTTCAGCCCACAGTGCACCCTGAATGGATTGTTAAGATGCTTAGGAAGAGTTTGGATTGACTTGGAATCTACAGTGGGTTATTCATTTTATCTTGTTTATATAAGATTAATTAGTATTAGGGGCTAGGCACTGTTCTCCAAAATTTCTCATAGCTGATGCACATCTTTTTCCTGAATTAATATTGAGAACACATTTTACAGCCTCAAAAGTTTACCTTTAAGAGTGCAAGAGTAAGAACTACCTACATTTAGAGGAGCCCACTGTGATGTTGCTGTATAGGGTATATAACCATTGAATCCATTGTGCTAAACATATGTAAAAAAGCAAATCATGAATATAGGTAGTTGGGACAACATATACTTTTGCAAACATCCTTATACATTATCATTTGAAAACTAAATATGACAAATGGCTGAAACAGCTTTCACAAATACTAACTAGCTGCCTAACTGCAACCTTAAGGAGGACTGAATATGAGAGAAGATTGCTGACAAACCACAACTTGAGAATTAAGCAATACATCTGCCAGGGAGATAATATAATTTACCATGTGGGGAAAATTTCTCATGAATGAACATATGCAAGCATAAGAGATTAAAAAAAAATAGTTTGGAGGAATTCCCTCACTGTAGCATATGTGCAAAACAAAGAAAACTGAATTGCAAATCTATTGCAAGGTTTGCTGTTGCAAACCTTGCACATGCTAGGCACTGAGTGCATGAAAGGTAAATGAAGCAAAAGCCTGTCACTGGTTAGGGTTCAGTTTCCTATAATCCAAACAAAAAAAATCTTGACAGCATATGAACTTTCTTCAAAGTGACCCACCAAAGGGGACTGTGGGGCAATAACTACTAGAAATATGGTTGATGTGAACTAACAGATGCCTACTCACCTTACTGAATATCAGTAGGGAATGGCTACAGGTAGTGAGGCATTTCATTGCTGTAATGAAGATTAGGAAGTTCTTGAAATTCAGGTTCTTGCTTCTGCAGAAGTCCCTGTTCTGCTGAAGTCACAAATCTGCTCCAGAGGGCTAGAGGAAACCCCACAACAGATTTAGGGTGTGTGTGGTGGAGGGAGGGGGAGGAGAGTTCAGTTACACAAGGGTAACTTGTGCTGCTCAAATGAGATATTTGGATATTTGCCCTTGTGTCCCATCTTTTAGGAGACATATGTTTTCAGCATTTGATGGAGTCACTGATTCTATTTTCTTCTTTCCTTCCTTTCTCTCCACAGAAGATGATGTTTGCGTGTTCAAGTGTTCTGTGTCGAAGGAGACGGAATGCAGTCGAGTCGGCAAGCAGTCTTTCATTATTACACTGGGGTGTAATAGCGTCCTTATACAGTTCGCAACGCCAAGTGGTACGTACCACCAGATTTGTGTTTGATTTATGTACGTCTGCTGCTCAAGGGGCTGTGAAACTCCAGATTGCTTCCTTAAAAACAACTTCAGAAGAAAACAACCTTGCTGGGTTCAAGATGGCACCAGATACATTTTATATGGTCTCATCTGCAATGCTAGTGCCTTGACTGTAGGGTGCTATGTGGTCTCTGACTTGCTTGTTGCTGAGGCTGTGAAACTTTATACAGTCAGAGGGCTAGATACTATGTTAATAGCCCATATAGGTTCAACATAGCATATGAGACGATTGCCCCTCTCATTTCGCTGCCATCCTAGTCTCCATCCCCCAGAAAGTGTGTTGCCTGTTAGTTCTCCAAGTTCTGTGTTGGGCCTGAACAGTGACATTTGAATACTAAACAGGCCATGTTTGACTTTTCTTTTAGACTTCTGCTCATTTTATAATATCTTGAAAAACTGTCGGGGCCACAACATTGAGCAGTCTGTGTTCAGTGAGCGTACAGAAGAGTCTTCTGCTGTGCAGTACTTTCAGGTAGGTGGGTGAGTTCAACAGCTGATGCTTTTTTCTGGTGTGTCACCATAAGTTCCTTGTGTTCATTTCCAAATGTATGTCTCTTGCAAGTTGGAGATTTTTAAAGCTCCTTATTGGTAAACAAGGGACTTCTGCTAATTGAGTGTGTCTGCTTGTTTGCTACTCATTAACTTTTTCAGCTGTTGAGGTAGGGATTTGGGGAGGAGGCTTGGAATTCTGGGAAGCAAAGCAAAAGTTGTATGTTAAGGGCTGAATGATAGGAGGATGAGCAGAACTTTGTCTACTTGGAAACCTCCATAGATTCTCGGTGTGCTGTAAAGCATTCAAAGAACTGGCCAAACTGTGGGCACAGCTTTCTTCAAAATCCTGAAGTCTTGGGCCTTAATTGCAACTGTGCAGATAGCTGGATGCATGTCCTGGTCGTTGTCAGAAACTGGGACGGCGTAGTGTCAAAAGTAGTTCTGCAAATTAAAATTACCAGGGCTTACACACTGGCAATATCTGTGCATTTAATATTTCCAAGTGGCTTCCACAGTACTGCCGCATGGAGAGAGAGTGAGTGAAAGAAGTGAGTTCTTCTGGTAGCAATTACTCGTAAGCATTGCTGTCATTTTGGATACTGAATGCTTATATCGAGTGAGGTGCTTCTTTCTTTGAGATAAATGTTTACCGGCTTTAGCAGAGGCTTTTTGTTTCCCTTTAGTTTTATGGATACTTATCTCAGCAGCAAAATATGATGCAGGATTATGTCAGAACAGGCACGTACCAGCGAGCAATCCTGCAGAACCACAGTGACTTTAAAGACAAGGTAAGGGGGTGGAGTCTATTGGCACTTTCTGAGTGCATCCTGTATTTGTGATGCAAGCAGTACAGGCACCTCCTAATAATGCAGAGTTTGTGAAAGGCAAGACCAAATGTCTGCAAGTTTCACACCCAGGCTGCCTTTCTTCTGTGTTCAAAATAAATGTTATCTATTTCACATATTTGAAAAGTGGTATAACGTGAGCATTTGAAAAGCAGATTATAACATTAAATTTAAAAAATAGATGTGGCCTCACACCCATGGCAAGGGTTCTGAGCTGAATCCTAAGAAATTCTGTCTGTACACCACCGCTGGGCAGTGGAATTCCAGGGTCAGTGAAGAAATGTTGACTAGGTCAGGACAGGTCATAGAATGAAGTCTTATGCTTAAATGCTTCTAGCTGGCTGGCTTGTTCTCTAATATGAGGACACTGCCACTTAAAATCTCTGGGCACTGGAACTGCCTCCTTCAAAGATGGAAATATTCCACACTTTAGAATTTTGCAGTTGGTTTGGTTAGAATTTGTGTTACATACTAACTTCCTGTTATACAAATATTTAATGAATTTACAAAGTCATTCGGGAGGAGGGAGAATTTGCTTATGCTTAGTGACTTGACTATATGTCATGTCTATTCACTTTCCCCACCAGATTGTATTAGATGTTGGCTGTGGTTCTGGCATCCTGTCGTTTTTCGCAGCACAGGCCGGAGCAAGAAAAATCTATGCAGTGGAAGCCAGTACAATGGCTCAACATGCAGAGGTCAGTGATGTTTCAAGGCTTATGGAAAAGCCTCTGGGGATCCACCCATACTTAGGTCACAAATGCTGACATTTTGCAGCTGACAGGACAGTTTCCCTTCTCTTCCTTGTACTGCTCTGTCCTTATAAAGAGAAAGTGGTGTTGATTTAGGCATTGAGAAGAAACTAGCCTTCGATGCAAGGGTGGAATTAATAATCTTTCCCCCAATACACTCAGTTTGCTTATATGCATTTTATTTTTAAAAACAATATTTATTAAGTTTTCCAAATTAACAATCCAATAATGGCCACATTAAAAACATTCTGAATTATAAAATAATCAAACAGTCCAAATATTAAGCCAAATCATAAATCTTTGTTTGACTTCCCATGCTCTTAGCTCCTCCGGCTTGTGTGCATTTTATATGACGATCTGCCGCGGATTATCTCGAAGGTCGAGATGGGGAGAAGTCCAGAGGAAGGTTTTTGAGCACACGTATGAAATTCACTTTGGACCAGCCTAACCTACTTCACAGTCTGGTTGTGAATATATTGTAGGGAACGTCCCATGTTTATAGTACTGAGTTTTGGGAACGCATTTCCAAATTTTCCACATTTCCAAATTTTCTCCACAGCCATTTTGTGAAGGTGGGATTGTTATTTCTGACTTAGCATTGGAAGTGATGTCTCATCAGAACGGGGCTAAACCCAAATTAGGCTGATTCTGCACATGTCTAAAATGCCAGTGGGCCTCTAATTCATTACTTCCCCTGAGCCATTTTAATTCTTGCTGCAAGTTTGCAAATAATAATAATAATAATAATAATAATAATAATAATAATATTTATACCCTGCCCATCCGGCTGGGTTTCCCCAGCCACTCTGGGTGGCTTCCAACAGAATATTAAAATACAATAGTCTATTAAATATTAAAAGCTTTCCTAAACAGGGCTGCCTTCAGATGTCTTCTAAAAGTCTGGTAGTTGTTTTTCTCTTTGACAACTGGTGGGAGGGCGTTCCACAGGGCGGGTGGCAAATGTTGCATTCTGTTCCAAGGAAGATACTCAGGATCCCTTTAAGCTGTTCAACAGAGTTATTTTGAACTATTTTAGCATTTAGGAATTCTCCTTGTATTTTGCACACATGGCAGGAACCTGCATCCCTTCTGATGTACTGAAGGGATAGCTCAGTTGGTAGAGCATGAGGCTCTTAATCGCAGGGGATTGAAGCCCCACGTTGGTCAAAAGGTTCCCTCATTGCAGGGGGTTGGACTAAATGACCCTCGAGGTCCTTAAATCTACCGTTCTATGGTTCTACTTTTTGCTTTTATTTAAAGGAGAAAATGGCAAATTATTCACATGTGCATCCTTCAACTTTTGCTCCAGGCACAGGTGACGCTTTAAAGCTCCATATCCGAGCATTGGTGTTTTTTTGTTTTTGTTTTGTCCTGGCACTTTCCCTAGGAAAGCCCGCATTTTGCCTGAAATGAAAAACCCGATCGCCATTTGCTCCGATTCAGCAGTAAAACATGGGTTTTCCCAGGGAAAGTACTGGGACCAAAGAGCACATGCTTGGATACAGAGCTTTAAATCCTGGACAAAAGAAAGTGTGGATGAGCCCACAGATACTACATATGTTTTTTGTATCGGGATATCTCTACCCAAGTATAAAACATATCTGCAAGACGCTATGTGTCTGAAACTGGGGACTCTTATCATGGGGTCCCAGGTGCCCTGTACATGCTGTCAGTGTTTGAAACTCCCATTGTTCTAGGCACATTTTGTGACAGGGAATTTCATTAGCGCAAGCAGTTTCTGAGCTCTGGTTGCCTAAGATTTCAGAGTAAAACTGCAGAGTGGAAGGAAAGGAGGACCTTTTTCTGCCTCCCCACTTCCAACTACTCCCTGTAGGCTAGAGAAGAGACCCTCTTAAGAATATTAGGGGGATAGGCACTAGAGCATATGAAAAGTGAACATAATATTTTAGCTGCAGTTCATTCGTTTTCAGCTTTGTATTCTTGTTATTAAAAAGTGTGCCTAGACATTCTGTTGCTGTACCCATAACCTAGGTTTAAGGTGCCATTTAGCTCCTAGCTTTTATATCTCAGTTTCTAACACTGCACGCTGTGGCAGCTGTCTGGAAATGCAGCACCACCTCCACTGCTGGTCCAAAAGATTATACTGCAGCTGCTACCAGTTCAGCAGGGAGCAGATGACAAAAAGAGTCAACAAAGCATCTGATTCTGGCCTGACATCTCAGTGTGAGGAATTCATTGCTTAAGTTCAAGATGAACTGCTTAGCCACCTGCTGAACTTGTTTCCATGTCCCCAGTCCTGACAATGACATAAGCAGCAGCCCTGGGTATCTATCTACCTGTCTAGGATAATATTGTTTATATTGTTTATGCTCGGGTTGCGAACGTGATCCGTGGGGGAGGCACGTTCACAACCTGCGACCCGCGCGTCTGCGCATGTGCGGGCTGCGATTTGGCGCTTCTGCACATGCACCAAAACCCGGAAGTAACTGTTTCGGTACTTTCGGGTTCGGTGCGGTGCACATCCCGAAATCGTGCAACCCGAGGTATGACTGTACTGTTAGAGAAGCCCTTAAAAGTATCCACCCCTTCCTCACAACAGATATCTAAGGACCAAACAGGTGGTGAGTGATTGGTCTCTTTCTGATTTTCTCCCATGATTTCCTCCTGAACAGGTTTTAGTAAAGAGTAATAACCTCACTGACCGGATCGTGGTCATTCCTGGGAAGGTAGAGGAGGTCTCCCTTCCAGAACAGGTGGACATCATTATCTCTGAGCCAATGGGGTACATGCTGTTCAATGAACGTATGCTGGAGAGCTATCTGCATGCCAAGAAGTATTTAAAGCCCAGTGGTAAGTGACTTCCTCTTGCGCCAGTGGTGCAGTGATGGGGTTTGGGTGGGCAGAAGAGCTTTTGTCAAGGCTTCTTCTGGCACACTAAGCCAAAATGGCACTGGGTTACTCAATAAGCAAGTGGTCCTTCACGTACCTGCAGAATAATATTTTAATATGAAGGGGCATTTTAATACGGCAATAATCTTGCAGGCTGCAGGAGGTGACCCTACTCTGTATTGCTCAATGTGACTCTCCTCTGTCTGCCTTAGATGCTGGTGAAGGAAGAGTTGGGGACGACCTGGTTTCCTGTTCATGGTTTAAACAGGGGTTCACTCAACTTTTGATGCTAGTATAAAGTAGAGGTGGGCCAAAGAGTGAACGATTAGGAAGCCATGTGAAGCTTCTGTATGCCAGTGTTTATAGCAGGGGCTCGGATCAAAAAGCCTTTGGTTTAAGAGAAAGCTGTTCCAAATTCACTCATGCAGCAGAAAGCATAAAAACTGGCAGGTTAAGGCACCTGTCTTAATTTCTGCGGTTTGTAAGCACTAAACATGTTCTGCTATCTTGCATGTGGTGCTCACTTACAGCATAGGCATCATGCACTCAAGTCTTTTCTGTTAGTCTTTCAGCCCTGATTCACTTGTTTTGCAGGCTGGGGCAGCAGTGAATCTGGCGTCAGTGGTGTTAAGTCAGTATTTAATAAGATACATACTGTAGTTGTTTAAGGGCACGACAGAATCCTGCAAAAAAAAATTTGCATGCAAAGCCTCAAATCCCTTCATTCTCACAACTGGTCACTTGCAAAGCTTATCTTATGAAAACTTGATCCTTTGTTGTAATTTCTAAGCTTTTTAAAGTTCTGACAGCATAGTATGCATCCAGTCCTGTGCATTGCAGGGTGGAGGGATGCTGAAGCCCTACCCTTCCTGTAATGTAGTGGATTGGCTTTAGTGGACTGCAGGGAGTACAGCAGGGTGCACATTGAGACCTGAAACTTCTCTACAGTGTGTGTGTGTATATGGGAGGGAATGTGTGCTTGGGGGGGGGGAGGGAGTTTCCCCCCCAACCCCAATCCATCTTGAGGAAGAGGAATTTGGTTTGGATGATGCCTAACGGCACACATCCACCAAGCCCAATTTCCTCCACTTTGCCCCACCAGACTAAAGGGAAGCAAGCGGCAGGCTCCACTATGCCGATGCAGCTCTTCCCTCTCCAAGCAGGCTTCAGTAGCACAACGGAGCGTTCACTAGGTAAGTCGCCCACAATTCTCTCTTCATTGAGTAAAATGGAAACGTTTTAACTTAGCAAGTTTGATCCTACACAATGTTCGAAACCAACAAGGGGCGCCCCCTAGCAACGTAAACATGCATTTTGGGAATTCTTTCAACTTCCAAAAACGACAACATCTAAGTAGCCAGAAGCAAAGGGCCTTCATTTCTGTATCCAAATTCCTAAACTGCTCAAACTCACCCTTTGTCATCTGGTGTTTTTAACATTCAGCTAACTTGTACACCTGAGCTTAAAAAAAAGAAACCCACCCCCCCAAATAAGACATATCATAATTCAATCCTATAAGGAACTCGTGGAACCTGCAAGAAGGTATTGCAGTATATTACTCTTCCCTTTTTTGATCCTGAGGGCCATGTGGAATGCGGGGCTGGAGCCAGTGATAAGTGGGGCTTGGATCCAATCTTCCCTAAAGCAGGCACAGCTTTCCCTTCTCTTGTGCACTCTCTCTCCCCTTTCCCTCACCCTATTCTCAGAGCATCAGGGTGGGAGGAGGGAGGTTTAAATCTTTCCTCCCAGCATGTTGAGATCCCATTGTGTGAGGAGTTTTCCATTTGGTGTGCTTCCTCAAGCAGCTGGCCAGTGGAGCAGGAGTGCAGTGTGCAAGGTGATCTCAGCATTCCTATGTGCCCCCCCCGACTTACACTCAAAGCAGCATGCTGAGCAAAGTGCTCTTTGGCACCAGTCAACTGCTGGGCAGTGAAGAGGGGGCCTCTGGGCTGCAGGCTGCATGGGTTTCCCATATGTGCCCTAGAGCAGTTGTTCCCAATTGGTGGTCCCTGCTGGGGGGGGGGGGTCCGTGTAACCCACCCAGGGAGTCTGTGGCACCATTCACAAAACAAAAACTACCATAGAGATAGGAGAATTTTCAAAAACTTAGCTTTTGAAAAACGGGGAATCCACAATTGAGTACCACTGCCCTAGATCAAGCGTGGGCAGACTTCGGGTTTGACAGATCTATTTTGTGGGTTTTTTACTTGATTCCCGAAGTTTGTCCATTCGAGCTAGATACAAAAGACATGCTGTTAGAATTGAACAACAAGATTCATCTGAGCACATTCAGATCCTGGGAATTGGTTTTCAGTATTTTTATTAATTATTATTATTATTATTTAAATTTCTATACTACCCTTCATCTGAGGATCACAGGGAGGCTTAGAATTAAAAACACAAAAATACGTAACCTGGTAACAAACAAAAACAATACCACCCCCCTCTCCAATACCTGAACTAAACTGACCTCTCGGTAATTTAGCACAAAAGTTACTCCAGTTTAGCGTTCTTCATTTTGGCCACTGGTAAGGTAAAACAACGGGGAGTCAGGAACGCTTGCCAATCTAATGATCGTCTGCCCACCCCTGCCCTCAAACACTGCAGTTCAGGGTCCAGCCAGCCTTAAGTAGGAGCCTCCTAGTGTTGGTTCTCTGTAGCACTATAGAGGGGTTAGGTTCATGGCTAGCTTCCTGTTCTAAACCTGAGCATCTGAGTTGTATTAGCTGGGGTGGCAGTGGCTCTGGAGAGAGTGAAAGGGAAAAAGCTTTCTCCATTCCTTCCTTCTGAAATGTCCCCATATAGACAGGGAGAGGAGTTCCATTAACCGCACAGCACCAATGGGTGCCCCCTGCTCCCAACGCTACCTCTGTCCAGTGAGCTTCAGCAGGCCAGTTTCCTCTCTCTTTTCTCTGCCTTCCATTTTCCTCCCTTTTTACTCAGTTGACATCCTAACATTCTGTGTTTCAGATGTTTCCAATCCACCAGCCATTTTCTCTCCTCTTTTTTTTGTGGTGGGCACCATAACTGCTCTCAGTCATAGACTGCATTGATAAGCACTCAGCCTGCTCCATTTCTAGTTCAAAATGGCAAAATCCAGGTTATTTACATAGTCATGGTCCTTCCACCCTGCTCCCTAAAAAGCAACAGAGACAGGAGGTCTTGTTGCTGTTCAGTGCAAATCTGGAAGTTCACTCTTCAGATAATGAGTTACTATTTTCTTACCTCTAAGCCATCGGTCCCAGAGGCTCACAGGTGCTTGTTGTGCACTTTGACTTTAAAAAATTATTTTTGTTAAATTTACAAATTAAGTCGCTCAGGTGTATTGTATCCACTGCCTTTTTCTTGGATGACCCCATTTTGCTTCCAGACTGATCTGCACTCAACCAGCCAATTTTGCTACTGGAAGGAATTGCAAAATTGTCATGCTTTATAATAGTAGAACAATTAAAAGTGGTCACGCCTTGATTTATAGAGACGCTCCCTCTATTGGTTCTATAATTAGCAAGGCATCATTGCTGGTGTGCATCAGAAGCTTGGTAGAGGCCGAAGGATGATGCTGACAATGGAAGCATTCCCCATAAAAACAGTAGATCAAGTAAAAACCAGTTTTAAAGAGAAGAAGCTATGTGGAAAGTGAATAATAAATGCACCGCGAGGAACAACCGCCATCATTTGAAACAGACACATCTTCAGTGGGCTCCTGGTGAGATGATACAGTGGGGCAGTGGTCAGGATTGAACTCAGTCAATTCTATGGGAAGGTTTTGGCTGAGGTGCTGTTGATTTCCTTCAAATGCTTGTGGCAGTGACTCAAGGTGCAGCACTGTTAAGGACATTAGTGGTTTGAAGGCATTCATGGTGCCAGTTTAAATAAATCAAGATTTGATTAAATAAATCAAGAACAGATTTATTATTAATGACAGTTTTGTTTTGTAAATCTCACTTACTTTTACCTTCTGTTCCTATCTCTTTTAACTTGTTTTTATTTTACTGTCTTCCCAATTTCTTTTTCTTTTTAACCTGATCAATCCTAGCTGCCATTCTGTCTGATTTTTAACCTGTTCGTTAATTTTTTTCCAGATCCCCCCTCCTCCAAATCCTGAAGTTATCCACCTTGGGGTTTTTCTTTGTTAAAATTGGAAGGGGACCATAAGTATATTTCTGTAAATAAATAAACTATGTCCATCTTCCATTCAATTTCAGGGAATATGTTTCCAACCATTGGGGATGTCCACTTAGCACCATTCACAGATGAGCAACTCTACATGGAACAATTCACAAAAGCTAACTTTTGGTAAGCCACTTTTCCTAGGAAGCAATGCTCTCAGCCCAGTTCCACAATTGCTGCAGTTTATCCAACAGAAAACTAGCTGCTCATGTAACAAACTGCAGTGTTGATCTGTGCCAGACAGACTCAGGTTTGGGTAAACATTAGCAGTCCCATCTTTCCTAGTCTTCTAGATAGCAGTGAAGAACCTCCATGGTCCTCTGCAGTCTAACTGCTATCTTTCCAGTATAGGTTCTTTGGGAGGAGACTGATATTTGGAACCTCACATTGGTGCATCCTTGGATACCCGGACCCTCCCAAGTCACCCAGCCTGCTGTGTTTTGTCTTGCAGGTATCAGCCATCCTTCCATGGGGTAGACTTGTCAGCACTTCGGGGTGCAGCAGTAGATGAATATTTCAGGCAGCCTGTTGTGGTAAGTCTGTCCTATAACGCTGACATATGGCAAAAGTTGACATTCTTCCTGATGGTGGGAACATGGTGAGGGGAAAGGATGAAATGTGATTGAAAGAAAGCTGTCTCTAGTCCTCAGAGCCTTCCTAAGGGAGCTTCTGTCAGAAGAAATTGGGGGGAGAAAAACTCCAGCTTTTGGAGTCTAATCCTGACAAGACAGAAGTATTGTTTTTGGGGGACAGGGGGCGGGCTGGTGTGGAGGACTCCCTGGTCCTGAATAGGGTAACTGTGCCCCTGAAGGACCAGGTGCGCAGCCTGGGAGTCATTTTGGACTCACAGCTGTCCATGGAGGCGCAGGTCAATTCTGTACCCAGGGCAGCTGTCTACCAACTCCACCTGGTACGCAGGCTGAGACCCTACCTGCCCGCGGACTGTCTCGCCAGAGTGGTGCATGCTCTAGTTATCGCCCGCTTGGACTACTGCAATGCGCTCTACGTGGGGCTACCTTTGAAGGTGACCCGGAAACTACAGTTAATCCAGAATGCGGCAGCTAGACTGGTGACTGGGGGCGGCCGCCGAGACCACATAACACCGGTCTTGAAAGACCTACATTGGCTCCCAGTACGTTTCCGAGCACAATTCAAAGTGTTGGTGTTGACCTTTAAAGCCCTAAACGGCCTCGGCCCAGTATACCTGAAGGAGCGTCTCCACCCCCATCGTTCTGCCCGGACGCTGAGGTCCAGCGCCGAGGGCCTTCTGGTGGTTCCCTCATTGCGAGAAGCAAAGCTACAGGGAGCCAGGCAGAGGGCCTTCTCGGTAGTGGCGCCCGCCCTGTGGAACGCCCTCCCATCAGATGTCAAAGCGATAAATAACTACCTGACATTTAGAAGGCATCTTAAGGCAGCCCTGTTCAGGGAAGCTTTTAATCTGTGATATTTTACTGTATTTTTTGTTTCTATGGAAGCCGCCCAGAGTGGCTGGGGAAACCCAGCCAGATGGGCGGGGTACAAATAATAAATTATTTATTTATTTATTTATTTAATCACCAAAGCCTGTGTGTGTTCATTAGAGACTAATACCATGTGCTAGCTTGGTTACTTGCTCACAAGTAACACAACCAGTAATCAGCCCAGTTGATGAGAACCCGCAAGCTTCCAGCCTCCTCTTGATGGCTTGAACACCTGTTATACTTCAATTTTGAAAACCATAGTGCACCTGACATGAGCATTTTTCTTATATAGAGAGCCATCAGTTTTATGCCTTTGCTGTTGGACACATTTAAACAAAGATGAGATTGGGTGGCCTGTAATTTCTCCCAGGTCTGACTTCTTCAAATGGAGCAAGTAAACACCAGGGAACTGGTATTGCCATCTGAAGGAAGCACTGAGCACTGGGGGAGTAGAGTGTCTTGGTTCATGCCACTGTTTTGCATGGAACAGAGCAAGGCTGGCAACCATGATGCTCATCTCTGCTTACCTCTTAGGGTGGCAGGGAAGAAAGGCATTGTTCTGTTGTATGGCATAATATTCACAAGCATCTTCTGGCCCTCGGAGTAAGTTAGTATGTTGTCTGTCTTCTTTACATTTGTCTGGGAGTGGAAGTGAGTGGAGAGCAGCTCGGACTTGTACTTTTCCACTTCCTGACCCAACCAGAGGTTTTCATTTATGTGCTTCTCTTCCCAAGGACACCTTTGATATCAGGATTCTAATGGCCAAATCTGTTAAATACACAGTGAACTTCTTAGACGCCAAAGAAGCGGATTTGCACAGGTATGTTATCCCCTTTATAGGAGACAGAGGGATAATCCAGTCTGGCTCCCAGCTGTCTGTTACACTGGGTTGGGAGAAGCCAAAGTTATACTGTTTCTGTCCTTAAAAAAGAAAAGAGAAAAAGAAATTGTGTCTGCAGTACATGCCAGTGTATGAGTCTTCATGAGTGTATTGTTACTGTTGTGTGGCAGAGCCAGATGAAAGTAGCCTGGCAGTCTTTCCTGAGCCATATTTTGGTCCTGCATAGGAGCCCAGTCTTCTTCCCTTGATCCTTTAACCAATTAAGGTTCGCTAGAAACAGACTGGTGGCTTGATGCCTGCTTTGCTTGCAGGAGACCTCAGACTCAGGGGTCAGGATAAACAAAAATGGGCTGAGATGGTATAAGAATTCCGAAATCAAGAGGGCCAACGTTTAAGAACTGTTCGAGTTGACTTCCTGTTCTTTGTGTTTTCTACCATCCATCACTCTGCTTGTTGAGGTTTCAGGCCATGTCTGCTGAGGCTATTTATGGTTCATTCAAAAAATTACAACCTGTTTTTGAGGGCACACTGTCCAACGAAGGGAATTTTAAGTAAGGTTTTAAAATAAATCAAAATAACAACAGTTTAATCATTAACTTAAAACCACCAGCAGCTAAAATTCTTCTAGCATAGTAAATAGATCAGACACAGATTAGAATAAAAATCTCTTCAGAGTTTTCCTAAAAATCAGCAGTGACAAAGCCATACATATTTCTCTGGGAGTTTCAAACATGGAGAACTCTCAGTCTCTGGTTTCCAACAGTCTAACCAGTCTTACAAGTTGGTTAGAGAGCAGGGCCTCTGGTCTTAATTCTGGTACTGTCTCACGGGGAGTCTCTTGTTTTGCAATTCCTATACAAAAAAACAAAGTAAAAAAACCTTCCTCAAGTCAATGGAGTCTTGCCTTAACTATTTCCCACCCACATCCAGGTTGGGCTTGTTTCCAGAAGAAGGCTGTTGAGCAATGACAAGATACAATCGTCTAGTGTAGAATGACTATGCATAGTTCTTGCATGTCTCCAGTCTGTATCAGCGAGGTGGTTCTTATCTTTTGACCTTCTGAAAATGTGAATGTCCAAAATTTATATTCAGGTTAGAATGAAAAAAGCAAAAAAACAGTACCCTTAAGAAAGCAGCCACACGCTATTGATTAGTACAGCTGGAGAAAGTGGGAGCCACAGCCTGATAAGACCCAACTTAAAAGAAGATCTTAGATGGCCTCTATATGAGACAGAGGCAGTCTCAGATCTCCAGCTACATACATACATGCATGCATGTGGGTGGCGCTGTGGTCTAAACCACTGAGCCTCTTGGGCTTGATGATCAGAAGGTCGGCAGTTCGAATCCCTGCGACGGGGCGAGCTCCTGTTGCTCTGTCCCAACTCCTGCCAGCCTAGCAGTTCAAAAGCACGCCAGTGCAAGTAGATAAATAGGTACCACTGTGGTGGGAAGGTAAACAGCGTTTCCATGCGCTCTGGCTTCCGTCACAGTGTTCCATTGCACCAGAAGCAGTTTAGTCATGCTGGCCACATGACTTGGAAAGCTGTCTGTGGACAAATGCCGGCTCCCTCTGCCTGAAAAGCGAGATGAGCATCGCAACTCCATAGTCACCTTTGACTGGACTTAACCGTCCAGGGGTCCTTTACCTTTACCTTTTACTTTGTGCTGACTAAGAAGAAACCATGTGACTACAAGGGAGAGGGTGAATTCATGTGGCATCTCCTCTTGTTTTCCAGGATAGAAATCCCGTTCAAATTCCACATGCTGCATTCAGGTCTAGTCCATGGGTTGGCTTTCTGGTTTGATGTAGCCTTCATCGGTTCAATGTAAGTGGTGGCAAAAGTGCTCTTTCCTCCCATCAGAACTTGGATTTTATAAAACAGATAACTGATTATCACTCCTACACTGCAGTAAACTGGCAAGTTCAAATTAAATTATCTTTTGACTTGTGTCCTTCGGTAGATGAATGTAAATATGTTTGTTTAACTTGGCAGCAGGGAAACATATTTAGAAAAAAACAGCCCTCGGGATAGTAAATGGAAGCTTGCATTTCTTCACAACGCTAGATTTGCTCTTGGCTGCACAGTTTGATAGAGCGAACGCTTGCTTGCCAATTCTGATTTTGTTTCTTTATTTAATTCCAAGTCCAATTAAGGTACTGGTTGGTTTTAAAGCTCTTAATTTTTAAAACCCTGGCTATCTTGGGAGAATGCTGCCTCCCATGTGAGATTTTGAGATTATCTAATGAGGTCCTATTGCAGCGACTACCTTTTATGGATGCCATATTAGTTTCAAAACATAGCTAAATTGTTTCTGTAATTGTCTCAAAGCACTAGAAAGAACTCCCTTGGGATATCTGCTTGTCTTGCTGTATCACTGTTCTGCAAGCAGACTAAGGTGGCCCTGTTCTGTTGGGTGTTTTGGAGGAGATACTCTCTTATTACACTATTTTTATAGTGTTTTAGCTGTATTTACTTCGTGTGTTTTGTGATTGAATTTTATAGTGCTTTGAGAATTGTTATTTTCAACAACCACTAGTCCACAAAAGTGACTATAATGATTAGAAGGAAAGCATATCTTCAGTTTCCTGTTTCTGCTAACATAACAGAACCAAAATATCCTCAAAAAGTAACAAGTCTTCTATTAATTGTGGCCTTTCTAATTAAAGTTGGCCCTCATTAATCAAGTGAAGCTTCAGCTGGTTAAAATTTAATCAATTTAAAATTAATTTAAGCACTAATAAAAGTTGACTAAAAGGACTGTACTAACCATTAAAAGCAAGATCAAGCAGGAAAGTATTGACAGGTGCTTCCAAAATGCGCACCTGCCACCAAACTGAACTTTCAAGAGGGACTGACTTGGAAGAGGAAAAACAGGAGCCTTGGTTTCTCTGTGGAGAGTGAAAACAGATTGGTATATGACAAGCCAGGCCTGAGTGCAGCTACTTTGCAGCTGGGGATATGCTGACAGTTGGGAAACAGAGCAATCTGAGAGGGGTAGGATGTGGATTTGTGACAACTCAAGTCCTTGTGTCTAAACATGACTCCCTTGCCTCTCTCCTTCTGCTAGAATGACCGTTTGGCTTTCAACCGCTCCGACAGAGCCTCTAACCCACTGGTACCAAGTTCGGTGCCTCTTTCAGTCTCCACTTTTTGCTAAGGCTGGTGACACCCTCTCAGGGACATGCCTGCTCATCGCAAACAAGAGGTAAGCTGAGAGGGGCCAGCTCAGCCGCATGGAAAAACAAGCCCTCTTGCAGCTATAATAATAATAATAATAATAATAATAATAATTTATTATTTATACCCTGCCCATCTGGCTGGGCCTCCCCAGCCACTCTGGGCGGCTTCCATAGAAACCAAAAATACACTAAAATATCACACGTTAAAAACTTCCCTGAACAGGGCTGCCTTAAGATGTCTTCTGAATGTCATGTAGTTGTTTATCGCTTTGACATCTCGTGGGAGGGCGTTCCACAGGGCAGGCGCCACTACTGAGAAGGCCCTCTGCCTGGTTCCCTGTAGCTTTGCTTCTCGCAATGAGGGAACTGCCAGGAGGCCCTCGGCACTGGACCTCAGCGTCCGGGCAGAACGATGGGGGTGGAGACGCTCCTTCAGGTGTACTGGACCGAGGCCGTTTAGGGCTTTAAAGGTCAGCACCAACACTTTGAATTGTGCTCGGAAAAGTACTGGGAGCCAATGTAGGTCTTTCAAGACCGGTGTTATATGGTCTCGGCGGCCGCCCCCAGTCACCAGTCTAGCTGCCGCATTCTGGATTAGTTGTAGTTTCCGAGTCACCTTCAAAGGTAGCCCCACGTAGAGCGCATTGCAGTAGTCCAAGCGGGAGATAACCAGAGCATGCACCACTCTGGCGAGACAGTCCGCAGGCAGATAGGGTCTCAGCCTACGTACCAGATGGAGCTGGTAAACAGCTGCCCTGGACACAGATTTGACCTGTGCCTCCATGGACAGCTGTGAGTCCAAAATGACTCCCAGGCTGCGTACCTGGTCCTTCAGGGGCACAGTTACCCCATTCAGGACCAGGGAATCCTCCACACCTGCCCGCCTCCTGTCCCCCCAAAACAGTACTTCTGTCTTGTCAGGATTCAACCTCAATCTGTTAGCTGCCATCCATCCTCCAACCGCCTCCAGACACGCAGCTAGGTCAGATTCTGCAGTGGCAGTGTCGTCTAGGGTGTTGTGTGCTGGACTTGAACCAGAGAAAGATGAGTTCAAAGCTACGTGCCAGGCTGATTAAGTTGTTACCAGGGTGGGGGAATAATGATGATTTAAAAAATAAAATTAAAAAATCAGATTTTTTTTTATAAAAATCAGATTTTTTGATTTAAATCGAATTTTTAAAATAAAATGCTTTTGGAGGAAAAATATTTCTAAGGCTAGTTTTCTATTTAAGTTACATTATAGCCCAAAGGCTATTCATCAGGAAATAAGGAATTGTTTTAAGTTTTTCATGTGTGCTAAAATTCAGTCTCGGTTTTTAAAAATTTTTTGTTTAACTACATCAGTTAACAAACATGGATACGTATGCTATAATGTTATTGTTTTAGTTAAATAAATTGTTTAACGTAAAGCAGAAAAGTTGTCCAAATATAAACAGTTAACTTATTAAACTTCACAATAATTACATAATTATCTGTCTATGTATTTATACTAGTATAACCAAATCAGTGATTTTTGATATAACTGTAAAAACTAATTTTTTTTTAGTTTTTTTAGTCTGAAAATTTTTTATTCCAAAAATAAAACCTTCATCTGGTTGTAAATATTAAGATTTACCAACAAGAATGAGTCTTTCTGTAAAAAATGATTTAAACCAAGTCTTACTGACTAGTGATTTAAATAGTTATTTAAATCGATTTGATTTAAATCAAATTCAACCTGGTTGTTACCTTCTCATCAATAAATAGGGATAATAGTTACTTTCCCAACAGGAAGATGCAACTTACTTCTGGGCTTGTGTAACTTGAATCCAAGCTCAGCCTTCTTGCCTGCTAGCTGTTTTTTTGCACTTCAGAAAGGTCTTGTGAGCAATATTTGCCTGTCTTCCCTTTGCACAGCTCACTTCGGTCACAGCTGTCCTTTTGGTGTTTCATTCTGCTTTGTAGAACCCAGCAGTATGAGCAAGCCCATTGCACTCCTGACATTTTGGGATTTGCCCCAACTTCTCCTGTGACTCTCACTATGAAAGAGCCTGAGTTTTAGGCCTTATCTGAGTCCAGTTACATTCCTTCGTGTCTGCTGGCTTTATTGCCATTGCAAAGACTTCTGAAAGTATAGAATCAGGGAGGCCTTCAGTTAAAATGAAGAGGCTTATGGATCCATTCATGTTGGTGGCTGCCCCCAAATTATCCTTTTTTGGGATGGTCCCCCAAGTTCTGAAATCACTTCCATGTGATATATCCAGGAAACAGGCCCTCTTAAATGAGCTATTAAAACATTTCTCTTCAGGCAAACTGCTGCTAAGATGTTGTTTTTAATGTTTTATCATTGTCACTCTAATTTTATTTACACTGTTATACTTTAGCTCTAACCCGCTTAAGGAACAACTGTTGAAAAGTAGGCTAAAGATCAATAAATTAAGATATCCCCCGTCCAGGTAGAACTGGTAGCACAGAAGGGGAGCTGGCTTTGTTTGAGCTTTGAAGCTTTCTGCAACACTTGGGAAGTGTATGTTGCCGGACTTCTCCATCTCCTTTCCCAATAAGCAAGATTCTCTCACCCTCCTGCAAAGTCCTGGTCTCCATTAGAAATGGCCCTGCCGAATTGTCAGAAGGGACTGGGGAGTCCTTTACCAGTATCTCTTCCCCTTCTCTTTCAGGCAAAGTTACGACATCAGTATTGTTGCTCAAGTTGATCAGACAGGCTCCAAGTCCAGCAACCTCCTTGACCTGAAAAACCCATTTTTCAGGTATGTCACGGTGAATCTTACAAGGGTTTTTCCCCACCTCTATAATAAAGTTGTTGCTTTTTTAAATGTGTGCTTGTGTGTGAGTGAGGATGCAGTGTGTTTGAGGAACCGCTTTTCAGGGAACTACTTCTGCATAACTCAAAAGCAAGTCTTCACTGGGCAGACTGGCAGGGGAAGCAAGCTAACTCTTCCTGATGAAATCGTTTTGCTTTCATGACCTGTGTTGGGAGGGATCGGGGGCTGGGTTGGAAAGACACACAGCGATTTCAGGCAAAGCGGGTAGGAAAGGAGCAGAAATGCATTCCTTTCTTACTAGTATAGTCAGGTAGCTTTTTGCTGGTGAGAGGAAAGCAAGGGGACAGAAAGATGCATATTCCTTCCTATTCCTCCTTTATCTTCTGAGGTGAGCCCCCCAATAAATGTGAACCACTAGAATGTGGGCCCTTTCAGCAAGGCTAAGAGTATAAGAAGCCCCTCTGGATTACCCCACATAATCATCTCACCCAGTATTTGGGTTTCCCTCAGTGGCCAGCCAGATTTTGAATAACTTGCCATCTTCCACAAACCAGGCTACTTCACTGCTCACACTTCGGGAATCTAAGCATGAGTCAATTTCTTTGATGAGAAGAAGGGAGACATCTCCTCATTTGGGTCCTGGTTTGTTGTAAATCAGATTCTATTGCCTTAAAATATTCACATCTAGTTAATCCTTGTTTTTATTTCCAACAACATCTTGCTAATTTATGTTGTGATCTACCTTGAGTGGGTGAGGAAAGGTTAGTGTGCAGATATTTAAAGACATTTGCTCCTAGCCAGTGACTGCTGGAGCCCTAGAAATCCAGCGGCATAGTTGCCTCTCTGCATCTTGCGTTTTGGACAGAGGAGCCCTTAAAACGGTGGCAAGCAGAATAGTTGCTCTTGCTTTCTACTGGTGGGATGTGATGGCAAAGTCTCTGTGTTGTACAACATGCATCGCCACCACTTCTCGAATACTTGGTTTAGTTTGAGAGGGTGGCTAAGCTGTGGCCTTCCAGATGATGTCGAACTACAACTCCTATAATCCCTGATCACTGACCCACACTGCTTTGGGGTGATGGGATGGCACTTCGTGGGCTGTCCTTGGATTAAAGTGTGGCAGAGGAATTCTGGCACCAACTTCTTACCGACAATAGCTTTTTGGAGACACAGTATTGTAGAGAGGGTTTGGGGTTTTTTTATGTGTCCTGCCATGTGTGTGTTCAAATTTTCAAAGTGCTTCGAGCTCTACCCTGCAAGAAAGTGAAAGTAGCAGGAACAGCACTGCTGCAATAGGCAACTGAACATTTTGGCACGATTGTCATGGCTATCTATTGGGCAGTGCTCAATACATCTGTGTGAGTGTGTGAGTGAGTGATAGAGATATTCTGTATTTTACTACTTGAAACATCAGTTCTTTATCTGCATAAACATTCAGGTAAGCTATCCTCCTGTCTCCTCTTTTTAAAGATAAAAGCAGAATTTTGCTTTGTTGTGTGTTCTTCTCTTAAACCTAAGGTGGATGTTTTTATAAAATCCTAGAATGCATTTGAATGCATATGGAAATGTCATATACTTTCATTCAGTGGTCTCTTGGCCCCACAGTATTAGCTTCTCTCTCTATGCCAGTTTGTGTAACCCACTTCATGGATTCCACAAAAGCTTATGCCGCAATAAATTTATTGTGCTTTAAAGTTGCCACAAGACTCTCCTGCTCCTCTGGATGATGGTTGGAAATGGCCCACGATGTCTAGAATGATGAGCCACTGGGGCGCTTTGATCTCCAGAGTATTGACGTTGGCGCTGGTGTTTGTGTGTGTGAGTGAGGGTGTGTGTGTCTGCCTTCCAGGTACACAGGTACAACTCCTTCACCCCCGCCAGGCTCGCACTACACCTCTCCTTCAGAGAACATGTGGAACACAGGTGGCGCCTACAACATGAGCACAGGGATGGCTGTTGCTGGTACTGTACCTTCTTCACTGTCACTCCTGGGCAAAGCTGATGGGTCATCTATGTTCCTCAGTCATTTTGGGTCTGGACAGTCAGGACATCAGCCAGGAGTGCTGGATGCCACAGGGCTCGAGCTTTGCCTTCAGTTTGAAGGTTCACTGAATGGTTTTGGCTGTAAAGCTTTCTCATACAGTAACGTGAGGGCCTGCGGCAAGCAATCTGGTTTTGTTTGCAGTCGTATCTCATCCAATCCTGGTGGTTCAAAGTCCTTTCTGCAGCGGAGAATAGGAACATCTTAGACCCATGTAATCAAAATTGAGCAGTCTGCAGAGGCAAGCATAACAAGTGGGAGGATTTTCTAGCTAATGTCACAGAGTTTAGATTTTGAGTAGCTATGGGGTGATGAAGAGCAAATTTTCTCCTCCAAGGGCAAGCCCTATTGATGACACTGTGTCCATAGCATTAATCAAGCAAATCATTTGCAACTAGAACAGTATTCTTGGGATGTGGCAACTGCCTTTCTCTCTCTCTGTAGAGTTGGCACATGTGTGATGCAGAATATCATACTTCTATATAATCACTATCCTTACAAGAACCTTGGGGTGTTCGTGCCGCTGCCCTTATCTTCCTGCTGGTGGTTCTGCAGTAGATCATTGTATGGCATGTACACCCTCAGTCTGTTGGAGATTATACCAGAGCAGAAAGAAGCTGGCTCCCTTGCCCCGAGCTCACACATGAAGATGCTCGTACTTACACAGCAGACATGAATTTTCCTTCTCCAGTTGACTCTTTTGATGTTGACTACTATTTGCTGACTGGAGCACTGAGACTGAGGAGTACCTGTTGCACTGGTGCTGTCAACATTTTTCTGTTCGCGTTTCTTGCTGTCACCTGCAGACAGCTGCCTGTAACCCCTCAGCAGCTTGCTCAATGTTGTGTCTCATTCTGCTGAGCACCTAATGTCGTAACCTTTTAGCACTGGTAAAGCTAAGCAGATGTGGATGAGAGATTGCTGGGAGCCCTGTGTCAGCTGCTTTTTTCAAGGAAGAGTGGACTTGGAGTGTGATTAATATAAATCTCCTATTGTCCCAGGGGGTAGAGCAGCTTAGTGTATGTTTGATGTCTACCCAGCTTCTGTTGGGAGAAAATTTCCCTTTCCCCCAACCATTCTCCTATTGGGCTTCTCTCCGCTGGCCACTGCTGTTCACCCCCTTTGTACCTGTCTGAGTTGAGTTGGCCAACACCTATGTCCCCTCTCCCAGGCACAGCAAATGCTGTAGCCTCCGTCAGTTGCTGAGATGGTTCCAACAAGGCTGCTAGCCTTCCTTGACAGAGAAGATCCAGATTCCATCCACTTCTGTTCAGCTAGTTCTCAAGCAGCAACTCCTTCCTCCTCCAAAGGCAATTTTGGCAAGGCATCTCTTTCTCAAGCAACCCAGCCAGACATATAGAAGGGAAGAGAGAACTTCCAAGTACCGTGGAGTGGAGTGCAGTGAGGAAGCCCCTCTCTTACTTTTCTGTAAGAACCAGATTACGGCCCAGCTTCACTGCAGCTTTTGCCCAGGAGAGCTTCTGCATGAAAAACCCTATCCCTGCCTGGAACAGCCTGCCCCTTTTTGAAAATCAGCTTATGGGAGGAGGGGTGGTGCAGTGTATGTGGCTTGGGGAGGCTCATGCGTCTGTAACACTTACCATGTAATGGCCTCTCCTGCCACAACGGTGCTGGGCAGGATGCTTGAAGGTCTAGGTGTGTGTGTCTTGGTTAGTGCCTTCCTCGTTTCTCACCCTCTTCCCTTCTACCCCGTGCTGCAGGGATGCCCACAGCCTATGATCTCAGCAGCGTGATTGCTGGTGGCACCAATGTTGGCCACAACAACCTTATTCCTCTAGGTGAGTTTATCTGCAATGTGGAGCAGATTATATCTAAATGGGAGGATCCTAGGAAACATGAGAGTCAGTGGCTGAGATGAAGGCCCCAGCTCTCAGATCTCCTGAGCGCCTGATCTTTTGGGTTTTACTCCTGGCTCAGAGGTCATGAGGAGATCCTTTGCCCTACTTCATCCAAGTACCGGGCTTGTGAATGTTCAACAGGGTATACATGCCTTTGGCCACAGAATTATCTTCCTGCTCATTGTCCTTGAGTTTACCATGTGCACTAAGCCCAACTGTGGAAGAAGAGTGTCTCTGCAGGTTCTAAGAAGTTGGGTTGAATAATTAGAATTTTGGGTTCAGTTCCAGTTCATTTGTATTTCTCTGGTTCAGACATTTAAGTTTTACAAAATGGTTTTAAATAGAACTCATAAAACTATCATAACTCACTTGCTTACAGTGTAATTCCTATGAAGAGTACGCTTGACATTTAACATTCTTATTTGTTCTTAAAACTGTTGCCTGCACTGCTATCCCTCAGAACTCATCAGTCATGTTTGATTCCTGATGGAACAGAAAGGTGCCCTCTCTGTGTTGGGTTATATGCTCAAATAGTTTGAACTGTGCCAGGTTCCAAAAGCAGAAGCAACAAGAGAGATTCAGTAGAGTCCATACCTGATGTTCTTTAGGCCTAGTCTGTGCTGTTGTGCATGTTGGGTTTGGGGGCCTGTGCTGTTGGGTTTGGGGGCCTGTGCAGAGCCAGTTTCAGGAACAAGTTAGAGAACTAGCTTGAGAATTGGGGCCTGCTCCGTTTCCCCTTGAAAAGAAGCTAACAAGGGATGTGCAGCAGAGGGTGAGGTGGGAACTTTGCAACTGCCACATAGATCTCAGGTGTAAATCACAAAGAAAAGGCACCTGCCATGGGGAAGGAAAGAAGGAAGGCAGGAAGGCAGATTGTGTGACTGCACTGATAGCAGTTGTTATAGTTAAGCAACCTGCACCACCAGTTGTGATCTCTGTGCATTCACACATGCATAACTGACAAGCTGACATCCCTGAAGGTGGGTGTCAATGTTCTTATAAAACAGAATGCAGAACAGCCTTGCCACAGTTGACTCCTGGGATCATTGATGGGATGGTCATGATGTAGTCCTCTGTGGGATCCCTTGCTTTTGAGCATGAGGAGACCCATTATCAGTAGATAGTAGGCTTTACCTTCCCTGCAGTCTTGGCTCCGAGTATTGTACTTTGTTTTCTCATAGGAATGAATGGCAAACGATTTACCTTTAAGGGCAAACACACCAATTGGCATATTCTGGACAGATAAAAACTACTCCATGCCCCTTGTGGCAAACGTGTTTATTCCCATCTGTAACCCCATCCTGGCTTGTTTCTTGGTCACCCTGAATATGAAGGAACTAAGGAAGTTATGAGAAGATGTGAGCTGGCTTAGCCAAACAAGTGCTGGCATTATACTTAAGCAATAGGCATGTACCTGCCCCAGGAAGCTTACACACTAAATGGTGATGGAAGGGGGAGAATGAATGAGAATAAATGTCAGTCACAGCCGGTTCATCATTGGAATGTGAAACTTAAGAAATTTAGCCATGCACACTTTATTTAAATCGGCTGTTTCTTTGCCTTGAGAGAAGTGGTTTGGGGTCAAAGTAAATGCAGAACAACCGATCTTAGACTCTCCCTTCCTGTCTCTCTTGGCCTACTTTTCTAGACCTGAAGTGGGTGAATTATAGGTTTTTTCACCACTTCAGCCCTAGAGAAGTTGGCCAAGAGAGAGACAGGAAGCAGGATTATGGGATTGGCACATCTGCATTTATTTTGTACCTAGTTAAGCTACATCTCTCAGACCTCGATAATTGAGATACTCATTTTGAACTGGTTATGGTTTGGGGTGGCTCAAGTTGAGTCCAAGGCATCTTAGGCTCGGGTAGTTCTGGCGTCACGAATCAAAATGCCTCTGAATTTGAGATCATACTTGTTTGGAGGTCCAGGTGTTTTATCTCTGCTTAGTAGTTGGCAGCCAGAGGCAGAGTGGGAGAAGCAGTCAGAGAGGGGGATTCACTATGTGTACAGCCTGTTTTTCAGATACTGTTGGGAATGGTCCATCTGTGGTGCATGCTTACAGCTTGGGAGGTGGGGGTTAAGGTAAAGTGAAGTAGCCTAGCGCAGATTGAACCTGTCTGTGTTTTTCCTCCTCCTTTTATTTCTTCCTGAGCAGCCAACACTGGGATTGTCAATCACACCCATTCCCGGATGGGATCCATCATGAGTACAGGGATTGTTCAAGGTAAACCTGGTCTGGGCTTTCTTGGAGTTGAGGGGAAAGGATGTGTTTGCCTCTGTTGAGCCTTCTCCTTTTTGGGGGTTTGAGCTGTATGGCCGCAAAGGGATCAGGCACTTCATTGGGAACGAGAAAGGTCAAAGGCTGCCATGTTAATTGCGGAATGTAGTCAAACTTCAGTTGTCGAACGTAATCTGTTCAGGAAGACGGTTCGACTTCCAAAACATTCGACACCCGAGGCATGGCTTCCGATCGGTCGCAAGAGCTTCTTGCACTCAAGCAGAAGCCATGTTGGATGTTTGGGTTTTGAAAAATGTTTGAAAACCAGAGCATTTACTTCCGGGTTTTCGGCATTCAGGAACAGAGCTGTTAGAGAACTGAGGTTTGACTATACTATATCACCCTTGAAGCTTAAACTAGATATCCCCAAAATGCCAGTAATGTGAACACTGAACATTTATAGCATCCCATTTTGGCATCAAATTACTTTGCTTCGTGATGGGTGAATTAATAGCTGAATTGGGTAGGTGAAGAGATTGACTTGGCTTATTGTGACAGAGGCTTCCCTAAACAAGCATTCACCGTCTCAGATGCATGGACCGAAAAGCTAGTGGGCTATATCATGACAGCTTCAGTCTCCTATCAACTTCAGCAAGCTATTGCCTACAGAATTTCATGCCATATCACTTTGCCTCTTGTTTCTGCAGAGTGTGGTGGCCCAAGCTGGTTGAATTTCATTTTTCAACCATGTATGCAGACCATGTAACGCCCAAAAGTAAGAATCTGAATTTATATTGAAACCTGTCAGTTTAGAGTTGCTTTAGCTCCCTCATAGAGGTTCCCAGTGTGTATACATACATACATACATACATACATACATATATATATATATATACACACACAGTCATACCTCTTGTTACGTTTGCTTCAGGTTAAATCTTTTCGGGTTGCATCCTGTGACGACACGGAAGTACCGGAAAGGGTTACTTCCGGGTTTCGCTGCTTGCACATGTGCATGCACTCAAAATGATGTCATGTGCAGGAGCAGCGAATCACGACCTGCGCACGCGCAGACGCGGGTTGCGTTCTGTTCATGTTGCGAACGGGGCTCCGGAACGGATCCCATTCGCAACCAGAGGTACCACTGTATAAAGCTAGTGGTCTAGTGCTCAGGATTTCTATTTCTGCTAGAAACCTGACTTGATTCCTTACATATGAGACTTCTGAACTTTTTTCTTTTTTTCCTGCAGGTTCATCTAGTGGTCAGAGTGGAGGAACATCAAGTGCTCACTATCCTGTCAACAGTCAGTTCACTATGGGAGGCCCGGCCATTTCCATGGCATCTCCCATGTCCATCACAACCAACACAATGCATTATGGGAGCTAAGAGACCCTCACCCCTGATCCTCTGAACTGACAGCACCAGGAAACCAAATGAAGAAGAAAAAATTCCGCCCTGCCCACCTGCCTTCTGCACCTCAGTTTGGCAATTGCTTCTCTGGATTTCTTCCACCCCTGCCTCCCCCCCCCCCAAAAAAAATTAGGCTTGCCAGAGATGTTCTGACCCTTGTACAATAGAAGACACCCCCCACTCGTTCTTTGATAGCAGACTTGTACACTTTTTTATGAAATGTTGGAAACTTCAACTTGCTCAACCATGACTGAGTTCCTGCGCTCACTGTGTCTTACAACCAATCATGTCGCTAGTGGTATCATTCTTCAAATCTTCCATGACTGATCAGCATTAGGCACAGGTTGTAGAGCAAAGCTGCAACAGGGCTTCTCAGCAGTACTGTGGACAGCCCAGTGGCAGCGCTAGTAACCTGAGCCTTCATCCTTGCTCCCAGTGTTTTTTGAACGAAGGGGCTGCAGCTGGCTGTAGAGTGGGCACAGGCGAAAATCCAGCTGCTCATCCTTCCATCTGTGCGTTGGTTTCTTCCACCCAACCCAACCTCCGGGTTCATTGCTTTGCTAAGACTTAGGAGGAGGAAGTGTTTCCTGCCACGAGGGAAAAGAAAAGGCCAACAAGCCCTCCTGGCTGGCTTTGTGAGGAGTTCTGGCAACTTACTGCTGTAGATCTTTGGGCTTCCGGAAGAACATCTGAGATGAGATGGACTGTTGTGCCACGAGTATCTTATCAGCCGGTCTGATGATTGCCTGTCTCGGGGGGGAATCTCGATGTAGCATCAAAGGGTTAAAAAATTTTAAAACATGAATGTACCAAAAAGAAAAAAAAGGTTGCTGGCTGAAAGTGAACAGTTTGTGTATCAGTTTCCTGTTGCTCAGCTCATCTTGACGGCTATGCCCAGCTCTGGCTCCATTTCCACCCTGTTTTCTAGGCTGTTGCAGCTGCTGTCTCTAGTCCATTTTTCTCTTCAGCTGGGCAGGCAGTGGGGACTGGGTGCCAAGTGGCTTAGTATATAGACTTGCCTGCTCCCTGCAGTAGCCACCAGGGACTCTTAGAGTAGATGGTTCTGGCATCTGTTATGGAAGCCCCTTTGTAGTCTTTGTATGTGTAACCTGTAACCATTTATGGTATTTTCTTTCTTTTGTTCCTTTCAGAGCCACCAGTTGGCATGTTCGAAAGGAATTGGCAGGGACCCGTTTTATGGAGGGAGGGGAGTGTGTTTTACTTAGGCAGTTTCCTTTGGCTCCCAACAGGGGCTTGGTGGGCTGAATTTGGGGGGGAGGAGGGAGGAGGGGTCTTGTGCAGAAGCTCCATAGTGGCTGAATTGTGGGGTCTACACAGTCAATTGTTAGGTCTGGCTGATCAATGATTTTGTGACTATTGAATAAAACTGGGAGGGTTTTGAAGACTTGTTTACAGTGGCTGGTTTCCCCCACCTCAGGTTTTGATGTGACTCCACAAAGCTCATTTCCCTTTCGCTCACATCTTCAAAAGACAAGCATCTATTTTTGACATACAGTTAAGAGACTCTCACTCTGTACAATGGCTGCCTTTAGGACCTCAGACTTGGGTACAAAATTCTCAAGGAGGAAACCCAGTAGTTTTCCACCCATGCCATTAGGTGCTTCTTTCTACCAGATTTTCGGTCACCCTCTTTCACAGACAAAGACAGCATGTTACATGGCTACTTTCGCTGATCCTGTGTTACACAATGTGGCCACAGAGGACGACACTGTTGGCTGGAAAAGAAGCTGGGAAAGAGCCACACTCCTCTTAAAAGGCAGTTTTATTTAAATTAGCTTTCCATAGAAAACAAAATCAAGTAGCTAAACTAAATCAAAGTAATCTGAAGTGCTCAACCTCCCTATCATTCAAGCTTCCCTCCAAAGAAGCTCTTACTTCTATTCCTGATCATCTACCCTTACTCACCGAGGATCTAAAAAGTCTCAGCCATCAGCTGACTCTGCTACATCCCGCCGTTACCAAAGATTTAACTGGAAGGGGAACAATAGATAATCACTCCATGCAGTCGCTTTCTGCAGCCCTCTCAGGACTGCAGGCCCATCCTGTGGTGAAGGAGCAAAAGGCAGCTGCATCCACCCCAAGTAACGTTTTGTGATGTTAACAGCCAGGCCTTTAAATTTGTTTCCAAAAGTCGGGTTCTTTCCAAATTGGGCACCTTTGTGACATGGCTGGCTGAAGTAGGACAACAAAAGTCTTGAAATGGTGAGGTGATGCAGCTTGGTCCCTGTTCCAGCTCAGGTGTCTCCTTGCCTCTTGAATGAGTGTGCACCGTCCTTCGCCCATGGGCTTTCCCTGAGGCCAGACATTCATGATGAAAGTGTCTGCAACAGAGATGTTAGGTCTTGTAAGTAGGGCATGCACTAAGGGAGAAAGATGAGAGATGCCAACCCCTTGTTACCTCTCCCAGAAGCACATTAGTTCCTATGCTTCCATTGGTAGGGGTGGGGATTGGGGAGCAGTGGGCGCTTTGACAAAGAATATCTGACACCCAGCAGCATTTTAGCATCTGTTGCATGCCTTACGGGATGGCCAGAAGTTCTTACCAGCTGCCTTTCACATATGCGAGTTGGAGTGGTTGGCCGGGTGAGGCGGTGTGCTTCTGCCGAAATGAGCAGCTGGCGTGGGATGAGAAGGTGTGCCGGTTGCATTCTGGAAGAAATACAGCTTCAAAGAGAAGAAAATTAATCAGCTGTAGAAATCAAGCAGGCTTGCCTCCCTCCACCTAGAATCAACAAGTTAATTTGAAAACTCAGTGACTGCACTTTTAAGAATACTCTGGTTTAATCAAAACCTGAAAGCAAACAAGCAAAAGCAAAACCTGTGTGTCTCAAACTGAATACATGACCCGTGGCAAATTGTTTTTGGGCTACTTTTCTGCTACCAAGTTAATGGCAAAACAAGGTCTTATATTAAGGGCTGGAGATGCCATATATTCTCTAGAGTAGCCCACTGGATGTGCCTGCTTCCCTGTTCTGCAAGTTGCTGAGGGAGCAAGCATTACCATTTATTTTACGTTTCACAGAGAAACTGTTCAGTACCTGTTTCTTCAAGGCTTAGCTGCACGCGCCAAAAATACATAGATTTGTCAGTATGCCGGGGCCGGGGGAATCAGGTTTGGAAACATTGTGTAACTGTTTCTCTTGTTACCATCCTAATCCAGTTTGGCAAATGGCAGAAGAAGTATAAATAATACTCCATTCTCTAGAGCACAAAGTTTTCTTTAAGAAACTGAATTTTCCTAGGGTAGCATAGTGAGACAGTAAATCTGTACATTTGCAATCGGCATGTACTAATTCTTGAAATGTAAGTGGGAAAGCTGGATTCATTTTAGCTGGGTAATTTAATCCCCCCCCATCCCACGTTAGGCTGGATATCCAGCTATAACTGTTTCCCTGTTTATTAGACGAGAGCTTTGTACAGGATGTCCAAACCAGCCCTGAGGCATGTGCGTAAGAACAATAATCCACATCCTTGTTGGATCTTGGCTGTGGAGTTTGTATTGACACTACCAAGGTGGGGCCATAGAGTTTGCTTAAGAGTTCTCATTTAAGTTCAGTGTTGCAGGCAGAATGTGACTAATCCTGAGCACATTGCACACCTCTGTCTCAGCCTACAGTGTCATTTCCGAACCTTGAAATGCATGCATGTGAAAAGTCCACACTGTAACGCCAACTGTATTTTTTTATAACATGCCTAAAACTATATGAAAACACAAGACAAAAGTGAAGGGAGTTTAACAAAGGAAAAAATGGATTGGGGGGGGCTAGCTGCAAAACAGCTCATTTATTTTTCTTATGTTGTACTTAATAGACTTTGAAGTTTAAAAATATAAAACGAAAAGACAGCAAAAAGCAAATAAACCAAGCTTTTAAGGAATGTTAGAATATTAATACTAATATTTATTAACATTTGTCTCTCTTCAAAACCCAAAGTATTCTCAAAGCAGCTCACAATCAAGGAAGTATAAAATGTTTAAAAACCTATTAAAATCCTACAAATTAAGACTAAAAATATGAAACTAGCAAAAAACAAATAATCACAAACAGCCAACAATCCCAATACTACACTGAGTGTAATATTCAATTAAAAACTCCCCCCAGTTTTCTCGGGTGGACTGAAAATATATTTAGGGCCTGCTTAAGACGAGTAGGGAGCAAAACGTATCTCTTGAGGAAGGGAGTTCCATAGTTGAGAGGCTGTCGCTGAAAAAAACCGTATTTTGCACCCTCCAGCCTGACTACCTTGTGGTGAATCTGCAGGCACAGGCTCTGTAGCCGATTTCAAGGCCTGGCAGCCCCGTACGGGTAAAATGGCCCAAACTTGGTCCCAAACTGTTCCGGGCTTTAGAAGTTATGATCCGTACTTTGAATTGGGTTTGGAAGCCAACAAGCAGCCAGTGCAATTCATGGAACCTATTACTCTGATATAAGAGCCCAGCCCCTGCAGGTACCCAGTCTGCTGCATTTTGCACAAGGGCAAGGGTCTGAGCCAGGGGAAAGCAACCTAAGGCCCATGGGCCACAAACGGCCCATGGGGGTTGTTTAACTGGCCCATGAGCTGCCCCTAAACCGAGTCCCTGTGTGCTGTGCTAAACTGGCGCAGGAACTCACTTCCATGGTGCTGAAAATAGCGCCTGTGCATGCTCAGACGCTGAAAATCACATCTGCACAGGCGCCGGAAATCGCAACCCCGTGCGCACAATCCAGCCCTCGGAGGGAACTCTGCTGGAGTGAACTGGCCCAGGCGAGGTAAACCTTGCCGACTCCTGGTCTGAGCCCTATTCAGAGGCAGCCTCACATAAACAGCATTGCAGTAGTCTGGTCTAGATGTATACAAGTAACACTCTGGGATCTTACAGACTTTATCAACTTCACTGTTCCAGCCATATTCCGTCATTTACAAATTCGGCTTCTGCTGACACAGCATATACGTTTCCCACTGTGCTGCAAATTAGCGAGCAGCACCAATATATGCATTAATTACATTAAAATCCACATCAAAGGTGTAGCTTACACCCCAGGGTTCAGGGACCTTCCAGGCTTCTCCTTGCTGCCTCCTTCCTTGACCATTTCCCTCCCCGGATCACGACCCTCACCAATCTTGCTGCATAATCTCCGTGCATATTCCTGTCTGGATTTAACTGGGTTGATGCTTCTAGCCTGCCTGGATAGAGATGTGTCGCATAAATCCGATTTACGTTGTGCTATGGCAAGTCCCACTCACTACCAGCATGCAGCTTTCATACAGAGAAAGCCCCCCCGCCCCCAGCTCTGGTTTGCAGGTACATCAGCGGAAAAACCAAATGGCTGCTATCTTCAAAGCGAGAGCAATCGTTACTCCTCCATTCACCCCAGGATGTCGTCACAAGCGGAGGTCTTTTTGCACCAGAAATGTCGTTCCCGTTATATCTGGCAGCATTTCCCCCACCCCTGGTGGTCCAACCAGTCTGAAGAAAAGTTCTGATGAGCTCAAAATCTTGCTCCCAACCAACATTTAGTTGGGCCTTAAAAGTGCTGGAACAGTTGCTAGAAAGATTTCAACGGTAAATCACAGCCTTAATCAAATGCCTGTTCCGTTCCTCATAATTTTGGGCACAATGAGCACTATGATATAATTAGAATTACTTTATCTATACAGTGGAACCTGAGAAGCCGAACACCTGTAAACCTGAACCTTTCGGCTCCCGAGCAATCAAAAACCGGAAGTGATTGTTCTGGTTTGTGAATGATTTTTGGAAGCCGAATGTCCAGCGCGGCTTCCGATTGACTGCAGGGTGCTCCTGCAGCTAATTGGAAGCCGCGCCTTGGAAGTCGAACGGACTTCTGGAATGGATTTCATTCGACTTCCAAGGTACGTCTGTACTTCCACTATGCAATGTTTACATCATATTCTAACAATTTTTTCAGGGGTCCAGTATAAAGCTACCTCAAATACTGTAAGTTCAGAGCAGATTTTGTCAACCTGTTGCCCTCCAGTCAACTCCCTGCCTGCATGACCAGATAGGCAAAGGCTGGTTTAGAGATGTTCATAATACTAAATTGCCACAGGGTACCCAGAATTATATAGTAAAATCATGCAATGACATCATCATGTTTCCAGCCCTGAGTATTTTTGCTGCTGTAAAATCTCTGCAACTTCCAAGGCTAAAAACTCATTTGAAATATCTGACTTTCTAGCGGCTGCATCGTACACAGCTTATTTCCCTCTACTTTTCCTTCCCCTCTCGGCACAAGTAGCATTTTGCTCTCCAAACCTTGCCCTAGCTTAGTGGGAAGAGAAGAGAATATACCTTGCAACCAATAGCCAGAAGGACATGGAGAGAAACAATGACAGCCAACAGGGCGCAAGCTGCCAGCCTGGTGTCTGAGCGGATAACTGGCCAGAAGGTAAGAACCAGAACTGAGCCAGAGAGACCCACTGCAAAGATGAGCAGCAGCCACTGCAGCCAGGATATAGGAATCAGCCACAGCATCTGTGAATGAAGGAAGTGGAAGTTGAGTAAGATCTCATGCACTCTTCATGAGAAACAGGACCTCAGCCAGTGGCAGCTCTGAGTTTTAATTCAGGTCCTTATTGCTGAAATCCCACTGCACAAAACTAGCAGTGCTTGAGGAATGCGTGAATGTCTGGAGGTGGTTGGAGAATGGATGGCGGCTAAGAGATTGAGGCTGAAGCCTGACAAGACAGAAGTACAGTTTTGGGGGAAACGGGGCGGGTGGGTGAGGGGGACTCCCTGGTCCTGAATGGGGTAACTGTGCCCCTGAAAGACCAGATGCGCAGCCTGGGAGTCATTTTGGACTCACAGCTGTCCATGGAAGTGAGGGTCAATTCTGTGTCCAGGGCAGCTGTTTACCAGCTCCATCTGGTACGCAGGCTGAGACCCTACCTGCCCGCAGACTGTCTCGCCAGAGTGGTGCATGCTCTAGTTATCTCCCACTTGGGACTACTGCAATGAAGGTGACCCAGAAACTACAATTAATCCAGAATGTGGCAGCTAGACTGGTGACTGGGAGTGGCCGCCGAGACCACATAACACTGGTCCTGAAAGACCTACATTGGCTCCCAGTATATTTCTGAGCACAATTCAAAGTGTTTGTGCTGACTTTTAAAGTCCTAAACGACCTTGGCCCAGTATACCTGAAGGAGCATCTCCACCCCCAACGTTCAGCCCAGACACTGAGGTCCAGCTCCAAGGACCTTCTGGCAGTTGCCTCACTGTGAGAAGTGTGGTTACAGGCAACCAGGCAGAGGGCCTTCTCGGTAGTGGCACCAGCCCTGTGGAACACCCTCTCATCAGATGTCAAGGAAATAAACAACTATCTGACTTTTAGAAGACATCTGAAGGCAACCCTGTTTAGGGAAGTTTTTAATGTTTGATGTTTTATCGTGTTTTTAATATTCTGTTGGGAGCCGCCCAGAGTAGCTGGGGAAACCCAGCCAGATGGGCAGGGAATGAATGAATATAATACTAATATTAATACTACTACTAATAATAATGGAAAGCACAACGGAGCAGGACTTTTGAGCACTTTCTACTGGAACGTTATGCTCTGCAAACTAAAAAGAAACGACATATGAACCAGTCTTTTCCCTGCCACCCCATTTGCCTTACTCACCGCAGTGGGGATGTACACAAATAGGGAATAACCATAGACGCACACCATCTCCAGGAAGGTGTAGGAGTCCACATGGACCTGGACCCCCTTTCGCCACTGCAAATAGCCCCACAGGGCAAGGGGTACCAGCCAGGCATAGCAGTAGATAATTATTCCGGCAATGGACACTATGGAAGAGAAGAAAAGGAAAACAATATTAAGAGCAGCATTCGCTCCAAGGCAAAAGCACAGGCAGGGTCAGTAACCAGGGCTTACCCTACCAGGAACAAGCCACTACATATTTGCCTTCTGCCTGCCCTCCCGCAGGGACAAAGAGGAGCAGAAGCTCCTTAGCATAACTTAGTCATAAAATGAATGGAAGCTTTAAAAGTAGTTCTCAGTTATGATAAGTAAACACAAGAAGGAGGGAGGGAAGGAGTTTTGTGCATGTGTGTACACACACACACACACACACACACACACACACACTTCCCTCTCTCTTGTGTTTACTATCATAACTGAGAACTACTTTTAAAGCTTCCATTCATTTTATGACTAAGTTATGCTAAGGAGCTTTTGCTCCTCTGCGAGAAGTTAAGGATATCTGGGAGCTAAAATTTAGGCATTCTGAATACTGTCCATTTAACAATCTCACACATCCCCAGTAGGAAAGAAAGGAGTCATTACTACAGCTCTTGTTTCCTGCTTTTTTGTAGGCCGCATGCCACCTTGCTCAAAAGCTTTTGCAGGTAACGAGCAACTTATTTTTTACCTCCCCCCCCCAAAAATCTCTCTTTTGCCCATTCTTTGTGTGCCTTCAACAATACCCAATATATAAAAGGGTTATGATTGCATAAAGCTTAAATCGCAAGAGACACTCCCCCGTCGACTGCTCACCTTTGTGGAACTGGGGGCTTCCCTTTTTCTCCTGGAAGCTGGACAAGTTGCCGCTGATAGCCAGCGTGAAGACCAACGTGGCACAGATCCAGAACGGGCCTGCGAGAGGCAGAAATACAACATTAGAAGACCAAAAAAGACGGGCAGACTTCTTGCCTCAGCATGGGGCAAAGAATGGAGCCGACTGTGAACTCGTTTACCAAATACAGAACAAGGAAGCAACTAAAGAGCTGGGGCTCAGGGGAGGTGTCTCAGCACAACGCTGGAGGCCACCTGGTAGAGCAGGCCTTAGAGGGAAATCTACATTCCCCAAGAACAAACCTTGGGCACACAAAAGTGTAACACATTGCTAGGCTACCAGTCGATTTAGTGCAGCCTCCTCCACAACCTGCTGTTCTCCAGATGTTTGGGGCTTAACTCCTATCATCCCAGCAAGCTTGGCCCAAGGGTCAAGGGTGATAGGAGCTATAGTCCAAATAGTCTAAGAAAGAATCGGAATCAATGAAGAATCTTTTTTAACATCAACTTCGTTTGGACTGGTCATGTTGTTCGGATGCCCGATTATCGTCTCCCAAAGCAACTACTCTATTCGGAACTTAAAAATGGAAAGCATAATGCCGGTGGTCAACAAAAGAGGTTTAAAGACTGTCTCAAGGCAAATTTTTAAAATGTACTATAAACACCGACAACTGGGAAACACTGGCCTGCGAGCGCTCCAATTGGAGAACAGCCTTTACCAAAGGTGTCATGGGCTTTGAAGACGCTCAGACACGGGACGAAAGGGAGAAATGTGCTAAGAGGAAGGCACGCTTGGCAAACCCTCAACGTGATCGACTCCCACCCGGAAACCTATGTCCCCACTGTGGAAGGAAGTGTGGATCCAGAATTGAGCTCCACAATCACTTACGGACTCACTGTTAAAACCGTGTTCATGGAAGACAATCTTACTCGGCTATGAGTGATCGCCAAAGAAGAAGAAGCAGAATCTGTAGGGCACCAAGCTGGGGAAGTCTGATGTAGTTCTAATTCCCCATGGCTTTTCCCAGGGTCAGACATCCATTGCCTGATGATGCCCAGGGTTGACCTGGGACCTTCCACTTGCAAGGTATGTACTTAGGGATGACAGAGCAAGGAAATGAAGACTGCACTTCTGGAAGATGACTAGCAAGCTTCACCCCCCTGTTGTAAACAAAAATTGCCCTTTTCCCTTATGGGGTATCCAAGAGCCCATATAGCGTCCTCACATAGGTTCCCTATTGGTAGGAGAAAATAACAGAGGCCAACCAGAAAATATTGAGAAGCAAAGCAGCTAGTAAGCCTGATCTTTATTGAACTGCTGCAACAGGGTCCTCACCACACGAAGGATGGAGGAGGAACCCAGAACAATGGCGCGTAAGGCCTTATACAGACTTTTGAAATTGCCACCCTGTAGACCAAGACCACCCCCAGAAACATCATACATACATCACAGAAAAGGCGGTCTAAAACAGAAATTTGACTGTTGTTTTTCCTTCCCCCCCAGGTTATCTGATTGCCTTTCCTGATTGTATTTCCTGATAGTCTGCCACCCATTAAAATGCTGATTACTCAATTCCTGAGACAATGGGAAGGCTCCCTCCTTGCAGGGGAAACATTTGGTCAGTTTGGTAATCAAAATGGTTTCAGGTGGGTCATCCTGTGCTGATCTATGTACGTGCTTGGTTGGTAGACTTATGAACACTACCATATATCTAAGACCTCAAAATTCCTATCACCCCCCTCCCCGCTTAATCAGGACTTGCTTCTCAGGATGCTGAGCAAGCTGCATTCTCTGTCCTACATCACAGTTTACAGTTCAATCCAGACTTTGCAAAGCAGGAGGCAGTGTTCTGCATCAGTCTGAACCTCTCTGTACTCACCATACAGGTCAGGGTTATTCCGTAGATGGTGCCATACAAAGTTTTTCCCTGGCAGCGGAAGCAGCGACCCCTTTATCCTGTCCAACACCTGATAAACAAGAAATAGGCCTTGCCTCAGCAAAATGGACCCCATGGGGACGTGCAAGGATGCAGGGCTTTTTGCTTCCCATCTCAGGAGGTGCAGGAACTACTAGAAATATTGTACAGGCATTTCTATGCCTTGCACTAGACCCCATTGTCAGGGTATGGAGAGAAGACGGATAATATGGTTGCCCAAAGCCAAGCAAGCATGCTTGTGGTGGAGGGAAGACTGAACTCAATTCGTTATTCTAACTTCATGGTTAGGAAATCTCCATCCCCATAGTCAGAACATCACCGCTGTGGATTTCAGCTCCTGAAAATATCAGTTGATCAGGAAGATCTTCAATTTGTACCCAACAAAATAATGGTGGTAATTCAGCCACAGCAGAATCCTGGAGCCAAATTAGGCTCAAAGCACAATACAAATGCGCCAGCCATGAGGTTGTGCCTCCATCCATGAAACAGAACTGGACCCTATGGGTCATCTAGCCTAGTGGTGGCCAAACTTGGCCCTCCAGCTGTTTTGGGACTACAATTCCCATCATCCCTGACCACTGGTCCTGTTAGCTAGGGATGATGGGAGTTGTAGTCCAAAAACAGCTGGAGGGCCACCTGCAAACTGTACGGCAGGTCTTGTGCTTGTCACTTGCAAGCTGAGTTACTACGCTCCCTCATCTTGTCAACTGTGGCTGATTCTTGGCTGTGCCTATGAAGCTAGAACTACACGAATTCCCTTACCTGGTATGTGTCAACATCGAAGAAAGCCTGGTAATATTCAAAGGTCCAGAAACTGGATTGCTTCTTCTGGGAACTCAAGAGCTGCAGGGATGAGAATGCAGGTTACTGCTTTGCCCTCGGCCAGGAAAGATATTTTGGGTGAGACAAACCAACCCCTGGGCCTCTTGCGAAGATAGAACTCCTGACCTCGTGCCCTAAGCGTTCTTACTTTAATAAAGAAAAGAAAAAGAGGCAGAGTGCTTCATTCCAAATCCAAGAAGAAGACCTTTTTCTTTCATGGACGCTTCTCCTCCCAGGAACTCCTTTCAGCAAGCTTTGAGGAAACTCCACAGGCTGCAGTTGTGTGTGTTAAGAGGTGGGGGTGAAACTTATGAGAGGGACTATAATTACTAGGGAACATTATTTTTATGGAAATTCTTCCAGTTACTCTTCACACAAGGAACAATAGGAATTTTGGCTGCTCAAGAGTGAATTTGGTAGGGTGACACAGCAAAGTGCTTCCCCCCTCTGTGTGTGTGTGTGTGTGTGTGTGTATGCGCATTGTGTTGTTATTTATTGTTTTTCTTACCCACCCTTCACAATAAGGTTCCAGGGTGGGTTACAGCATATTAAAAACACACAGAGTACCTTTAAAACATCAACAAACAAAAAGCACACCCATTATCTGAAAACACTAATTCCATACAACACGTTACAGGAGGGACACAAAACTAAATTTTTCCCTTTTCAAAGTAAACATTGGAAGCCAGACAAACTTCTGTGGAAAGGGAGGTCCACATTCTTGGAGCTACCACCAAGAAGGTAATCTCACAAGCTCCCCCAAACCTGTAAAACAGAATTACCAGGAGGGCCTTCTCTGCTGAATTTAAGCCCCAAGCTTACAGGAAATGAGGCATTCTTTCAGCTATTTGGAGCCCCGTTACCTAGGCTTTCAACACAAATGCGAGAGAGCACCTTAAGTTGGGCTGGGAAGCTATGAGGGAACCAGCGCAACTGCTACAGACCAGGTGTAATATGCATTCTATGCCTCCTATCCTCCTTATCTATGTAAATCACTGTGCTTTACATCAAAGCTCCCATTTGACCTGTTATCTCCTTCCCACTCTCTTCTAGGTCCATAGGATGTAGCCCCTTGGCTAGGCTTATGTTTCCTTCCTGCTGCAAAGCAGCTACTTCTCCAGCTAGCTATAAATCAACATACAGGACAGAATTTGAAACAGCAGCACCTCTGTTTTATCATCCTCCTCTTCTGCCTCAGGCTCCTCATTGTAGCCGGAAGACATGTTTACGGTTGTGTGGCTTTGCCGCTCACTGATGCTAGGAGTGGTGGCATCCGCATTCTCAGCCAGCAAATCTATGGCTTCGTCAAATTCTGCAAAAAATAAAATAAAATAAAATATGCCAGGCAGTCAGGACAGAAATACTAGCACAATCAGATTTCGCTCTAGAGCCGCTGTAGCTCAAAGCTAAAACAGCACTTCCATAGCGTGACACTCAATGAAAGAAGTTTTGCAGGTGAGCAAAAGTAGATTTTTGCTCTGCCTATTGCAGAGCTGCCAAGTTACTTGTCTGGAAGAAATTGTTACCCAAGCCAGTTGCTGCACCATTTTCTCATCTGGGGCTTAAAATCCCAGGATGCCACCAACAGAGGAGGTGAAAAAACCTAGACGGCTTTTTCCTCTAGTTTTAACATTCTTTGCTTTGCTTTATTACATTTATATCCCAGCGTACATAGCTCTCCCTCACCCTCATTTTATTTTCACAACTACCCTATGAGGTAAGTCAGGCTGTGAGCGAGCGACTGGCCCAGGGAGCTTTGTGGCTAAGTGGGGATTTGAACCCTGGTCTCCCAGGTCCTAGGCTGGACTCTTACCATCACACCACACTGGCGTTTCAGGTACAATTTCATGTGGTACCAGAGGCAATGTCTGAAATTCTGAAAGAACAGGTATAGGACCCCACTGTTTAGTGAGTAGAACTTCTGCATTTCTCCCTCCCAGCTTCAACCTGTGTTTTTTGAGGGGTTTTCCCCCCAAAAAAGCTCAACAACTTTTAGGTTGTCCTGGTTTCTACTTTTTGAAATATGGCAACCCTAGCTTAAGGTAGAAACAAAACTTGGATACTTCCAAAGAACTTGTGTTTCCTTGAGAAATCAAAGTAGGCTTACCTATCTTCAGAGGCAGCTGGAGCAATCTACACCAAAGAAAAATCAGCACCCCCCCCAAAAAAAAACCTCCAGCCTGCTCACAACACGTTGTGTTGGGCTTTTTTGCATTAAGCAAAAATTCTCCACAAGTTTAAAAACTGTTCATGATATTCTCCTGAACCTAAGAGAGAGATGCTGTATATGATGATTTGTGGGCCAGGAAAGCCCCAGTTCAAGTCCCACCACAGCTACTCCTATGCATGATTACTCAGAAATAATCCCATTGTGTTCCATGGGGATTACTCCCTACCGTGTGTTTAGGATTACTTCTGAACAGACATGCATGGCTTCCACTGTAAATCCCATTGCCTTCAATGGATTCTGCTCCCATTACAAGGTTCAACCTTTGCTCCTTCAACCCTCTTAACAGCAGACAAGTGCTCAGCAGCTGGACAAAAGTTATCTTATGGGGTGGGTACTCTCCAAGAGCCAGAGTTTGAAATTAGCAGGGCGCCAGGCACATTTTGCACCGAAGGTTTCTGCATTTGCGAACACCTCTGCAAGTCTGGGTGCTGCTTTTTGCGCCTATCTGACACTCGAGGATTACTGAAATGTATGTGCTCTGAAGCCTTTAGGATAGACAATATATTAAGGAGTTTAACAATAAAGAGTAGAATGTTTTGAAAACCAAAGTACGGTAGCAATATTTTTATTGTAAACACCAAATGAAACACATATTAACAATTTTTGCTAAAAAATGTGACATTAACTATCTGTCACTTATGTGATTTGCTTATCACTTAGTTCATCCTTATCAAAATAATAAATAAAAAGTGTTGTTGAACCACACAAACACCCAGTAGCAACTACACAGCCGATTTTGGCACCCACAACCCAAGTCCCAGAAGCCATTTGGCTCCTAGCTTTTCTGTCCCAGTTTCTAACACTTCCAAGAGCTGTAGACTGACTATTCCTGGTATGGAACACTAATGAGATAGGAAAGGTAGATAATCCAACAAAGGTTATGCTCTTGTAAGTGGGACATGTATGAACAGGGAAGTTTTGAGGAGGGTAGAGAAAGCACACTGCACAGCCTGGTGCCCAAAGCTTGCCACAATCCATAACTCACTCAGGGGAATTAAAACACTCACCATGAAACTTGAGCTCATCTGGGGCAGCCATGATGCAACTGGATTATCCTGGAAAAGATAACAAACTGCGTTGGCAGAAACATCAAAGAGCTTTGAAGCACCTTAAAGGCTGAACTGTATTATGGCATCAGTCTTCATGCACCGCAGCCCACGTCCTCAGCTGCATGAAGCATAATCATAAACTGGCAGGTGCATATATTATAGACATTCAGATGTGTACATTTAGATGGTTGGGTTGGGATGTATGGACAGGAGGCAGTTAAAGGCAGCTTCAAAACAGACGTGGGGGTAACCTGTGCCTCTCTGTATGTTGCTGGCCGCTTATCAGACCCAGGTCAGCATAACCAACAGTCAGGGACGTTGGCAGTTAGAATCATGGAACTGTAGAGTTGGAAGGGATCCTGAGAGTCATCGAGCCCAACCCTCTGCAATGCAGGAATCTCAACTAGATCATCCACGGCAGATGGCCACCCAACCGCTGCTTAAAAACCTCCAAGGAAGGTGAGTCCGCTGCCTTCCGAGAGAGTCCTTTTCACCGTTGAACAGCTCCTAGTTGTAGTCTGACAACATCTGGGGTGGGGGGCAGAGACACCGCTAGCCCTCTGACTTAAAAATGGCTGGGACGAAACCAGGGCTGGATTTAGGTTTGCTGAGGCCCTAAGCTACTGAAGGTAATGGGGCCCTTTAGATGTCCAGCTGTCCTTTGTCAACAACAAAGTGTTGCTGTTTTTGGTGTTGAATATATGCTATATGGTAATTTATGTACCTAATAGGTATCTAAAGCCATTTGCACATAACAAATGTATTTTATCAAAGTAATTGATACAGAAATGAGCAAACCAGTGATATTTTAGGGAGCAGGCTAGCAGGCAGGGCCCATTATGAGCCTACACAACATGCAGGTTTTATTTTATTTGTTTTTTTATCTTATATTTTGGAAATGTACATCCAGTTTTTCCCCCTTTAATTTTTTTGGGGTCCCCCAAGAGAGTGGGGCCCTAAAGCGATAGCTTGTTTAGCTTATATGTAAATCTGGCACTGGCCGCGAAACGGTTCCCAGCTGCTGCTGCTCAAATGCCCTCAGTAAGCCTTCTAGTGGCGTAGATAAAAACATGCGGCACATTTTGCAAAGCTAAGCAGGGTCTGGTATGGGGTGGGAGGACTGGCGTCGAGAATCCTGCCTCGCAGGGGGTTGGGCTAGATGACCCTCTGGGTGTCCCCATCCAACTCTAGGATATTCCAGGAAGCACCTCTCCTCCCTCTGCCATGGCAAGCCTGCGCCACCGAAGGGAACAGCCCTGGACCCTGAGCATCACAGTCCCTTGTCCATGGGGGGGGGGGAGAGGAGGCACTCTGCACAGGCTCAGAGACCGGGCGGTACTTTCGAGGCCTGAGAGAGCGCACAGGTCGGCCTCTTGCCACGCGGAGCCTGCGACCCCCCCAACCTTAGCCCCCCCTTGGCAGCCAGAAGCCCCTTACCCGGGCGAGGCTCTCGTCACCCAGCGGAGGGGCTTAGCAGGCAGAGCCCGCCCCACGAGGGTCCCTCAGCGGCGGTGGGGGGGGGGGGGAGAAGCCCGGCCAGCCTCACCAGGAGCTCAGAGGAGCCTCGGACGGCGACGAGGGCGCAGCTTCCAGCGAGGCACCGCCGCCGCCCCTTCGCGGCTTCCGGCGCGCATCAGATGTGCCCCCTGGCGCTCATAGACTCGGAAACGCCGAGACTGGAGGCTCCGTGGGTCACGTGACGGGGTTTCCACACGGACACGGATGCTTCGGGGCTGCACTTGTAATATCGCCTGCGATGGCGGGAGCCCGTGAAGGGAAAGCGACCCGGCGGGACTTAAAGCTGCGCGTGTTTTTCTGCTGGAAGGCAGAAGCAAGAAAGCAGGGCAGGCTTGTGAAAAGTCCGAAGAATCCCAGAATTGGGGAGTTGGAAGGGACCCCGAGGGTCATCTAGCCCAACCCTCTGCAATGCAGAAATTTTCACTAATTCTCGCCTTTTTTTATTAGCCGCTTCGAGGTGTTTTGTTAGCTTTTTTTAAAACAACCAAGAGGTGTCTAGATGTTATGAAATAAATCAATAATTTAATATATATACCGCCCTTCGTCATAGGATCACACGGCGGTTTACACAGAGAACAAAACAATACTTTTAAAAAGCTAGTCTAGAGGTTTCCTATCTCTACGAGCTCCTGCGCCTCACCTCTTCCTTCTTCCGGTCTCCTTTCCTATCTCTATGAGCTCCTGCTTCTGGCCTTCTCTTCCTCCTTCCGGTCTCCGCTGAGCTGGTCCGTCGCGCTTTAACGTCCGGCTTCGCGGTCCTCCCAGAAAAGGCCGGCGATGGCGGATCCTCCGAGCCCGGAGAAGAGGCGCCTTTGGGGGCGGCTCCGCACCGGCCGCATAGGTAAGGCGGACGGGCGAGCGGGTGGCTGGAGGGGAGGCCCGGGCTCGAGCTCTGAGCGCCGCCCGCTTCCTCAGACCTCACCCCGAGGGACGGGCGGGGAGAGAGGGAGAGGTTCGCCGCCGCCGCCCTGCATGCTTCCCTGGGAGGAGGAGGAGGTGGCGCGTGCCCCTCTGGGCGCGCTTTGCCTCGGCCCGGGGCCGCCGCCTTTTCCTTCCTTCCGGCGCGGAGCTCACGCAGCTGCAGGTTCCTCTTAACCAGAGTCAGGTTTATGGAATTCTCTCCCACAGGCCTTAAAAGAGGATTAGAGACAAGCAAGGAGCAGCGCCGAATTAAAGGGGGTGCGGATTGTTGTCCCGCACAGAGCGCTGAGACGAGGGCAGGGCTGGATTTACGTATAAGCTAAACAAGCTATAGCTTAGGGCCCCAAAAAAATTTAAAGTAAAAAAAACCGGATGTACATTTCCAAAATATAAGATAAAAAACAAAATAAAACCTACATACAACAACAGTGTTTTGTGTTGTGTAGGCTCCTATGATGTAAATAATGGGCCCCACCTGCTAGCCTGCTCCCTAAAATATCACTGGTTTGCTCATTTCTATATATAGGGTGCCTACATTCTGCATGGACTGGTTGCATGGCAACATGTGCAAATGGCTTTAGATACCTATTGGGTCCATAAATTACCATATAGCATATATGTAACACAAAAACAGCGACAATTTGTTGTTGACAAAGGACAGCTGGACATATAAAGGGCCCCATTCAGTACCTTCAGTAGCTTAGGGCCTCATCAAACCTAAATCCGGCCCTGGACGAGGCGGACACAAAATGACCACAATAATAATCCCTGTAATCATAATAAAACCTATACTGTGGTACCTCTGGTTACATACGCTTCAGGTTACAGACTCCGCTAACCCAGAAATAGTACCTCAGGTTAAGAACTTTGCTTCAGGATGAGAAATCGTGCTCTGGCGGCGCAGCAGCAGGAGGAGGCTACATTAGCTAAAGTGGTGCTTCAGGTTAAGAACAGTTTCAGGTTAAGTACGGACCTCCGTAACGAATTAAGTACTTAACCCGAGGTACCACTGTATTCATATAGGTACCAATTCTTTCTTTTTTTTTTATAAAATATTTATTGAAATTTTCAAAGTGTTACAACATAAAATAAAAGCAGAAAAAAATAAAAAATAAAAATAGTTAACAAAGTAGAAAAAGAAAAAACAAACAAACCCCTTCCAACTATAGAAATACAAATTCAAAAATAAGAAAAAAAGACAGAGGGGAAAAAACAAAAATACAATTTAAGAACATTTAAAAACAAATTCATTATTCTCGAATCCTCAACTGTCATTACCTTCTTTCTTTGACCTCCTCCTCCTCCCTTTCTTTGTATCCTAGTTATTAATTATCCCAGCAAATCCTTTCCATATTTCATAATATTCTGTCATTACATTACCCTAAACAGTTTTAATCTTATCTTTCTATAAGAAAATAAACCTTAAAGCTTAAAAGTTAAATCTTATCCTTGCCAACTTCTCATAACCATAATATTCTTTCATAATTCTTTAAACATCTTTACTAAAGCCGAGTAATTTCATTCCAACATTTTTCTGACATTCATCAATTTTATAAAACAGTTCTAATGGTAGAAAAAAGAAATACAAACAGATCCAATCTTCATCCAATGTCCCTTCCTCCTGGTTCCGGGTTTTGTCAGTCCTTATTATCCCATCAATCTGGCCCATTAACCTGGCAACCTTATATCCCAGGCCCTCAAGTCTCTTCCATGTCCCTTTCGCAGCTCTTCTTCATATTTGTAACTGTATTTTCCCTTGTCTCCTGCTCGTGGTAACTCCAGCTTGGCAATATTTTTAACCCTTCTCGACAGATCAGCCCCTTTTCCATATTCAGCACTGAATTCCATATGGTATTTAAAAGCATGTTTCAAAGACCCTCCAAAATTAAGAGCCCCCACAATCCCAAACATCTCACGGCCCATTGCCAGATTTGAAAAGTCCAAACATCCCAGCATAGGGGGGTCAATCCAGCCCCCCATTTCCAAGCCAAAACCAAACTTTTTCTTTCCAAATCTGACTTTTTCCAAGTTCATTTGTCAAATCCGAAAAATATTCCTGTTGGGCCTGTTCTGTCAGGACACACTCCTGATTTAATTCCTGGGTGGGCTCCACATATTTTCCCACTGTCTGTTCAAAATTTCCCACTGCCTGTTCAAAATTTCTAGTCGAAGTCGTCATCAAATTCACCTTCTCATGTAACTGTTCCAGTAGGACATTTGTTTTGTAGAAAGCACACAACAAAGCTTCTGAATACATTGTCCTGCAAGGTCAAATGCCTTTTCCCACGATTGTAATCTGTAAACAGCTGCTGGCTCCCTGGAGTTGGTTACAGTTTCACAGTCTCCTTCTAGGGGGAAAACTTCTATTTGATCTTGCAACAAAGTTTCCCTTTTTGAAATACTTTGTCAATATTTGTTCCTTTGAAATGCGAAGGGAAACAGTGGAATCACTATGTTTCTCTTCTTTTAGCTATCTGTCAAAAACGTTTGTCTCTGGTCAATGAACTTCAAACGTCAGTCCTGACACCCCGCTCCAGGATCAGGACGGAGGAAAGTTGCTTTACTTTAAACTCACTTTAAACAGTCCAAAAAGATCCCCTTCTTCTCCTGCTGTCGAAGGGGGGTTCCACAATTTTAAATGATGAAATCCAATCCTTTAAAAGCGATTTTCTGAGCTCTAGTTTACGTTGTCTTTGCTTTATTCTGTCTACAGAAGAACGGAAGGCTGACTTCCTGTTTAGACCTTCCCGTTCCGTACCAAATTGAAATAGATTTTTAAGATCCAATTCCTTTCTGCTCGCAAGTCCCCATCTAATGTCCAGTTGTTCAAAGTCTAAGTACTCACGGGTGCTTATTTTAGAGTCCAAATTGTCCCAGGAAAAAGGCAGCGCTCTCCGGCAACGGCTATGCGGCTTCGCTCCACGGAAATAACAGTTGACTCACAGCACCGCGCCACTTCCCCCTCTTCACTTCGGAGCCCGTTAGTGGGTTCCTTAGCGAATTGGGGGGGCGCTAAAGGTGCCCGCCGAGTCCCATGGTCACAGGCTTCATCCGCCTGTGATTTTTGAAAGGGTCCCCGCTTCGCCGTAGCGGAGAAGACCCGTTTCCCACGGAGCTAGTCCCTCCAGTTCAGAGGGAGTCCGCCATTGCCGATGGCGCCACCCCGGAAGTCCATATAGGTACCAATTCAAAGTCATGAAGGGTGCCAAATTTTGGCCTGGTTCATGGTGCACTATATGACCTGCATGGCATCAGTGCTCAGGAGGTTTGCGCTTGTTGCTGATCGGCTGGCGGGCCAGGTTCAAGGTGTTGCATATAAAATCCATAACAAATTGGGGCCGCTTTACCCGCGAGTTTGCCTTACCCCACAGGTGTCCACTCTGCATTTCAGTCAGCAGAACTGGCACTCCTTCAAGGTGCCACGTAATGCATGTTCTGCATTCGTAAGAACATGGTTGTTCATGTGGCAGCACCTGGGCTTTGGAACTCCCTGCCTATTGGGATCACTGTACTCTCTTATTACAGTGGTATCTTGGGTTAAGAACTTTGCTTCAGGATGAGAACAGAAATCGTGCTCTGGCGGCGTGGCAGCAGCAGGAGGCCCCATTAGTTAAAGTGGTACCTCAGGTTAAGAACAGTTTCAGGTTAAGAACGGACTTCCGGAACAAATTAAGTACTTAACCCGAGGTACCACTTTGCTGGTTATGGATGGCATCAGAACAGTGGTACCTCTGGTTAAGTACTTAATTCGTTCCGGAGGTCCGTTCTTAACCTGAAACTGTTCTTAATCTGAGGTACCACTTTAGCTAATGGGGTTTCCCGCTGCTGCCGTGCTGCAGCGGTGCAATTTCTGTTCTCATCCTGAAGCAAAGTTCCTAACCCGAGGTACTATTTCTGGGTTAGCGGAGTCTGTAACCTGAAGCGCCTGTAACCCGAGGTACCACTGTACTTCCATTTTTGCATGTTTTAAAGTAGGGCTGTGAATTTGTCTCAATTTTACTGTTTTGTGTTTTCACAAAGTAAGGGTAATAAACCTTACGAAATAAATACATAAATAAAACAACCACAAGGCTATCAGCCAAGGCTACTAGCCATGCCCATGCAGAGTGTCTCAGAGGCCTGGAGTTTGAGCCCTGAGTCAGCTGGGAGGCATGGGGTGTTCTTGCCATGACAGCATGAGACCAGCAGGCCCCTGAGGGGCTCCTCTGGCCAGCTTAGCCCACCGAGTCCCAAGGCAAGTGCACCTGATTGCCCCCCCCCCCCCCCGCGTAGGCCAGGTACTAGCAATGATGGCTGTGCTGTACCTCCACAGCTGGAAACCTTGGCATGGGGATAGTGGTTCTTGTTCTCAAATCCTAGTCACTGGTTTCCCACAAGAGGCATCTGGTTTAGCCACTGTGAGAACAGGATGCAGGACTAGTTGAGCAAGCCATTGGCCTGATCCAGCAGGCTCTTCGTCTGTTCTTACCATCCCTATTTTCTTCTTTCCCGCCTCTCCCCCCCGTCCACAGCTTTGTGGTGCAAGAGCCTCCTGCACGACTATGCCGAAGCCTGCAAAGAGGTTGTTCTGGGTGTCAGGCAGCGGCCGGGGAAAGCTGGGCTCTACGTCTCACTGCTGGCCGGAGCAGTGGGCTGCAGCCTCCGCAGCCCCTGTGAGTCTTCCTTTGAAGCCAGCCTCCTGGAAGCCTCGGGCACCCTCCTCCTGCTCTCGCCCTGGACCCGCAGCAGCAGCTCGCAAGGGCACGTCCAGCGGCTGACGAAGCTGAGGAACCGGGGCCAGCTGCGCTTCCAGAGCCTGCTCTTCTTCTCCCTCGTCTACGAGGCTCCTTTTGACGCGGGAGCAGATCTCTACCAGGCGCACTGCAAGTACCTGAAGCCACGCTGGATGGAGGTTCCCAGCCAAGTCCTGGATGTGGGCTTCTGGGGGCGCTGGTGGGTTCTGCACTCCAAAATGCGGGATCCGGACATTAACGAGGAGGAGTTCCAACACCTGCCAGAGCATCTCAGGACAATTTCTTTCCATAACCTCCATTCGGATGCCAACGAGAAACTTTTTGATGAGAAATACAAGCCTGTTGTCCTGACAGAGGAGCAGATCCAGCAAACAGAAAGAGAGAGTCAGGGAAATTGACATCATTGATGTGCCTTGGTGGCTGTAGTTTATCATCTCCCTTTGGAGAGGGTGGAACAAAGAAAAAGATCCGTTAGGAACATGGTCTGTTTTCTTCTAGGATCCTGATTTTCACTTTATTGTTCATGTAGACTCAGCCAGGTATGGTGAATAAATGAGTAAAAAGAAGAAGCACCCCTTGTCTTGAAATTTTCTTTGATTCCCTCTCCCTTTCAGTTCTTCACATTTAATTTCTCAGGAGCTGTACCTCCGCAGGAGCTCTGTCCAAAACTTATTCTGAAGATGTATAGTAGTACCTCGGGTTAAGTACTTAATTCGTTCCGGAGGTCCGTACTTAACCTGAAACTGTTCTTAACCTGAAGCACCACTTTAGCTAATGGTGCCTCCTGTGGCTGCCGCGCCGCCAAAGCACGATTTCTGTTCTCATCCTGAAGCAAATTTTTTAACCTGAAGCACTATTTCTGGGTTAGCGGAGTCTGTAACCTGAAGCATATGCAACCCAAGGTATAGGGTTTGTTATTCTTTTGACTTTTCCCCAAGCCTCCCCTTTTCCTATAGTATATGTGCTTGAATAAGTATTTTGTAATACTGTTAGTGAGAAGCTGGGAGATCTTCAGTTATTACAGTGCTGCCTAGTTTAATATTTTGTGGAAATCTTCCACCTGAGGTGAAAAATAGCTCATAGCATCTTCCCATGTGTGTCTGTGCAGAAGTAAGCCCCGTCGAGACGAGTGCCGCAACCCCAGAGTCATCTGCGACTGGACCTAACGGTCAGGGGTCCCTTTACCTTTACCTTTGTATAGGGTTACAGTTTTCCATTTTGCTGTTGGGTTTTGGGGGCGGAGGGTCAAACGGAAAACTTACCAGAAGCAGAATGGGAGAACCCCCAGTCACCTTGCCCTTTGCTTTCTCTGACTTTTAAATGCTTTCTTCTTTTTTACAAGCTACAGTGGTGCCATTAGCACAGCCCTGGAACATGCCAATTTATGTCCAGTGTGTTCCACTACTAGTCAGATGTGTTAGGATGGTTTTTTAAATTTGTGTTCATCTTTGCATTCTCATGAGCTCCTGTAAGCAGGGCAGTCCATTGACAGCAGCAAAGAACAAAAGAGGTGGTGCAATTGCATTATTAAGTGCAGTGGAGAGAAACGTCTTAGAATGCAGGAATCTCAGCTAAAGTATCCATGACAGATGGTTATCCAACCTCTGCTTAGAAACCTCCAAGGAAGGAGAGTCTGCCACCTCTCATGGGAGTCTTGAAAAGGTTCGAATTGGAGTGGCTGTTTGGTTCCATTCACCAGACAGCAGCGAACAGGGAGTGGGAAGAAAGAGGCAGTAATTACAGGATTTTGTCACCAGGTGGCAGAAGCACAGTGGCAGGCAAGGGAGTAGGGAATTTAAAGCAAGGCTTGGTTGTCAAGGGGGATCCAAACTCTCCATTGTTTAATAAAAGCAACAATAAAAAGGCCTTTTCCTCTTCTAAATTGTGCACCTTTCTAAGGCTGGTCTATTTTTGTAAAAGATGTGATGGATTTTCCCCACCTCAATTTCTATTCCTATTTTTAATGCACTATGCACACACAACTATTCCTTATTTCAACGAGGGTCCCTGTGCTTTTACTGCAGGGAAGTAATGACTAATGAAGTCATACTTTTACTGAAAAAGTAACTCCATGCACCGAGGCTAGTTTGGATTTCCAGCCCAAAATACTCTTGAGATGCAGCAAAGGTCAAGTTACTTGTAAATTGCCCCTTTGGATCTCACAGCCCAAATTCAGTGCTCAGCTGATTGTAGAAGCCTTCCGTTCCACAGAAGTACATGCACGTTGCTCTTTTAAATGTGTTGCATTTTAAATTAATCACATTGTTGACAAAAAATAATACTGGCTTAGAGAAAGGCAATAGATCCTGTCCTCTTCGTTTTTGCCGGGGTGGGGGCACTTTTGCCCTTTCACAGTTGGGCTATATTCTTGCATTTCTCTATTATGTTCTATGAGCAACTCTCACTTCTGCACAGTGAGAAGACCAAAAAAAGAGAGCATTCATCTAAGTAAAGCTGAAGGACCTGACTGGGGCAGGGGGTGAGCATATTTGTGTTGTTGTTGTTTAGTCGTTTAGTCATGTCTGACTCTTCGTGACCCCATGGACCAGAGCACGCCAGGCACTCCTGTCTTCCACTGCCTCCCGCAGTTTGGTCAAACTCATGTTTGTAGCTTCGAGAACACTGTCCAACCATCTCATCCTCTGTCGTCCCCTTCTCCTTGTGCCCTCCATCTTTCCCAACATCAGGGTCTTTTCCAGGGAGTATTTTCTTCTCATGAGGTGGCCGAAGTATTGGAGTCTCAGCTTCAGGATCTGTCCTTCCAGTGAGCACTCAGGGCTGATTTCCTTCAGAATGGATAGGTTTGATCTTCTTGCAGTCCATGGGACTCTCAAGAGTCTCCTCCAGCACCATAATTCAAAAGCATCAATTCTTCGGCGATCAGCCTTCTTTATGGTCCAGCTCTCACTTCCATACATCACTACTGGGAAAACTATAGCTTTAACTATACGGACCTTTGTTGGCAAGGTGATGTCTCTGCTTTTTAAGATGCTGTCTAGGTTTGTCATTGCTTTTCTCCCAAGAAGGCGGCATTGCATATTTGTGTACTTGATGGTATAGCTCCGTTCACCAGATGGCAGCAAACGGGGAGTGGGAAGAAATAAATTGTAATTTCAGGATTTCGTCACCAGGTGAAGGTAAGCGTTTTAGTCCATTTGGGAAAATAATAGATAACGAGAGCCATCGATAATGTAGAAAACAAAAGAAAGTCCTAATTATTTGGATTTGGAAACAGTTTTTTTTCTGTTTCAGGATAATAGTTTTTTAAAAGGAAATTTTTACAAGTTACACTCTTGCATATGTGAAATACTGTAGGGTGTGCATCTCTCGAATCCTACCCTAACAGGCTCAAGCAGTTATAATGTGCTCTCTCACTTTGTGTCTCCCTCTCTGCTGTAGTAATATACTATATCCATTCACTGACAATGATGTGTCCTGCACTGCATTGAAAGCAGAGCTGATTACCAGTGAATTACCAGGTTGTCTTGCGTTAGGATTCCAAATTGCAGCTGCAAACTATGTTGCATTGCAAATGCATGCAGCTACCATCTGGAACCTTAACGCAAGACAACCTTCAGTATTGCTAGTGTTTCCCAGACACGACACAGTGGGAGGGGTCAGTAGGAATGAAAAGAGGAAACTCATCATATTTTTTTTATATTATGTTTTATTTTTACCAAAGGCTGAATTCCCTCAGGAGTAACCTGCTGATGATTGGCATGAAAGTGGAACCAGAGGCAGAAGTCTTCTGATTTGACTAATCTGCAATAAAGACCATCCTGCTTCAGTTTCAACTAGGGCTCTGTCAGATAAGAATTCCTATGCAGGTTTACTGGAAGGACAGGGTTGCTGTAATAATTGTGTATGTGTGTGTATTTACTGCAACAGACAGCTATAGTTGTGGAAATCAAGTGAAAGTAATTCCTTTCTGTTACACACACACACACACACACACACACACACGGCTAAAATTTATGAATTTGGAGAAACCAAGATTTCATATATAACAAAATGTTGCCTCTTTATTCTGTCAATCAATTTCTATGAAATTCAGAAGACTGCATATTTCCCAGGGTGTGCGAACCTCTCTGGAATTTAATTTTTAGCACACATTTGATTGCAACCAAGTTCTGTCTTACCTTACAAAGAATCCTTTTTTAAAAAAACAACAATAACACACACAGGTGTTAAAACTGTGTGATATCTTAGAAGCTCCCTGGTAAAAGCTGGGAGGCTTTACCCCCTTCTGTGTGAGATAAGGATTAATATTCACCCCTGAGAGAGGGCTCTGTATTTTATTTCCCTTTCTACTTCCTTCTATTTTCTCTCTTTGTTTTTTCTCTCTTTTTTGTTTTATTTCCTTGTCTTCTCTATTTTTATTTGTATTAGTTTGGTTTTAATTGTGTGTTGAAAACTTTCAATGAAAATGCATATATAAAAAAGTGTGGTTTCGACACAAAGGTGGCTGTATAATTTGCAGGTGTTTGCTCTTAGAGCTACCCTAGAATGGTGTTTTTTGTCACTTTTGCAAAGTACACTGCTCAGATTTTTAAAAATCACACTTGGCATTTATATAGTGCCCGAAGTTCCCTACATACACCATCATGTTGGCTCTTATAAGAAGCTATATAGTATTATCCCCATAATTTTGGGGGTTGAGGGTGAGACAGAAAAGAGCAAGGTCTAAGGCACCCCCTATAGAGTTGATAGGTAAGGTTATCTAGATGCCAAGGAAGGAGGGAAGCTTACTGGAGCTGAAGCCCTGAAGTGATATCTCCCAAATTTAAGTCAGGGATTTTGCCATTTATCATGCAAAATTTCATCCCCTAATGCAGGAGGACAGAAAAGTGCCAAAGAATTAGCATAGGCTGCCCTCTTGTTGACAACAAGGCAAGCAAAATAGCTGGCGATTCATTCAATCAACATCTTTGGTCCAAGGTTTCCTGAAAGAGCAGACATAGCCAAAGGGGGCAATGCCCCCTCCTGAGCCCTGAGAGAAGAAATGCAAAATTTTCTTCCCCTGCAGTGAAACAATTTGCACTGGGAGGTGAATTTCATTGCACACAGTTTGTCTCGGGTTTGGTTTTGGGGGTTCACAGTTAATTTTCCTCTTGCATATCGTAGGGTAGGGCAACATTACCTGCAAAAGTGCGGCAATTTGTGGAGCAGGTGGGCAAGCGAAAGGAGCATCATTAGACTAAAAGGTTAAACTATGTTATTTATTGTGCAATATTTATATACCACTTGGCTGTACTAAAACCTCAAATGGGTTTACAAAAACCCCCACCATAAAATTATCAGGGGAAACAAGTTGTGTTCTCTGCCCAAGTAGTGCACCAAGTGAGATAAAGTCACTACAGTAAACATCGTAATAGATAATAAAAAATAAATCATGTTCAGACTTAAGAGGCCTGCCAAATTCCGCATTTACAGCTTGGCCAATTCTGGAGTCAACCATTGTGGTTCTGTGACATGGAGCGATGCAGCAGCAAGAGGGGGGAGGAGGCGTTGCGTAGAACAATGGGATAGAATCATATATTTGTAGAAGGGGCCACAAGGCTCACCTAGTGCAACCCCCTGCAATGCAGGAATATTTTGCCCAACGTGGGGCTTGAACCCACAACCCTGAAATTAAGAGTCTCATGCATTGCAGGGGGTGGACTAGATGACCCTTGTGACCCCTTCCAACTCTAATTCTATGCTCTGCTGACTGAGCTATCCCAGCAGGATGTGGGAGATTGGCAAGTATGGGGAAATGTTGCCTTCCTGACCTTCTCTTTTGCAATGTTCTCCTGCACTTCTCCAAAGATGGTTGGCTGTAGTATCACCACAGAGCAACCGGGCTTCTTCCTTCTGTGCAGGACTAACGTATCCAAGGCTCTTCTTCTACTGAGCCTCATCCAACTGAGGCCCCTATGGCACTGCTTGGGAGGGAATGGATTCTTGAGCCTATTTCTGTTCCTTCTTGCGTATGAACGTTTGGCAAGATTGCCCAGCCATGTTACTGAGGATACTTTTCAGCTTGTGAGGCCTGTGGAGGTGGATGAGGGTCCATCACTGCTGCCTGAAGTGAAACCTGATTGGTATTGTTGGCATCCATCTGTCTCGAGAGACAATGGAGTGTGCCCCCAGGGGTGAAGCCAAACCGCTGTGTTAAAAGCACCAAATTGACCTCCCTAAGGTGCAAGTCTGGGCAGATTGCATGGAGGTCCTGGGCTGCCCAGACAACAAGATCCCCCTCTCGGCCTCGCTGTGATATATTTCCTCTTTTCTTGGCTATGATGTCAGTTGCCATCCTAGTGGCTCTGGTTCTATCTAGAATGAGGGTTAATGTGACATTAAAGACAGCTCTGCCTTTCCTTTTCCATCTATCTGTCCCAGAAGGCCCTCCTGTAGGACACTATTATTATTTAAAAATCCCTTCCTGGCCTCCAGAAGGTCATAAGCTGAATATTAGGGCTGTTCTCACACCACCTGTTCTCCATCACCCAAGTTGCTGACTCCTAAAGAAAACTTCCTTAGTTGCTGTTGCCTATCTGAAGCTGGGGCTCCAATATTTTGGCCACCTTTGAGAAGAGAAGACTCCCTGGGAAAGACCCTGATGTTGGGAAAGATGGAGGGCACAAGGAGAAGGGGACGACAGAGGAGATGGTTGGACAGTGTTCTCTAAGCTACTAACAAACTATGTCTGACCAAATTGTGGGAGGCAGTGGAAGACAGGAGTGCCTGGCATGCTCTGGTCCATGGGTCGGACACGACTAAACAACATCCCAAGACACTGCCTCATGTTAGGTTAGTTGTCATTATGTGTGTCCCCGTGTATGTTCTTTCTTAAATGGCTCTAGTTGCATCTAGGTACAATTTCAGCCCAGGCATTGCGTACCACACCCAAAACAAGGTGTATTTTTTATTGTTCTTATTGAAAGATTTTCATGGATAACAAAGGTACATATAACATCTGTTTTTAGTTTACAAGAGTCCTATCTACAGGTCAGTTACATTTGGTGTGAGACATTGCTATCATAGGCATTGTGAGGTTCGGGGTGGGGAAAAAGATGTGGGGAGGGGTGGGAGAAAGGGGGGGGCAATGATTTTTCCTTCTTTTGCATAGTGCATGTGTAGCGTTCGGTTGCTTGCAGTGAGTTTTGTCTGAGGGTTTTTTTTATGCTGTTGTCTTGTTGGGCTTTGTGTGTAATGAACGGGCATCCCCTTTGTTCGTCCCTGTACTCATTTCAATTAATTGCTTAGCTTTTCTAGTAGCTGTTTCCCATATGGTTTGGTACCAAGTGGCCCATGTTCACTCCTGACAGGTCCCTCTCCAGTGTCTAGTTATGATGCTCCTAACTGCTGAGTAGGCGGCTTAGGAGTTCTTTGTAGTTTGAGTGCATGTTGTTGTCTATATTTAATAGGGCCAGTTCTGGAGTTGCTTCTAATACCTCTTTTTGTTGTTTTGAAGATTTCTGGTAGGACTGATGTCCAAAAGTGTTGAATTTTGAGACATTCCCACCACATGTAGATATATGTGCCTTTACTGGTGCAACCTCTCCAGCATTTAGTTGAGTTTCCTGGGTTTATCATTGCCAGCTTCCATGGTGTTAGGAACAATCTATAAGTGAGTTCCCTTCTTTTGGCAGAGATGGATTCAAAAAGTGGCTTAGACCACAGTTTATAGACACAAAGGTGTCATTTCAAAGAGGAGAGTATAATTCACCTTTCAGACTATTGCAAATAATTAAGAAGCATGGCAGGGATATCTTGCCCTTCCATTTATAAATATTTGGGAGAATGTAGCAGAGTAAAGGTAAAGGGAACCCTGACCATTAGTTCCAGGCGTGGACAACTCCAGGGTTGCGGAGCTCATCTTGCTTTACTGGCTGAGGGAGCCGGCGTAGCGCTTCCAGGTCATGTGGCCAGCATGACTGAGTGGTACCTATTTATCTACTTGCACTGCGTGCTTTCGAACTGCTAGGTTGACAGGAGCAGGGACCCAGCAATGGGAGCTCACCCCGTCGCAGGGATTTGAATCGCCGACCTTCTGATCGGCAAGCCTTAAGCTCTGTGGTTTACAATAGACAAAATGCTCCAATACTGGGAAGGATGCAATAGGCTTGTCTATGAATGAGTGAAGGCTGCATTATTATTATTAGCATGAATATAACCAGTTTTTGGCCTCAGGTAACCTTAATCCAAGCTGCTCTGAGCAATATATGAGATCATCAGGAAATGTAAGTCAGAGCCTGTTTCAGTTAAAGAGAGTCTATGGGCATCATGGCTAAGTGGGGGTCTTAAATGAGTTTCCTGAACCTCAACAAAACAAATATTGGTTGGCTAGCAACATTTCTTCCAGGGAAACAAGGTTATGTACTTATCACAAGGTTCTTGTACGATAACAGCTGCAAATACTTGCCAATGGCTTATTTAAACAAACAAAAAAAATAAAGCTAAACAGAAACACGGTTATCAGGATGCACTTTTACTAACCAATCATAACACCAATGCCTTGTGCAGATTAAAAATGAGACAGCAATATAGTAAACACTCTGTTAACTAGAAAGCAGGTGTGTTCTGTAAGCAAACACATGAACCACGGGAATATGAAACACTAAAAACATTTGGCAAGTCCATTAACTCTCCCCTCATTCCAAAAGAAAATCTAACCTAGGCAGTTAGGCAGCTGCTAAGCAGGTAGGTCCACAGTACGGCCGGATAGGAGACAGAAGTTTCCTCACCCTTCCAGTAATCACTACATAGTAAGACTTAAAAAACAAGGCTAGCCAGAGGAAAAATCAACGGTGTCCTGCAGTGTCATATTAAAAAATCACACAAGCCACCATCTTTTCTGGCAGCTACAGTAGATCCCCTATGGCGATAGGTCTTGTCATATTGGCGAATGAAATATTTTATAATAAAATTGGGGGGCATTTAATACTAAATTCCAAGTTGGCCACCAGCAACCAAGCCCTACCTAAGAGAGCCTTTGGCTAGAGGGTTACTGTGGGATTGTTTATGCAGTCTTTCCAGGACTGATCAAAGAGAATCTGCAGAGGTCACCCGTTGCTATTGCTTGAAGATTTGTGGTGCAAGGGGAAATAAAAAGCCCCCTACAGTGTTTCCTGCCAAAATAAAGAAAACCTCACTTTTCACCTTGATTATATCTGGCTCTGTCCATTATGGTTTTGGAGGTCTCCTCAAGTGAAGAGATGCAGAAGGACAGGTTCAATAGCAGCAGGTTGTCATATAGGTCAGAAAGGCAACCCCTTTGCTTCCATGTAGTGGATGTACCTTAAACCAGAAGTTCTGTCCTCTACCCCCAAGTCATCCTACTCTTAACAGATAGGCAGTTGAAGCAAGAGTAAATGCTCTCTTGTTAGGAAAGAAACAATATCTTTCATGAAAGATCAAAGAGAATAATGGGGAAAGAAACAAAAAGAGTCCTTTTTTTTTAAAGATTAGAAGCTGCCTTCAAATTGGGTTGGGGAGGGGCAGCCAAATTTTGAGCTCTTGAGGAAGTGACTCACACAGCAGACAACCAAGGGGAGATGGGAGCAGTTAATTCTAACATTTGCAGATTCCTCTTCGTGAACATGGTTTTCCATACACATCGAGTGCCTTTTCCTGGAGCCAGCCAGGATGAACTGATGAAAGCCAAGTTCAGAGCTGCACATGCAACACACACACACACACACACACACACACACACACACACACACAGCCCCCGAGTCAGAAGACAGCAATAAAACTGCCCATTTTCTGTTTTTTTTCCCAAGTGCCAAGATCCCTCACAGATGCCAGTGAAGGAGGTGGGAAGATAGGAGCGGGACTCCTATTTGCAGCAAGAAAATCTTAAGAGAAAGCAGTAAAAGAATGAGAGCCCTGGGAGAGAACCTAAAGTCTGGGAATTAGAGCTGCTCTGGTGTCCTTGGGTTTGCAAGAGGGTCTGTCTGATAATGTTGCAGGACAGAGGTGGTGCCTGGTGCAGTGGCAGATACACTGGGAAAAGGATATCCACCCTCCATCTTCACAGCAGCATACTCCAGGCTTGCAGAGAAACCGTGACAGAAGTTCATCCTTTGCTGGCTGATGTACCCGAGTGCCTGTTGGCCATAACAGGGCCCAGCAGCCTTCCCAAAAAAGCCTCCATCCTCTCCTTCTCCCACAACCGGACACAGACCCTGGGGGCTGCCGTAGATCTGGCTGTGATCGCTGCTATAGTTCTGGTTGTTGACGCCGACGGGATTGCTGGCGTAGTTCTCGTGGGCATTGGCCAATGAATGGATATTCCTAGCATCGTTGATGGCGTATCCTTGGTGATAGCTGGTGTTTATGTCCAGGTAACCATTCTGTAAAGAGAAAAGTAGCGATGTTTCAACACACACCCAAAATAGCAATGCTTAGCATTGAGACATCACCTGTCTACAGAAGCACATTGCATCCCAGTATAGCTCCCAGTATGTTTCCAAGCGCAATTCAAAGTGTTGGTGTTGATCTTTAAAGCCCTAAACAGCCTCGGCCCAGTATACCTGAAGGAGCATCTCCACCCCCAGCATTCAGCCCGGGACACAGAGATCCAGCTTTGAGGGCCTTCTGGTGGTTCCCTCACTGTGAGAAGTGAGGTTACAGGGAATCAGGCAGAGGGCCTTCTCGGTAGTGGCACCTGCCCTGTGGAATGCCCTCCCATCAGACGTCAAGGAAATAAACAACTATTTGGCTTTTAGAAGACATCTGAAGGCAGCCCTGTTTAGGAAAGTTTTTAATGTTTTTAATTTTCTGTTTGGAGCTGTCCAAAGTGGCTGGGAAAACCCAGCCAGATGGGCAGGCTATAAGTAATAATTTATTATTAAATTATTATCCATTATCTCAGCTGTCCTTCAGGCAACTTTAGAAGTTAGGCAAAAATCATTCCCCTCTGGAGATTGAGGGTGGAGACCGGTACTGGTGTGCCTGATGCCACCCTGCGTGTTCATGGCAGAGGATGTTTCGGTGTAAGAGACCCTTTTGCCCTAACTGAACTCCCACCTTTTTATAAATTGTACAATTTTTTTATTAAAATATTGTCCTGAACTGTAAACGCTCCATAAGACCATGCATCCTGGCTCTGAAGGAATAGGGTGTTTGTTTTCAAACTTATATACACTCCACATTAAAATAATGATTAAAAAATGGTGTGTCTAAACAGATGCCTTTACTGTGTGTTAGGTCTGTCTGAGGCCACTGCGGGTGTAGTCCTAACAGATAGCCTAAGGTTTAAAATCTCCCAGTTTGTTTAGTTATTTTCATGCCCCCAGAAGTGACCCAGGAATAGATGGGTGTGCGCGGCTCTCTCTCCTGAACTTTTAGGAACAGGCCTTTTCATGGAATCATACAGTGCCGGATTTACGTATAAGCTAAACAAGCTCTAGATTAGGGTCCCACTCTCTTGGGGCCCCCCAAAAAAAATTAAAGGGAAAAAAATGGATGTTCATTTCCAAAATATAAGATAAAAAACAAATAAAATAAAACCTACATACAGCAACAGTGTTTTGTGTTGCGTAGGCTCCTATGATGTAAGTAATGGGCCCTGCCTCCTAGCCTGTTCCCTAAAATATCACTGTTTTGCTTATTTCTATATACAGTGGTACCTCGGTTTACGAACTTAATCCATTCCTGAAGTCCGTTCTTAAACCAAATCCGTTCTTAAAGAGAGGCGCGCTTTCCCTAATGAGGCCTCCTGCCGCTAGTGCCCTTCCACCGTTCGGCTTCCATTCATAAACTGAGGTAAAGTTTGCAAACCGGAACACTATTTCCAGTTTTGCAGAGTTCATAAACTGAATAGTTCATTAACAAGGCTGTTTGTAAACCGAGCTACCACTATACAGTGGTACCTTGGTTCTCATGGACAGGTTGCATGCCAACATGTGCAAATGGCTTTAGATACCTATTAGGTCCATAAATTACCATATAGCATATATTCAACACAAAAAAACCAGCGACAATTTGTTGTTGACAAAGGACAGCTGGACATATAAAGGGCCCCATTACCTTCAGTAGATTAGGGTCTCATCAAACCTCAATCCGGCCCTGGAATAATAGAATCTTAAGACTTGGAAGGGACCCCCCCCCCCCGAGTCATCTGGTCCAAACCCCTGCAATGCAGGAATCTCATCTAAAGCATCCATGACAGCTGCTGAGGGGTCCCCTATTTTGATCACATGCCCATGTCAGGATATCTGCCACTGCCCCTCCCTATGTAACATACCCGCTCCCTAGACCAATATTTCAAAGCTCCATTGTCATACTGAGGCCTGCTTTGTATTTTTTGGTGAGATACACATATGGGACATTATACTTGTTTGCTTATGTCAACACCCATGTCAGTGAAGAACCCAATACATGAAAGGGAAAAAAAGTGCCCGTGTCCTCTCTCCCCACGCTTAGAAATGGAGGCTTAGCTCAAGCTGGGATAGTTCAGTCTGTACAGTCTATACATCTTGGGACTCTTAATCTCAGGGCTGTGGGTTGAAGCCCCAAGTTTGGCAAAAGGTTCTCGACTTGCAGGGGGTGAGGCTAGGTGACTCTTGTGGTCCCTTTCAACTCTACAATTCTATGGTTCTAGGTTGGATTTAGAAAGCCCTGTTTATTTGGGGACAAAACCATAAGGAGCTGCCTTATACAGATAGATGAGCTAAGGATCTCAGCATCAGTCATCGTCTAGACTACATGGTAGCAGCACTTTCAGGTTTCACAGGGATTTTTCCCAGCCCTACTAGAGATGCCAAGGATTGAATCTACAACCCTTTTGCTCACATTGTAGGCCAGGCACTACTATAAAGGCAACACACTGGAGCATCTTAATGAGTCAGAAGCTGGAGAAGTTCTGCTCCATCAGATGGGCCGCCTTATTACCTGAGGTTGGCATATTCCTCTTCTCATCCACACAGCTTCCTTCTGGGTCCGTTTAAACTTCATCCGCTGATTCTGAAACCAGGTTTTTATCTGAAATACACAGTACAAGATAAGCAACTTCCTTCATCCATAGTCAATCCATGCAAAGGTGTATTTGCACCACTCACAAAACACACACTCAGATCTTTACGTTGTCAGCCATGAAGGCAAAAAAGCTCACCCAGTGAGCATGTTTATACAACAGGCTAAGAATGAACTTGGCATTCCTTCTTCTCAAGAGATCTCTGGGAGTTCTGTGCAGGTGAGTAGAGAGTCGGCCATTCCCTCCATTACAATGTGCAGGTGGAGATTTGTTACAAGTTGGCACCTTGCATGCAATTTCATTTAATTTTTGATTTGTATACCGCTTTTCTATATTACTATACACAAGACAGAAGAAGCAAAGACTGCACACCTTATAACAATTTGACCCAATACAAAAATGTCATAATAACAAAACGTAACTTTAAAATAAACAACTTGCATCAGATGTAATATTCAATAACCCATTAGAATATAATAGTACCCAATAAAATTAAATATCAGAAAACAAACAAACAGCAGTCACAGTGCATAAAATAGGAAGGACCTCAAAAACAGCCTAATGAGAACTCAAAGTGTGCCATGGAATTTTGACTAGTCTGTTGCAATGGGGAAGCAAACGATTAAATGACTAATTAAGATAACCCCGCACTGCAGCATTTTGTTGCAGTTCAGCACCAAACTAGAACTCCCAGGGAAGCTCAGAGAAGCCATGGCAGTTAAAGCACAAGCAAACAAATACAATTCTGCATGCCACCAAGAAAGAATAAAGCAAGCTATGTAAGAAAGGAAGCTGTAGAAGGAGAGAAGGAAGGAAGGCTCAAATAAGTGAGGCATACACAATCAGAAGTGTGGCAGACAAATATTAAAGGTGGATCTCAAGACAGAAAAGGTGGATCTCAAGACTGTTCTGCAGGACAGCTTATGCAAGAGCCACCACCAGTTGGAACAACTGGAAAGTCAGCAAAGAGCAACTCTTTAAAAATTCAGGCCAAAGGTCTCCCGGCCTGACCCTGCCCTGCTTCAGCAAAACACTTACTTGTTTGTAGGTGAGTCCCAAGGCAGAGGCCAGTTCTCGGATCTGTTGTGGACTGAGATATTTCTGCATCTGGAATCTGTGGTGCAAGACCTGCAGCTGCCTTTGAGAGAAAGCTGTGCGGTTCTTGCTCTTCTTGCCTCCTTTACTTTCCTCCTTGCACCGCTGGGGAGTAGAAGTCAGATCTGGGGAGGGGGGCGGCTTGTTGGGGCTGGTTGCAGAATCTGGTGTATAATAAGTGAATATCCCAGAGCTGGAAGACCTTGGGGAGAGATCTAGGAATCAAGCAGACACAGTATGCAAAGGATAAATAGGGCAGAATAGGGGCTTAAAAAGCCAGAATGCAAAAAGTGTTTGATAAATAAGTTTATAAAACAGTACACAAACTTTCTAAATAGAACCTTTGCATCAGGCAAGATCAAACTGTAGCTACTTCTCAGACCTCCTGTGATATTTGAAAGTTTGCACACTCTGAACATAGAAACATAAAAGGAAACCTTCAATAGGCTGCAAATCCTAACTCCACCAACATGGGACTAAGCCCAGGTGAATTAAATAGCACTTACACCTGAGTAAACATTGCTAGGATTGCATTGCTCATCTCCAGGACCAACAGACCACGCCCATCAATTAACAGTTATTAGCATCACTAGACTGCAGAACACTAATGAACTAGATGTAAGCAATGCTTTAATTCTTGCTTAAGACAATCATACCTTAAATGACTCTGCAAAACACTGGTATGTCACTGGCTTGCAAAATGCTTCGGCAAAATTCACGTTCATAACAAGAGGGAAGGGCAGGATTATCGAGTTGACACCCAGATCGCGCTCACATTTCGAGTCCGCAAAATGTTGGGAACTGAGCAATTTGTGACCAGTAATAATCCAGGTTAAGAGATAAGGGTAGCCTTGGGGCGGGGGGGGGGAGGAAAAAGCCATGCGTTTTAAATGTGGTGCTGATGTGAGCGCATTCTTCTCCGGCCAGAAAGCGGTTTCTTTGGCTAGGCAGCAACTCCTAGCACTGACCCTGTTTTGCTCCCTAGATAAGGGGCAGTTTCAAACAGACAATTGTTCCTTGAATACCTCCTCTCCACCAGGGGCTGGGCTTTTGCGCTGGCCTGGAAATCCAGATCCATAACTTTTTTTAGCCCAATTAGGCGCCGCGCACTTAACTTTGCATAGGATCCGACTGCGCACCTGCAACCTGTTCCCTGCGCTGTCAGCAAAATGGGCTCCCGAGGAAAGATTTCTATTTCTTTATCTACTGCGTTTCTATTCTGGCTTTCCTCCAAAGCGTTCTAGGTGGTGCACATGCCCCCCCCCCAACCTCCCCATTTTATCCTTCAAAACAACCATGTGAAGTAGGCAGAGAGTCCGGGGATGAAACCCAGAGCTTCATGGCTAAGCGAGCCTTTGAACCCCGGTCTCCCGGGTTCAACCCCCTCTACCCACTACGCCCTACTGCCGTGCACACCACCCAAGCCTATCATGGAAAAAGGCCACAATCCAAATTCGGTTAAAGGACCCCCATCGAAATTATCATCATTATTATTACTTACTAAATTTGTTAGTCGCTTTATCTTGCCCAAGGCAACCCCAAGCGACTTCCGAACAAGCAACCCCGCTTAGGTGCATTAAAACCAAGCGAGGGAGGAAATGCCCAACTTTTGTATTCAAAAGGGTTCTGTATTCTGCTTCAGTTTGCGAATTCCAAGCTTTGCATTCGCTGCAAGAAGCTCCCAATGTTTGCATAACTGAGAATGCAGGGCTCCCCAGACTTGAGTCTCCAGCTGTTTTTTTGGACTACAAGTCCCATCCTCCCTAGCTAGCAGGACCAGGGGTCAGGGACGATGGGAACTGTACCCCAAGAACAGCTAGAGACCCATGTTTGGGGTAACCCTGGTGCAATGGAGTCAGCTTTCCTGGGTGAAGTGACTTTAAGAGACTTAAGCAAAGAGGGCTGCAAACCTCCTTTGCGGGTTTTCCTAGGAGATCAGCTTACCTGGGTTATTGCTGGGGCCCTTCCCTTCCGGGCCGTTAACAGCCTCGGGGGCAGGGAACCCCCCGGAGCAGCTCCCCGGCTCCATCTCCTCCTTCACCGAGGGCCAGTAGTAACCGTCGTAGCCCATGTCAGCGGGAGCCACCACCCCTGCAGGGTAGACCCGGTAGGAGGCATTGAGGGCCAGTGGGATGCTCATGAATGGAGGCGACGGTGGGACCCTTCGGAAGCGTGGCTGGATCACCGAAGAGACCGCGATTCCCTGGGGGATCTTTTATGGGCTGCAGGCAGGACTTCCCCAGTCATTATCATGTTAAAAGGGGGTCCAATTTGCTGGGCGGGGCGGGAGGGAGGGGCGGGAGATCGGAGGATGGAGACCCTCGTTCGCAATTTATTTCCTAACTTTTAAATTATTATTATTATTGTTGTTGTTGTTGTTTATTATAAAATTTGTATACTGCCCTAGACCCGCAGGTTTCAGGGCAGTTGCAAACATAAAAGCACACCGTAAAAACAGGAAATATATGAGATAAATAAAAGCAAAAACAACCCAATAAACCCCCTCCCCCCCCAACAAATTTAAAAAAGGGGAATGAATGTCTATTTATTTAGTATTTTATTTATTAAATTTGTATGTCAATGGGCATTATATATATATATATATAATTATTAGTAGTTACAGGTAGGTAGCCGTGTTGGTCTGCTGTAGTGGAAACAAAATTTAAAAATTCCTTATTATTATTAATTAGTCCTTCATCTGTAGATCTCAGTTCACAACATAAAAATACAAGATAAAAAATACATAATAAAAACAAGAACTAAAACCAGTAACTTGTTTGTTTTTAACCCTCAAAGCAGTTTATTATTATTATATTAATTCAGATATACTGGGGGCATATTAATCCAGGGAAGACCAGTCGATCAACACCTAGGAACCTAAGCCAAGAGAGCTGAAGAGAGCCTCCATGTATAGGGGCAGTATATCTCCAAGGATCAGGTGCTGGGAACAATCAATGGGGAAATGCCATTAGTTTCACACCTTTCCTTTAGTTTTCCAGAGGCATATGGTTGGCAGGCCAGTTCTTATTTCTTTGAACGCAAGTCACCAAAGAAAGTGCTATATAAATACTATTCTTTATAAGATGAATACAGTGGTACCTTGGGTTACATATGCTTCAGGTTACATACGCTTCAGGTTACAGACTCCGCTAACCCAGAAATAGTGCTTCAGGTTAAGAACTTTGCTTCAGGATGAGAACAGAAATCGTGCTCCGGCGGCCGCAGCAGCAGCAGGAGGCCCCATTAGCTAAAGTGGTACCTCAGGTTAAGAACAGTTTCAGGTTAAGAACGGACCTCTGGAACGAATTAAGTACTTAACCTGAGGTACCACTGTACTAACCTTTATAGTATCTATTGTCAAAATAAAGCACATTTGAGGGAAGCAAAGCAAAGGCCAATTCATTACCAAACAGCCCTTGTGGTTGTTGCTAAGATTGGGTTGGCACAGAAACCGGGATGGTGGAAAAGTGCTAAAAGGATGTGATGACAGGCTTGGTATCTAGGCTCCTTTATCTTCCATGTGTTTGCTCAGAAGTAAGCCCGCTGAATTCAGAGGAGGCCAAGCAGAGGATCAGCAGCATGACTGCGAGACCTTCTGATACCCAGAGGTGGTGCTTAGGCTGTAGAAGAGCTGATTAAACCCTGAGCTCAGCTGTGACCCTGAGGAAGGGCTTCTTGAGGAAGCTCTTGATTTCCCAGCCACAGCTCCTTGTCTCTAAAATGGGAATTGCCTCTCAGAGGGGCCAATAAGCACCAAAAGGTGCATAAAGCTATAAAGTTATTATATCTGGATGGGTATTTTAATGCGGCAGTTCCTAGTGGTGGGTGGTGACTGGGCAAAGTTCCATGGGGAGAGAAGATTTTTAACACACACATTTTATTGGAATTTTTTCTCTCTCTCTCTCCAAACAAGGAACTTTTAAATGCAACATGAAGATTTGAGCCCTCTCCACCTCACTGCCACCACCTGCTTCCAATTAAAAGAGTCAAGGCACAGGGGAGGAGCTCCAGGGAGAGGCCTCCCACCACCTTCAGTTGACTCTTAAGCTCTCTGGTGAGTTTCCTTACGGGCAACACAAATGCAAGGTTGCCCGTGTGTGTTAGAACTGTAGAATTGTAGAGTTGGGACCCCAAGGGTCATCTAGTCCAACCCCCTGCAATGTCCATGTGGAGTAGAATGTAGGGAGCTGAACTGGGTTGTCCTGGAGGGCAGAAGAAGGGTGGATGGAAGAGCAAGTTTGTGAAAGGCTCATCCCAGAGGCGGACTTCGGTCTTCCAGATTTCAGCGGCGCCCTGTGCGAGGCCATATTTTGCCCCCCACCTGGACCTCTTGCCTTGTGGTCTGCACATACACTGTGTCACCACTGCAGAGCCCCAGTGCCAGGCTGCACTGAATCTGGTTGGTTCTGCTCAGTCACTTCCCGCTATGGCAGGGGTCTGCAACCTTTAAGACAAAAAGAGCCACTTGGACCCGTTTCTGAAGGAAAAAAAACTGGGAGCCGCAAAACTCGTCATTATAAAAATAACTTTTTTCCCACTTTTTTATTATTTCTTTGTTTGACCCCTCAGAATTACTCCTCCTCATAGAAATAAACGTTAAATTAACAAGTTATCTTTTTTGTGTGTGTGTTCTTCACTCCCCTTCAAAACAGTGACCAGCGTACATGCCCCCTTTCAATGCAGTGACCAGCGTACATGCCCCTTACAATGTAGTGGGCGGGCGGGAAGGTGACGTCGGGACGGTGCGTGACTGACGCACGCACCGCCCCCATGCGACGTCACAGCCAGTACAGCGCCCGCCGCAGTGGGGAGTGTCGGGGCGCACAATGCGCCTCCTCCCCTCGCTAGTATCCGCCCCGGAGCCGCGGCAAAGGTGTAAAAGAGCCACAGGCGGCTCCGGAGCCACGGGTTGCTGACCCCTGCGCTATGGTCAGTGGATGAACATGTTAGTCATTCATTCAAGGCTCAGCTACAGCACATTCCCAATGGCAATTTAGGGATCATAATAGTGACCTGTATTTCATAATAATAATAATAATTTATTATTTATACCCCACCCATCTGGCTGAGTTTCCCCAGCCACTCTGGGCGGCTTCCAATCAAGTGTTAAAAACAATACAGCATTAAATGTTAAAAACTTCCCTAAACAGGGCTGGCTGCCTTCAGATGTCTTTTAAAGAGAAGATAGCTGCTTACTTCCTTCACATCTGAAGGGAGGGTGTTCCACAGGGCGGGCACCACTACCAAGAAGACCCTCTGTCTGGTTCCCTGTAACCTCACTTCTCGCAGTGAGGGAACCGCCAGAAGGCCCTCGGCGCTAGACCTCAGTGTCCGGGCTGAACGATGGGGGTGGAGACGCTCTTTCAGGTATACAGGACCGAGGCCATTTAGGGCTTTAAAGCTCAGCACCAACACTTTGAATTGTGCTCGGAAACGTACTGGGAGCCAATGCAGATCTCTCAGGACCGGTGTTATGTGGTCCTGGCGGCCACTCCCAGTCACCAGTCTAGCTGCCACATTCTGGATTAGTTGTAGTTTCCGAGTCACCTTCAAACGTAGCCTCACGTAAAGCACATGCCAATAGTCCAAGTGGGAGATAACTAGAGCATGCACCACCCTGGTGAGACAGTCTGCGGGCAGGTAGGGTCTCAGCCTGCATACCAGGTGGAGCTGGTAGACAGCCACCCTGGACACAGAATTAACCTGCGCCTCCATGGACAGCTGTGAGTCCAAAATGACTCCCAGGCTGCACACCTGGTCCTTTAGAGGCACAGTTACCCCATTCAGGACCAGGGAGTCCTCCACACCCGCCCGTCTCCTGTCCCCCCAAAACAGTACTTCTGTCTTGTCAGGATTCAACCTCAATCTGCTAATAGTTTCCCATGAACTTGCTTATCTGGGCTAGTTGCTCCTTGCATGGAATAAACAACTCAGGCAAAGCATGTATGGCTTCCAAACCAGGGGTTGTGGTTTGTTTTACCGCAGCAAACTTAAGAGTTCCCCTTTGGCATCTAGCTGGTCACTGTAAGAATGGAGGGCCTTTGGTCTGATCTAGTGTCCACCAAAGCCTGCTCTCCAGTTTCTCCAGAGTTTTCTCCACCTGTGGAAGAGTCTCCCATTTTTCTGACTGTTTCACAGGATGCTTCAGAATTTGAGATTGATCTTGTCTTATCCTTGCAAATGGGTTGTGCAGGGCCGGATTTAGGTTTGATGAGGCCCTAAGCTATTGAAGGTAATGAGGCCCTTTATATATCCAGCTGTCCTTTGTCAACAACAAATTGTTGCGGGGTTTTTTGTGTTGAATATATGCTACATGGTAATTTATGGACCTAATAGGTATCTAAAGCCATTTGCACATAACAAAATATGTATTTTATCAAAGTAATTGTTGAATTGAAATACAATTAAGAAGTATATTAATAGTGAAATACAATTAAGAAGAAATATATTAATAGTGAAATAATTATCAAGCTCTAACTTAAAATGATTTTTTATTCATAACAAACTTAATAATGCAAATACATTGGCATTTGGCAATAATAAAAGTTCCTTTAGAAACACAATTTACAAAGACGCATACTCTAGTCTCTATAAACTTGTTCTCACAGTGAGGGAACCGCCAGAAAACCCTCAAAAGAGGTCCTTAGTGTCCGGGCTGGATGATGGAGGTGGAGATGCTCTTTCAGGTAATTAATGGACACCAATCAGAACTCAAATTAGGCAAGTTGAATAGAGGCAACATTAGCCAAATCTAATGGAATCAGGCTTTTGTGTATTACTGTTCCAAGCAAACACATGCAACAGCATGATGAAATTAGTGTGTTGTAGCCTACTTAAGTTATACTCAGAGTAGACCTATTGAAATGAATGAACATGGCTAATTTAATGCCAATGGGTCTACTTTGGCTAGAATTTAGTTGAATACCACCCCTTACTTCTGAGTAGACATATGAAGAATTGCACTGTTAGTCATGATGATGATAGTATCACCACTACTTACTGATGGGTTTTAATTTACTTATCACATTGTTTCCACTTTCATTGCCATTTAACCCCACCTTTTACTATTTTGACCCCTATGCTCCTCTGTATAGATGGATAGGTAGAGAGACGATTGATAGATAAATATCAAATAAGTAAAACTGCATATAGAATCATAAAAATGTAGAGTTGGAAGGGAACCCAAAGGTCATCTAGTCCAACCCTCTTCAATGCAGGAATCTCAACTG